TGTCACGTTTTTAATTTTTAACGGTTAAAATTTTAAAAATCGTTCCGCAATTTTCTGCCCGCAATAACATAAATCTGGAATTTTTATTATGTAATTTTTTCATCTGGAAAAATATATTCTTCTCCTCCAGACTCATTAAGTCAAACCTGTCAATGTCCTCCAATTATTTTTTAAAAATTCAATAAAGAAGAAAAGATTTCAAGAGTAAAGATGTGCTCACGAAAAGCAAGACAAAATAAGAAAAAGAAAAGCGCCAATCACCATAAGAGAAGTCAACAACTTTTAAACTTTAAAAATGCCTAAACATCAATACAAAGTGAAGAAACATTAAAAAATGATTTTAAAAAATTAGATATTTCCGTGAAAACGATCACTTCTTAATATGCTCAACATGTTTGATGACCGGAGAATAAAAAGTGAACAAAGCGCTTATTGTTCAAGCTGATTTGATTTATTTAGTGATAGTCATATTCTGACATACCCAAAAACTTCTTTAAACGCGTTTCAATTTTCATCTTTCATTCACTCAATCAAATCTTTTGTTTTCTATGTCCATTCGTTCATTGCAGAACTGATGATGTTGCATATTTAAATTATAATTTCGAGCTGTTCTAGTTAGTAAGTTTGAAATGAATAAGAAAAGCAGTTAGTTAAGTTTTTGAAATGAATGCTTAATCGTTCATTATTTATATTTCTGTTTATTAGATAATAGAAATTATTCGACGATTTAAATTGTTGCAAGTCTAAACTTGAACTTCAATAAATAAAATTTCGAATTTCCTGAATTAAACATTATTCAATTTTTTTTATCATTCTGATGTTGGGCACAATCCTTGTTGTGATCGCTTTCCACCTATAAAGCAAGCTTTTGTTTCATAAATTCCTTCTTGTTCGTCAATAGGTTCAGGTGATCTTGAAGGTGTTAGGAATGAACAATGTAATTGCATTGTCGTTGCATCTACGAGAAGCCGATGAGTATTTCTTCCTGGTGAAGGTTGCTTGCATCCTTCAAAACCATCAATTGTAGCACAAACATTGTTGAAAAGAACTCTTCCTGGACCACAAATATTTTGTTCACATTTTGGTATAAATGAAGATTTGGGGAGACAAAAGATTTCATTTGCTTGACAAGGTCCTTTCGAGTATGCACGATAACATTTCATCATTCTAGGATCATACAAAAATGTTGGTCGACAGTCACACGTCCAATCTCCAGCAGTGTCGCCTTAAACAAAAAATTAAATGAATTAAATTTAAGCAATCATAAAGATCTTCAAGGTTAGCTAAGAAGGTTTAGACACCTGGGTACAAGAGTTCACCCTCTCCACATTTTGATGAAGTGACAGGCTGTCTCATCTAAAGTAAATAATGAATATTAACAAAATATGAAGAAAAATCAGAAGATGATCCATTAAAAATATCAATTGTGGAATTCCCAAAATAACTAAATAAAGGTCAAATTTTTTTAATTTGATTACTTTCTCAATTAATCATCTTAAAATGAAATAATTATAAAATTTCTTTAAAACATTAACACTTACATGACTTTGTGGCTTTCTATTTTCATTTGTATCTGATTCAGGATAAACAACACTTGAATCAGATTTAACTGAAGAAAATAAAAGAAAACATGTCAAAATAATTAACTTAATTTCCATAGTTAATTCAGCTTCGATCAGCTTCTCACAACGAACTGAATTGATTATCTTCGTTACATCAAAGATTTTTTAATTTTATGAGAGTGACATGGATCTTGGCAAGATTGGCAAGAGAACGAGACTCTCGTTACGAGAGTTGACACTCAACAATGAGCTTGATTGTTAAGAATGGTGAGAGCTGACAAAAAGGTTGAACGTATCATGATAGTTTAAGGCTTAAAAGTATTTTTAATCAACACTTAATTCTCTTTTACAGCGCCTTAAATTTTGCAAAACGAGATAAACAGAATAGAGATGAAAAGATACTTGAAAAGATATGAAGAACAACTCAAAGAGATGTGTCGATATGAGAGAGAAATGTTTATTCCTTGTCAAGAAGTCGAGTAAAGCGGACGTCTGAGAAACTGAAATATTAATTTAGAACCTTAATGATAGTTAAACTTATAAAATAGATGTAAAGTTAAATTAAAAAAGTTCCAATGTTTAATTGGAAATGAGATCACAAATATTACAATGACATACTCGAACTTTAGAACTGTTTTGTTTATGGTACCAGACTGGTCCACTCTGACTAACTTATTAACTAGCAGGTTGTCCTTTCGGTACTCCTTTACATTATACTCGTACACTTACCGACTTTGTTCGTTACCCATCAAACAGTTCTTCAGCATATTTGATCGTTTGGGTTGCGCGTAAATAATAATCTAACACGAAAAGACCATTGAATGGAAACAAATAAACTCAATTTGATATTGAAAAACTGTTTTGATTGCATCGATGTTTTAACTGAACTTAAAATTTTGTCTTTTTGACTTCGGCACTTCCAGGACAGGCCGACAAATAAGAACAAAATAAAATTACGATTTTTCTGTCGTAAACAAACTTGTTGAATTTACTCTGAATGTGAAAAATCTTTAAAATTTGTTCTTATGAAAACTAATGTTGTAGATAGATTAAAACTTTAGCAACATGGAAAATAAAGATATCGAAATTGAGGATTTAATTTACGTTGAAGAAGATTTAAGTGACAGTGAATTGATATCAATTTTATTTCTTCTTTATGGCATTGAAAAGCCAATCTGGTTGCTTGAAAATATTAAATCAAGAACAAAAAATGAAAAGTTTCTTTATAATTATGCAAAAGATCATAGCAATTGGAGGACGTCAATAATTCAGTCATTATCAATTATTGGAGTTTTTGAGATAGTTGAAAACTTGGGAATTAATAAGTCGGAAGCGATAAATTCATTGAAAAGCAACATGCAGATCAATGTCGGTTTAAAATTACTCTTCAAATTTTGCGATGCGTGTTACCAAAACACAACTTCAAGTTTTATCAGCTACATCAAAGAGAATTGTCATACAGCTAAACATTGCAATCATGAAATGCTTGAAGTTTATTTACTTCATTTAATCATTAGTCATCAAATAATTATCACAAAATCAATTGACCATTGCGATTTTGTCTTCATCACCAATTTCCTTAAAGGAAAAAAATTCCATGAAGTGGAAAATGTTTTGGTTGAATTTCCACAAAAACAAAACTTGGATAATTCAAGGAGTTCATCAATAACATCTCAAGTTTTTCGATTACCCAACGAGTATGAGACAAAATCTGAAGACTTTTATAAAACAAATCGGATGCTTGTTTTGATCATCAATCAGGAAAAATTTGTACGTGATGATAACCCAGAAGTGCAACATCTTTTGCCAGATGAGAACTTAAAAGAGAGAAAAGGAACGGAAAAGGATTTGAAGGAACTTCGTGATTTGTTCAATGATTTTAATTACAAGATTGTAGTAAAAACCGATTTGACTGCCGCAGACATTCTTAAAGAAGTCAATAAAGCTGCAAAGCAAGCTTCACTTTTCGATGGAGTTATCGTGTGCATTTTATCGCATGGCCAGGAAGGTGTCGTATACGGTCACAATTCACTTCCAGTCAGTATCAAAGAGATCAAAGATCTCATTTGCATTCCTCCACTTCTAGACAAACCAAAAATTCTTTTAATCCAAGCATGCCAGGGTCAAAAAACTCAACGAGTCATTCAAAGAATCACAAGATCAGAAATCGAGCACGATGGACCATCTTCAACAACATTAACGCGTGGTTCGAAATATGCTGACTTTCTCGTCGTTTGGTCGACAATTGAAGGCTTCACAAGTTTCCGAGATATTGATGAAGGCACTTGGTTCATTCAACTTCTCGTACAAAAAATTCGAGAACTCCACAAAGATCATCACTTTCTTGACATTTGCACAGCAACTATTAGTGAGATTATCAAGAAAGGAAAGGAGAAAAATATTTGCATGGTTCCCCATTCAGATTCATCTTTTACAAGAAAGTTTTTCTTTCCAATTCCTTTAAGCGATTCCAATTGTTAAACAGGTTTTAATAATAAATAAATGACAATTATGGAAGAAGATCATTTTCCTTTATTTTCTGTCTCAAATCACATTCATTGTCAAAAATAAACGAAGCAACTTCAATCTTTTCATTTAAAATTCGATTAAGTTCATAGACGTCATGATCTTCGTTGTAGGGTTGCACAAGTTGCTCTCCACATCTTACAACAACCAAGAAGAAAAAGAAGATGACCAAATTGGCAGAGAAAAGTGCTGGTGAGAAGCCAAAGTAACCAGAGTTATCAAAGAAAGATCTTAACTGAAAAAGGAAAATTTATTAATTAAATTAAATTAAATTTAAAATAAACTTTACCATCCCGACGACAAAAAATGAGTACAGCGATGTCATCACCATTGCTGTCAATCCCCATGAGAATGTTTCATGTTTAAAGTTAATTAAGCGATCACATTGAGCATGCAAATGATTTAATTCAGAAATTAATTTGTTGACTAATGAATCATCAATTTCTTTTCTTGTATTTGCTTCATAAACAACATGCATTGCCCATTTAATTGGCATGAAATGACTTGAATTGACATTCAATAGTTTCGATTCAATTTTCTCAATTAAAAGTTTACTTTGCATCTCAAGTTTCGCTCGAGATTTCTCTTCAGAGCAAAGCAAACGTTTGAGAACCATTGGAGAAAGGAAACTGAAGACCATTGCGACTGATGTCGTAACATACTTCATGACCGCTTTTTGAACTGTCTGTAAATTGTTTAAGAGTTGACGTCAAGCAGCTTTCATTGTGCATTTGATAAACTCACACTATTCCTTGTCGCAATTGATAAAAGGTTCGCAATCTTATCAGTTGGTGGGATGTGCTAGAAGAAATTTAATTCAAGCCAATTCATCGAATTCATTTGAACAGTCTGTTCTCTAATCTTGATAACGACTTACACTATTAATATCGAAGACTTTCTTGAAAGCAAATCCTTGATAAATTACTAGGAAAAACACCAACTGCTTCCAATCGCCAAGAAACGCAACTGCATTTAAAACATCTTTCCTTTGATACGTTTTGAGTGCAAGTTGTAAAATTGCATAAAGCGAACTTGTAAGTGTTATGAATATTAAAATGTGCCATTTTATCATTAGCCACGTGAATTTAATCTGATTAAATCGTGTTGATTTCTTCTGTGCAATCACTTGATCAACTTTTTGATGAGCTGGAAGTGTTCGCACACTTTCTTCTCTCTCGCCATCGACGTTTAATAAAGTTTGTCGCTCAAAGTTTAAAAGATTTTCTTCCTCACTTTCTAATGGAAGAGTCAAATATCCAACTTTCATCTTGTATTAATTTATGTTTGAAGTTCAAACGAACTGCCACAATTGACTCCCAAAATTCGACTGATTCATTAATTAAGTTTAGTCATTTCCTTATCGCTATTTTGATAGATAACAAATTTAAGATAAGAAAATCAAATTTAGCACATTTCGCTCAAATTATTACATAGCAAACATTCTGCAGTTTCTCACATTTCTTTATTATTTAATCAAAAGATTATTTTTTATCAAATTTTTTATCTTCAATTTAATCTAAAATATTTAGTGCAATAATAATTGAGATTAAAGTAAATGCTTTATTAATTCTATGTGAGTTTAAATAGAAAAGAATTAATGGATAAGTGTGAGTTTGAAATTAATTGAAATTTCAACGAGACGTTGTGTTGAACTGATTGAAGAATTCTTCAGTTGGTGGATTTGTGTTGACAACATTCTCGAATTCTTGAATTTTATGCTTTTGTTGCTTAGCTAACTCTTCATTTTCTTCGCGTAAATTGCAATTCATTTGTCGAATATTACGAGAAAGTGCGCGTTCTCTCAGCGTCATTTCACGATAAGTTTCTTCAGACAAACGTTTCCACTGCTGCTTCTGTTGATCTTCTTCAATGCGTTTGCGATTAATGTCAGCTTTCTGCTTTTCTTGTTCCATCTTAAATTTCTCGATTTGATCTTCATTCATATGTTTATATGCGTAGGGAATGCATCGATTTGGTCCCAAGTTGCTGCCTTTTGGTTGAGTTTCTTTCAGTAAATCACTTGATAAGAAATTGTAAATTTCAGCCATATTGTCTTGTTGTTCCATTTCCTTGCGTTTTCTTTCGTTTTCTCGCTTTTGTTTTGCGAGTGATTCATTGTATTCACGTATTTGATGTTGCAATTCTCTCTTCTCAGATGACATGCGATCTGATTGATTGCACGAGTAAATGTCGTGTCTCGAAATTGTCTCATTCATCTTTTGATCAGCTCTCTTCATATTCATTTCGAGATTCTTCCTTTCCATGATCTGTTGGTCTAACCATAGCTTTTGGAGAATTTTCTGTTCACGAATGCGATTTTTATGAGCTAAATCTTCACCCAAAAATAATTGACCGCCACTCTTACTCAATCTTGGATCGCTGTCATCTAATCGAGCTGGAAGACTTTTCTTTTTTCCTTCTGGATCGTTTAGATCAAAATTATCGCAATTTCTCGCTTGCTGACATAATTTTCGATACTCGTTCAATTCAATTTGCGATTGTCTTTTCTGGTCTTGCAGTTCTTTTTCTTGAGCTTCAGCAATCTCAATGTTTCTCTTCATCTCTTCAGCTACCAGACGTTCTTTTTCTTTTTCAGCTTGCAAAGCTTGTTCCTTTTCAGCCAACTGTCGATCAAGTTCATCAGAATCAATTCCCAAAATTCGTTGTTTAGCATCAAAAAATCGTCGTTTTCTCTGCTCTTCAGCTTTTCGTCGTTTTTCAATTATTGCAGCTTCCTTCTTGTCTCCTTCAGTTGTCATTAAACATTTCAACATTTTGATTTAGATTTAATTTGATTTAATGAATTTTGTACGAAATTTCGAAGTTGGAAAGATATTTTAGTTTTGTTTTATTGAAATAAACAAAATTTGTAATTTATTTTTGTTGCTAAGTTTTATTTTTAAGAATAAAATAAACATTTTGTCGTTGCTAAGGAATTTTGTTTCTTTACCAAACTTTACATTTTGTTTTTGGGTTCATTGGCGATCCTAAAGGACAATTGAACTCCTTTGAGAATTCCCCAAAATTTGAAAGCGTTCCAATAACCCGGAAACGACCTGGTGAGTGAACAGCTGTTTTCATCTTATTTTTATTAGCTTCTCTTCGAATTTCACCGCACCAAACTTGGCCAAAGTTGAGGAAGAATAATTGCGTCATCGTTAGATTCAATTCAGGGAGAATTTCGTTGTCTATCGTTTTCATGTTGTCTCGTGTGTTCAACCATCGTTTGTATGCTCGATAAGCTTGATTGATTCCACCACCATCTGCAATGTTTTCACCTAAATATTAAAAAAAAAATTAATTAAACATTCAAACATTTAAACTTTAAAGTCATTAACATTACCTTGCGTTGTTTCACCATCAATTGCTTGTCCAATGTCCGCTAAAGTGTATTTGTTGTATTGTTGCACTAAACACTTTGTTCTCTCATGAAAATGTTTGATTGAATGATCGCTCCACCATTTATTTAAGTTTCCATCTTTGTCGAAAAGTCTTCCTTTATCATCAAATCCATGCGTTAATTCATGTCCAATTACAACTCCAATTCCGCCATAATTAAGACATTTAGGAAAGTGACGATGATAAAAAGGCGGTTGAAGAATTCCGGCAGGAAACATGATTTGATTTTTACTGCGAGAATAAAATGCGTTGACAATCGCTGGATAAGTTTGCCATAAAGTTTTGTTAACTGGTTGACCGACTTTCTTCTGTTCTTCGCGACTTAAGAATCGTAAAACGTTCAATGTGTTCTCAAAATACTTTTCTGGGTGAATATGAAGTTCAGAATATTTTTCGTCGAGTTTCTGATGAGATAAAATGAAGTCGGGGTAGCCAATTTTAAGTGACATCGCATTCACTTTCTTCTCAGCTAAACGTTTTGTTGACTCATCAATCCAATCAGTTTCGCTGAGAATTTCTCGAAAACTTTGTTGAAGTTCATGGACCATTTCAATTGTGTCGAATTTACTATTTTCATCGAAATATTTACGAACGAAAAGACTTCCAGTCGCCATTCCCATGTTGCTATTTACTTGATTGACGCAAGTTTTCCATCTCGGTGGTGACTTTTCCCTTCCAAAGCATTCAAGGTAAAATGTTTGCTTCGCTTCTAAAAATCTGTTGTCCAAATTGTTGATACGATGACGAACAAATCTCCAAAGTAAATAATTTGCAACTGTTGACGGTTCAGTTTCATCAATTAATTTCACGAGATTCTGCATGTAAGTTTTTGCAAACATTATGACCTTCTCTTCTGGAATTACAATACGTTCTTGAACAATCGATAAATATCGAATCCAATCAACACCGGAAATTTCTTCTTGCAAATCATTTAAAGTCGTCTTCTGATAAAGAATCGAAATATTTGTTCGATCTTCTTGCGCACTCGTGATCTTTGCAAGATTTGTTTCAAATTCTATAATTTCATCAGCTCGATCTTCAGCATCTTCACCTCCAACTAATGTTATGACCTTGATCATGAAGTTACGATAAGAATCCAAATATTTCCTGTTCACTTCTTTCAGAAAATATTCTCGTGTCGGAAGCCCCAAGGTCGTTTGGTCAAATTGAATTATATTGTGGTTTGAGTTTTGAATGTCAGCGCCCACCCACTCAACAATCAAGATATCGTTGTTATACTGTCGCAAAGTAGCTGTGAGTTCAAGCCAGTCAAAACTTTTCTCATCCCAGGAGTCGTCAAGTAACGGCCAACCCCCAAACTTCTCCAATAAGTCCAATAAAGGTTCAATTCCTCGTTTTTCAATAACTTCGTAGTTCATACACGAACTGTAAAGATTCTTCGCTTTATTTTCTGCATTTCTTCTACGTTGTCGATGAGCTTCTCGCCTTTGATGTTGTCGATTTGCCTTTCGATTATTCTTACGATGTGATTTAACTTCTTTGACATCGTCCAACAAAAGATTCTTCAAAGCTTCATCAAGAGATTCTCGTAAGATTTCAAATGTATCTGTTGCAACTTTATCCTTCGGAATTTCATTATATTTCGCCCAATTTCCACAAGCGTATGAATAAAAATCTTCACAAGGATCTACTGATGTGTTCATGTATCGTTTCATTAACTTTGCTTGTGCAAGACGAACTTCATCAAATGGTAAACTGTGAAGTGTCTCAAGATGGAAAATATTTTCATTAACTTTCATTGTTCGCTTAAATCTTTCTCTTCCATGTTTGCGACCGTATTTTCTTTCAGCTACTTTACGTTGACAATAAGAGGGAATGAATGAAGTTTGACTTCCTTTAATTAATGTTCTCCGCTCAATCTCAGCGTGTTCCAATAATCCATACATCGACGTGGGAATGCATTCTCTTACATCATCTTTCATATCCCATTCTTCTAAATTGTTGTCATAATAATGATCCGCACGAACTATCAAAACCAATTTAAAGATTAACATCGCGGAAATCACAATCATAAATTGGCGCTTGCACAATGAATGATGTGTCATTATGTTGTTTATTTATTATTCGGAAAGAATGTTTTTGAAGATTCTGAAGTGAAAAATGTTTCGATTTTCCTGTTTTTCTTTTCCAAAAGTGGACCTAATGTAATTTAATTAAAAAGAAAACCTGTCATTAATTATATTTCATATATCAAAAGAAAATTCTAAAACTTACCCTGGCCCACGTTTATCGACTTTCCTTCTTCTTAAATTTTTGACCTGTTTGCCAATAAAAATATTTTTCCGACAAAGAAAATAACTCGCGGAAAAAGAAAAAAAAAATGTAGTGATCTGAACGAGCGCTGATGTATGAATGGATTTGATGCCTTTCGCTCAGATGTTTTTTCTTGTCTACTCTCCTTCTTCTTATCGTCAGTGACGACGCGACGAAAGGCAATTGAAATCAATTAAGAAATCGTCTTATCCGAAAAGCACACAATACGACACGACTGAAACGTGATCGTATTTGCGAAAAAAAAGAGGCAAAGTGAAGAAAGATAAGTTGATAGAATAAATCTAATCAAAGCTTGTGATAGGTCAAAAGATTGCTGAGAAAATTGAGACGCATGTAAATAAAATAATTTTCTTTTACTATTTATTATTTGAATAAGCAACACATGAGTCATTCAATTAAAACTTTCTACTTAATCCCGCTGTACTGTCAAACAATTTGGTGTTCTTGAACTCTCCCTTCATGTCAAGGATGTAGTAAAACATTCTGTTCTTGACCTTCAATGGAAGATAGCCTTTTGTAGTTTGTCGCGATTCTTGTGCGCTGATGCATTTGATTGGTACGTCCATGATTCTATTTCTACCAAGCGGTGTGTAACACACAATAGAAATATCTTTTCCATTTTTACGAGCAATAAGATATCTCACTGATCGCAATGTGTACATCCAACTTGAGAAAATAAAAAGATATCCTAAAGAAATAAAAATGAATTTTAACTAATATTGAAGCACTTTTTAAAGTTTAAACTTACCAACTGCGAAGCAGAAAAAAGCAATTGAATATCTATATTTCTCTTCTCCTAAATTTATTTTACGCCACCATGCAAGGTCTTCATCATTCATTTGATCCTCAGAAACTTTCACATTCCGCAAGTCATAGAAAGCCCATGTCCCTGTGAGATTCTACATTAGTTTTAATTCATTTTTCTGACCATCAGAACTTACCCATATAAACCCAAAAGAACAATTGGCTTGTGCCAAAGAGATTTATTAATCTAAAAACTTTTAGATTCTCATATCTGAACAAGACAATATCCTTTGCCGAAGATTGTGAAGATGAGTTAGAAGCATTTTGAACTGAATTAAATTGCCGAACATTTACTTCCTTTGATTTGTTGGTGAACTTTAACAAATTTCTAAAGTTATTTAAGCTACAGTGCGATTTGATTAATAGTGTTTTATCAACTATCAGTCGAATCATTTCTCTTTATTTGATTTTAACTCTAAATTATTCAATCGGAACTTCAAATTTGTAAACAAATGTTTAGCAGAGTCGCACTCATGGAGTTTCGATCCGTTTTGTTCAAATATTTTGCTTGCACGCAAAACAAGACCTTAAACACATGGGTCTTAGGGTACTATTTCGGAAATCATTCAAATTTTGCCAAAAGATTGATACCCACTGAGTGGTTTGAGTCTTCACTACGTCATTAAAATTTTTGAGAAATATTTTCATACGGATATAAACATTAAATTATTATAAAAACTGAAGCAATTAAGTGTCTGAATTTATGTGTGTGATTTGTAATAAGAGAAAACAAATGTTAATGAGTTGCAAAACACTTTAGAAAAGATCTTCATCATGTTTAATAACAACTTTCAAAACTCGTCTCAAGTAAAAATGGAAATTTCACCAAAATCTTCGCCTCGTAGGATTCAAGATAGTTCCGGAACACTTAAAACCAAAATATCACTAGGTAAAAATCCAACTATTGTGCATAGTGGACCATTTTACTTAGTTAAAGAGCCACCAGAAAAATCAGATTTAACGGGAGCAACAAATTTGTAAGTCAAGCTGGAAATATTTAATATCCCTTTAAACTCAAATTCATAATCGTTTTAATTTATTTCGTAGAATTGCTCATTATGGTTTAGAACACACATATTCTAAATTCAACAGTAAAAAAGTCAAAGAACAGTTGTCATCCTTCCTGCCTACATTACCATGCGTCATTGACGGACCGGGAGCAATCGTAAGTCCTCTTAAGTATGAATATTTTCTTTTTCTAAGCCCTTTTTCATTTACTTAGGATAACAGTTCACTTAGAAGTGTTATTGACAAGCCTCCTATTGGCGGCAAAGAGCTCCTTCCATTATCAAGTGTCCAACTTGCTGGCTTCCGACTTCATCCAAACGTACCTGTAAGTTACTTACAGCAGTAGTAAATTTACCCAAAAATGCTAAATAAATGTTTCCTCTTTAAAGCTTCCAGAAAAATATCGCATCCTTAATTCAACACCAACGAGAAAGCATAAAAAGAAAGACAAAAAACACAAATACGATAACAGCATCACCCAAGATCTGTCAACGAGTGAACAACCAGGCGATACTCATGAAAAGAAACACAAAAAAGGAAAACGACACGATGATGATAAGGAAAGGAAGAAACGAAAGAAGGAGAAGAAAAAGAAGAAGCAATCAAAGCACAGTCCTGATCATCCAACAAGTCCCATGGCAATGGAATCTTAAAATCTTTGGATTTCAAGTGATGAAATCTTTAATTTCTTTAATATTTAATTTAAATTTGAGCTCAGAAAAATATCTTAAGAATCAATACGAATTACCTAGTTAAAATTTTATTTAAATTAATTGCCCAATAAAAATCAACTTTCTTAATATATCATCACCATTCGAAAGTTGACGAATGAAAACACAAGAAAAATGTTTTTTTATTTAATCGAGTTAAGCGAAATGGTTCATGACAAATATAATCACTTTCCATTTCCAAAGCTACCAACTGCATCTGCCTTTAGGCCTTCATTCCCTTCAATTTTCTTTTAAGCTTCAAGAATCACTCAATTTATGAATTTAATTTGCCGCAACGTCTTCATCTCTTCACCGAGCTGTTGTGTCCTTCCTTGTGGCTATTTAGAAAATTTTATAGCGGAAATTATTTTTGATGATTTTTTTCATTACGTCCCCACGCAAGAGACGTTTGTGGCTTCATTAAGACGAGTGATTGCTATTTCTGGTGGGTCTTCTTTGATGCGAATTTGCATTTCTCGAGAAATTCTTCAAGTAAAATTTTATTTTCTATTTAGATTGATAAAGTGACCAGATATGGCATTTGAAATATGATATCTTCGCACGCAACATTATTCTCATGTCGTCATATTTATTTGCTGCGTCAACACATTTGATATGTGTGGGTGTTTCAGGGTAGGCTGGGAGCTTTCCGATGCCGCATACTTACATACATCTCGATATTTATAAAAAGTGTAGGTTTCGTTTGTTGATCTCTATGTCTTCTTTTTTTATTGAAAAGTTATCACTCTCGGGATTTTGCTGAAAGCGACATTAATAGACAGGAGAATTCGTCTTCATGTCCTACTAACCTTGGTAAATAGGCTAAAAATCAGAGATAACTAAGTACTTAAAGTCGAGGGATTGAACGGAAACTAACAACTCGGAAATATCTTTTTCCTTTTTTCTTCTTTTCTTTTTTTTTTGATGAACTTCTTCCTCGACTCGCGTCTCCGGTTTTTTTAAGGCTTTTCATTTTGAACAAACAAATAAAAAAGACGGAATTGAATGGATAAGAAAAAGATTTTCTTCCTTTTTTTACGCTATGAGAATTGTCATGATGACTGACTTAAGGCAAAGAAAAATTGTCTGTTGATGAGATTAAGTTTGATTGTCTACGCGAAAATCTTTTCTGTTTGATGTTTCAACGATGATGACTAAGCAAATACTTCATCTCAATCATATTCATCGTATTAGTGGATGTTTTCATTACATAAAATAAGCTACAATATAAATGTCTGAACATTGGCGCCAATTGGTGTTTTTTTTATTCGTTTTATTCGTTTTATTCGATGTTTCTGATATGTTAACGTTTTATGGGAAAATCGTAGAACTCTTATTATTCACAGCATAAACAGATACGGCGCCAACATTGGGGAAGGAAACAAGCACAAGCAGTAGAAATGCCTTACTAAATCTTTTTTATCGCAACAGACTCAAAGGTTTCACTATGACAACAGTTTCATTTGATTCACGAGAGTTATTTTTACTCGTTTCAATAATGAGTTATGTTTGATATTGTGCTTTGACTTCTGATCCATTTTTCAAGAGCTTTTCTCGGAATATTTCAAAGCTCTAAAGTGAGCGAAAAGTTCGCTTCTAACAAAAATTTTATTCGTTTCGTTTTGAAGCATTCCACAGCGTAGGCATTCGCGATTTTAAAAGCATTTTCAAGCTAATTGCCATCGCTTTCATAAAAATTTCATGCAAGCGTGTTGCTATAGAAGATTTGCTCTTTTTATATTTAGCTATCTAAAAAATACAAATTGAAGTCATATGTAAGAATAATTTATCATAAAAAAATCTGTTTGATAAAAAATATGCGTTATCATTATCTTTTAGTCTAAATTACATCCCTTCTTTCATTCAAGGAACAGCAGCTTCCTTTCACAACCATCAGATTTTATCCTCGAATCTGATGCGTACATAAATAAAAATAGATTATGATGATTGAATGAGTGTTAGATGAGAGAAGCAGCAGTTGGGTGTTTAAGAAAAAAGAAACGAGATCAGTATTTTGTTTACATAAGTAAGTATAATAGAAAGGGTGCGTAATAAAATTTTCTCTTCATCACAAGGCCAAGCATTCTATCCTTGAAAAAAACTCTGCATCATTATTTACAGTCTATGATGACATTCAGCAATTTTAACGACGCTTTCACGAAAGTGTACTGAGTTCGGTAATTGGAGCAGAAATCAGGTTTATGCTTCCATTATTGAAATGAGAAGTGAGAAGGAAGATTTTTTCACTTCATATTGACAAAGGATGTGAGGTCCACTTGTCTCGTTTTAAGTATATTGTCCGCAAGCAACAGCCTAGATAAACCTTTGTGATTTCTTTATTCAGAGAGAATGACCCGAAAATTTATCGTCGCTGAATTTTAAATCATGTCAATCTTCTTCATTCATTTCTTTTGAACACTCACAATGAATACTAAATTTGAGTGGTTGTGAATAAATTTAGGGACATTCTTCTATTGCATCTTCTCGAGAAAAGGAAAAAATGTTGAAGATGTGTAGACATATGTTTAGGAATTCAAGTCGAGTGCTTCTTACGAGACTATTTTAAGATTCGTGTTCATGACAATTTCAAATTCTCTAGAAATATTGGTACAAATATTCCATTTCATGATTCTATTATTCAAATTTAGAGACAAAGTTGACATGTGAATTAAAGATGAAAATCTATTTGAGAATCAAAGTAAACTTTTCACAGATCATTTCAATTTAATGTTTAAAATAATTGTTGTGATTTCTACAAGGATGAGCATCAAGATTTTGATTGAGCTTTCAATTCTCGAAAACAAAATATTTTGAAGCCTACATTGGTAAGGTAAGCTACATAACAATATCAGTTTCCAAATTGTTTAAACAAGTTGTTTCCTATGTGATACACCTGAAAGATTCTTGCGATTGTTTGCGATTAGAGCAAACATCAAACAGCGTTGGTTGGATGATGGAACGGAGAAAAAGTTTTTATTAAATTGTATCAAAGGCGAATCTTCTCCGATCCGTCATCGCTGTTGACAATGATGTTGTAAAAATAAGTTACGGGCGTCTCAAATTACTGGAAAGATTATCTTTGATCTCATGAATGAATTAATTTCTGTCGAAATCACAGTTCAAAGAGAATTCTTGTTGTGATACTTTTAGGAAGTTAGTTCAATTCTTTGTTTTATATAAATTATAAAAATTTCTGTTCTTTATTTCTATTTGTTTTGAACTGTCAAACGTAGATATTCAAATGAATTGCATCAATCAAAAGCTTTGTGATGATATCTCAAACAAAAAGATTTCAATTCAAGTTTTTCTTGTTGTTTGTTGAAAGCATCTGAGTCGCTTTGAATTGCTTTACAAACCATTTGTGGTGAGAATCTTGAAGTTACTTGTTATGTTTTACCCAATGAAAATGTCAGTTTTATTCTTCATAATTACACTTCATGATTTCAATAGCAGTAGCACAATCATTATATTGCGNGTATAATGTATGTTTGGGAAAGTTGTTCTTTGATACATTCTGCAACTTTTTTTGATAGATTGTATTTCTGTAAGGTGACACCAGAGGGCGCTGGAGATAAATTGTTAGTTAATTTGTTTCCAGCGCCCTCTGGTGTCACCTTACAGAAATATAATCTATGATGAGAAGATGCAGAATGTATCAAGGAACAACTTTCCCAAACATACATTATACCTAATTCTAATAGTTAAAGTTTTATAGCTAAAGAACGAAAGTTGGCTTTTGAAAAATATCATACTTACGTTTCATACGGAAAATTTAAATTCATTTATCTCGCAATGCGTAGGTTTTAGAACTTTATGTTGTATGAAAGATTTGTTCAGAATTGATAGTTGAACATATCATACAAAAACATTGCACATATAAAACCAAGTTTTTTATGTGTAAAATGAGTTTAAAAACCTCCCATACAAAAAACATCCACCATGACGTCATGCATGACGCCGTGTCGTCATGCATGACGTCACGCCACGGCGTCATGCATGTCGTCATGGCGTGACGTGACAACCCTACTTGTTATGTTTTACACAATGAAAATGTCAGTTTTATTCTTCATAATTACACTTCATGATTTCAATAGCAGTAGCACAATCATTATATTGCGTTTAAGTGGTTTGTGGCTTTTAAGACTCAGACAGTTTCATTGCAAACTTTTAACTTAAATTTAAACTTGAAACTTGAGAAGATAAATTGCAACATTTCAGTGAAATGCACAGATTTGAAAAGATTAACAGACATCTGAGGTGAAGCTTCATTTGTTGCTTGAAGCATCCAATTTAAAGGCAGATAAAACTGTTGATTATGATCCTGGCAATATTGAGCGAAGCATAATAAAAAAATGATAATTAAAAGTTTATGTTGCTGTCTCATTATTTAATTAATGAAACTTTTGCATGTAAGCTTTTTCATAGCAAACAATCCATTGGCAAAACATTGTTTACCTTGCTGCATTCAACAACGATTCTGTCTTTCAAGTATCCATAATAATGAAATTATTATCTACAATTTTTCTATGGAATTCACTTCTTTTGTTATTTATTGCATTCACAATTTTTCGCAATTTAATTTGAAATTTTCACTGACGACTTTCCCCTGAAGGTTTCCTCCATTCTTTGTTACTGTTTGCTATTAATAAATCATTTTTATTATCTTGCCAGTGCATTGTGGTCTTCATTGTTCTTCCCTGCAACATTTAGTTGCATACAGTTTAGTTTAATTAAACTTCTTTTTGTTGCACAACACGTACGTATAACTTTCAATTTAGAATTTACATAAATGAAATTCACTATTGAAAATCGATTCTGAATTGTGTCGTGTATGTTGAAAAGGTCAAGTAATTATTGCAGAGAATAATAATGAAACTATTTTAAGAAATTTTTAAATGAACTTTTATGTATCGCAACGAGCAGTTAATACAAAAATTAATTCCAACTGCAGACAAGTTTAAAACAGAAAAGTTCGACCCCATGTGGAGCTGTCGAAAGTTTCGAGCTACTGGGCTTTAAATCATAATTCAATGTACTCGTAGATCTATTTGTGGGATAATTGCCTTATGAACGAATCAATAGAATTATTTTTGGTTGAATCGAATTGTGGTCGAATAGTTTTGAATTGAAATGCTATTAATGGATTCAGTGGGTAGATAATTTATTAATTTATAAAGTCGTCAGACACTGTGACTTCTAACAAACTGGGAAGACATAATTCATTTGACATGATAAACATTTTAATTTGTTAAGGAGAAGTTCAAGTAAGAATTATATAAAAAATGCATCTTGTTTCCTATAAGATTATTTATAGCTGCCAGTGACGGGTGAGAGAAGCAGAAAACATCATAAAATTTTAATTTATGTTTGCAGAAACTTCTGACAATGACATATAACTAAGTCGATCTCTTTGTGCCCTTTCTTTGCAATAAAAAGAATTCCCGATCGCCATTACTTAAAGTAGAAAAAACCACATTTGAATAAAAGAAAGAAAAAGTTTTTTCAACCAGCATAAATCATTCGTGCGAAGTTCGCCCACGCTTTTTGCTAGGAAGGGAGCAATAAGAAATTATTTTTTTTTTGTTAAGTGTTTGAGTTTAGTAATGCTACTTAAAGCAGAGTCATTGTCGAGGGATTTATACGGGGGAACGTGAAACAGCATGAACGGAACTAAAATTGTAAAAAAAATTATGCCATCATCATCTGAGAGTCGAATATAAATCATCAGTAAATTAAATTCGAGGCGGGAAAGTAGAAAATTATTAAACAAACAGACGGAAGCAGTTGGAATAATTTTTCTTATTCTCTAAGCTGCCATTCGAACTTAATTAATTATCTCTAAGTAGAATCATTTAAAATTAATTCGATTAACTTTCGTTTAACCCCCTGGAGTGACTTGTAAGATTTTTTGTTGTGAGTCAATTTACATATTTCTGTTGCTGTTTTTCATATTAAAAAGCTTTTCTGACAAGGAAATACAAATGAAGAGCGATAACAGCTGCAAGCTTATATGAATGATGTTTGCTTTCGGGAACATCACTTATTAGTAACAAACAGCAATATTTCAATATTTGCTTGTAAATTGAACTCGTTATCTTTGATATTTTATTGGAGTGTGACTAATTTTTGGTTGGGAGTATTGCGAAGTAAATTTAGAATTATTTGAAAGTAAACATTGAACAACAAACAAGAAAGAAAGTTGAAAAAAAAATCAAGGATAATTTAACAGAGATTGAATAACACAATCCTTGAAGTTTTTATATAAATGTAACCTGAGCTAATGGTTTGACAGCATGCAATTGTTTTTGTCCATTTCAATAATTTTTTGCTGAATAACTGAGAAATCTTGCAACTGTTGGTGTCGGCAATGAACCTTTAAGCGTGATCATTAATACAACAATAATTTTGTTATGGCACGCGCATCAAGGGATGTATTACCTCAACGTTTAATTCACTCAACGTTACAACCTTTGTTAATGTTTAAGTGGAAAGATTTTTTCGGTAGTGAATGTAGTGAGAATGAGCTTCGTTCCCTCGAGTCGTTAATTTTAACCATTTAACCATTTTGTTTATTCTTTTTTGGGTGAGTGAGTAAAGAACTTACGCCTTAGACGAAAAGCATTAAAAATTTAATGTTTTCTTCGCTTTCTTTTTCAATGAATAATTTCATTGTCGGTGTGAAAAAAAGAAAATCACGCGAAAAACACATCAAATTTTACAAGTTGCTAACGAGAAGTTGTGAGATGCTGAGCTTTCCCAGTGAGTCTTGTTTAAATTTCTTTAAGCTTTCTTCAAACTCTCGTCCTTTTCTCACAGTTTTAAGCATCTAGGAAGGTTTGTTTACATACTGAAAACAGTTTTAGAAGAAAGCAAGAGACAAACAATTGAAAAGCTCTTCAAATGTAAGACATCTGAAAGAATAAATCAATATTCTAATAAACTTGAATTCTTTTATATTCAGCGCCGATGAAGATCAGTAAATTTCCATCAATTTTTAAAACATTTTTTCAGCTGGAAAGTTCACGAAACAACATTAAGATTTATAAATCTTCAGAAAACTTTGAGACTAAACAATTTTAATCCTAAAATCCTTCATTAACTCCGAAAATTGTTAACGATAAATTATGGAAATCTTATTCATATTAATAATGTTTCCACTTCAATTCAATTAGCGTCTTGAATATTCATTAAAAGATTATATTAATAACTTTGTCCAATGACAAAACTTTTGTCGTAACTTTTAGAGCTGTAAAGAAAATTCAAGGAAAAGTTTGAGTGATGAAGAAAACTTTCTTTGCATGTAACATATGAAAGTACCTGCATCTTCAAGTATACAAGTGAGTGACAAGATGAATTTAGTAGAAGAATCCTTGAAAGTTTCTTATAAATCATGATAAGCTTGTGTGGGAAAACTCTTAAGGTTTTAAAAGTGATTTTAATATTTTTGTCCTTTGAGATTTTAAAGTTTGAGTTGTGATTAAATTCAATCCATTTGAAACGATTTCACGGTATAAATATTTATTTTAGGTCTGATATAAAAGATATGCGTTGACGTAAAAGCCATCGAATTAATATATTGAAATCTAACATTCGATTATGAAGAAGCCTGCAACGATTGACATATCAAAGAGATTTTCAATTCCCCAAATAATCAATATCAATCATGTATCATGATTGATGAGAGAAAAGTTTAAATTCGAATATTTTCCACTGATCAATGTCGTCGCAAATACCGTGAGGTAAAAATACATTTTACAATCAACTATTTATAAGTTGAAAGGTTCAAATATCACCGAGTTCAATCTATTTATAAACAAGGATTTTCTTTTGACATTTACACGACTAGTGTTATTCAATGAAAGTTTTATGATTTTTCATCTACTTCCTTTTATAGCCACAATCACAAATTTTCAATGTAAAGCATGGTTTAACAACAAGCAAGCGACGGAAAAAATTTTCCTGATAATTTCCTAAAAAGCCATGAAAAACTTTACCAAAATTTACGAGTGCTTGCAGAAATTTTCACGCTTTTGTCATGGTAAATTAAGTTATGCAAATGCAGTGGGAACATTACACGTGATCGTTTGTTTGCTTTTAAATTTACCTTAGTGTCTCAAGTGATTAAATAGCATGAAAATGTGTTTAGTCATTCCCCATATAGATTGCCTGTCTTCAAGAGTTAATGTGAATATTCATTCAAATTTTCCGAATCTTTTACTGTCAGGAATATCAGAGTTACTTATCATATCTGACGTCTACATACATCTGACTGGATTTCTCGATTATGAAACTCTTTTTTCTCAAGGCAAAGACGTTTCCTTTAATCCTTAAAACGATCAATCAATGGGTGTAGGCGGGGGAGCATCAAATACTCACATATACCTAAACTTGAAAAGAACCGAACATGAATAATTCATCATCCCTTACAATTGGAGAAGATGAATTGGTATTGAGGAACTAAACTTTTCTGCAATTTTATAGAAAAAAAGCAGAAGGTTCATGCCTCAACTTTATATCTATTGCAACGAATATAGAATGAAAAACATTCAACCATGGCGACTATGAAGATGCAGTTGAAAAATGTTTTCAACAAGAAAAATAACATAAAACTTAAAAACTTTTCTTTTCAATAAAACTTAAAGTTTTTTTATGGAATCACTGAATGGAAAAAAAAACTTTTTTCTAAGTCTTCTTAGTCAACATAGCCAGCAATACAATTAAATGCATTTGCAGTTGCTATTTTTAAAACCACGATTTTTCATAAATCATTTTGTGACCTTTGCAGACGACTTTGTATTTTATTTCCAGATTGATGTTTAAAAATAGCAGTTTAATGAATGAAATGAGAAAAAATCAAATGTGTTAAATATTTCAAAGTTAGTAAAAACAGATAAAAAGTTCATCATCAACAAAGCATTTAAAAATGTACTATTGTGTGATGTTTTACATTTTCACAATCATGTTTATGCTTTTCATAAGAAAAGAGCTTTTGAGAGAGTGAAAAGCTTTCATGAGAATTTTGAAATTACTCTCTCGAGAGAGAAAAGCAAAATCGACACTTAACAAGACGCAACAATGCTTGTTTCTATCATTCATTGGTTTCCCAGTTCATTTCAGTCGTGCTGTTCATGTGAATTGGAAAAGACTTATTTTTTTCGTAGCGAATTTTACGGGAAACAGTTAAGCTTCAAAAGTGTTTTCTTTTTCGGTTTCATTTTGCTTCGTTAATAAATATCTTCTGTTTGTGGCCACGATGTCTTCACAACAACGACAAACATATTGACCACAGATATATGTAGAAGAAAAATATCGGAATTTAAAAATAGATAAAAAGGCGGAAAAATAAAAAGGTGTGTGAAAGTGGAGAAGTTGATAGGAAAATAAAAGGAAGTAAAAGAAAGAAAAATCAATGAAACTTCAATTAAACTTTGAGGAAGCTTGAACTTCTCATTGAAGGGAGAAAAACGTAATATCAAGCTAATTCAATGAAGTGTACAAAATAAATTTATGCATAAAAACAAAAAATGAGCGAATCACATCATCAGTGATAATTTTTGACTCCCGACATCTGCGTGACTTTTTAATAGCGGTCATAAAATTAATGATATTTTGTTTGAGTTTACTGTTTTAAATATCAGATGTTGAATGTTTTATAATTAAGAAATTTCTTGGTGTAATTACGCTAAGGGGTGAATGAACCCTCGTCAAACCACAATCCTTTCAAAACAATTATTAAGTGGATTAAGAGGCTTTCCTCATAAGAATAAAGCACTTTACAACTTTGAACTTAACAATTCACACCATATAGAATCATTAATTTAAACGTGTTGTTGTTCACAAACTCATCGAATTATTTATAATAATGTTATTCAACCTTTCTTGGTGTGCATTTCACAGTTAGTGGTGTTTCTTTTCGTTGGATGAAGCAACTCAAACGCACAAGTTAAGGTTGCGAAAAGGTTAATAACATTCTCTGATTAATTGCAGATTAAATCTAAAGTGTTTCTTCTTTTAATTCTAAGAGAAACATTTATAACTTTCAAGATAGAATGAAAGACAATTCATTTCAGAAGTGTTTTTAGAAAAATTAAGGGAAAAAAGGTTAAAAAAATTTATAAGTAAACTCAATTTTTGGAAATAAAAAATTCCTTTTTTAGTAGAATTAATGTTAATTTAAATTGAATTTATCTTTTGGTCCCATTTGCTATTTTAAATATTTTTAATTTATTAATTGAACCACGATCAATATGAATAAAACACATTTCACCAATCAGACGTGTTGTGCATATTTAAATAAGTAGAACGAAAATACATTCATTTATACAACGGCAACAATGTCCGAGATAAGTATTAATGACATCAACATCCTACATTCTATGTATATTTGCCCTTTACCATACTTTATCTCTCTCCCTTCTGTTATTATGTAGCCTAAGCACAAAAATGATTGCTTAATTGATTTTCTAAATGAAGCTTGGGTTTGGGATATTTCATTTACGTGAAAAGGATCGATTCGTTTTTCCTTTGAAAAGGACGATGAAATAAAGTAAAGCAATCTAAAACAAAATGTCGATTTATGTTGAGAAAATGAATGAAGAATATGTCAAATCAAAAACTCATGGATCTTTCACGAAGAGATTTTCCTTAGCTTCGAGTTGTTTACGTCATGACACAAATTATTCCTAATGATTTTTCGTATCTAAAGTAAAGCAATTTGTAACGTACAAATAGCGTCTAAGCTTAGATTAAACGATTAATGTTTCAAGACTGTTAAAAATAGAAGAAAAAGAAAATTCTACTACGAATGAAGCGTTTGTGTGTGATTGTAAATGTTGAAGCTTCATAAGCAACAACAGCAATGTCACGTTTGAAATTCTTATTGAGAAATAAATTTATTGACGTTGATTTATTCAGAAAATTATTTGTAATTGGGATTGCAAATTGCACAGGAGGTTCTGTTTCTCTACCACAAATTCCCGCAATGGAATTTCAAACATTCTTTATGAATATCACGTCAGACAGATGCGCAAAGAAATTTCCAAGAGAAAAAATATAATTTTTTCATGGACTTCATTTGATTTACAATATCCAAAGACGAATATGAAGATTGCATGCAATCTCAATCTGATTTTGATTACATTTTGCTTTCTTCAATTTCTCTTCATATCATTCGTCAGAAACGTAAAACTTCAACTTATTTTCGATGAAAATGAGAAAACATTAAAAAAAGGACGAAAATAAATTTTCTTTAATGTGAAATAAATTCTCATGAAACGAACATTTTTCTTAACGTTCGCTTAGATATTTCCAATGCTTCCGTAAACAAAGTTTATACGTTAGCCTGGTTTCCCATATCGCGAAAAAAGATTTTATGTTAAGGCGTGTTTATATTTAATGTTCCACTGAACGATTTCTTGAAATTACATCATGTAAGTCGCTGGAAAATATCACTGTTCAGTGAAAATTAATGCAACTCTAAATAATCTGACAGTGAAAAGCTTTTATGTACATCGTTGAGAGCATCTCATGAGATCATGTGTTGATGATGCAAACCATTAACTGTGGATGAAAAAGGCAAAACGACGATTTTGATTCGCGCTTTTCACGTTTGTGTTTATCAATACATAAATTGACTTCATTTATTTGTATGTGTTCAGTTGAATTTTGCATCGTTGGCTTCGTCATTCAAAACAAAACTATGAGTCGTGTGGAACGGAAGGAAAATAAAGTAAAAGACTTAAAATTTCATTTGAAAAGTTTTTAACTTGCAACTTTAACTTTATTATTAAATACTTAAAGTGAGTTTTCTTTCTGAATTCTGTGAAAAAATTGCTCTATGATGACATTCAATTAATAATTAAAGTGAATTTCTGCGAATTTAAAGCAATGAAAATATTTTTGTTGATTAAAAGAACGCTCAAGGTTAAAAATAGAAGAGATATTGCCGGCAGGGTCAGATGACTGAAGAGCTAAGTTTTATTAATGAAGAATAAATCTTTAACGTCATCCATCATAACTCATAACTAAATTCTTTAACCCAACCAAGCGATTGTCGCATAATCAATTTAAATGCTTGGATGACTACTTACAATAGCAATCCTCAACTACCACATAATAATTCTGAGAGTTGCATTGATGTTTAACACGCAATTTTTGTAGTTTTTGTTCTGTTTCGACTTTGACTTGAAAATGGAATCGCTTTCAAGTTGAGAAATGTGTTCGTGTTAAAAAGAAAAGCATATTAATGCCTTTATTAATATTTTCATAAAGAAAAAACTCAGACAGAAATCTTGCTTTGAACAAAAAACTGGTTTTCAACACATGCTTGAGTCGGACAATAACACAGAGTTGTCCTACACTCGTGTTCTTGATTGCCGTCAAAGGTCTGTGATAAAATAATTCGCATCCAAGAAACTTGTAAGTAGTTGAAAAGCAAAATGAAAAATTTATAAGGCTAAAAATTTTAAGTAGATATTAAATAATAAAACTGGACATAAACTCGAAGTGAAATCAGAAAATATCGCATTACAGTTTTGTAACGTAATATGAAGTTTCGTTTCCTTTGTATTTATTATGAAATTAGTAATTGAATGTAGTGCAAGTTCGCGGTAATTAATTGAAATTTTAGCTTGTGTTGTTAAATCTTTGATTTAATTTTGTAGTAAATTGTAGATAAATGCAACCATTGCTGAGGTTAATGGCCATTCATAGCGACTGTCTATGCATAAATAACAATCAGTAGCTAGTTTCAAATGAAAATTTCAAAATGCAATTAATGTCAAAGAAGTCAAAATTTATCAAAAGTCAGCACAACAATAATAATAAATAAAAGCAGTCTTCATAACATTTTCATTAGTGAGACATATTTATATGTTTGTTTGATATTATTTCAAGCGTCATTTAACAATTTTGCAAACAAGATGAAATCTGACGATGCTTCAATTCATCGAGTAAATGAAGTGGTACAATCGATGATGTTTTTGATTGGAGAAGAAAGCAATTGATTCACACATAACTGAAACCTCACGATGGCGATGTCTGTTAATATGACGACTGAAAACATTGCAAACAATTTTCATTCAATAAATTGATTTCGGTTAAAAACCTTATTAACATTACTTGGAAAAATCTGCCAATTGTTTCCTCCTTCTGGTTGCTTGATAATTGATATTTATTTGAGGGTTGAGAGTTTAATAAAGATTATCATTTTATGGTGCTCTTCTCTTTCTGTCAGTTTGATAAGGGTTTAGGGTTTTTATTTATTTTAAGTTCCATCCGCTTTCAATTTCCGACCTCTGGGGACATTCATATTGTGACAAATGTCTAAGTGCTCTTGTAATTTAAGTGGAGAAATCGATTTGACCCTGCTTCATCTTGAGGTTGCAAATGAGGTTTCCCAAACATTGAACGACAAGCAACAACTCTTTTGGTAGCTTGTCATACCTTCGATATTTGTCAGTTTCCTGAGCATATTTCATATTTCCAAACAAATGTTTTAATGAATTTTTGAAGCTTTTATGAGACATCTTGAAATAGTATCAAAAACTTTTTGTTGAAGAAACATTTGAGAACTTCACTAATATGGATTTAAATAAAACAAACAAAAGTTGAATGGCAAACTTGATCTTATTTAGTCACAGATCTACCATCTGAAACAACCTTTTTTGACCCAAGAACTTCTTTAAAAGATTAAATTTGATTCAAGGAGTTTTCTTCATTTTATTGCAAACTGAATTTCATAAGGAATTTATTTTAGACTGAAATGTACGAAAAAAATATTTATCTAAGAAATAAAATATTTTTCTTTTTGTTAATCAATCATTCTTTTGTGAACAGTTTTTTAATCAAATCTACATTATGCATGAAAGCACTTGAGAACTTGACCTTTCATAAAATCTTGTTTTCGATTGTATTAACATTGGCATTCAACTTATTATTTAAGTCTTTTGTCGTGAAAATAATTTCTCTCATTTTCTTTGATATTTGCTTGTTTATGATACGGAAAAAGGAAATAAAAGAAGAAGAAAGAAATCAAAGAAGAATTGTTTGCCATAACATTGCCGCTTCGAGTAATAAGAGGATCTTTATTATTCCTTATGTGATCAAATGTGATTCACAAGTGTTTTCCCATTTGTAAACAAATTTGTAAGAAACCAAAAAGAAGCCAAAAAGAATATAAATGGATGAGCATAAAAAATGTTGATACAACATACACATGTGAAATGTCGTAAAATAAATTGATTGTTTGTTTAACTTATGGAGTCATTACAGTCACAAATATTTATTGAAATCCATAACACAAAAGTTTGATTGCAAATGTGACATAGTAAATTAATCTGACTAAGGTAGCTACATATGTCTGAATTGAAATACGATATCAAGCTTTCTCCATAAAACAAACACTTCTCTTTACTGAAATCTCATCACTTTGCTCGTGAATGTTTTGTCGTAAACTTAATGATACATGTAAAACTTTAAGTATCATACCGTAGCTGTTAACATTCTAATCTTTTCTCAGCAATTTTATTATTTATAGCTGTGATTAAAAATATTTCTTTAAATTTCTCTGACAAAAAGTTGAAAAATTTAAAAATTTAATCGATTGAGATTTTAAACATCTCTTAAAAATTCAAATTTTTTACTTTTCTATGAATCCTCAAGCGAGTCAAAAGAATTATAATTTAAAACCTCAGTCAAAAGAAATTTAAATTTCAGTGTTGGTAGCTTAGTTTGTCAACGTTATTGATGTGCAAATCCAGCGTTTCTTTCTCGCCTTTGAATAAAATTTCTGAATGGCTGATGGTATTTTTATATTTTTCCTAGTTATGCTAATATTTCAAGTAGAATTCTTAGAATTCTAATAAATATTCATATGAAGTCACCACAAATACAATTTTATGATAAATAAACATTAAAGCTTAGCGTTATTGTTCAGATGCGATTAAAGTGAAGCTTTTTAATAAAAAAAATATTTCATACAAAATCACGTTTCAATTTGCTTGCATTATCTACTTGCAGAACAAGCATTCACAGCAAATGCTTTACAGTTTCTTTTCTTATTTTATATTCTCGGCAAAACGTGAGAAGATGCAGCAACTTAATCCATAAAGATTGTGGATGTAACCATTCTGTAAAATTATTATGTCATAGCTACGAAACAAAAACAAATTTCATTATGGGTAAAGTTAAAGTTGCTTCTGCTTCAAAATATAAACGTGAAACATAAATCCACACATACATAAAAATCTGCAGCACAACTTTTTAAAAGAAAAAAAGACATGAAAATACATTTTCAGCAAAAAAAAAATCTAGGTGACACAGTTTCCAGCAAGCTTCTATCTAGCACTGCTTTCCTACGCAGTTGAATGCATAAAAACGATTCAAGCGTTAATTTAAATTAATTATAATGTAATATTTATAATTGATTCGTATTTAATGTTAGATTAACTGGAATTGAATGGAAGAATAATTATTCTCTGCAGAACTTTACCGATAAAGGTCAAATCTTCACACAATTCAAATGAAAATTATTTAATTCTTTTGTTAAAAAATTATGCACATGTAAAATAATATTCAAATTTATTCCTGAAATTTTATAAATAACACATTCGATTTTAATCCTCTGTCGGTCAATGCTTATATTTGAGAATTGCGTACATTTTGATCGAATAATGTTTGGGTTGATTTTAATCTCTCTAGTTTATAAATGATGAATTCAAAAAATGTTCTCGATTCAGTCGACAATAGACAGATTTCGAGATTCATTCGAAATTGTTCGCTTTTTTTATTTCTCACGTTATCTTATCAAATATCATGAGAAAACTCCTTAAGGCGGTTTTTAGGAATGTGATTTGAATCATGAAAATGTGATAACAATAAGATTTTCTCTGTGATTTAAAGTCAACATTTCAACTAAAAGCTTTCGGGTGTTATGTAAATTCGTGTCGATCCACAGATAAGATGAATTAACATTTGAATAGATTTAGATATGTTTTACCTTAGAAAGCTAACTGAAAGTTTGAATTTAAATTTTAGGAGTGAGCGTGACATTAAATTCTTTATATTGAGGCATATTAAACAGAGTCATAAACGAGAGTACATTTAAACCAAAAATATGATAGCAGAAATTGGCATTGCAAAAGCAGATCAGTAAACTCGTTATCGCAGGAAATTGTTGAAACTTGAGAGAAGAACTGAATTTCTTATTTCATTTTTTAAGTTTATTTTTAACTCGTTTTCATTTCATCTCGAAAGTCATCACCATCATTCGGAAAATTTCTTAAGAAATAAAACATAAAATTTAAATTTCTTAATTTTATTTGCAAGTAGGTAATAATAATTTTAACTTCCTTTTTCCTTGACTATTATCTAAAGAAATCTGTGTCATTCCTGCAGTCACTTTTGTTATGCAATGAGAATTTTTCGTTTATATTTTCAGCTGTTTTTTTCGAGAGAGAGAATCGAATAAGTATCCAAGAATATCAGACCTTGCTTGTGTCAGACAGTCTCGTACGCTCTCAATTTATCGTGAGAAGAATTTTCTCATTCTCTGAAAGCTCGCTCGAACAATTTCGAGGAAAGAATTTTTTGTGCTTCACCTTTCAGATGCATATTTTAAGTCGAAGTGTTTGGTCCTTTTTGCGCGAATCTGAAGAGTTTAATAAAATATTTAAATTATTGAATACATTAAGACATGAATCCAGTTTCTCGAATAATCGATTATTGCTGAGGATATTTATTAAAGTGAAAAATATTGAATCAAAAAGTGTTATGGATAAAATGAAACTATTTTTGAAGATTTATGTTTCAAGATACAACTTGGCATTAAGAAAAAAATCATTTGTGAATGAATGATACAAAAAGTGATACAATTTGAGTAAATGTAAGCATATTTAACACAACTAAAAAGAGTTGAATAAAGTTGAAGTCTGCTTAAAATGTGGATGAACTTACTTATATATACGAAGTTAATAATATAGTCAGTCACATGTGTCACGAAAATCAAAAGAATGAGCTACTGTTTCAACTATAATTTCTTAATTACTTTTCCTTTGAAGTTTCACTCGCATTTGAATGACCGAAAATAATTGCTAAGAAATTAATATTTTTACATAAAAGTGAAAATTCAAGAATGAAAATCTTTGTAAAGCTCAGGAATTTCCTCGAATTACTTTATCACTTTTAAACATACTCAGCAACGATTTAAAAGGATTTTCATATGCAAACTTGAAAGCTGAAAAAGTTATGATAAACCCATGAAGGATTAAATCATTTTAAATTTCCTGAAACAACAATAAAATTTAAACTTTACTTGACTTAAATGTTAAACCTGATTATGCGAAGCTTTTAATTAAAGATTGCTATGAAATCTAATCATAGGATAAATATTTGTAGGATACTTATTTGAATCCTATTTAAAATAATTATGATATCGTCTAAAAATATCTCATAAAATATTTTAATGGGAAAAATTGATACTGAAATCAAGTTGATTTCTTGCTAAATAAATTTATTCATTATACATTGTTGAGATTAAGAAAATTTAAATGAAGGTGAATTATGTATTGAAATAAAGACTAATTAATGTGACCTTTATGAGCAAAGCAAAAGCTGGAAAGAATTAAAAATCCATTGTGGCGCAATGAATAAATCGTGAAGCATAAAAGTAGCGAGGGAGGTTTTTAATTCCTCATGTTCGTTCTATTCTCGGATACATTAAATGCGAAAGGAATGTTTTTCCTGTTATGTGCTTTCGAAAGAAAATTTGTTTTATTAAATTCCTTCCATTTATATTCACCTAATTCCAAACAAAAAAATGAAATGCTTTAAGAGATTGCTGCTTGGATATTTTCTTCTTCAATTGATTGTCCATTTACTTGATTACGTTTTTGTTTCGGGTTGTCGTGTCAAGAGTTCAGTAAAGCGATAAACATAAATAAGTGAAAAGATCGCTAATTGGTAGCTTTTAATACAATATTAATTAATTACTTCTGATCTGAAAATGTTGGTTTCAACAATATTGAAATAATATTAGGACGAACTAGACAAAAGAAAGTTAAGACAAGGACTTTGTGAAGCAACTGATTAAACATGAATGAAGTGAATACAACACTTGAGAATAATCAATTATTTTCATTTATTTTAGTAAAGCCTGTGTTAGTGCTAAAGACGTAAAAGCAAGAAATTTTTAAGAGGAAGTGCTTTGAATAGAAAACTGAAGACAATCAAATTGGAAAGCAGAAGAAGCAAAGAGTGTTATTGTGACAAATAAGTAAATAGAGTTGATTGAAAACATTAAATCTATCAAAAGAACTCAGTGAGAGGGCGTTGCTTGAATGGCTGCTTCAATTAATGTCAAATACTCTCAAATTGATGTGAAAAATGGCTAACAATTTATCTCGGGCTCATCTGGCGTCATCATTTTCGATTTTGGGATATTTCACTGAGACTGTCGTAAGAGACGCAACAAATAAAAAATGTAAGTACCAGAAGCCTCGGATCGTAACATCCGCATCATCATTGTTACTGTTTATGATCTTATGTCGTTCATATTTAACGATTAAGTATCTATTCTGAGGTTTAGTGCTTTTTGATGCGATCATAAATTCATAATTCATAGGATTGACCTCGCATATGAAAGCATCCAAAGTCACAAACCTTTTTTTATTCGACCACAAACTTCATTCTTAAATCGACCTTAAAGCTCACCTTCTGGATGACATCAACATAATCTCCATGTAAGCGCGAGTTTCTCAACAATTTTACGATACTTTATCTCAACAATACAAAAGTTTCAAAGTTAATTTGAAGATGAAGCTTCATACAAAGCTTTCTTGTTAAATTTTGTTCATCAATTTCATTTTTCTCTTTCAACTTGTTGTGAAAGATTTAAATACAAATTGTTATCTCGTTGGCGTTGTTGTCAGAAAAACGCTTATGTATGGATTTTCAAAAGTTCCTTTTTTACTTTAGCCTCCTCTGCTACACATAAATTCTCGCTAACTTATTTAGATGCGTACTTCAATAATATGCTTTGCTTACTCAAAAGTTCTTGAAAGACAAACGAAACTTTTCTGCTTTTTAAATACAGTCTTCAAAAGAAAGGAACGAAATAAATAAAAATACGAAACTCTTTTTATTCCATTTCACAACATCAAAAGAATATCTAAGGAAAACAAATTTAACTTTATAAAATTTTGAAAAGTTAAATCGCGTTATTTAATGGCTGCGTAAAATTCTTTCAGATATGAATAACTATCATCCAAAAATAGTGATTAGGGGAAATAATTTGACATCAACATTCATCGATTGTAAGCAAACGAAATGAATGAAACGCAATGCACTCACTTGATAGAATCCGTTGAGTGGACGGAACCAAAAAATATCATTTCGTTAGCCATCTTAGGATTCATTAATATCCTCGTCATTGTTGGAAATTGTTTAGTTATTGCTGCCGTATTCTGTTCACATAAGCTTAGGAGTGTAACCAATTTCTTTATAGGTAAGAACATTCAATTCCCCATTCCTTTTTATTGAAAGAGTTTAATTGAAATTTCTTACAATCTTTCCACATTTCAGTTAGTTTAGCTGTTGCCGATCTTTTGGTCGGATTGGCTGTGCTTCCATTCTCAGCAACATGGGAAGTCTTCAAGGTAAAAGAAGTTTAATTTTCTTTTCAAAGTATTTTGAGCTTTCATTTTTAGCTTTCTCATCTTGACATATAAGAAAAAGTTTTTATCAACTTTTGAATTAAAAGCATTCAGTAGCAATTAAAATTTTAATTGTAGATTAGTGAGACTTTAATTTATAAAGAGACGCGACAGAAGAGTCTCCAAAGATCAACCATGACAATAAATAATTTTTATGAAGATTTACATTTAACGTGGAAAAAAGGTCTCAGATAAATGGAATAACCTGGGGAAAACTTCTGATAATTTTTTCTCTTTATTGAAGGTTGATTCTGAAGTTTTTCTTTAAGGATCAACAAATTTGTTAACTGAAGAATTCTTTTTTGCCAGACTTTTCCCTAAAGTTCAGAAAAACACAAGAAACTCTGAATTTAATATTTCTCATTTTGTTTTATCTTTCTCTTAAGTATTCGAAAAGAAAGTTAAAACTGAGTATGATGAAAAAATATGTTGAGAACCTTTCCTTTCAACATGGTACGAAGCAAAAAGGGTTTGCAATTAATTATTGGGAAATTGAATTAGAACGAAAGCTTTCGGCATAAGAAAAAGAAACGTTAAAATCGAAATTAGCAATTTTTTATTAGCTTTTCTTAAACTTGATGACTTTTAGATAACTTGAGGTTGTTTTAAATGAAAAATAATTGTAAAAGAAAACAAAATTAAAAGAATGCTGATGGAACGAACTTTGGGAAGTCTTAGAAAGAGCACAGATGATCAAATTAACTTAATTATTGAAGGATCTAACTTGACCTATATTAGTCTTCTTATTAAAAATCATTTAAAAATATTTTTAGCTCTAGCAAGTGATGAGGTTGTCTTAACAAGTTATTGATTTTTCTACTAGTTGAACATGAATCCTTAGCAAAATCCTAAAAGCTAAAATTAGTTTTGTGATATTTTACATAAATAAACTGATTATAATGTTATGGTTGTTAAGCTAATTATCTTGTTTTGCTTCAGGTGTGGATTTTCGGAGATGTTTGGTGCAAAGTTTGGTTGGCTGTTGATGTTTTGCTGTGAGTATAAATTTCAAAATCAATTTTCTATCTCTTACTGTGTTATCCATAATGAAAATATTTTCAATTAAATTCTTATGTAGTTGCACTGCATCGATTCTGAATTTGTGTGCAATATCGTTAGATCGATATGTGGCGGTAACTCGTCCTGTGACGTATCCAAGCATTATGTCAACACGACGTGCAAAATCTCTCATAGCTGGATTGTGGGTGCTTTCATTTGTTATCTGCTTTCCACCACTCATTGGATGGAGAGATAATGACGACGAAGATGAAAACGTAAGAGAGAAAAATTATTTTTAGCGCATTGTTTTTAGTTTCGATTCTTCTTACATCGTGAAAAAAGTTCTCACTTCTTCTTCTGTAACATTTTACTTTCCTTTAGAAATTCATTTTCCTCTCTCTTATAAATTACAAAACTAAAACTAAACAGCAACATGAAAGAAATTAATTTTTCAACAAGTTGTCTTTGCTTCAGTTATAACGCCGTGGAGTTGAATGGAAGCAAAGCTTTATTGTAACTTTTACACTATTCATGTGAAAAAGGATAGAAAAGCAAGTCAGAAAGGCTGATATCAAAGTTTGTTGCTAAATAACATTGATATAGACGTACTTATATTCATGAAAGCTAAAACTAGCTCAGTTTTGTTCTCTATAATGACACTCCAGGCTTTCATTAACATTTCAATTTTTAATTTTCAATTTGAAACATTTTCTTCTTCATTGAGTGTGCCAGATGAAGATGTTTTATCAGCTGACAGACATGAAGTCTTCAAATCCCGGAAGACTTTAAAAAAGGGAAAACATGTGACAGCTAAATTTAGTTTTGTGATCATAAAATAAGTTTCTTCATCCATTTTGGAGACGACAATTTTCAATTCACATTAAATTTTGTATTTACGCTCGAAAAATCGATTTCCGTAGTTTTTCGTCGTTGGAAAATTTTCCATAACATTTTAGAAATTTATTTTACACTCACAGCTTTGTGAAAGCTCATTAAAAATCAACTGCGCTTGGTGGCTGTAGGAGCGACAAGAAAATTTCAAAAAGTAGAATAATCTTATCAGATATTGTTAATGCGCTATCATAAATTCCAGTTAGCTTGGGAAAAAACTGTTGCTACCTATTTTCCAAGCGAGTAAAGTCAGTGATGTTGAAGTTGACGCAATATTAATTGAGTTGGAAAAATAATTTTTGGAAGCAGATAATCCGCTAAGCTTTTGTCACTTTATGTCTGTATTAATTTAATCATAAAAAATTAAGTCAACAAACTATTCAAAACAATGTTTTACAACTCTGGAAGAAAATATTTTAATACTTGAATATTCTCGTTTCACCTAATTCCTTTTTTGTCACCACAGCGATGAAATTTATTTAACCATTTCCCTTGCTACAAAAGTCCACACGATTCCAAGGAATTATGTGTTGTGATGTCTTAAACTCTCCTTGATTCCTTTAAGATTATAATCGCAATGGAAGAAGTGAGAACCTGAGAAATGTTAATGGAGAAAAATTTAATTTATTTCTCATTTATTTTTATCCTCTTTTTATCCGCTGACTGAATCCTTTTAATACTCGACAACGTAACAAAAAATAAATAAATGTGATAATGTCATATCAACAGACAGCGGCTACGACAACAGATGGTGTCATTTATCATCAAGAAAATCATACATTAATATCTGTAACAACGCCTCCATCGACCTATGTTAAGTGTCCGTGGACTTGCGAGCTTACTAATGACGCTGGATATGTTGTTTATAGTGCTCTTGGGAGCTTTTATATCCCAATGCTCGTAATGCTTTTCTTCTATTGGCGAATTTACCGCGCGGCAATCCGGACAACTCGCGCCATAAATCAAGGATTTAGAACGACAAAAGGTAGGCTGAAGCGAGACATAAAACTCGTTTTCCTCGCTTTATTTCCTTCTGGTATTATCATGCATCATCCACAACCTCTCTTAAGCTATCTAACCAGTGTCTTGTCTTGTCATTCCTCTTCTTCTTCTCCATTCCCTATGAACCTTCTCATCCTAGGCTTTTAACGATGAAGGGTTATCATAATTGAGTCACGTCCCTCATTTTCAAATCATAAATGTTTCATTTCCGTTTTTATTATCACGCTTTTATGCTAGTTTTACATTCTGCACCTCCTTAGCTTGAGTGTTTGTTTATTATAATAGATTATGCTTAGTTGTTGTCAACGCGAAGAGTTATTATTGTTAATAACAGAACATTGTTGTTCTAATAATCTTTTTATTTTTGTTCGTTCCATAAACATAGAAGGAAAACTTAGACAAAGTTTGACCTCAATTTTAATCGTGTTATTGAATGACAGAAATAAACAAAGAAAGTTATGGACGAAAACGTTGTAGCATATGCTGGTCGAAGTTGAGTTTTCGTAATAGAATTTCCTTGTTTTCCTACCTTCAAAATTAAAGTAATTTTTGGCTGTAATTTGTTGACAGTGAATTAAATTTAAGCGAAGTAATTGGAATGACTTTTGGGATTTTAATTCCATTCCAACCGACATCCCCATTCCATTTAGTAAATGCTTAGCTTTACAACTACACAATTACGGTTAATAGAGAAAAATGTTCTTCCTTAAAAACTTACCCAAGCCATTTCCACCCCCTACAAAGAAAGCAATTTACTTCTTAGAGTCATTACACATTAATTTAATTAAATGCAAATTAGGTTAAAACTTATGACTTGTGAAATTATTCAATCCCAGACGTTAAGCTATGTCCATTTATAATTCAAGGGTTACACAAAAAACAAAATTTTTCGGCTTTGGGAATAACATTTTGACACACGAAAACTCTATAAGCTTAAGTTATATGGTTGAAGCGTTGAAACAAAACAATTTTCTGGTCCCTCGTCCTTTATTTCCAAACCACAACACATGACACGAGATTTGTTGTTCCATATAGAATATTTAAAGCAACATTCAATGATTTAATTCATGTGCATTTACAATGAACCAAACATGTTACACTTTTGCCTTCGAGCACTTTAGCATGACTGAACTTAATTGCTTAAATACAATTGTCCAACACTACCCAGGTAACTTACCCAGCATAAAATAATTTTTGAATTAAACTTTCCCCAATTTTCCAAAAGAACTTAGACACCCATTGACTGCCACTAGGTAAAAAGCAAGGCAACAGTTGGAATTAATATGATAGAAATTACGGAAAATTATTCTCAAAATCGGAATGTTTGTGAAAATAACTTTTTTAAATTAATTTTTTAATGTTTCATTTACGTTGAAAGTTTTTCATTTAAAATAACTATCAAAATTATAAAAGTTCACTCGTTTGGAAAGTTTGTTATCGATATTGTACGATAATTTAATAAACGAGCATCTATGCATAAAAAGTGAACTATTCATGAAATATAATTAAACATGGAAATTGGAAATTTCCTTTTTAACTTTTCAATTATTTGCTCATAAATAGTTCTGATTTCTGAAAGCTTTTCACAAGCTAGAAATTTTATGCTGTTGTCAAAGTGAAAACAGCTTTCCTTAAGGGTTTCTAAGAAAGAAAATATATCTAAAGAAAATATTATCATAGGAAACCGGAAAACATAATAAAAGAGATGTTTTTTCTATAGAATATCGGATAACGTTTGCAGAAAAATCTAAAGTTGAAGAGCTGGAAGATGAACTTTTGTAGATATTTACCAATGAAATCTTTAAGCTTGTCTGCCTTTCCAAATAGAAAAAAACTGCATTTTAGAATTCCTAGCGAAGTATGTTTCGCTTTAAAAAGTTTTTCCCCTGTTTTTAAGTATTCTTGTTCCAAAGAGTTTCCATATGTTCAAGCACAGCTTTCCCCAGTAATATGGAAAATTCAATTTTCATGATTGCATGGTTTTAAGATAATTCTTGTTTTGAATATTTGGTGAAAGTTCCTCTCGCAGTGATAATACCGATAATAAAACAAATTTAAAGAATTTGAACAGAAAGAAATCTAAAAAACGACTGCAATAAAATGAAAGTTTCTCCATTCTCTGTCGCATTACTAACCGAAATAAAGGAAAAGGTGGAAAAAACAATCCCGTTGACGAAGAGAACGTTACATTACGTATTCATCGAGGCAATAAGAATCAACGATCTGATTTTCCTTTATCAAATTCAACGACACATCTTGATAGCCTAAGGAAAAATCAGACGAGTGTCACATCGATGCCTTCGTTCGAGCGAAAGAAGCGACACAGTTCAAAGTCGAAAGATAAAGTTACAATCTCAATCTCATATCCGTCGAATGATCACATCACCAGTCCTACAATGTCAACAACGTCTTCCAATCAAGCCTCTATGATATCGTCATCATGCTCTAAGGAACCAATCGCGCTTAGACATAGCAATTCAAATGAGTGCCATAACCCTTTCAAGGACATAAACTCAAAAACCGAAAACACGCCGAATATTTTCCATAAGAAGGCCGGAAAGCGCACATCAAGTGGCATAAAGGTTCAAGTCAGAAAGTTCCGAATGGAAACAAAAGCAGCCAAAACGTTGGCTATTATTGTAGGTAAATGTCTCGCATAGAATGCTAAATTTACTCAACCCAACAAAACCTTAAGCACATATCGTGGTTGGACTTTTTTTTTCTTCTTTTCTTACGTTTTCCCTTTTTCTCGATAACGAAAATTCAACTAAATCTACCTACAATCTACCCTTTCTATAATTCGGCAAAGCAGTGGTTTTCAATCTATTCTAAAATTCGTCAATGTTGAAAAATCATTTTAAAGAAATTCGCAAATTTATTAATTCAGAAAATATTAGGTAAAATTTATCTGTTTGAAATTATAAGAAAAGGTTGAGAACAACTGGAAGAAAAAAAAAAAGGAAGGAAAAGAGAACTAAAAATAGAATCTGATTACAATCCAAAGCTGTGACTATAGTCAAAAAAGCTTCTATTCATTTGAATTAATTCTATTTGTTGATCTTCTACGTCGTCCCTTTTTCTGCCTCATCCTACATGATGATGTTAAGTCCGACCATTTACGATGTGATTTTTAACATTGAATTCCACATTTTATAACTCATTCTCACACCACTTCGAACGTTTAGGAATGTTTATATGCTGCTGGCTACCATTCTTCACACTTTACCTCATACGACCCTTTTGCAACGACTGCATCAACCAGATTTTATTTTCCGTACTTTTTTGGTTGGGATATTGCAACTCAGCTGTTAATCCTTTCATTTACGCGATGTTCTCAAAGGATTTCCGATTTGCATTTAAACGTGTCATTTATCGCTGTTTCTGCTCGAAGAAATATCTCGAAGAGCATAAATTTCATGTGCTTCATCGATTTGTGCCGTTTCCTTTCGCCGCTGCTGGTCTTGGTGGACAACGAAATGATCTGAATTTAGATATTGCCAGATGACGCTCATTTACTACATCAAATACAAATACAAATAGCATCAACACAAAGCGACCTATAACAGAAATATGTCATCCGATTATTATCAGCAATCTTTCAGCAAATGCCAGCACAACGCCCACGCAAATGACATCAAGAGTATTGGATGAAAAGACAGAATCGGCGAATCTCTTTCGCTCCAAATCTGTCCGTGTCACTAATTCAATTACCCGCTTATAAGCTTAGATAGCAAAAAGAAATTCTCATACATTGCAAAACAGATTCATTAACACACATTTCGAAAACGTCGAATGGTCTCCGCTTATCTACATTGAAAGCAAATGCGAGCAAACAAAAATATTTCCTTTCTTCCTTAACTGGCAAACATTCTTGTCTGGTGCTTCAAAGCATTTCTGTTTACCAGACCCCAATTTGATTGAAATTTCAATGATTGTAACAAAAGAATTTTCATGAATATTCAATTGAAGCTTTAAAGATCATACGAAGCTTTAAAAGTTTTAAAGATGCTCGAAAAACATTTCAACTAATTTAGTTTCAAAAACTTTGTTCAAATTCAGAGAATTTCCAAAATCTTATTTTTTTATTACTTAATTAAAAGTTTAAATATATTCACAACATTTTTATATAAGTACTTATTAGTGTTAATTAAATTAGAAATAAAATTTGAATTTCCATAACTTAAAGCATAAAGAAAATCGACCAAATTAACTAAAATTATGTGAAATTCTCCCGTAAATTGTTAAGTAATTAGAGAGAATTTCAAGGAAACACGACTGAAATTTGATTCCCTTAATGAAAATTATGTTTGAAATGTCTTTTCCACACCACATGAACATGGTAAAGTATCTAGAAATGTCACTTAGATACTAAATAAAACAGTTTTGTGTTAATTAACGTTAATGAGAAAATGTTGATAAAATTTAGTTGTTTAATGGTTTATTCTCTTACTTAGATGTACACATTCCAGCACTGAATAAACGAGAATTAATAATTGATATCGGGAGTTTATTGTTGATAGTTTATGTTGCCGTAATCATGATACTTATAGTCAAAATTAATGAACTCGAGAAACGAGTGTAACATGATAGAAAACAAATAGTTTTGTTGACTTAGGGTTAAGGATGAAAATTTAATAGAAATAGAAAGTAAAAGATGAGAGTCGCATAAATCCCTGAATAGCATTCACGAGTTTGGAAGGAACTTCCTTTTAGCAATAAAATGAATTCATGAATGAAACATTACTTCCTTTCAAATATTTAGACAAAGATTTCTTTCACTCATATTCATTTTCATATTGTTTGACTTAACGATCTTACCTGAGGGAAATTCTAAATAAGTCAAACATACATTAACAAACAAAGCTCCATTTGAGTTATTTTATTATATTCAACTCGTTAGGAAAAAAATAATAATACTTGAGATACAAAATTGAAATCACTTGTTGACATATGTGACTAGGCGCATAAAAAATTCGCTTTAAAGCTTCATAATTTCCTTTACGCATAAAAAATCAATTGACAGTTCATTTCAAGAGCATATTTTAAAACATTGCCTTCGTTTCATCATAAGTCTTAAATAAGCTTTATTGGGCGAAGTTTTCTGTTCAGCTTCTTAGGCAGTAAATTGAAAATGCTTTCAAGAGACGGATTTGAATTATTTTCGCAATGATACGCGTCAGTGTCGGCATCTAATTTAATTTGTGAGATCAAATGAGGAAAAGTGTTTCATGAAACGAGACGGGATAGAATGAACTCTCAGCAGTTTATTGGCCTTTCTCAGCACCATATTTTTCCTTTTTTCGTTCTGCAAAAATTTCTTTCTTCAAACCCTCAACTCATACTGAATGAGCAAGATAATTCAATTGATTAGTGAGTATCCTTTTCGATATTTTCATCATTATTTCTTTTATTGCTCTTCTTATTTCGAACTGACAATGATCAATCTTTATCTTCTGTTTCTTCACATAAATTGAATTAATAAATCATATCAATAGCAACTTATAACGTGAGAGAATATCGATGGAAATTGACGGAACATTAATAGGATTTTTCTCATAATTAAGGTATATGTAGTCGTGCACGCTTTCGTTATTAAGAAGACATTATCGAAGGATTTAAAAATAACTAAAATAATGCTTATGCTTCATTATATAAAATGACGTTTTAATAGTTAAATAATAAATGAGAAAACTGATATGATCTTTTAACAGAATATTATTTACTTATTTGGAATTCGAATCATGCGCTTGTTTTAACACAAAATAAATTGACTGACGATAAAAGAATTATCTCACTCGTGTTAATGTTCATCAAGTATTAATACACTCAACGATTCAGTTGTTAAAAGCAGAAGTAAATCGAATAAAACATGCACAAACGAGGGTCCGAGCAATAAAATACAACCTTAAAAAACTTTATGCGAAATTGAGTTGTTGTGGGGCTCTTTTGGGGGTGTTCTGATATGAATCCGAAATGATTCTGACTACGTGCTTTCTGCACAACGTATCATAAGAAGAACTAAAACCTTATTATATGCTCTGGGATTGTTGCTAATCAATGAAGCTCAACTTCTTTATCTTTGACATGAATGATGTTTATTCGACCTACCTTCACAACTATGAGCTGAAATCCCCTGAGAAAGCTCAGCTTTTCTTTTAAGGTATTGCTTACACCGGCAAATCTCAAGTGTGATATGGAATTCAAATGATTATGATGAATACTTTATACAAAGTCAGTTCAACATGAAAAAAAAGTCGTGATTTCAAAGGGTTCACTTTCCAACCTTGAACTTCCGAAAGCCTCAATAAAAGCTTTCCGATGCTTGTGTGGAAATGCTTTACATTGCAAAAACTCGATAAAAAGCATTTGAAATCAGTGGCATGGAAGGAAATGTTCTTCCACATCGTTGAAAGAATTATTCATCGCTATTAATTCAAAAATCAATCTTCATGATCAAAATAAATAAAAATAGAAATCTCAAATTGAAAAAAGCTTTAGTTAAGATTACTTTTTTTTTTGTTTAATGTTTTCCTTTAACTTTGTTATTAATTTTATTTAATAAGGTGATGAAAAATGTTTTCGCATTTCTCACATTCTCAAGTTACTCGTTGAAATTATTTTTTTCTTCTTAACCTTCTCTCGGACTCCTGTTTTTAAAAATCAACTTCGTATGTGTTTTTGATTATAATTTCAAATGATTTCCACCCACACAACATTGATTAAAAGTTTTTATCATTTGAGCTTGGGTTTTTGATGTGGGACAACATGAGAGTTGTTCATTTTTACACCTGTGCGTTTATCAAAAAGGCTTCTGAATTTGGAATATCGTTGAGCACAAACATCGAGGGTGGAAGACAAACAAGAAACTTTGACTTTTCGTACTTTTTACCTTTATGTAAAATTCAAGCCGTGTAAGGATTTTGATAATCGCTTAAGAGTTTAAGACTTGTCACAAGGGAAAAGAATAATATTTAACAAATGCTGACATTCATTTTCAGATACTTTTACCTGATACTTTACACATTTATTTCTTGTCGCTTTTAATGTTTTAGTAGAAAAACTTTACCCTCTCACTGTATGTCGCATTCATGACAGCAAACAACGCCTGAAGGATTGTAAAGTACATTTTATGCCAAAGAACAACTGAATAAAATTCCTTCATGTTTGCTAGTACAACAATAATAAAAGGAATGAAAAAATAAAACGAGACTTCCAAAATGTTCTTGATTCATGAATAAATTTAAAAGCATTCGACCCATGTCAGGAAGAAAACGAGCAGACTTGTCGAAGAATAAAAAGCTTATTTTATTACAATCGTTAAATTCAATGAATTTATAAAACTATTTGATGGCATAGACAGTCGCATTGCGTAATAATATAAAATTTGAGCTCATTCCCAATGCTCGAAATCAATAATTTAAACCTCGAATCTTTTTCATTTCTATGAGACTTAATCGTGGGAGTAGAATGATTAATACTAGAACTCATCTTTCATTGATAATTAAAATTTCATTAAGATTTTCTTTCATAACTTTAATTGTCATTTGAGTGATTCTTCCCACTGCCACATCTGATAATAATAAATAAATTTTCTGAATTCTCCTTAGAATTTATCACGAAAATGCGACAATAAATTTAGTAGCAACGACAATATATATGAAAGGTAGCAAAAAAAAAGAGAAAAGCTTGTCATTGTCACTTTGCACTCATAATCGGTTCATAAAAGCACGTCTGGTTGCTATCATTGTTATGAACATGTTTTGGGAAATATCATCATACATATTTTCATGCTTGAGTTCTCATCAGAATCTTGAATTGAATTAAAAGAAAATGGCTCAGTAATTAACTTAATCGACTATGTCAGCTTTCATCATGATGTCATAACTTTTATCTGTGAAGCTTTGAATGAGATTTGTGCAATGTTTTTTTCTGTTTGCTTCTGCATTTTATTTTATGTACACGCTTATGCTTTAAAATCAAACAAAAATTTATGGAAGCTTTTCTATGCTTTTGGCTTCCACTGTTTTTTTCACTTCATTTACGCTTTTTCTTGTGTGGTAATATTTTTAATTTGGTGCAAGCAAATATAAAAGAAGAAAAGCAAACAACTTAAAAGTATCATAAATCAACTTATTTAGTTTGCAACTGCAACAGAAGTTTTATGCTTAAAATAAAATTCTTGAAAAAGGAAGCAAGAAAAAAACTTTTTATTTTCTTCATTCACTCTGATGCATTGGATAACATATTAAAAGCAACATTAATTATAAGCTTGACCTTGTTAAACATCCATGAAATTCAAAATAAATGCAAATCCATGACTCCCTCACAAATAGGCTCAAAAGGAATTGGTAATCGATTTGAGGAGCAACGCTTGACATTAAGAATTCACCGCGGTCGCGGATCAAATTATCACGAGTCACCGCATAGTAATGGAAGTACACATAGCACCACCACCAGCCTGGGAAGCGCCTCACCTGAGCGCCTTTCACGCTTCACAACTCGCAAACATGAGAAAGTCAAAATTTCCGTTTCATATCCATCATCAGAAAATATTTCCACTTCAACAAACAATCAGCCGTCTAATCAACTGTACGCTGTTCATTACACAGTGAATGGTAAAGACACTCAGGCATCACATTTATTTCGTGGTAATTCAACAGCAAGTAGAAGAAGTAGTCATGCATCCAACATTATCAATAGTAACAATAATAATAATAATAATAACAAAGATTTTCTGAGTGTAAACGATAAGGCAGCATCGCCAAGAGCTAGTAAGAAGATGGGAAAACGAAACATAAAAGCTCAAGTTAAGAAGTTTCGGATGGAAACGAAAGGTGAGCTTTGAATTCTTTAACTTTTTATTTGTAGGAATAAAGTCTGAGAATGTAATGGCCGACCAAATCTTCTTACGATTTTCGATCGCTTTTGCAAGTTTTTACCGAAGCTTTTTTATTTTTTTCTTCTTCAAATTTCATCTGTTTGAATAAACTTTGACTTTTAGCTACTTATCGAACTTTTATCTAACTCAAAGTTTTAAAGCTTTGTTTTCTTGTGAATTTTTAATTTCTTTTTCTTATCGGTGAATGTTTAAGAAATCGAATTATTGAAACAATTTTCTGATAAGCTAAAAATGAGTATTTTTGGAAATTAATTTAATTAAGCCGTTTTGTACTTATTTTTATAAGCACGAAGACTTTCATTCCTTCACTCACTACTTAACTCGTAAAAGAAATTTTTCTTTTACTTCATGACATTATTTAATTTATGAACTTCTATGAAAGCTTCTCTGATGCGTATTATTGTCATAAATACTTGCAAAGGGTTTTGTTTGTTTCACATATTTTATTCTATAAATGATGACGACATTTCATGACGTTCTTTCGTATGTTTACTTTCTATTCCAACAATTTTATTTTTCATTCTCTGAATGCTTTCTTTCCTTTGATGAACTTTGATGATGATGTTGTAAATAAAGTTGAGTAAAAATATCGTTCAAAGACTTTATTCCGAAATCCAAACAAAGAAATTGAAATGTTGAAATTTTTAATTAAAAAATGTTTTTCTCGCCCACAGCTGCAAAAACATTGGCAATTATTGTTGGTCTTTTCATACTCTGTTGGTTGCCTTTTTTCACTTTATATTTAATTCGACCATTTTGCGAAGACTGCATCAATCAAATATTGTTCTCAGTGGTTTTTTGGATTGGTTATTGCAATAGTGCCATCAATCCAATGATCTACGCACTTTTCTCAAAAGACTTCCGATTCGCTTTCAAACGAATTATTTGCAAATGCTTTTGTTCGGGCCCTGGTTTCAACAAGCCTTCAAGTCGACGTGGATCCGATATGTCTGCTTTTAGACATCACAGTAATGGTCAAAGAACTCCCAGCATTTCTCCCAGTCAACTTGCACATTCCATTGGAGATGACAGTGATCCACTCCCTGACGACGCAAACAGATGACGATCATATGCTCCCAGCTTAAGCTCAAGCTATGCCAGCTCTAGTCCTGGGGGTCGTCTCAGTATGAATATTAATTCGAGTAGCGTAAATAATTCTAATATGGTTACTTCAAATAACAACGGACATGGTGGTAACAACAACAATGGTACGGGTAATGCAAATTTGAATGTAAATATTCCGGATAGTAAAAGCGTTCTTGGTGGGCTGACGTCTAACGGAAATAATGGATCTGGAAATAGTTCGAATAATGTAAACAGCAGTAATGTACGTGCAGCATCTATTTACGATATTTGCCATCCACTAGTCATGTAAACGTAGGCAAGAATAAAAATTATTCAATTCATTGTTTGTGATTGATTTTACAATCGATGAAGCAGACGAATGAAAACTTTACGTTCTTTTACTTCTATCTTTCATAATTGAAATTCAATCTCGCCTTAAGGCTAGGCTGCAAACATTCGATGATTATTTATTAGTGCTGCAAAATTTATTTTTCTATTTTCCATTTTACACAGCGACGAGTCACGATCACAATCGGGCGTTTGTTTACAAATTTTTCAAACAAGCAAACTTTTCAATTAAAGCTCATCAATCATGATGAACATTAGAGAAATGTTACAGCTTCAAATAAACTTGTAAACGAAGTTTCGTAACTTGGAGCTTTGTGTAAATTGTGATTTCGAACTTGTGTTGCGCTTTCGTATTTATTTCAATACACTCAATTTACTTGTTTTCTTTTTTATTTATTCCTTAAGCGAAATTTGATTTCGAGAGGAAAAATTGTTCTCAGTATAAAATAAAGGACTTCGAAACTCAATATTTACATAAAAAGTTGTGCTAACAATGTGGGCGGCAGATTGAATGATTTATTCTAGTCTTTCCAAAGCTGTAGCAAAGAAAATCAGAGAGAGAAAAAAATAAAATAAAATCCAGAAACGAGACTGAATATCTGAACCTTTAACATTTCTTAATTTCCTTAATTTTCTCCTGAAATTTATCCTACTTGTAACATATTTAAAAGAATATTTTTATTTACACATGAATAAATGCAATTAAATTTTCTTTTATTATTCTGTTCGCCTATTGACCTTCATTCAACTAAAAAAAAATACTACGCATTTTCATGCCATGTGCTTTTCCTCGATCTGATAAATCCCTGGGTTTTTCCTTCTCACAATTGAATTAAAGCAAATGCCACAACAACAAAGGCAATAAAAGAAGTGCGCCCATAAAAGTTATTTTTGGCCTAAAAGCCAAATAATAGAAAACATTTTTGATGTTGTCGATAACGATCTATTGAGCACCTGAGGTTTTAGAGGTGGGTTAGATTTCTAGTAGACGGAAAAATTATACGCTTTTAGGATAATGATTGAAGAAGTTGGTCTTATACAGTGAAAGTAAGTATTTGATATACTTTATTCAAAGTGAAAATTAAAACTTCGCAATTCAAAAAAAATTTAAATATTTTCGTTGCGTAATTATAATAAATGCTTTGAAAGCAAGCATTTAAAATTTCCCTTTGATTAACGAAGCTACTGTGCAAATGCTGCACAGAGCCCCCTTCAAAATCTAATTAGCAGACTTTCATTCCCAACGCTTAATGAAAAATTCATGTCATTTTGTTGGTGACGGTGGAAATTCATTAAGTATGCAAATATTTTCTACGAATTCAATTGTAAATATGTTAGCGAGATTTTTAAATGTTTGTTTTCATCCTTGTTAATCTTAAAATTTATACATGAAGGAATGAATCCTTTATTTTTATGAACACAATGAAAATCATGTTTCGTGAACAAATATTTTTCATCGTAAAGGGGAAAAAGAATGCGCCTAACACATATGCAAAATGTTCGTCTCATAGAAAGAAAGCTTTTAAGGTTGAGAACGATGAGAATTTCTAGTTCTCTACGTAGAGAACCAAACAAAGGCCAACATAAATTACCAAACATAAATTATTCATAAATAAGAATGTTTGTAACATACATACCAGATAAAACTTATATAAATGATAAATATGACTTCAAAATATGAAAGAAAAGAAAATATTTAATTTTGTGAAACTCTTTTCCACACTTTGGTTTGTGAAAGTTTCAAGAAAAGCTTCGTCACTTTGACGTCATCCACTAAATCACTTATCCATACTATACACATTTCAAATAATGCAAAATGATGTTAGCAAAATGATTTTCTCAAGTTCATGAACTTGCAGAAAAATTTATGAAAGGATTCAATTATTTTCAACCATTTACCTAACATAACATTGTAAGTAAAATCGATGCTCAAAATATTTCGTACAAACCACAAAGAAAATAAAAAGATGTGGAAAAGTCTGAAAAGATATTTCTACATCACACTTACATGCAAGTTGTACGAAAATAAGATAAATTTTAAGAGGATTATGATTTTGCTTATATGTAAAGAATACATAAGAACTGTTTCTCCTTTCACTACATATTTAAATACATTCATGAAGTTCTGTAACAAAGTAGATGCTTTATTTATTTATTTATTTTGATAACAATCTTCTAACATCGTAGGTAGAATTAAGTATAATTTACGGCAATGTGATGTACAACAACATGAAAATGGTGGAAAAGAAAGTATGTTAATGAGAAATGTAAATATAATTGATGATATTTTATCTGGAAAAGCCATAGTTGTCTCTATAAGAGTGTTATAATTAAATAATTCTATATAAATATCAACCATAAAAGAAAACTATAAAAACATTCTATACTTGTGAAATTAAAATGTGTTTACTCATTAACTTAGCTAAACTAAAGAAGAAATCAAATAAATGTGATAAAGAAAAATATTTGTGAATAAAATAATTTTTAAAAAGATTTCCTGTTTCGCTCCTTAAATGTCTATCAGAAATTAATTTACATTCATGTTTACAGATTTTTTTTATTTTTAACATCTTTGATCTCAAATTGAAATTAAGATTACGATGTTTTTATAAAGACCGTAAACTTTGGTATTTTTAATTAAAGATCATGATTGGCTTACTAATTATAAGAAAAAAAAAGTTTTATTTGAAAGGAAAATTCCTATTGAAAGATTTAAGTATCCATTCGATGACTTCTATATTTAGAATCTTTCTTAAACAATAAAACGAGAGTTTCCTCTTCAGTTTCAAGTATTCTATTGAATTGATTTTACATATCTATCCTTATACATAAGTTTAGTGTTAAATATTTCTCGAAGGAACTATGCTTGCTTATATTTTATGTCACAGTTCCAATTGAGTTCACTTTCTTTCTAACTAATAAGTCTTCTACGGAAAATCTCTTTTTTTTTATTATGCTGTACATGTCTCTTTTTGTCAGTCTTATTTACAGTCGCAACCCGAAGCAATATTCAGTAAGTTTACTCTATGATGCATGGAATTTCTGAGTTAAATTTCTTCCGCCTGATGAACTTCGTTGAATGAAGACGTGGTAGACAAAGGATTAGCTGAAGGCGTCTCACTTGCCACAGATGATGCCATGACAAGGCTTGTTTCCATCACACTTGGCGTCGCTCTATCAACTTCCAGGTTTAGAGATGATGGAATAATTTTACAAAGAAAAATCAGAGCGATGAGAGCAAACACCACCATATAGCAATAAAAATATCCAACTCCAACGAGATATAATAGTTGTGGCAACAGTTTTGTCATTGCAAAAATGAAAAACCATGTCACTGCAATGCTGAGTGTCCTCAAGTGTAATTGAAGTGCGTACGATGACAGTATTTGTTGCATGATTAGCAGCAAGTTTCTTGATATTCCCACAACATAAAAAAATGTTACAATGACAAAAGCAGCCACAGGAACTAAATCTACTCCATTCATATTCAATTTATATCCAACTGAACCTTCGGTCACACAAAACACCGCAAGTATTGCCATACATGACAATATAACCATAGAGCTTGATATTATTTGTTTTCTTATTGATGTTATTCTCGAGAACTTCACCAACTTCGACAGTGGAATGCTGAAAATGAGCGTAACACCCACTGTTGTCGCCATCATTTCAGGTGACAAATGTCCACCTACAAATCAAGAAAAAAGTTAAATTAGCAATCAAAAGACTCGAAGAAATGTTTTCATTTCGGATTTTTACATTGAACACGCTGCTGAATAGTGCGGGTGGATAAAAAGGGTGGGAAGAAATTTGAAAAGAACTTGTGAAAAGTTCAAAGGTTAATGAAGGTTTTACACTCCCTAGACTTCGATTTCTGTGAAAATATTGGTCGTTACAGAGTTTTCGAGAACATTTCATTTATTAGTTTGTTGTTTCAGGAAAGTGGGCTGTTATTGATTAACGAATTTTTATCCGATTTGTCAATGCTTGCCCTGAGAAGAGTTTTGTCTTCTTTGACGACATTTCTCTTATAAAAATATTTCTGTTGACGTCAAAAATGTTTCGATAACAGATTATGATACCGCCTTCATTCTTATTGTAAATAAGAGGTTTGCAACGTCAAGACACAACAATTGTCAATTTATTTGTTACAACACCCACAACTATTCTTCAATACACATTCTCGTAAATATCTTACCAGTCAACTGTGAAAAATGTTTCATGTAGAAGAGGATACTGATGCCACCAATGAATTGTTCGACCAGAAATAATCCAATAACTGACAAAAGATTTAATTTTTTCAGCTCATTGAACAAATCTTTAAGCGACTTTCGTTGCAAATCTTCAACATTAAATAATTTATGTAATCTGACTGCTTTCTCAAAGTCGTAGGTGTTTTCTACTTCCATTTCTCTAAATGCTTGGTAACGAGGTGATTCTGGTATCAGACAGCAAATTACGAAGAAGAGTAATGCGAGTGCAAATACAATCCATGAATGTTGAAGAGGCGTTACAAGATCTGAAAGGAGAAAAGTTTTTATGAAATAATATTTTTAATTTTCGTCTGTCCAAACGTTTCCCCTTTTAATAGCAACGAGAAAAATGTTCAATAAATATAACAGCAGGATGTAATTTCAAACGAAACTCGTCGTTATTTAAAAATAGAAAGAAACAAAACATTGAGGTAAAGGTTCGTTAGCCTTAAGCCGTATAGACGAGACAGAAAAAAAAGTTAAACCATGAAAATGAATCCAATAAACAATGAAAATGCTATCAAACTCAATTAATGTGACAATCTACTTAATGATTAAAGAGAAAAATTTAAAAACAATTGGAAAAAAAATGTAAACATGTTTGAGTCTGATAGAAAACTTTGGTAAACGTGATAGAAAGCTTGATAGGATTTCAGTAGCTTTAATCCGCAAATCTTATTGATATTTAATCTCTTAAAATGTTATGTTAATGTGACATCATGGATACTGAAGTTAGATGGCAAATAAACGTCACCCTTGGGGTTTTTTTAAAAAATAATTGGAGAAGAATTAAAAATCTTATTCAAATTTTTTTTTGTGTATTTGTAAGGCGAAGTTTCATTTCGTTTGTTATTGAAATTTTATATTTTATTTAAAGAAAAATATTTAAATTAGGACAATTAGGATCATGTTTTGTATACGCTTCTCTATATCTTCAGTTACCCAGTCGACTAATCTGAATTTTTAATGGATAGAAAATTGGAATTCAAGAGATTGAAAAAGAAATCTTGAAGTAAAATTCAACTGGAAGTTTCAGCTCTAAAAGTAAAGTCATGATCAATATTTGAAGAGTGGAAAAAAGTTTGTGAATGTAAGTCAGAACCTGTCTGTCACGTAGTTTAGTTAATGGATACGATTGAAATGATGGAAGGTAATAAAAGGATAACCTACAAGTCTGGCGAATATGAAGTAAAAACAAACAGCGAGTCATTGCGAGAAATATAAAAGATTTATTGTGTGCAGAAGTTGCAGATTTTAACGCCTACTCTATCTGTGTAACACTTTTCTCTTCCCTTCAACAAATATTAATCAAATCGTGATGAAAGAAGGAAGACTGTTTATTCTATTAATTAAATTGCCGATGGGAAAGAAGTGGATTAGTGTGGTGTGTTCACTGAGTGATTTATTGCGATGTCAAGAATCAGTGAAGAAACTTTTTCCGACGATGACAATGAGCTTTTCCCTTTTTGAGGCTGAGCAAAGAGATGCACAAACATCGCTTAAAGGGACATTAAACATGGTTGAAGAGGGTTGTTAAAGTGAAACGTTATACAATAGTAGTTTACTCGGAAACATTTTCATTGAGCTTCACAGCTTGTCTCCATTCTTTTTCGCTTATTCGATATGCTTTTCATCCTCAACCAATACTTCACTGTCATTGGGATTATCATCATCAAAATACAAGAAAAACAGGTACGCTGAGTAAATTTGTTTTCATTGAAAAAGTTCCCTTTTTCAGGTAACAAAAAGTAATTCTATGGAATATCTAAATATTAGAAATTTCATGATAAAGCGTGGTTTTGATGAATGTTTTTGTTTTCATTTCTCTTACTCAGCCTTCTCGCGTTTCTTTCCTGTTTTTCCCAAAAACATTAAATATATTGTTCACATTTTTTTACTTTGAAGACACCTTAATTGCTTGAACGTGAAAATTCTGTGAATAGCTGAAAAGTTCTTCCCTTTCCATCGTTAAGAAAGTTAATTTTAACATCGTAGTGACGATAATGAAAAACGTAATAAAAATGTGGCGAGCTAATTTCTCGTACACCACCCCAAAGAATTCAATGCTCGTGCCACAAGTTGTAAATTCATGAAGAAATGTTATTGAAATGCCAGAAGTAGAGAAAATAGAAATCTGAACCCTCATTTTCGATTTTTATGATTGAAGATATGGACGACATTATCTCATAGAATTCCAAATGAAATTGATGACAATTTCTAAGCTTGCTTTAGGCTCTGATAACGTTCAATAATATTCACAACTTACACAATCCTGCACATAGCAATTTGAATTCATGAAAAATTCTATCGTAGAACGTGCCGAAAATATTTGGCTAACAACCTCAACAATTTTCAGTCATTCAAAGGTAAATAGAAGCGTGTGGAAAGCAAAACATTTTGATTATCAAGGGGACATTTTCAGAGGAAAATCGTCGTCTCAGCAATTCAAAACAATTTTATTTCTACATTACTTCCTGACATTTATTTCTTAGGCGTTTCTGAGAATAAACTGTTGAATGAGCCATGAATAATGAAAATTGACTTTTCCAGGAAGGTTGCTAGAGTCGACGATTTTCTTCCGCGAATAACCCCCTGGTTTGGATAATACAGATCAAGGAAAGAAATAACAAAAATCGCAAATATTACGACTAGCTGAATTACATACAAACAGCCTGTAAAGTTGTAAACGCAAATTCTTCTAAGATTTATTATTCGTTTCCCTTTTTTTCCGCTGATTTGTCATATCGACTTATGGAAAATTTCCTAACAGAGTGTTTGAAATGAAAAGCAAAATTATTTTTTTATACATGAAATGAAAGATTAAAGTAAGAAGGGGCGGAAAGGAAATTTTCTGAGAAAAATGACTCAATATTGATATAACGGCTTAGATTGCTTTTGATACTTTGAGGTATTGCTGTTCGATATTTCATTCAACATCTTCGATATAATAATAAAAAAATCTGCTGAACATTCTATTCAATCAAATTTAAAGCTTTCTTGACACCGACACCAGTATGATGATATAAAATTGAAACCAAACCAGCATACTTTTTTTTGTTTTGTGTTTTATCACATTTACAACAAGCATTATCATTGGATATTAAAGGAATTTGTGAAATCTCGGAATAAAAGATAAAACACAGCAAGAAGTACACAATAAGTATTTCTGTGCGAATGAATATAATTCATGAATTAAACTTCTTATTCTTCTGTTATAAAATCATGAAAAGCGTCTTCTAATTCTTCTCCATTTAAAAGTCTTATGCTTTTGTATCCAAGGTGAAAACATGATGAAATTCCTTGTCATGCGACACCAAACAGTTTTATTGTTTTGATTAAACCATTTTGAAGAATGTCGAGAGGGAAATTTTATTTTCATCATGAGATAATAAAACATTTGATTAAAGTTTTTATCTTGAAACTAAGTATTTAAGATTATTTAAAATAAAAAGTACAAAATTAAACACTGAAGATTCAAATAATCAAATAAATCAAATCGTCAATTATAAAAAAATGAATCAGACGACGAAAACCTTGAAGGTTAAAAACATTGATAACATTCACAATCGCGTGATGATGTTGTGATTCAGTAAATAAATTTATTGTCAACTTAACATTGAAATCATGTGTACAACTCACCAATAAAATATTGTGTGAAGATTCCTAGACCAAACAGAGTTATCAGCAACTCAACAATTTTGCTATTATATTCCGGTCCCATCAATTCTTTCATGTAGAGTGGAACGAGAATAAAGACAATTCCGCCGCCAAGGCCTCCAATAATTCTCGCAAAAATCAAAGCTTCAAATTTATTTCTGGAAAAAAGCGGAAAAAAATGAGATTTGTTTGATCGGTTTCCGTTTGAGAAAGGAGAATATTTTTGTTTTTATTTTAAATCATTTACCCGAAGCATATCGTTACGGCCCATGACAGTAGAATCAAGAGCGATGCCACCAAAAGCGAAAGCTTCGTTCCAATATAATAATAAAGTTTATAAACCAAAAATGACGCGATGACAACGCCAAGTGGAAATGTGGAGATGATCCATGATATTTGAGATCGACGAAACTGGAGAATGAAATGATAAGGAAACTCATGTCAGTACCAATGACAGATTCCGTTCTATTTATTTTATTTTTTCACATCAAATATCAGATTGACAAACTCACATCATTCGAATCACTTGATTTTTCATTCAACGAGAAGAATTTTGAGCTCCATCCCACGTAAAAACCATTGAGAATGTAGCCAAACGATACTAGGTTGGTATAAAGGAAAAAAGGTAAAAAATGATTTTAATTCATTTGAAATTCTAATTCATTGCTTATTCAGATGTTTATTTATTTATGAGTAGGTATCGTAAATAAGAAATCTTTAAAGCAATTTTTTTTATTAAAGTGAAACATATTGAAATGATTCCAGCATGGTTCCAACGAAACATTTGCTTAGTTGACAATTAATGAAAAATTCTTATCAACATATCAATTCCAGACGATGTTTCATGACCTCAGAACTTTCACTCGAGGTTTAATAATCACAATATTTTATTACCGATGAAATAATAAATTTTTTTCTTAAGTTTCGTCACGTTGACATCAACGTGTTCATCATTGAAGCCAAGAATCTCCTCCTGGGAAAGTGAAAAAAATTGTCTGCGGTTTTCGTTTGCCATCATTTTTTAATTGCTTTAACACTTTAAAGTGAGAAGTGGTTTTGATAATCTTATTCAATTGCAAGAGACAATTTCGTTTCGTTCTCGTTTTTCACAACTTTTAGTGGTTCTTCTCACTTCTATTACTGTTGAATACAGATATAGTCTAAATTAAATGCTACACTTAAAAAGATATTTGAGTAAGATGAAATCGATATTTTTCTCTTGTTTATATTTTTCTTTATTACTTCAACAGAACACAATTTCACTCCAAAGCGTCACGAAGAGAACTGAGGCGCTTAAGCTTCAATGTCGGTTATTAAAATGAATTATAAAAATGAGACGAGACTGTTTTGACTGATAACATAAATATCAGCATCCAAATGGTGTGATGCTTGAAGTTCTTATCTCGCACAGAATTTTTTGATGTTCAAAACATAAAAGTCAATCATGAGAGATGAAAGGGACAAGAATTTTATCTTTACACATTCTTGAATGAATGTCTTTCATAATTTATTTGATAATTTTCAAAACATATTTTGATANGCCGCTTTGTATGGCAGGTACCCGAAATACTGAAGGTACGAACCCCATAAGTTGATAGAAAAATTCTATTGGTATTTAAAACACATTGGTTAAGAAATTTTTTAAATCGGTTAAGAAATGTGGAAATGGCAGTGTTTACACAGCTACAGACCCGAAAGCGGACACAAATTTTTTTTTCGTTTTTTTCCACTTTTCTCGACGTTTCAAGCCATTTTAAGTGTAACTAAGCAAAGAAAATTTTTTGAAATTTTTGCGTAAATCCAATACGGTTGCCCGTCACCCTAGGGTGGGGCCTCCGTAAATATTTTGCTTCCACTTTAAACTGGATCGAAGTGTGCAATAAAATTTCTCGTAATTTATTCTTTTTCTGTTTACATTTCAATTTACATGGAAATTGATGAATTGCTTCATCACAAAACATAGTGAATGAATAATTAAATTAATTTTCTTTGTTATCACTTTGAATTATTGAGGTTTGGTAAAGCTGTCAGAACAGAAATTATGTTACGTCTGTGACTAATTATCAGCTCTTGAACTAGCAACTGAATTTATGTGTTCTTGAGCAAATTTTATTTATTTTTTCTTACTTTTTAATTAAATTTAACTCTAATCTTGTTAGCTTTTGCAATTTATTCAGAACGTGTATCTAAAGTAGACATAATTAATGATTCGACCGAATGTTTATAAATAATTTACAAATGAACTTTGTTATCAAGTTGGGTTTAGAAGTCATACATATTTAAAACTTTAATTCGATATTAACGAGCTCTATTGATTCCCACTTTATCTTGCGTTGTCTGATTATTTGTAATTATTGAGAAGCACACTTGCAGGAAGAGCGGGCTGTCTAATTAAACGAGAAGTTAATTGACTCATTGGGCGAGCTTAAAGCTTCCTTTTTTCTGAACGAACAGCATGAATTGAAATGCAATAAACTCGTACACAGAGCTGAGTAATCCCAACATTTCCAGACTAACGCAATTGAATATGTTAAGTTTAAAACTACGATCGATACCAAACTCTGACTTTACATAAGGAACAAATTATTGATTTTAAACATAATTTTATTCGACGCATACGAGAAGAACTCGTTTTAAGACGCTGGTGCTGTTAATCCGTCGTTGTACGATTAATTAAATCTTTGATTTCATTCCAAGTCAGCATGATCGAGTCGTGAACGCGAAATAGCCACAACAGAAGCTGAATTTGTTATTTATTTATCATTGTGCGTTTATGTGAAGGCAAATGTAGCATAGGAACCGATTTATGTACATAAAGCAGCAGTACATCGGAATGGAATGCTGTGTTATGTAACAGTTGCCATAAGCTATACCTTCATATTTTTAAGAGCGGCAGCAAGTTCAAGTTCATGAAATGTGTCACTTGAGCGCCAGCATTTTGTTTCCTTTTTTGCGCATTCAAGTGAAACCACTGTGAAAATAAGGAAAGAGAGGAATATAAAGAAAAAGGAAAGAAAAACCATGACCTAACGTACTACAGCAAATGAGCTGTCGATGAACGTTAAGGGTAAAGTTTATTTAGGCGACTGCTTGCAAAGAATTTATTGGGTGGTTATGAACATCGTAAAACAATTTTTTGGCTACTTGCTGTGATTAAATACTTCGAAGAATTTTCAACAATCTTAACTTTGATTTAAGTGAATTCTTCGCTATTAATGACTACGATTTCGACCAGAATGTTCAACAAGTTCAAGGCTATTGAATATTAAATTAATTCAAAATAATTGCGTGAAAATTGATGGAAATTTGCATTTTAAATTATAATAATTAAAGTAATTGTAATTAAGTGGTTAAAATTACAAACAAAAACATCAATCAAGTATTCGCCAATGTTTACGTGTAAATAATTTGAGACATTAAATGATAGCTTGAATGCCTCCCACCTCCTGCCTCAAGCGCAATCGTTCAATTATTTCTATATTAATTAATATGTCATGTTTATTAAATCATTTTTATTGAAACTCAAATCTGCAATTTATTTTTATTATTTGTTATAAATTTCGATGATAAAAAATGATTGAACGAGTTCATGTTGCGATGGTAATGTATTTAAATTAATGTAACATGAGTTGCGAAGTTTAACAAGCAGATATCAGGAAGTAATTTGATTTATTCTTAATCAACTTGGAATTTTATGAAAACGAAACATTGAAGCATATAAATTGAAATCTAGAATAACAAATTACAATGGGCTTAATCATGATTTTCAGTCAATCATTTTCACCATAAATTTCGTTTAAGTTTTTACTTTTGAAAATTTAAACTTCTTTAGTAACAAAATCACAACAATTAACAGCACATCGACCCAATTTTAAATAATTTGATTATAAGTTTCATCTTAAAATGCAAATGTTAAGAAACTATTGTTCAGTACTAAGAAATGAATTCAATTCAAATTGAAATTTCCATTTTACTTACAGCTGTACAAACATTAAACATTTTAGAGAATTTTCTGTTTTCTCTCTAGAGCGCTTATCGCTAAGCACTCAAAGATATTCCTCGAAATTAGTATAAGAAGGTTGGAAAGTTCTTCTGTTACCTGTTGTTGTGAATACGATTAATGTTGACGTAAGGAAGTACAAAATGATAAAGTTCGACGTTTTCCCTTAAAGCGTGATGAGAGAGATAAACTTAATGCTGCTGATTCAGCAGTTGCTTAAGAAAATAAAATAATAAAATTCTATAATCGGAAGGAAAACAAATGAAATCTGTAGAGACAGATTTCTAAAAAGCTGTAAAGACATGGAAAAAAAAGCTTTGTAAGATTTCACAAAAAAAAAAACAACGCTTGGATTCAACTTCTTATGAGTTTTGCTTGCTTCGCTCTTGTACTGTTGTTGAAAAATAATTGTTCACGAGTTTTGCTTTGTCTACATGCTAAATTATCTGAATATCTGTGAGATGAAATGTTTTTGCGTCGTCATGAAAATGCGGAAGACTTTGAATGAATTCATCTAATCTAGATATTGTGGAGCTTGGCACGATGGCACGAGCTTATTTCTTATGTAGCTTCCGTTATTCACAGTGTAAATGATGGACATGATTGATCGCATGTCATGTTACCGAGATATGCATTAATAAAAGCCATCATTTGGAAGCATTATTGATAATAATTGAATGTTTGCGAATATTACACAAGGACGGATGAAAGCGACAATAAACACACAATTGTTACCTAATGATAATGAAATATTTTTTTAAATAAACTCAATTAGTATGTAAACTTGTTTCCAGCTTATTATTTTACTGACACGTTAACTTTTGCGTTTTTTATTATTATTTTCTTTCAATGAAATCTTTGAAATAGATTTTCAACATTCCTAAATAAACTCAGGCATCAAGAGCAAGCTGCACAACATTAACGTCCGTGTAATGTTAATAACTATTAACTTGATATAAAGTTATATTTTTGTCCGCTCTTAATTTTCCTCTTTTTCTTAATCGATTTCATAATTTGCACTGTTTACAACTTGAGACGATGGCGTGGTTTGTTGTGTATGTTGATTTCAATTGACCGCGGAATAAAAATTCCTTCACAAAAGAATAAAAATGCAAATGAATGAAACTAACAATTTTATTTTCAAAACAGACTTTTGCGACATGTAGAACGAATGTCTTAACGTGATCTTCGATTCGCTTTCAGTTCCACTCTATATCTTTGTCTTGCCAGGGTCAGCTGGTATGAGAACTCGCTATTCATAAAAATTGGAATTTATTTATCAGATTGGAATTTATTCACGTTACGACGAGTATGAAATATTATTAGCTAAATAGTGTAATGATTTTTATACTCGAAGCTATCACGATGCGATGTAATAAAGCACCATAAAAACTACATAAACTTTTAACGACCGAAACACTTTTCCTTCAGATTCTTCATCACCAAATGATAATTATTTTTATTTTTTAAAATCTCGCAATTATCAGCGAAGCATAAAGCCACAAAAATTTGTTTTTCGTAAATTTTCAAAGTCAATTTAAATGAAATTTTATGAAAAATATTAAGACTTAAGCAAATTGAAAATAATTTATCAAAATGGAACGAAAAGAAGAAATGAAAATCGGTCAATGGAAATTTCAATTTCGTTCAGAAAGCTACATTTCAATGTTAAGCAAAACGTGCATCCATTTGATGGTCTTACAGAAGACATTAAATATTAATTCCTTTGAAACTTATTTACGAATAAAAAGCATCCAGCTCGCTCACGCTCAACTTGAGCTTTTCTATTCTCAAATTTATTTTGCTTTCACATTTTAAATTTCTTCTTCTCATGATGCTTCTTCCGAGCGTCTTCTTCTCAACAGAGCCAAGGGACTTTTAAAAATCGAAATTTAAGTATGGAAAAAAGAAACAATAAAAATGCGATGAAAATAATGATCGATTTGCTTGTTCAAACGAAAAATAAATAATGAAAATTCTCCCACGCGAAGTAAATATTTGTGTTGGAAAATTGCTTTGTTTTTTCTTTTGCTTCGTCTTGAATCGAGACAATATAAACAAACACAAGCACATCTTGGATTAACATGGCTAGAAATATTTGAGTGTAACAAAATAATGATAAATAGTAAAGATGATATAACTTAGTGTGAAACATCAAAGCTGACAGAAATACAATTAAAAATTCCTTTTTGAAGAAAGGTTAAAGACTTTGAGTCAAAGTTACACGTTTAAAAATTAAAGAAAAATTGTTAAATAGCATGAAACAGATAAAAAGTCGAGTAATTGACGTCAATTATGTATCAATAATGTAGTTATTAATTGTGTTTTAATATAAGTCATCAACTGACTGAAATGTTTACTTATCTTGAAAAATAAAAAGTAAAAACACATCTGAATGTGTCTTGTGAATATTTACTTTATTTTTAAGAAGAATGTTTCTGCCTTAATGAAGTTGAGTAGCAACCCAGGCATGGAAACAACTTTAATATCAAATTTTTATCAAATCATTTTTAGTTTTTTGTGAAAACGAAGTTAAAATGATGATTCAGTTTATGCTTCTCCTTCTCCGATTTCATTAAGAATATCTTGAACTTCAGCTTTAAGTGCATCGTCAAGATCATCCATAGCTAGGACTTCTTCGAAGAATTGTTTTTCTTCTGCGAAACCTTCATTCCATGATCCTTCATCTGCTGAATAAGAGTACAATTCACTCAATACAGTGTCAAGATCGCCACTCATGTAGCCTGAGAAATTTTGCAACAAGACAGCAACACCATTCAAGTCTCCTTGAGCAGCGGTGTCTTCGTCATCATGACTCCATCTGTCTGCTGCTTCTTCAGGAAGAATGTTAGTCCAGGTGAAAGTTGCACGCAATGAAGCTGAAGCTTCGGCGTAGTTTTCAACAGCTTGTTTGAAAATGTTGAAAAGTCTTCTGATGAATCTTTCGTAGCAACGAAGGTTTTCTGGTTTGAAGTCCATGAACCGTTGGACTTCGCCGACCCAATACATCAAAGCATCGTAAATTTCTTGAACCAATGCCCTGATTTCTACCAAACGATCAACGCATGGTGCATCACAATTATGCCTTTGACGTCTGTCTTCAATGTTCCTGATTCTTCCAATGAGGGTTTGAACTCTGTTAATGATTCTTGTCACTCTTTGTTCATAGTTTCTTGGCTTATTTTCCCTGTTCAAGAGCGCTTGAAGTCTGTTTTTACGGTTTTCCATTCGTGCTTCTCTCCTGTCAGCTCTGGCTTCAAGATTTCGGCATCGGTTGAATTTCCTTTCAGTACAGTTGGTTAATCTTCCAGATCTTCTGGCAACTCTCTTGATCTTTTGGAAGATTTGTCGGAAATTTTGAATGAATCCATTAATCGTGTCACGATATGCCCGGATGACTTGTCTGCAATTTCCAGTTACAACGGGGAAACATTTGGTTTCCGATGCTATATGGAAATAAGAAGAGATCAGTAAGAAATGTGTTTACGATTAAACTTCATTAATAAAGTCAATTGATTTGAGTTTGATACTTACATTCGGTATAACCGAGATAAGCAACGAATATTGTCAGAATTAATACAACTTTCATCTTGAAGATGTCGAGGGAATGATGAAACGAACACAAAAGTTGCTTCTTTTATATTTAAAAAACTGTTCAGTTTGTGACGAAAATGAAAGAATTTTGGATATATCTGGAAAAAGTTGGATCGACTCGAAGTACATCGTATTGAACTGAAAGCGAAAAACAATTTGAAACGTTGCGTGTTAACTTTACTTTAATAGTATCATTGCTAGGTTTGATCCTTTCAGATTGATTTCATTAAGTGATCGTTTTGATTTTAATTCCAACAAATAATATTTAAAAATAGTCTGAAATTATTGGTGAATCTGACTACTATGAAATTTTGATTTTCTATCTCAAAGTTTGAAACTTTTTCTGGGATTCACTTTATTGAGATCAGACTAAAAATCAGTTTAAGGTTTGAATAATCCTAAAAGATTTAAAAATTTTATGTATAATATTTGACTAAGACTTTGATTACATTTATGAATAAATTATGACATAACAATGATTTATGATTTGGAAATGTTAATAAATATTGCAATAAATCAATAAAGTTCGATTAAATTATCTAAAATAACTTTTAAGAAAAAAATAAATGATATTGAAAATTTGTCATAAATATTATGTAATCCAAATTACTTCATTAAGAAGTGTTGTTGTAAGAATGAGTAAATTTGACAAAGAAACATAAAATTTTATTAATTAAATCTCAACATAATTAAAGCTTTATTAGTTGCTGCAATCAGATCACAGCGAATATATCAGTTCAACATTTTTCTCCACGTTGCAACACGTCGTACACCCAAAAATGTTTATGAGCAGTCATACATTAAAATAATAACTTTATGACTCGTCCTTGTTGATAACTTAGTTTCAACCTGTTCTGACGATTATCAATTGACGATCATCACAAAAACAGCTATTTGTTACTTTTTAATTATGTCATGCCCTGACATTCTATATGATGAGAAGATAAACGTTGTATTTGACAACTAGCAGTTGTTATTGATCAAGTAAAGATCTCATTCATTAGGAATTTGTCGAATATTGAAAAACAAATCACTTTTGATTCAAAAGTACTTATTTATTTGCAAGAAATTGGAACATATTTTGTTAGATTTCTTTTTATTCCTTCACAAAACAATCAATCAGCATCTTTTAAATGAGTGTTTTGGTTTTCTTTGATTTTATGATGGAAAATAAAGCAACAAAAATTTGTTCGTTTAAGGAGGCCACGTGAAAAAATTTCTACATAAACAAGTTCACCAACATCTTTCATATGGATCGTGACTATGATCGAATAAGTAGCAGATAAATATTTTATTTGACAACCAGCAGTTGTTATTGATCAAGTAAACGTCTCATACTTTAGGAATTTGCCGCATATTGAAAAACAAGTCAATTTTGATAAACAAGTAAGAAATTAAAACAAATCCTTTGAGATTTCTTATTATTTCTTAACATAACAATCAATCAGCATCCTTTAAATGAGTGTTTTGGTTTTCTTTGATTTTTTGATGGGAAATAAAACAGCAATTCAGGAGGCCACGTAAAGAATTTTTTCAAGTTTTTCAATAACATCGACATTTGGCCGTGAAAAAACTCGAAAACATACAAATGTGCCTACATGTCAAGTCGACAAATTACTCACATGTTTGATCAAATACTTCATTAAAAGTTTTTTTCTTTTCTTCTAAAATAATTGTTTTAAACTATCGAAAAGATGATTCAAACATCATCAGTCAAAAATGTTCTTTTCTTTATTCGTCCTCACTGAAATCAATATAAAAGCGTTTAGAGTGAAGCTTCAAGCATTTTGTTTACAACCACGTTGAATTCCATGATATTTAATAGCCGTAAGGCTCATCAAAAAATATAAACAAATTCTTACCGAATGTTTATGAAAGCAAAGCTTTGATTTTCTTATAACAATGTAATTAATATAAATTTCTAATTGTTTTGAAACAAAAAACCTTCAGATAAATAAAACAAAAAATATTTCACAGAATTTCTTTTTTTATTCATTTTTTTTTCGTTCATCATGTAAATTATTTACAGATTTGCTTAAGAGTTGCTTTATATCCTAAAATCGGTATCCATTTTAAAGCGCGGTATTTATTTTTCGTATTTCAAATCAAGTCTTGAATCCAACCATTAATTAGTGGAAAGCTAATTGATGAGAAATCATCAAAACTCTCTCCACGAGTATTGACAGAAACGCTTTTCTTAAATGAAAGATTGATTGGACAAGATTTGATTAATGAAATTGTCACATTGTTATAAGGAAGGTTTTAAAACAGAGTTTCGATAGTGGATTGCAAGGGCAGATAGTGTAGGAAGACAGTGAGAGAGGGCAATAAATGGCAGTAAAGCTTATTGACTACTATACTAATAACTTATTGGCAGTGGAGGGTCAGTTCTTAGTGATAGTAATTATCTTTTTCATAACGACGTGGGTCGTAAGAACCATCATCTTCATGTCCATGTCCGTAGTATCCAGCTGATGATGATTTTGATTGAGCTTCAGCAACTAAAGCGAAATGTTTTGCTTTTTCAGCTTTAACTTCTGGGGTTTCATCTGGGACGCCATTATGAGTGAGGGTTGGGTAGTGGTAGGCAGCTGGGGCGTAGTTGTAAGATGGGGCGTGATTGTAAGCTGGGGCAGCGGCATAATGTCCACTGTATCCAACCTTGGATTTAGCTTCAGCGACAGCGGCGAAATGCTTGGCTTTAGCGTGTTGAACTTCAGCAGTGTCGACTGTTAAATTGATGAAAATATTTTTAATGACCTTCCAATTAAAAAATCATTTTTATGATAACAAACCTGGGATTCCATTGACTGGTGCTGGTGCTGGTTGATGGGCATAATGGTTATAGTAAGCTGGGGCTGGAGCAGCGCTATGTTGGTTGTAAGCTAATTGTGGGTGGTAGACCAATGGATTGGCGGCTTGACCAGCAAGAGCACGTTGAACAGCAGCGAAATGATGAGCTTTTTCATGTTGAACTTCGGGTGTGTCGACTGGGACGCCGTTGACAATGACTGGAGCTGGAGCATGGGCCCATGAAGCAGATCGTTTGTAGTGGTGGTGAAGTCTGGCTTTGGCTTCAGCGTGAGCGGCGAAGTGAGCGTGTTCAGCGGCAAGAACTTCTGGGGTCTTTGAGACTGGTAATGGAGCACCATGAGCATGGGCATAAGATGGAACACCCCAATGTGAGACGGCGGGAGCAGCGTGATAGGCAACGACTGGTGCTGCATGATATGGAGCGACAGCGTGAACTGGAGCTGGTCCCTTTGGCAAGTTTGTTGCAGAAACAACTTGGAAACCGTGATGAGGGTCGGCGACATATTTAACAGACTGAACGTGACCGTGAGCATCGAGATAAGAGTATCCACCATGGAGTGTGCCATCATGTGATTTTGATTCATGCTTGGTACTCAATGGATCGCTGAGAAAATAATAAAAAATATTAATAGAATGAGAATTGAAAACGAAAACGTGATCTGAATATGTCAGCGAGTGAAGTCTTGTGTTAGATAAGTTTGAATGAACATTTATTCTACCTGTATCCATAGCTATATCCACCATGTCCATCTTGAGATTGGTATTGGCTTGAAATAACGCCGTAGTGGCTGGCTGCACACGAGGCTACGAATAATGTTGCAATTACCTGGTTTTGGTCAATGAAACAAAAGATACAGAAATAAGTTAACGAGTGCCAATAAGTTTTCTCTATTGCATTTTTATATTAGATGATGTTGTGAAATTTTCATATTTTTATTGAATTTTTGCATAATAATATCTGAAGCTTTGTGGCATAAAACGTTTCAGTGGTGAGCTCTTTTATGCATTATTTCAATGGAATTTCTGTTACACTTGTAGAGAGTGGAGCGTTTTTAATTACAGTTCAATTCTGCTTTTATTACTCGCTTCTTTCTTTCTTTTTTTTTTCTTTAATTTAAAGTGAGTTATTCAATTCAACATTTCACACATTTCACTCAAGCTCAAAAGCTCTGATTTAAAACATTAATTGCAGCACTTGGCTTTCTGGTTTTTTTTCTTGAAGTTTAATATTTTGAATTCTTTTTGGTGTGAAATTCTTTAATCCATTTTAATCCTTGAGGAATGTTAAACTTGAAAAGAAAATTTCTTTCACTCTTTTTCTGCGATAGCAGAATTTTCATTTCTTTTTATTCACAATCTACGATGTCACTGAGCTGAGTTTGAGTAATATTTTTTCATCCACTTGTGACTTTTCCTGGTTCACATCTAAATCACTTTTATCGCTTATGACAGCGATTTTTTACGATATTACTTTTTGTTTGAATCGAATGAATCGAATTCTTGATAGATACTTACGAAAGCTTTCATTTTGCTATGTTTTTTCAAAGAATAGTTAAGAGTCAAGTGAAAGGATAGGAATTCTGCAGAAACCTCCTAGTGATTGCTAGGACTGTTAGCGACTGTGATTCAAACATGCCAATCCACCACCTTATATACGAAATGAAATAATTAAGCAACAATACAAAAAGAATAATTCCACTATTTACTTACATACAGACAGCAATACAAACATCCAACAAACGCTACAGATTTCCTACGAAATAGTTTCTAATAATAATCACTTTTTTTATGTTTATTCCATATTTTCATTCCTCACCTTATTGCTGTGCTTTTGCCCTAAATGTATATCAGACGTCCGCGTGCTTTAACACAAATACAATCGTGAAAAATTGTTTGAAAACTCGGGTAGCGGGGCAGTGGAAAGAAGAAGAAAAATAAGAAAAAAAAGCATTTTTCACTCTCCATTGCATATTGAAATTAATTTATTCATAATTTATATATCTGTCTATATGTGGATTAATTTAATAAGTTTTAAGCACAGAAAATCTCATGAATTAAGTTGTCGAAATATCTTAATGTGTTGCTTTGATGGTACAACATTGTCCCACTAATTCGTGTCATTGAAATTGTTCGGCAATAGGCGATGCAGTTTGACATTAACAAGAGCAATGATTATCAAACACCGCACCAGCACCATGAACAAATGAATAAAAGAAAGAGCAAGAAAGAGAGCAGAAAATTGATCACAAAACGATCAACACACATTCATGGTCTTTGCCGTTTATGTCGTTATTTTTCGTGTTATTCAGATTGTATGCGCATTTAAAGCAATTTCTTGTGGGTATTACATTCTGACGTTGTTACAGCACAGCTTTTCCTTATCCATGACCTTGCTTTCAGTTTCGCCGTTTCTGATTATTATTTCATCTCTTTTTGATTTTTTTTCTTCTCTCCTCGTTGTACAAGTCATTCTTGTATTTTTTTTCTTGTTTCTTATTATTTTGTTTCACTTCATTAATCGATTGTCAAGCATTGCTCAAGTCTGTAATCGACAAGTTGCAAAAATGCTGGAATGCTGAAGTGAAGCCAATAAATTCTCCAACTTGTTTAGATTGATTTCCTTGGTTTTCAGGCAAAACTTATCAAAAGAAATGCCTTGAAAGTTTAACGAACAGTAGTTCAATAAATAAGTTCTGCGCTGATCGGATTATTCTCGAGCTGATTATGTTATTTCCCAGTTTATTTTTGGAGTCAACAAACTTTCGTTCAATAAAAACAACATTATCCATTTCAATTATTGTTTGACGTAATTTCTATGGCAGTTAAGAATGTTATTCCCTACCATATCAATTGGATGGTCCTCATGCTTCTCCTAGGCAATGACATTATCTTTATTGGCAATGTCAAATCAATCAGCAAATGTCTTGTATGATTTATAAGTCAACGACATGCCCACCAACATACCAATTGCCGATATAAATAGCAAAACTGTTGCAGTTGTAATTTAATTTTTTTTATTCAAACTCTTGAGCTTCGCCTAAGCTTACAGAAATTATGGGTTTGTGCAATTCAGCAATTTCAAGAGGTCTAAAAAATTCTTAAAATAGTTTATGCTCCGTCATGCGGTTGCCTTGAGCTTGTGAGTTGCATGAAGTAACTAAATACATATTTCTAAAGGATTTATTTTGACACAAAATTCAATAAAAGTCGGGATGTTTACTTTACAAATGAAATATCAATCAGAGTATAATATAAAGCTCTTGACATTTCCTTTTCCAAGATTCTTCTTCTAAGGTAAAGTTCGTATTGACATCTAGAAATATTCTGTCTCTTCAATTCCCAACTCGCCTTTGCAAAATCTATTTCTGAAATATTTCATTTAAAACTTTTCCTATGCAGAGCTTCCTACAAAAAAAAAGTTTCATGAAAGAAAGAAAAAAACATTCAAATATTTTCCACATCTGTTCCATTTCTATTTCAAGTTGCAACATTCGTGTTTTGTAACAAAAACTAACAGATAAACATGTTGTTAATATGCTTGACGACTTGTTATTTTTACACCTAACACCCACTCAACGACAATGTTCTAGACATTAAGGGATATTTTTTTGTGCATTTACAAATGTCAACTGGAGCTGAAACTAATGACATGACATTCAGACATTGAAAGTGTTATTGAATGTATCCAGGATGTGAGTGAGATTCTTGCTTTATGCTTTTAATATTAAAATCTCAACAAAATAATTCACGTTTCCCTTTCAGTATCCTTCAATTGCAACAACTTAAGTGCAGCATCTCTTTACTTCCGAAAAATAAATTTTATTTCCCTTGAACTTTTGAAGATTGCCAACTGAAGCGGAATCTATGACATGACGGTGCAAAGTTTTCTTCGCCTTCTTGGATAAAATGAATAAAATGCTTTTTTTGTCTCTCATCTTAATGTTCAGCAGACTGTAGATTGATTAAAGTCTTAATAAATGTAATAACTGTAGTGAGAATCATTTGAAAATGATAAAACATTTTGCTTTATGACAGTTCAGTAGTTAGTAGAAAATATCAAACGAAACGACAACTTTTTCTTTTATCTTCAAGTTGATTTCTTCCTTCTTTTTGGACCATTTCACTTCACTACAATGAACTTTTGTTGTCATTCGTTGCTTCTAATGAATTTTGAAATCAGAAAACTGAATTCAGGAGACCAAGTTGAGTGAACATAAATTGTAATCAAAGTGTAATAAAAAACTGCAAGCATAGGTCAGATGAATATTCTTAATAAATTGCTGCTTAGATATCCACTTAATTAAGAATTTTTCTATCCCATTGAGCGATATTTGAACTACTGCAATTACTGGTTAAAAATAATCGCAACAGTTTGAAACAACCACACACGTTTGGTCATGGACATGACGACAAAAAATAAGATAAAGCCGTGATTCCAGTAAGTTTAATTTTCAACAGCAGTGTAGTAAAAGATTGCAACTGACGTAAAGTAAAATTATAGAAAAATGAAGAAAAAAAATTATTTCAAAATTTTCACAACTTTTGCTACGACTCGAGACCGATACACGATAAATAAAAAAAAATCAACCAAAACTAATTGCCAAATTGCCATCACAAATCCAATTAAAGATTTTCCCTCAATTAAAAACTTTTTTGCAAGGCATTAATCGACTTACAAAAATTATTCCAATTGTTACATTCAATTTAATATTAATTCATAAAAGCTTCATCTTTAAAGTATCTAAGTGATTCGAATCAATGATTTGGACATCGATCTACGAATGAGCGAGTTTCAAGTTAAAATTGAAACGTTAAATAAATCTTCAAGAAAGAAATGTATCTGCACAAAGCTGCACAGAGTTGGCTGACTGCACCTCATTACGAAATTCAATTTGAACTATTTTCTCTTAATGGTAAACTGCAATTAAGACACCTTCCATATTCATTTTTGTTTTGTTTAACTCGAGTGTAGATATATTGAAGAGACTTGGGGCATTTCTAAATATGAAGAAAAAAACTTAATTATGCAATGTTCTGCATGTTGTCGTAACAATAATCATACCTGCACAAATCTCATGAACAATGAAAGAAATTGCTCAGCGTCTAAGTCTTGAGCAATTGACACTTCTTTTTATTTATTCAGACAATTCAATTTGTTCAATATTCAGAATTAAGTTTAAAATTGATGCAGGAAATAACAAGTCATGATGTTTCAGAGGGAGGTCCACGAAATATTCTCAATTATCCAATTATATCACTTTAAGGAACTTGTCAATTGTGAAGACAATTAAGGCGTTAACCTGTAAACACAAACTTTACTGAATATAAATTAACAATTAATAATGCCTAAAGGCACAATGCGAGAACTCAAACTATCCATTGTTGCATGCCCAGCTATGTTGATTATTAAATCATTTACTTTAGAATATCAATGTCTATAATTTCTGAACTAATTAGGTTAACGCAGTCAGCATAAAAGAATTGGGTGTGAAAAAAAAGGAAAAGAACAAAAGCTTAATAATTCGTTTGTGTGGATAAGTTTAAAGATTGTTAATTTTGAATCTAAAAATCATTTTAAAAATTTAACATTTTTAAAGTTTACTTAACAGAAAAGAGATTCCGAATTTTTATTAGAATTCTTCTATCCAAACCACCATCGCTTTTTAAATCATTCAGCTTGACAATGGACACACTGAAACAATCTGATAGTAAATTTCATTAACGTTCCAATGTTGAACTTCTAATTAGTTATCGAACCCAACATTGATCTTGACGATTTTTTTTTCTATTCCAGCAAACCAAATTATTACCCGAAAACTTGATTTTAATTCGATCTTTTGTGCAAGAAACATTCCGCTCTTTATCTCTTGTGTTCATTATAGATATAAATATCTAAATGGTGGCAATTCTCTAAGAAAAACATTCCACAGTTTCTTTATGTAAAAAATATCTAGTTAGTAATTTTTTTCTTAAAAATGCAACTTGTTTTTACTATTTAGATATGCAAATATGCTTTAGATTGATTTTCCTTCTTAGCACTACTGAACCAACAGCTGGTTGGCTAATTTGAGGTAAAGTAAGCTACCAAAGTCAATGCAGCATGACAATGAAGAAATTGAGAATCAGCTGATTTTGATTTAAACAATCTTCGTTGAAAATATTGTTAGGTGCGCAGCAGCAATAGCAATTCGAGCATTTGTTTAATCATAGTTATTAAAATACTCATAATTACATTTTTTTTAGTTACGTTTGCAAGCAGACATAACTTCGCTTTGTTGTTTCAAAGCTCTGCTTGACATTGGGGCTAGTGTTTCTCAAAATCCCTATTTTTAGGGAATAGGGAAAAAGAAATCGTCAAATTTCTACTAGAAATCGCTTAATTTTTCCTATAAAGATGGATTGTTTAGTGTTTTCTATGTCAGAACATTACGTTAATGCAGTTTTTTCTTTTAAAAAAAGTCGATATCTAGTAGAAAATCATCGATCCCTGATCCCTGTTTTTCAAAAAACAGGGATTTTGAGAAACACTAATTGGGGCAGTCGGCAGTTAAATAAATGTTAATAGCAATCATGCTAAACTATTTGATTTATAATGTGTTGTGCAAGTCCATGTTTAAATATTGTTTTTCATTCGTCGAATTTTTTTTCTTAGCTTCAAGAATTTAAAACAGCGTGGGGTTTGAAGTTAGTAGTAAAAAGACAAGACAAGCATCGGCTCAGGTGTTTACAGTTAAATTTTTTTAATGTTTCATATAACATTTTTGGGTAATGAAATAAATTAATCGATAAACATGAAAATGTTCGTAATTCATTCTTCAATTTCTTTCGTTTATGTTCGTCGACTTTATTTAAGGAAAAAAGAAAGAAAATCCGTGGGAATTTTAATGCAAAATTATTTTATTTAAACATTCATACACATTTGATTTGTTAAACTATTACATTATTCAAACTGCCGCATAAAAAGAAACACTTATTACTTAAGAGAGAAATTTATTGCGCATATCAACGTTTACAATGGTTGAAGCAATTGCTTGAAGCAACTTGGTGGTGGCATTAAATCAGTGATAACAATAAATTAAGTTATTGAAATGTCTGACATGTTTTCGGGATAACTTTATGGGTTGGGAGTCTTAAGACATTTCTCAGTTTATGAAAGTAAAAAAAAATTGAAACAAAAATATTTTGATGTTGTAATGAGACACGAGAATCTAAAATATTTGTCAAAAAATGTTACAATTTAACATAATTAGAGTTCGCTATGAATTTAATGCCTGCTTTGTTGCTCAATGAACCCTCATCCGGGATTTCATGTTAACACTGTGTAATAAGATTCGTGATTTGAAAGCCTTTTAAGGCGAAACATATGTGGAAAAATACAATTAATAATATGAAATCCAATATATGTACTTAACAGGTTCAATACCCTGCTGAGTGGAACGATTTGAAGCATTGCACATACCTCAGTAATTCAGCAATTAAGCTGAACACTCAGGCGAACGATAAATGAACAAATCAACCAGAGTGCATGTTTCGTTTTGTAAATATTCCCCCGGCATTCAATTATTAGGCTAGTCTCAAATCTATTTGTGATTTTGAAACAATTACTAGATTTTTATCTTCTGGATTAATCTAAATAATTGGTGAGATTATTTTTAAGAAACAAAATGCAAAAAAATTGTTGACAAATTACATGAATATAAATTTTAAATTTTACACCCACAATTTCTAATGGTTCTCTTTGGAAAATTATAGATCACAATTAGAAAAAATATACAATGGGAAAATTAATTTATATTTATTTTTACATGTTAACAATTGAACACGCTTTGCATGTAAAAAAGTTTAATTTGTTTTATTTTAAACACGAGACAGTCAGGAAAGGTTTAAACCTAACGATAACATAATAAAGAAATAAAAATCATGCATGATTGAAAGTAAGTACGTCAGATTTGTGTTAACAAATAAACATTGAATATTTTGTATCTGAAATGTCAAAGCTCTAGTAATTCACAATTATTTTTCCTGCTGTTGCAAGTTGTCATTGCAAGGACGTAATCTTTCAGATTGAATCAATCTTGCTTGATAGACAAGCTCGAGCACAAAAGTCTCATAAATCTATTATTTCATATAAATCAGCTTGTATAATAATGAACACATCTAAGTATCAAGTGTCGATTTGAATCTAAACGTTTTAGCACTTGGGACTTGACTTATTTAATCTCATGATCCCAAACCATAGCTCATGATATTTTATTTCTTTCTCTATTGTTGAAGATTTTTATCTCCAGTTTCATGAAGACAACAACATACGGCATTGTGTTTAATATTTCAATACATATTTTAAGAGGCGTGCATATAGATCGATTAATTACAGGTTATTAAAAACTGCTTGAGTTAACATTTCAAATGAGTTAAATCAAGTTGGATTTGAATAAAAAGAATCGAATGTCTTAAGGTAATCTTAAACTTTCAATAAGCAAATATTTCGTGGTCGCGGTTAATTTTTTTTTGCAATTCATTTACTAACAATTCATTTGATTGACGATATAATTTCCAAAAAATAAAAACAATTTATTAATAGACTTTGAATTAAGTTTTCATAGTTTAAATATTCCGACAATTTCACAGCATTATAGAACAATGACATTCACTGACGTCTACACCTGAACGCTTCTATTTAAATTCATTGCCATTGATAAGCTTCAAAAGCTTCGAAAATTTGTCTGTAAGCCGCCATGAATTTGTGAAATAGAATGCAGTTTGTTCCATCGTTTGTCACTGAAGTGGTCGAAGTGGTTTTAAGCAACAAATGATTCTGAACATTTTTCAGTTCATTGTTTTTTCTCTCATAATATTTTTGAAGTTAAGCTATTCGCAATATGATCTTGAAAGTGAGAATTTGTATATTTTTGTTGTTCCTTCATTAATCACTTTATTTTTTTATATTTAATATCAATTACCACATAGCTTTATGTTCTATGGCACCATTTCCAGGGTCTTGCAAAGCTTCCATTACCAGATTCTTCTACGACGGTTTAATTTGCCGTGCTTATAAATGGGGCGGATGCGCAACAAATTTCAATAACTTTAAAACCCGTGAAACCTGTGAACGCGTATGTCGAAGAAAAGGAGACAAAACTGCTTCCTAAAATGCCGAACCTTTTTTTAATCATTTTACCTGTAATCTAAAAGCTGAAGCGAGAATTTTTTAAAAGGAAATGTCATTGGAGACAAAAAGTTGTTTATTGATAATTAATAAAACCAACTTAAAGAAAGAGAAAAAAAAATCAGAGCTGTCATGCTAGCTGTGCAAGTTATGCGTTTTTTGTTAATGAAACGCGTGTTGAAGGCGAAGCAGCGAGAAAAGGCGAACGAAAAAAAGCAGAAGTAAATTCAATGCCAAGCAGCAGTCACTTGAACCAACCTAAAGAGAAGCAGAGTTGATTCGATTATTTCGTTGTAACTCAAGCAATTATCTCAAATGAATTTAACAGTTAAGCACTTTCGTCTTCTTCATCGTACGTAACCTTATTAGTTTGGCAGATTCATTAACAAATGAAGCTTTAAGTTAATTTCTCTTTTCTTATTTGACATTAATAGGAAGATTGGTGAACAGTTTTAGACACGCACAGAGCTTTTAGGAATTTCCTGATTTTCTTTCTTCCCACCTTTTATTGAATAACTTTCAGCAGAATACTTCGATGTGAATTAATAGCATATCGGAAATTCTATTGTTACGTAAAAGCTCAGAGAAAACGAAGTCTTAATTACAGTTATCTTCCAATTAACTAAATAACTTCGTATTTGCCATTCTTTTCGCCTAAAACATGAATCAAATTACTTCATATACATTTTATTTACCATTCACGAAAGTAATTAAAATTTGAATTTTATGCATGTAAACTAAGCAGCATCTGTTGATGTTGGGTTCAAGGATTCCTTCTCTATAAATATTCTGCAGTGGAAATGCAACCAAATTCTTTTCCTTTCCTGGCATCAAATTAATCTGATGAAAGCATGCATATGAAGCTAAACATGAGAAATATTAAATCATTTTAATTTAACCACAAAGTTCATACCAAAATCTTTTTCGTATTCAATTTCAACTCTGAAATTTTTCTGACTTCACTTGAAAGAATTATGATTGCATGATGAAATAAGTTTTACAGAAAAAATTAATTTGATGTTTTTATTAATAATCATTTAATATCAATTTTGATTATAAAGTTAATTAATTAACCCATAGAAAGTTATAAAACTTAATGCCGAGTCTTCCTTATTTCTGCATATTTAATATGAGAGTTAAAGTTACTTAATACTACAATAAGACACTAGCTATGTAGGATGCTTATCCATCACAGATAATAAATAATTTTGTATCATGTGGACGTTTGTTACGATTTGTAACAGTTTCTATAAATTTAAAATTCCAATACAAATCTTATAAGATGCTTGTACAAGCTTATGTTTTGTAGCATAAACTTATACAAGAAACTTGCATAAAAAACTTGTACTTATAATTCTTGCTTATGGTAATATCGAGTCTTCGTCAAGCTTTTTATAATTTTCCACAGGACTTTTGTAAGTATCTTTAGGGCGCAGGTCAGACTTGTAAACTAAATTCTTCTTAAACTTTGCACTATTATTAACTTCATCTTCATCAAAAGCTTCAATGTTATTTTCACTTTTCACATCAAATGCTTTGTTGAAATGTTGTTCAACTGGTTCTCTCAACTCACTATTTTTAACAGTTGATTCTTTATGTTCATCTGAGAAAAGTCTCTCAGACACTTTGAAGAACTTTGAAATTTTATAAACAACTGGATGAACATATTTTGAATCGAAAGTATCGGCTTTTGAAAATGTCAAAAGACTTATGATGGATCCAAGGATAACTGTTAGAGCAGTTCCCAAAAAACTGTAGTACATGTAAGAGACTGCATAAAGGTTTTGTGGGAAACCATTTTCTGTTGGTGGAGCTAAAGTAGATTCAATCAAATTTTGCGTCTCAAACATGTTCGAAGTTTCAAGCGGTTGGACAAGTTCAAGGAACATTGTTTTTCCAGGCCTTATTATTGAACTTGAAAATGATGAATTAGTGCAACCAGCAATTGATGTTTCCAAAAACTCCGCAGATGTCGTGTCAATTGTTAAATGTGCAAACGTCAAGTACATAACAGTGACATGCGATATAATCATTCCCGTGGCTGCACCTTTCCAATTAGCAAAAGGAACGCAAATAGCAAGAAGGAAAACTCCTAAATATAAATAAAAGATTTGAAGTTGATAAATTATTCACTTAATTAAAAGTTGTTACCTAGTAAAGGTCCACTTGTTGCACTTGTCATAAGTTGAGCGCTTTCAATGACGCCTGACAATAATTGAACAAGAAATCCAACACCCATAATCATGAGACCATAAATGGAACCAATTAGCTTAATGATTCGAAGTTGTTTCTTATCATCCATATTTCTAAAATATGGCAAGTTCGATAAGAAATCTTCCCATGTGACTGTTGCAAGCGAGTTGAGATTGGAGATGTTAAGAATTAGTGCACCGTTGAATAATGTTGACAAGAAGATTCCCATCAATCCCGGCACAAACGAATATTTATCTTCAACAAAGAATGGAAGAATAGCGTCTGCTGACTTTGTATAACCGAACTTCAATGGATCACATTCTGAGTAAGCTGCATAAATGCCCATGCCGACAACCCATGATAACGAGAATAGAACAGTGATAACGGGAATGTTCAACATCATCATTCTGTAAATGACATGACGTTAGAATTTTCCTTTTAAACTTTAAAATCGATAAAACTTACTTTGAAACTTGTTTGAAACTTTTCATGCTCATGTAGCGTTGAACAAAGTTTTGTTGACAACCAAACAGACTCATCGACATAAAAAGTTGTCCAATTAAAGCTGATGTTGTATCAACACGTACTGTAAGATCGCCAGTGAAATTGAAAAAATCTAATCGACCGCCATCAAGATTTTTTTTAATAACATTTCCTGCACCGCCTGATTCGATCATCGTTTGAATTATGATTGCAGCAGATACAGCGATTGTCACTAAAACTTGGATAACATCAGCAGTTATCGCAGCTTTTAATCCACCGAGAAGATTAAATCCAATGCTGATGCTTGTGATTGCCACGAGCGACATCCACACGGGAATTCCCATGATAGTGTAAAGTGCAACTGTCGGTGTGAAAACAGTCACTCCAAGATTCAATATCGAACGTAGAGCGTAAGTAGCCGAAGCGAGACGACGAACAAATCGACTCTTGAAACGTAATTCAACTGTGAACGTTCCAAAAATTATTAAATAAATTTCAATCAATTAATTTTCCATTCACTTACTATACTGATAAACTGATGTGATTCCAAGATTAAAGTAAACTGGGATGAATAAAAAGCATACAATTGGATAAGCAGCAACCATTCCGTAAACTGTCTCCCACATGCCTGATCCACGATAATAAAACTCACTTGGAAAGCCTAAAGAAAAGTAAATGAAAATTCACGTAACATATCACTGAAAGGTTCTAAAGTGCTTACCTATGATTGATCTGACACCTAATGTCCCTCGAGCAACCGACAACATCATTGAGATGATGGAAACGCTACCAGTTGCAAACACATAATCCGCCTTTGTACGAGTTTTTTTATTTCCAAAAAATCTGCTCCATAATGGCACGACCGACGCAAGAACAACAACAATGATAAATACAAGATAATCCCAAATCAAATCTGTCCAGTGTTTTGCCATCTAAGAAGAAATGAGAAGCGTGAGAAGATTTTTTTATCATGATAATTCAAAATCATCGCCATTGATCTTATTTGTGAGAAAATATATAAAACGATTAAGAAAAGCAACAAAAAGAGAGAAAAAAATGTTTGATGTGAGTCACGCGTCGTCGGATATCCCAAGATATATGTGTAAAGCACGTGGCTGGTGTTGATTTTTGAGAGTCAACCGGCAAGTTGATTAACGATTCGTCTCAGTCAATACAACACGATTTCTATTTTTAAAATGTTAGATTATTATGGTACAAGCTTAATTATCGCTTAATGCGGTGATTTAAGTTGTAAAGTAATTTGTCCATGTTTTCATTGGAAGGTTTAACCTGAACCACAATTGAATTTCAATGAACCTTCCAAATATTGATTTCAAGATTGGTTCGGATTTGGCAATGAAATAACATTTTTCAATCTATTTTTGTTGATTTCTTATAGTCATGTAGCAAGTGGCACAACTGATTGTGACAATTAAAAAATCTGACATGTGTTGGTGACTTTCAGCATTTGATAATTATTTTAATTACTGGTGAGATTAAATCTTTTATTCTCTGATAATCGCACCTTGTAAATTATTTTGGATCCATCATCATTGAAAGTGAATTGATAAACTGATCGATTTTTTTGAAACATTTTAATTTGACTTTTTATTTTAATAAACTAAGAAAATATTCAACAAAGTTAGTTCTGTTTACATTGACTTCATGCTTAATACTGAAATTTCAATACTGAATTTACGTTCTCTAAACTTTGTCCAGAAATTTTTATATTGTTAACCGACACGTTCGCCACGATCACGGCAAGTTAACTGGGAATACAGAAAATTCTTTTTTTTTCTGTTTATTTACATTATTATAGAGCAGATGATTTCGATTTGATAACAGTTTTCGTGTGAACTATTTGTAATTGCAAAATATATGAACGTCCACAAAAAAAGATTGAAATTTTCTGATTTGGTTGCGAAAAATTTTGTGGATAAAAAATAAATTAATACATTTTGTAGTTCATCATCAAGTCTCGGACGAGTTTCACCTTATGAGAGACTCCACATGATTGCGTTATCAATCATGTTGCATTGGACATTATGGTTGATAACAGTTAAACTGCTACAACCGCCCGTTATGCGTCCACTTAATGTCTAACAGAAGATGACATTAAGCTGAAGGAAGTAGCCTTTGTCTCTCTTTTTCAGTTAATTTTTTTATATCTGATAGCCTTTTGTCCTTTGTTTGTGCCTGAAGCATTTCTGCCACAGGCGAGAGATGATTGAATTTGTCAATGACAAAGATTTTGTAGTTAATTTGTATTAAATATCTGGAGTTGAAAAATCGGCGTCCATATAACTGCTACAAATACTGTTGAGAGTACGAATGTACGATTAACAAACTCGCTTTCGCAGTGGAAGCGTGCTGGGCCCATAACCTATTGAGAGTTCATATTCCGTTGTATTCCTATGTTAATAGTATTATTCCTTGTACTTCACTTTACAAGTTATTATTTCCTCTTGGTAGAGTATATTCACTTTGAGAACCATACAATCTCGAAGTGTTCCAATGCAAAAGACTAGTCGGTGTCAGTCAGGCTATTAGTGCACTGAAAGACTTGCATTGTTGCTTGGCAGATTGCTATCATATACAATCGCATATTCCAACAAATACTTTTCAAACTAATCAGTTAGTTGTAATCAAAGAAGCTTTAAGTTCACGTGAATCTACTTCACAAGCATTTAAGGAAGTACAAGGAAGATTCATGATAACTAAAAATGATTATAAAGTTTTTTGTTTGTATAATTGACTTGATTTTCCATGACTGGCGATGATTTCTATCAACTATTGCGTCAGTAAACAGCATCTCAGGTTTGTTTTGATTTCACCGTTGACAACTTTTTTATGTTTTCTCTTGTACGAGAGAAAACAACATTAAAATGTCTCAAGGTAATACGTATAAGTAGCATAACTGTCTTTGGTTTTTTTCCACAACTCAAGATATTGAGCCAGTGAGTGAAATCCGTTATGATGGAAAGATTTGTCTTCGATGAGTTAAATTATTTATAAATAAAACTGTCTGTATCTAAATATTATATCTTGAAAAACAAATTTTGCAAGTCGTTTCAATTCATTGTTTATACTAATAGAAAGTAATATGAAACTATCGGTAATAAAATGTGTGAAGCACATGATTAAACGAGATGCAATGATGATTAAGAAGTATCGTTGAAATTATAAAAGTTTTTATTACTCACTGAACAAACTTTTAGAAATATTGTGATAAGCAATAAAAACGGAGATGATTCAAACACTTTATCTTGAAATGAAGACACATATCAATCATTTGTAAGACAATGCGTGAACAATTGAAGTACACGATCAGAATTAAGTAATTTGCAAAGACTCATCATGAAAAAATTGTTTTTAATAAAAAAAGAACAAGCAAACAAAAATTTTATAAATGTAATCAACCATGCATCATTGAAGATTAAGCGGAAATTTAAATATTTGACATATCGTGAGTAGTTGATAAAATAAATAGAATTTGACATCAAGTAGGTTCTATGTTAATGAACTTGAGTGTTTTTTCTGCACAACCTTGGAACGAAGTGTTGGAATTTATCACGTTCTAATAAGTATCCAAAATGCAATTTACAAATATTGTAAATGTTATCTTTATTATCAGCACTACAAATAAAGATTAGTTCATTTCAATCTCTTGCGATGATCAGTCGCAAGAATAAAAACTTTCAGACTTTTATTTAACCAACACGAAGAACTATTTGTCTTGTTTATTTAAATAAGTTATTAAACACTATTAGTTGTTTTTCTCACTATTTATCGTAAAGCGCTAGCAATCTTAGTAAACGTACTTAGCAAGTTGCAAAATAGCGTCACAAAAAAATAATGTAAAATTGAAAGACGGCTATCAGATGTGTTCTAAATAATTTTTTATAAAACTTAAAGGCTGATAACAGTCTTTAGATTTGATTAAAAATTACATCCAGTCGAATCCAAACAATTATTGATAATAATCTCGTTTGCTGATTTTAATAACACCGGTTATTACATAAATGTTTATTTATACAACAGTTATTTTTGTTTTTCATTCAGTAGCGTATTCAATCGAGTTTGTTTACCGATTAATCGATAATTAAATAATATTGCGAGACGTAGACAGCTTTTAGTGATTTATGTTAAATATCAAGTTGAAAACTCAATTAAAATGTTAATAAATATTAAAAGTTCAACGTCTCATGATATAAAATATTTTTCTCACTTCTCTAGAAAGAATTTTGGTTAACTTAATTTTAATTTTTAATAAACATTTATTTCGATTTAATTGAATTTTAATTAATTTAACTATGTTCACCTTTGATAAATATTTTTTTAATAATTTCACAAATTTAATTCTCTATAATGTGAATCAAAAGATTTTATTTTCTGTTCATCTTATTTCAACTTATCGGAATCAACGCTTAAAAGCAACTGCTCTTCTGTTAGCTGCTGTGAAAACTTTTTGAAGCTTTCGCACATTATTGCTGTGTGTGTTGATATTCAATTTGACATGAAGTTACTCACTAACACTTACATACATTCATCCTGTGGATTTCAATAAATTTTATTTATACAACTCAATTACTTGTTATTATTAGTAATTTTTGGAAGCGACCAGAATTTTTTTCTGGAGGAAACCGGAATTTAAAACTACGATTCATCAAATTGATAAAAGCTTTGAATTTTAACTATTGCAAATTTAATGCCGTTTCTTTTCATTAACACCTTTAAAATTTAATATCAATTATCACTTGTCAATTTGATCATAAAATCATCTTTTACTATTTGACATAAAGTTACGTAAAGATTTTAATTAAAATGGAAAGAAAATCAAAAGATTTCCATTATATGTAATTGAGAAGACAAAGACCTCTCACGAATTATGTCACTTGTAAATATAAAAGTTAAAGTAAATACTTTGAAAGCTCATAAGAGTGTATCAAGTAGATTTTATATATTCGACATCCTCGTTGGTACCTCGAGTAGATTTTTTTGCGAATGCTGAAGAAGCGACAAAAAAGATTCTTGATCGTCTGCTTTTTTTAAAAAATATGTACAAGAATGGCACGTGATGGTCGTTTCAAGCTCAATGACTTGCATTCAGTCACATGGCTAAATTTAAAATTCTTGAGAATTTCATTGAATTGAGTTTGGTTTTATATAAATATTCTTATATCTTCCAGACTTGACGTCACATATCTGAGGAATATTTTCAGACTTAATCACGTGAAAAACAAGTTCTTAACGATAAAAGCTTCAATAAAAAAGATTCTATGTGTAGAAAATTAAGAATAAAATTATTCATGACATTTTATCTGGATATTAACGGTCTTGAACTTCTAATCGTTTTGAATATATGTTGAGTGGAACTTTTTTTTCTTTTCGCAACTGTTTTCCAGACAAATATATAAAAAAAAGCTTAAACTATTTTTTAAATAGAAAAATGATAAAAACAACTGCAGATATTACTAACAGTTGAAAGGTAAAAAAAATTGATCTAATTCATGTCATTTTTGAATGAATCATTTGACTATTCATTCATTTTTTTATTAGTGAAATTAAGTGACGAAAAGTTCTTTTTTGTTGATGGAATTATTCGAGTTTCGTTCAAGTAGAAAATTGATGAAAGTGTTTTTATAACTTCTGTGAGAATTTTTAAATCTAAGAAACAAGTTTGCTAATGATATGATAAAACATAAACCTAATTCTCAGAAAATCCAAATATGAAGATTAGAGAGTTAGCAGTTTTATTAATTGACACTTTTTTAAATAAAATATCGATTTAAATATTTTTATTCGCTTGGTGATTTCATGAGTCATCGGCAATGGTAAGGATCGTGTCGAACAAAAGTTGATTCTACCGATTTTCTTAACATAAAATTCCAACCAAAGCATGTTGTGAAACCTCGAAAGAAAACAGGAAACATATCAAAATTAAAAACTAAGATGAAGTCAACAAAATGCGTATGCAAAGAGTCGGTTGATGTAATTGCTGATTAAATGCGTTAAAAAAATCGTTATTCAATTCTTAAGTACAAGTGTATTTAATTATTATTAACTTGTAGTTTGAAAGCAACTATTGAGCTAACGTGAATTTAACATTTGTATAGAGTTCCGCAATCAAGACATTGTGACCCATTTGCCATTGAGAGGTTCAAAACACTTCTATTCACATTGTTTAGTTGCCTTTCCATGATCAAAGTCAAGGATTTATGATCGTATACAATTACTCTCAGCTCAAGAAGAAATAAATTTGAATTCACATTGCTTAAGGAATTTTTCTTGTTCCTTAATTCCTCAAATTCAATCGCAAGAGAGAATTGGATGGAAATTTCCACAGCTAATATAAAAAATGATAAAGACAGTACAAGAGAATATTTAAATACAAGAAAATAAATAACAAGTTGTGGGTCTTAACCCTCACCTTAAATGTTTGTTAACTATTTTGTTTTGCTTCTTTTTCCAACTGATCTGCTTCACTCATATTTTTACATTTGCTGAGCGCCATTAATAAATTTCAAGTCATGTGTCAAAAATTTTTTTGTCGATTAGCTTTCAAAAGATACTCATAGATTTTTTTCTTGTTTCTTTGTACATCCAATGGATCAAATAAATCAGATATTAACCTTCAAATTAATTGGTAAGACTTCACTTAACTCTTGAAGATAAGCACAGTCAGAGTCACGAGACAACATGCAAGAGTCAAATAATTATGCGCCGTTTTTGTTAGTTTGCTTGCAGAAATTAAAATTTTGTTCTTTTACAATATCATTTTCTTCATAATCAAAAAAGTTTTGGAAACTTCTAGATGTTTGTTCATTGAACTTGTTTTCGAAATTCAGAAATGTAATATCAATCAGATCAAATAAATTATGAGGTAGATTTTTATTTTCCACAGGTCACTTTAACACTTCACAAACCGTTAGTTGCAGATATAAGTTTTATTTATTCAACAAACACTTTAATTTATTCAGGAACACTTCTGCAGATTTTTTTTTTTCATTTCAAACGATTTCGTTTCGTGCTATTTAGTTTAATATTTTCCTAGTTAACAGGTGACAAAAGTAAAAAAAATATAATACTTACATTTGAATATTGTTAATATTCACTTTACTTTTTTCGCTGTTATCAGTTTTAAAATGTACTAAATAAGCACTTTCAAAATTTACAAAAAAAAATATTCATTAAAGGTTTACCGGTAAGGGTTGACCGTTTTGCTTGAGGTCTGAATCACAACTGAGTGTGAAAAATGCGAATCTGTAAAGTGAATCAAAGAGTAAAAACAGTAATTTAACCACAGGAGTCTCGGCTTGAAAGTCCGGTTTAGTAATCGTCCATTTGAATAGAAATGCTTCTTAAGTAATGAAAAAGCTTAAGATAAAAGCGAAAACAAACAATCTCTTCGAACATGAGCAGATATCTAATTTTAAACATCAATAAACAAGATTATAAATTCCATCGTAAGTTTATTTTGATGCATCGCAAAATCTTTTCTTTCATTCTTTAAATTTTTATAAACTTTCCTTCTTTTATAATTTTTTCTTGTGAAATAAAATGTGTTCGTCCTTTACTATTAGATTAAGACAAAATTGGTAGTAATCTAATAGTTAAGGACGTGACATAAAATAGATATGCTCATCATGTGATTATGCATCATTTTCTTTATTACTGAAAAGCTCATGTTGAGATATTTTAGAAAAAGCTCAAATAAAAGCTTTGAAGCAGCGCCATCTATTTTTCAATAGATAATTTTCCCTTGTTTGCAAAGCCTTCGAATTTTCATGTAATTTCTTAAATAGATTAACTGAAATAACGGTCGAGCCAATTAAATTTTCCATCTGCTTTTCACCTATTAAATAATAGCAAAATATATGTGGATATGGAAAAGAAAGAAGAAATTCTAAGATTTAATAAAAAAATGCCGGAGGTCTTTTTTGTTTTCCAATTTCGTTTATTAATTGATTTTATAAATATTTCATTTTTCAGATTGAATATAATGTGTTCTTTGTTTCTTTCATTTAAAAAGTAATTACGATGATATTTCTAATTTTCTTTATGTCAAAAGTTAATGTATGGTAGATGAACAATTATTTTACAAAAAAATCATATCCGATGGTAACATGAAACTGGATATTAATTCATCTTTGATTTAAATATATTTTTATGTTTATTAAGACATATACTTCTTCAAAACTTATTTCATTAAGTTTAGTTATTTTTGATTCTATCAACTCTGCTAAATGTTTTCATGAACTTTATATAGAAAACTTTCAACTATCTTTGGACATTCAATTTAATGATGGAAATGCTTTTTTGCATAATATTGTTAAAGAAATATTCTCATTATAAAATATGTTAAAATATTTCTTTTGTTCTTTGTAGAATGTTTCATGAGAACTAACAACGTTAAAAGTAAAAAATAAAATAAATATTTTTGCTTAGGAATTGATTTAGTGTAAACTTTACTTAACAGTAGGAAAAAGATTTATTTTGTTATTTTGGTCATTAAACTTCAATAAAATTTTTATAACACATCTATTTAATAATCACGGAGAGAGAGCAGTAAAATTTGTATAAAAAATGTTTTATAGATCAACTTTTGTTTACACTGGATTGTTTAAAACTTTATTTTTATACTTATGTGCGGATTGATTGTGAAAGTGTTTTAGTATCCGCAAGCAGTGTAATTTGTTTTCCTCTCTGAGTTTAATTTAACAGAAAACATGACGTTCTTCACGATCAAACGAAGAGTTTATAAAAGCTTATTTTGTTTTCTTAAAACGTGACACATACTCCTCATTTTTTATTCAAATGGAAGACGGGGCTCATCATCATCCATTTGAAAATGTACAATAAGTAGCAACATGTAATTTTTAATGATGGAGAACGAATGAAAAAACGAGATTGAAAACCTTAAAGACCTTCCTAAGTAAGCAGATTTCCTTTTGATTACATTCATGAAACATTTTCCGCGGTGTTATCTTTACAAATGAGCTCTGATTTAAAAGCTTTTCTTAAGATGTAGCCATGAAGCTGTTTTCTATATTTTCGTAAATTTATTATCTACTTCTGAATAAAATTTAATCTCATTGAGATGTACGAAAGAAGCGACACTGAAGCTGAACCTGGAGTTATTACTGCAAAATGAATTTCACTTACTCTCAATGTATTTCATCATGAAAATAAATGGAAGACAACATTTCTTTAACCAGAGTTCAGCTTTGTGTGTTTTCATTCTTTTTATTTTATTTTCTGGTTGATTCTTTTCCTTTAAATATTTAAAATTTCAATTAGTACGAAGGGGACGCAAAACCTTAAAGGAAATAAATTTTCTATTTAACAATTTGGCAAATGAAAAATGAAAAATTTTCTTCTCTCATGCTTTAAAATTCCACTCAGGCTTTCTTTAATCTTTCTTCATTTAACGCCTCAAGAGAAATATGTTTCATAATAGTCATATTAATCATGATGGAATTTTTACGCTAATTACCGAAATGAATAGTGAAATATTATTTATTAATTAGCGGTGTAGAATTCGAAATGAAAAATATCTTAATAATTACGTTCAATAACAATTCGTACTCATCCAAGTCTAAACGATTTTCTATCTCCAGCTTTATCTTCATATAGTTTAATTTCGAAACATCAATCATTAATCATTAAGATATGTTTCAAAACACATTCGCAGAATCAAAAATAAAATGATTAATTTTGAGAAGATTTTCCCGAAACCATAAATTTTCTTTATTTGACTGAGTTCTTTTAAAATATTTTCCGATAAAAGGAACCATGCGCATGTATTGATATTCATCAAAATCAAGCAAAATATGAGCAGAACATATGAATTTTCCTAAAGCCTTAACCGTAAAAATATCTCAATGATTCAACTTTAAATTATAGAAACCTCATCCCGTTGGAATTGAAGCTTCACTTCATAAATAGTTCGCAATTTCATTCAAATACAGAAACATTTTTTATTCTTTCATCATTCCAAAGAATCTTTGATAGAATTCTAGATATTTTTCCACGTCGTGATCTTGTTTTCATAACTTATGTATGCACATAAAAGGAAACTATTTCAATATCTCTTTCCCTTCGCTATATCACTTCTGGAAAAGCTTTGAGCTACAGTAAAGTCAGAATATAAAGTTGAACAGTCTGAGATGGCAAAATAAAGTTTTTTTCTCTGATACAACATCAGAAAAGATAAAATAAACTCAATTGTTTTTAGTTTACATTTCTTCGGTCAATCTACAAAACATTTTCCCGGATATTCAAGTTTCTGTTGAAAATACATCATTTCTATGCAATTCATGGAAATCAATTCTCAATTCTTATCAATTCATCTCCCTATCTGACTCGTAGCTCTTTTAAACTTCCTCAAACACATGAAGAATGTCTTTGAACGGAAATTTTCTACTTTATTAAACATTTGAAACATTTGGAAGATTTCTTCTTTTTATACTGTTGAAAGCATCCGAAAATTTTCACAAAATAAAAGCTTAAAGAAAAGTTATAAGTTTGAAAATTGAAATACTTTCTTTATGGCGAAGAATTTCTTTAAAAACCGTAGAAATTCAAGTAATGACTATGTAGTATCACAGAAATATTTATGTTTGTTTTGTTTTCACTTTTTTTATCAACCGTGGAAAAAAGACATTTTGACAATTAGGAAGTGTTTCAATCTCGTTCTTACAATATGGTGAAGTATCAGGTAATTATAAAACATGATTTCATGAAAATCTCATTATGTTACCATTGAATAATGCTTAATTATCAGAAAGCGCTTTAATAATGTAAACAAAATACTCATTTCAGATCAACTGAATAGCATTTTCGTAAATATTTTTGAAACATTAATTTTAAATAACTCTAAGTCAGTAGTTTTCAACTGCAATAAATTAATATTTTAGAAGCCAAATGTTTTTCAAAGATTTAGAATCTCTGATTAATTAAAAACGTTTTGAAATTAATACAAATATTTTTGATTAATCAGCAAAATGAAAGATAAAACTTTGAATGTCAATTTTTAATGCTAAAACGGAAAACTTCATTGATTTGACTTTTCACAATTTTAATTACCAATTTCAACAAATAATCGAGCAAAATTGAATTAAAATTTCATGATAAAATCTTGATAAAATTTCTTGCAAAGTACAATGAACGGAAATAAAAATATTTTTCTTTATCTACTTTAAAACTTTATGTATTGCTCACTGAAATCGATTTTCATTTCTGCTACGTGGTCCTTAAACGCTTAATTTAATTATTTTATTTTATTTTATTATTTATAGTTTCACAAGTTTTATTTTTCATATTAATTATGTTGCTAGGTAAGTTCAATTCACATGTACACATGCTTGTCATTTAAATGTGAGAAATGAAATGATTTATTCTGTTATTTTTCAGAATAAGACATAAAAACTTTCTGTTCAATTAAACTTCCGTTTACATCATGTGGGAAATCTCATATAATTTTGATGGCTTGATAAAAGATGGGAAGTAAAGAATTTGTGTTTACTTTCTACATAAAAGAATTCTTGACGATCAAATGGATTCACATTTAAAATTTTCATCTTTGGTGTTATAAATTTATTTATAATTTTTTATCTCTTAAGTAGAATGTTTAATGATCTAAATATTAATTTCAGATATAAACGAGCTTGAAACGATAAAGAAAAATATTCATACAATGTCTTGTGTTCTTCTGTTACATTCAATCGAAAACGACATCGTAGTATGTACAAGTTAATGAAATGAAAGGTGAAATATGAGTCGAAGTTTAATGAAATTTATGGATATTTGTATAAAAGAACGCGTAGAAATATTTTTATTCATATTTTCTTTGAACATTTATAATTGTTAAACTTTCTTCACATTTTTCCAAATGAAATTAAACTATATTATACACATTTCTCTTTTAACGATATAACTTTACAAATATATTTCCTTTTGTGTGCTTTTCATCTCTTCATATAATTTTCCATTCTTTCTCTTATGTTTTATTTTATTTTTCCCTGTAATCCAAAAAACGTGTTTCACCGATGTGTCATGTGTGATACATGTTTGACGGCGAGATTTCAATGATGTTAAATTATTTGTTATATTTTAAGAACGACGTGATTATGAAAGAAAAGTTTTTATTCTTCAAAAATTTTTCTTCTTATTTTTTGAAGAAACGAAAAGGAAGACTTGAAAAAAATCACACTGACTGTAGTGGTCGTTGATGAAAGGACTTCGATCGATGCGATACATGCTAAGGTAGATGTTACGTTAAGCTCAAAAATGATGTCGCAAATAACCACCATAAAGTGGTTGTTGTGTCCCCATCATCGCTTTCTCAGTAGCTTTTTCAATTGAACGTGAGACGCAGCGGTAACAGCAGACATAAGACAAACATCACTTGAACAGTATGCGACGAAATGCTCGACGAAAATCTTTGTTAAAAATCGTGTAAATGGCTGGATTGAGTGCAGAATTCATGTAACCAAGCCAGAAGGCGATAGCAAAAAACGTGTCTGGTATCTTACATGAAGGGCATGCGGGAACAAGAATATAAAGAAAGAAGAAAGGCAACCAACATGCAATAAAGCTGCCCATTATAAGACCTAAGATGAGTGTTGCACGCTTTTCCTTTTTCCGTGCTATTCTTCGTTTCTCCTTTTCAGGATCACGCACTTTAGCCTTTGGCAGCGCTGGTTCCACTTCACAGTTTGAGTTTGGTGATGTTGCGACTGTTGACACCGCATTCTGCTTTTGTTTATTATGATTTTTATGTTTCTTATTGCCATTATTTTGATGGTGATTATGATGATGTTGATCTTTATTCGTTGATTTTGACACACGCTTACCAAATATCGGCTGACATAATCGAAATTTTAATGGCTTAACTACAGCACAACGACTAACTACACCGGAATCAGAACTAGATGGCTCGAATTCACTGACAGCATCGGTATCGATACCAACAGAAAGTGCTCGACATCGACCTGTGTTCGGTGATATTGACAACTTTTTACTAAGCGATGAACCAGGATTTTTGACTTCAATATATGACGTCGCACCTGATGTACCATTATTACTATTCGAAGTTATTTCAGTCAGTGTTGATAGCTTTGATTTGCCATCTTGTGGCATTCCATCCACCCTTAACGTATCACGATATTCGCTCTCATTTTCAGCACCAGCTTCACTCGTTGAGATGTCGGAAGCAAAATCACAGGTTACTATCGGTATTGATATATTTGCAGCTGACGTTCCAGGCACTTGTTGCTCTGTCGTGCCATTTTTCGGTGGCTGTTCAATCGTAGCAATCTGCTGCTGTTGATTTGATGGCATTTTGAGCTGATCTTTACAGGCACTGGGTCCAGGAGGCATTGGAATAGTCTTGGAATTCGAAAATTTCGTTTCCTATGACACAAAAAAGATGAGAAGAGAAGAAAAATAATTTAATGGTTAGTTTCATAAAGTTATAGAAAGTTCAATGAACTACGAATGAGAAGATAATTGAAATGAAATTTTATTTAATTGCTTGGAAAGTTTATGGGTGTCAAGATAGAACTCATTTCATTAAATCATTTGTAGAAATTTTTTCCATTAAATGAAAATGATTTTCCATGCCTTGCAGGAAAACTGAAGTTGTAAACAATTCTGTCCGAATAAAACAAACCACACAATGATTTTATTACTCAACGAGTTGTTATTCTTCCCTTTAGCAATATTCTTTTTTCATGAAATATTACTAGCAATGTAGAACGCCATTTGTAATTTTTGAAAGATTAATTCGACCAAAGAATAACGAGCCAGAAGGAAATCACGATAGTTTTCATTAAAATTCATTGCAATAATTCAATGGTCATGTCGTTCGTATAAGTAAATTTTAAATTTAAACTTCATTTCAATTGCAATGAAAATATTCAGAGAAAATGAAAATTAAACAACTTTTTGAAAACATGGAAGTACGTAAAGAGAGAAGACATAACATTAAATACCATCGAATGATGTATGCAGGCTAGATGTGAATGTTTTTATGTGAATGCTTACAAGTGAATATCATCCTCTCGAAATTCTTTGTTTAAGAGTCACTAAGTGTTAGATATTATCCTCAACGATGATGTTTTATTCAACAATATCACATAAATATTATTTTCTGGAAGTCCTTGAAACACAACTTCTTAAAGAACTGAACATGGTTGTGAATGTTTGTATGAGGAACTTGTCGTCATTTAAACAACCCAGAAAAAGTTATCTGCTATAACGTCACGTTCATACAGCTTATTCCCTTAATTGTTGAGGTTGACATCAGAAACTATTCATAAAACGTTTAAGATTTTCCCAACCATGACTCATATTCAACGGTAAGGGAATAAAATTTGTTTATTCATTGCGGCAATAAATCCTTCAATGGAAATTCGACATATTTGATATCTACCAAAAGTTTCATCGCTATCTTTGGGATTTAGCTTTCTACTCTGTTTAGTTTTCTCCCCACGCTTTCTTTTATCTAAAAAGAAATTATTTTTTTCTTTATAGCTTAAACAGACATTTCAATGTTTACTGATTCTTTCCATAAACTTTTTTCTTTCTTAAAGAAGCTTATGGTGATGAGGAAAGACACAAGAAGAAGTAAAGTTTCTTAAAATTTAAATTGAACGGAGAATGGCGAGTTGAAAACTGCACGTAACACTTACCACTTAGCTTTAAAACGTAATCATAGCAAATGTCATTTCATGACTACATTTTATCTGAGAGAGACGAACTTGTTCAGTGTTATCTACAGAATAATTTCTTCCTTCACGATCTCAACAACTATCTTATTTATAATAATAAAAAGCGAGAAGGATTCCCTAGAGCATGAAGTGTATCCTTAAAGAATCTCGACTGTACGTCCGATATATTTATTTGCCTCCTTCTCTTTCAGCTCGTATTTGCACAACATTAGAGCGAAATAAAATGTCATATAATAAAGAAGAGCAGATAAGTAATGAATATATATGAGTGGATTAAAAAGACAACATCATGAAAAAACAATTTCTGTAAGATTTTTTCTTCTCTTCCCCACATTCACTTACTTAGCCTCTTATAAAGGAACACTTATAAAAGAGGCTGAAATATACTGCGACAGCATCTCAGATTGTTTTCTCTTCTTTACACATCGTTGCCTATCCCGATTTCTCCTTATTAAGCTGAAGAAAACTTTCAAAAATTTTTCTTTTTTATCATTCTCTGTTGAAATATTTTTATTTTCTATGAATGAACAAGACGAAGATTCACAACAACTTTGGAAGGTGGAGGAAGGGAGGCAGAACGAAAGAAAAATATTTGTTTCTTGACGTGGCGATGGAGAAAAGTTAAAGATACCCAAGATACACAATTAAGATGGAAGAGAAGGCGATGTGATCAAGCGTGAACTTTGAGGGCAAGTTATTTTTCATTCATCGAGGTTATCGAGTTTTATCATCTGAGAAGTAGAAATTTATTCTATCCGGAGATGATTTGTTGATATAAAAGAAAGGTGAATAGTTGAACAATAACGTTAAATATTACAGAATTGAGTCGATTGGTATCCTTGATAAAAGAATAACTTTTCTAGGATTTATTAAAAAAACCATTGAGGATTCTTGTAAATAATCTCAGATAAGACTTGGAGAAAGAAAAGTTTCATCATTCCGCACGTATCGTGATGTGACTTCACTCACCTGCTCATTAGGCGGTTTTCTCGGTTGTTTTCTTATACCTCTTCTGGCACGAGCTTTAGCCGCATAATAAATTCGTATGTACACAAATACCATGATACATGAAGGAATGTAGAATGATCCGAGAGCACTATACAAGACGTACCCGATGTCTTCTGATAACTGTAAGAATAAGGAAAGAAAAGAAAATTAATGATGTTTACCATGTGAAGCAACGAATGAATGCTTTTCTTCATTCTTTCCATATTTATATTAAAATCATTGAAACTATAAATATTTTCCTCCTTCTTTCATATTCCATGTTGTTTATTTAGGGTGAATGGCCAAATGCGAGTTCTTGATTTTTCCGTACAAAAATTAACTTTCCTCATGTTCTCTCATCATGTTGTTACTTTTTGTTTGTTAATTCATTCACAGAAAGTGTAGAAAATTTCGTTTGAAAAAAGTGTCTCTCATTTAGTCATTCACCCTATATGAAAAATAACCTTTGTGATTGTTAAAATGACGGAAGAAATAAAGAGAAATGATGAAAACTTTAAGTGGTTCCTTCAGGCATTTTTTTCATTAGATGAAAAGCATAATAAATTTGATCATAAGGGAAAATATTGTTGCACAAATTTCCAGAAACTTCATTTTGCCTTTATTGCAGATCATTTTGTAAATTGCATTACATCTCAAACTTCTATAAAGTTTGTTTCCCATGAAAACAGAAAAAAAATAAATAGAAATACTTTCCATTAAAATCTTTTGTTTTGTACTGAATCGTTTTATGAAAGAAATAAATGTCTTCAAATAAATATGAACAAGCGCTTATTTAAACTGCTTTGGAAGCTTGCATACGTATGAAGAATGAAATTAATGCTGAAAAGTTTGTTACAAATATACTTAAGGGAAACTGCATGTTGTAAAAAAAATGACAATGGAAAGAGGACAAACTTAAGAAGCAAGTTGTACTTGTTTAAATCAACATAATATATTTCAACTACGTAAATAAAGAGAAAGCAATTTGCTTAGTGCCTTTGATTCTTTGCAGCTTTTTATAAACGAAATGGTCAAATTAAATACACAAAATAAACCTTTTTGGAAGTTTGAAAAAAACACAAACATGCTCGCAAAAGGGTTTTTCCACTTTTCCTTTCCTATAAATGTTTGTATTAAGTCGTAGAACTCATATGTTATGGATAAAAATGTAGACAGCATATGTCATATTATTTTATGTACATAAATGTACAACGACTGTAAACTTGACCTATTTCAGATCTTTTATTCTCAAGAGAGAATAGAAAGAATTCTTAAAGCTATTTGAAAGATAAGAATATATTTTTCCGGAAATAAACTATTCCAAAACCAGATAATTGCGGAAAAGTTATTCCATGCCAGAAAATTGCGGATTTTTTTTGAAATTTTTACCGTTAGAAATATCAAAGTTTTAATTTAATTTTATGNAAAAATTTAAATTTACAAAAGATTTTGTCACGCTTTTAATTTTTAACGGTTAAAATTTTAAAAATCGTTCCGCAATTTTCTGCCCGCAATAACATAAATCTGGAATTTTTATTTTGTAATTTTTTCATCTGGAAAAATATATTCTTCTCATTTGAAAGCTTTTTCTCGCAGGATATTTGAAGTTGAAATCACAGTTGAACATTTAAAGAAGCTAGAATGATGAAATCGTATCAAATCTCAGCCATTCTTTAGAGAAACAAAAATGAGTGAACTCTAGACATATGTCAAAAGATGTCATAGTATCTTTAACTATGTCATCTTGTTGTGATATTTGCCTTCAGGTGAATTTTTGTTGTCTTCTTTTCGGATAAATAAATATCTGTATCTGCCATGCTGTTTTATATATTTGCGTGTGAGAGAGGATATCAAGTTGTTTTCAGACGAAATCTATATTTTGGTGTCATTGATATATGTACATAAATCTTTTCTCCTTCACTGTTATTATTTTATATTTCTTTCAGCATAAAAAAACATAAAATGAGAAGCAAGAGATGAGCATAATCCAACATATTCACATGCCTCATGAGACATGAATTATGAGCATCAAACATCAACATAATCATTTCTAAATGATCGAATATTTAATTGCAAATTCTTTTCATTTCTTACATTAGAATAACGAATTTGATTCATAAACGAAGCTCAAAGTATTATGAGAATGAAGATAAAATTCGATATGAATCGATATTGTTGAAAGCTTTCGGAGCTTTCTTCTTTCCTGTTCTAATTCTATGAGAGACTTTGAGATATAAACGAAAAATAGAAACGACAAGAAATTATGATCCGACAGCAAAAAAAGTTTCATTCTAAATATGCTTGGAAATAACATTTCTAAACTCCCCAAATTCCATCACGAAAAGTATTTTTCATTTTCATGATTCTTCTTCTTGTTGTTCGAAACAACTTTCAATACGAATTCCTCAATACTCAGTTCAAACTCTCCACGTTCTATGCCGTTTATCGATTCAATTATTCGAAATTTATTCTTTTTCTCTACCTTTAACATGGAATTTTTCATATTCAAACGGTCCTGGAGAATCATAAAATTCCGATTTAATTTTACTTTTGTTTTGTTCTTTGTGAATGAAATATGCATGAGCGATACTCATTTTTCTCCAAAACCAACACATTTCTTTTTAATCTAAATAACTTTCTTCTTTCTCGAAAGCTTCAAAAATGCAATTACGAAAGCTCTTTAATGTTCGTCACATGTACAATTTACAATTCTTAAAGAATTATTTCTCCCATTGTGGTTCATCAACTTCAGTGACCTTGCTTGCTGTTTTCTAAAACGTTGCTTCGTGAAATTTTATTATCTTCAAGTCATTTAATTCGCAATAACTGTGAACAATGAAACGAAAGTATGATTTGAATTTCATCGCTTTTATCCTTCAATAACCATCAAGATCAGGCTTTAAAGCTTCTGTTATACTTAGCTTTGAGAAGAAAAGCACATTGCGTAGGAGAATCTGAATAATATCGAATTGTCATTGTGAAAAGAAAAGAGTACGAAAAGACTACAGTCAAGGAATGAGAGTGTCGTCTTATCACTAATCTTCAAAGAAGAAAACAATTCAAATTTCCCTGCCACAAAATATCATGTCAATGTTTGTTTGTTTCGTTCGCCTACACATTTGTCGCTTTTTCAACACCTTCACATGTGTAAGAACATTTTTCCATTCTTTATCTTTCTGTCTACATGTGGAGTACTATAAAATCTCAGAAAATGTTTGTACATTTCTCAATAAACAAATAACTCAAAACTTTTCTACCTGAAGTCGATACCTTTTAACTCTTCGTATTCTTACATAAGTAATTGAAATATGAAAGAACTTTTAACGTTTATCAAGAATTTTTCTTTATGTTCCCCTAGGAAAGCTTTTTATTGCTTTTGTTCCCACGACGTTTATCATAAAAATGAAAAAACGACTATAACAAAGACATTGACATCCTTTCATGTAAGAGCTTCTATAAACATGAAAAAGAAAACAATTTTAAAATGAGGGAGTTAAGGAACATTTCTATGAGAGGCATCGCAATCGCGCGACAAAGAATTTAAGGCGCAGCACTTGGAAATGTGTGTGATAAAAATAATTTTTCGTACAAATTTTAAACGAGTAGGAATGATAATAATTGTTAATGAAGATGTTGATAACGCTGATGTAGAACTTTTATTATAGTTAGTTAAATAATAAAAAATTTCGTTATTGTTCTGTTCCGTGGTTTTTTTGCTTCATATTTTCACAAAGCAATCTTCTCACAATTGCTAAGGAAATGATGATAGTTACTGTATTAGGTTTGAATTTGTTTAAGTAAGTAAACTACGCATGATGTTGAGAAAATTCCCATTTTTCCAGCTTCATCCCAAAATTTTTTATCCTTGAATTTGCTGAGAACTTCAGAAATAAAATATTTTAATGCCTTCTCCAGACAAAAACAGACAACAAGAAGCGACAGCAAAAAGAAGTGAAATGATTTTTTTTTGGGTTCCTTTTGTGATTCTATTTCGCTGTTGTTGGAGAAATATGTGAGAAAAATAAAGAAGGCAATTTCCTTGGCAATTTCAATAAAGGCAGGGAAAGTTTTATGGTGCCTGTCATGCTCGAAACCCGATCTTTCAAACAGCGCATACACATTATCGACTTAAATGACATTAACGTTAATTCAAAACAGTTTTCGTCATCGTCAAAACTTTTTTCTTCTTTCAATCTCGTAAAATAAAGACAGAAATCTTTCTTTTAAATGGATGTGTGGAAAATCAATGGGGAAAAACATTTATAGAAAGTTTTTCACAATAAGATGTGTTTTAATGTCTGTTGTCATCCCTTAACGCGAAATAAAGCGGGAAAATAAACAACGTCTGTCTCATTCAATCTCATGCAGGCATTCACATTAACCCACAAGAAATCAATTTCCATCCAAAAAGAAAAAGGGAAAAGAAAATTATTTTCCGAAACTGACATGAAATACTGAGCGAATAATAGCGGCAAAAACCAAGTGGCATGGATAGAAAGAATTAGAATAAAGGAGAAAAAAACGTTCTAGATACTTATAAATGGAGAGACATTCTTCAAATTGTTTTACAAAAGGCTATAAAAACTGGAGGGGATATTCAGAGCAGCCGACGAAGCTTTACGGAGCCGGAATCCATTCTTTTTCATCCCTTTCACATATACAAGATGCTTCCGAAGCACACATCTTTCTTTTTGTTTTCATGCTTGCTTTCGATTTCCTTTTTTTTTTGCTTTTCGAGAAAAATCGAAAGACAAAGCAAAATTTTTTTTTTCAAAATTCACATAAACGTTTGTGATGAAAATATTTAATGGGAAATTCTTATATGAAGTTAAATTACAATCAGTTTGAATGAACTACTTATAAGTTTACTCTCTTAAAGCTGTGAATTGCTTCACACACACTCAATGCATCCATCGCTCCAACTGACAATCATTTCGTCGATCACAAATTTCCAAAAAAGAAAGAGAAAAAAAGTGTCGCTAACAAAGCATCCTAAAAGTTGTTCTAAAACATCTCGTGATTCAATATAATGATGGAAAAGCTAACACACAAAAGGATGAAGAACAACCGAGGGAGAATGTGTTTGAATGAAAATGTAGACATGACGAGAGAAAGAAGAAAAAAAGTATCTTAAGAAAATAAATAACTTTCATTTGTGGGGCGTTTGGTACGTAAGAGATAAAAGACACAGAGGAATTACACAATCATGAGACGAAAGGAACTTGAATTAACATATTGTGGTCGCATCTAATCGCTCTTCGTTCTTCAGAGATAAACAGCTTGAATCGAGGGTTCTTTCCTGGGTTTATTAGGATTAATTCAAATATTTATCTACGTTCATGTGTTGGAAACAAAAATGTTTCAGAAACTTTATCGAATTTTAAATAGAACACCGGAAAATTTTGTTGTGGTTGAAATCTATGTTGCCAATAATTTTCGTCTGTTGAACATTAAATCATGGGAAGAGATGATCATGATAAATGTCAATTTCGCTCTTGGGAGTTATCAGATCCATTGGAGGGAAAAATAAACTTCAATCCTTTCTCTGACAAACCCAACTGCCTATAAATATGCATCATTTTAATTTATCCTCTTCTCGCACCCATCTGCTTTGTTACATTAAACCTTTTTCCATCTCGCCGTTCAAAGCTTGAAAGAGAAATGGTGACATTTACCATTCCAACTCGTAGAGAAATAAATATTAGATTTGAAAAGATTTTTTTAATTGAATTGCTTGAAAAAAAACGAATTTTATTCTCTTTTTCCTTGTCGCTCTTATTGGACTCGATCGTGGGGTACATTTCCACTTCTTAGTATTCTTTTTTTTTTTGAAAGAAACTCGAATAAAAGTAATTAATTCTTTTCTTTGTTTGCTCCTTCGCTCTGTCATTAAAGATTCCTTTCTTCTTCTTCGTCAAATTATCTAACGCTTTACGAAATTTTCTAGAGAGTAGTCACAAGAGAAACCGACCAGTTAGAACGCATTCATTTCTTCTATTCACAATTGTATCTACCAGAGGCTCAGTCATGTATTCTCATTATCTTTTCCACTTAAGAAATAATTAAAGCGTTGGCTTATAGCACCATCATAATAGGATATGCCTTGTTGCTTCTTCATTTCATGACATTATTCCCTTGTTTCATATTTTTACTGTGCTTTCTTTCACGATTCATTTTCGTTACACTTTTAATATTTTGATGTGGATGATGGCTTGGTCATGAATTTCATCCTTCATGCTTTATTTGTATGATTTTTTGTACATTTTTTTCTACTTTCCTTCCACCATCGATAAAGTGTTTGAAAACAGAAAAGAAAAGTTAAGTAAATGTTCCCAAATAATTAACTGATGTTCCATAGACAAAAGAAGAATGTTTGAACTTAGGAACAGACAGAAATTAATAGTTATCAACATGTTGGCATCTGTTAAAGCTCTCGCCATTTAACGGCTGACAGTTCGCCTTAGAAACTTCGTGAGCATACTTTGCAATAGGAAATAAATGTTCGTTTCGTATCCAACACGTCTCGCAATTACACATATGAAATACGTGAAGGATTGTCGAAGATAAAATATTTGGAATGACGAAATAATGTCAAGCACAAGTTTAGGTGAATTGAAAACTCTTAAAAAAGTTTTTTTTTCTATTTAGTTGAATTTTTCATAAGCTCTTGAATACATAATTTATAAAATTTATGATATTCTCAAACTCTTCTTTATGCACATAAAAAGCAACATAAAAGAAATAAAAATTTTAGTGACAGTCTGACAAGTTTTAAAAATTCAGTTATGTACAAACGCTACAGCATCAGCTTCAACTCTACTTCACCAAAACTGTTGATTTATCTTCTGTAACAAAAACTGTTGAGTCACATTTATCGTTGCTTTCCATGATACAACTTGTGCATTCAAAGAGTAGACAGCAAGAATTTCATTTATTTACTATGAACATTAACCATCATCGCTTATTATACCTTCTGACATCGTCAACGAATTTCAGGAGAAAGTCAACAAAAGCGTGTACTCGCATACATAGAATATTATATCTCATTTAAGCCTTTTTATGTACAGAGTGTAATGGAAAAGGTGCTGCCGACGTCGCCTTTAATGCCAGCCTTGCGAAAGTCCCTTTCACACCAATTCATATTATTCATTGTCGTAAACAATAAGGCAATGAAAAACTTTAATAGAATTAAGTTCTGTCATTTCTCTATTAAAAAACGACACTCTTGTCGTTTCAAAGGAATTTCAATTAAATTGAAATTCCAGTAAAAGTTGGTCTGGTTTCCAACACTTTTCTCTCTCACTTTTACATCTGTGACATCGTCGATCGTCGTTAGAACAATACTGTTGACTAAATATTTCTATAGACAATGTTTCTCGATGAGAGGAAACTCCTCAACATAGTACACCAAAACACTTATGCTTTCAAGTGTCTACATAATCTGTAAAGTCAGCAAGTGGAAAAAAGGTCAAATGGTGACACATTTCCATTTGCTGACTTTATAGCCCTTGCTACATATCTTCGACTTCATGTATATAAATTCATGGAACAGCTTTTTAAGTGCTCTGCTCTTACTCATAGCCTTTCCAGGATTTGAAATACACATTTAACTCAAATTTTATGATCTTACGAAGAATTTATTCGTGTATTCCTTTTTTTTCAGTGTGCTCCATGCATATTCCATTTGACAAAGCTTAGAAAGAAGAAGAAACCTCCATACATGAAGTATTAAACATTAATTTTATGTATATGATCTTTTCCACTTCCACCCCCTCAAACCTTTAATGCATCACAAATAATATTTTTATTACGTCATTCTTAGCTCACAATTCCAAATCTGATTTTGTGTAAGGGAAAGTAAGTCAATGTTGTTGTAATGAATAATACCGTCGAGACGATAGCAAAGTTAAGCGATTAAAAGCTGTTCAAAATACATGTCCTAAAGCAGAAAGGGAATTTAACTTTACAAACAGGAAGTTTAAGAGAAGTTAACGATAAATGTTATGACTTCTAACATAAGTCGCAATAAGGCGTATTTAGTCTTTTAAACAAACATTTAAATTTGGGGAAACTCTGTGTGAAAAACTTTCGAAAATTTTAAATTGAAGACCAAAAGCGAGAGCGAAGAAAAGTTTTTGAAGTTCTAGTGAAATTTGTTCAAATCTTGCGGCTTTAACATGTTTGCTTGTAAATAAGAAAAGTTTTTCATTGTGTTTTATTTTCTTCACTTCCGCACATTTTTAATAGATGTAATCAACGAGTGGAGTGAATTAATTTCGACTTAATTTATGTTTTGTCTGATATTCTTAAACAGCATCAGCAACAGCACATAATTTATCATTTAATCTATGTACAAGACTACCTAGCAGCATTTTCGTGATTCGCTTTCTTGAATAAAAATAGAATTAATGACCATCGCTTAACATTCAAAATTGATAAAGTGCTGCTGCTTATGGATATAAGAAGAAAATCTTTTCGGAAAAATGAAAAGTAGAAAACTTAATTGAAGAAGAGTTTGCATATAAATGTGAAATTAAAGCCATTACCTTGCATTTGATCTGCATTGATTATCTTCATTTATTCATTAATTAAAATTATAACTGAGTTGATTCAATCGAAATGGGTTAATGATTACATTTGATTAACAACCATGAAGTGGTTTACCTATGAAAAATATTGTAAAGAAATCCAAAAACAATCAAATACAAAATAAATTTGCTTTCACTTCAATTATCAACGCGATAACTTTTGTAAGGATTCTTTCTGCTGTTAAAAGTGTAACTTACCAACTCAAATCCAAAAAAATTTCTTTCTTCTTTCCATTTATTACATTATTGTCGTTTTTATGAACTCGGTTTAGCTACTGACACTCGTAATGTGAGTATTCGATGAGATAGAAGCTTCAACGACTTTTTGTGTCTCTACTTGGCAGTCGCTTTTTTTCTCAAGCTTGTTTTGAGTTTCTATACAGAATCGAGTTTAAGTTTAAAGCAGATACAACGGGAAATATAATAAAATGAACTTATCTGATCATGAAAGTGAAGATGAAAATGAAGTGATAGATGTAAGTGGAAATCATGAAAGAAAATCACTTACAAAGTTTTATATTACTTGTCGCGGATTAATAAGAAATGAAGAAAATGGGAAGAAAGATTTCAGGAGTTTCCTGCACTTACTTCTGCCAATTCACAATCCGTACAATGTTTTCTTCATGTAGCTTTAAAGCTCATCTTTATAAATAACAAGCATTGTTCAATGAGAAAAGTTATCATTTAAACTAATGGAAAATTCACTCGATTACATATTTATGTGCAGTGAATGAGAAAAATAATGTTGTGTGTTCGTGTGTGTGATTCAACTTCGACGAAAAACGGAAAAGAAAGCATAATGCGATTAAAATACATAAATATTCGTCATTGATATTGATTTTTAGAACTGTTGAATTAATGGGAAAGTGATGAAAATAGGGAATGACATCTAACGTGACAAAATTTTAAATTTAACATTATAAATGTTGGGAAAGAATTTAGTGACGTTTTAAAGCCCTAAAATTGCGATTCTCCACTTTAAGACCCAATGGAATATTCCGCAATGGAGTTGTAATAAAATCCTGGGATTCCTTCGAATATTTTAAATTTTAATCCCAAGATGTTTAGGATTTCCACTAAGAATCTTTGGCAAAGGATTCTTCGAAAGCTGAAATTGACACTGGCATTGAATGACTCGGATAACCGTAGTCGTTAGTTAATTTAGCAAAACGAAGAACAGATAGAACATGAAAAAACTTTTCCAATCCCTAACAATTTCACTTCAATCAATACATTATATTAAAAATTACTCGAGATTACTTATTCACGCTTATGCGCTCTTTAAATGCGATAACTTGCGATGGCAACAGAGAAGAAATAATAAAAAAAATGATGGAAATTGAAAATGCTTCATAAAATTCTCAAATTTTTTTTATCAACGTTAAAAATGAAATTTTTATTACGTTTCGATATTTTTTATGTCCGTCGTTGATGTTTGAAGTTTCCCAGTTTAAAACGTGACTCAGAATGGCGAAGCACGTTTTTCTTTAATGTGATGACGATTACAATTTTCATAATTTGGATGATTTGAAATTTGAGAAACATCGCTTGGCATTTATTTTAAATGTTCAATCAACAACTTTCATTATATTTAGAATGCGGAAAATGAGCTGAAATTATTGAAAATTTCATGATGAATTGAATCAAAAATTGCAACTTGTAATAATTCCAACTCGTACTGGTTTTAATGGTGATGGAATTAATGAATGTGAAAAGCTTATGAGCATCAAAACATTATTTTAATTAGGGCAGAATTGGGAAAACCCGCGTAGATACAAATAAATATTTTTGTATCATCAAAATCAAAAGCGAAGCTCTGAATTGTAGTGAAATTTAAATTTAATCAGTAATTGCATTCAACTCGTTGGATCATTTTTTTAATGAAATATTAATCCCTAAAGCTTTTCAGTTTGAACAATTTCAATTTGTCAACGAAACAAGAGAATAATTTTTGTTTATTATTTCCAACTGCAATCAGCACAGCGAAGGCCAAATACTTGAAAAATCAAAGCTGACTGTTGATCATGCATTGATTTAAAAATAAAAGAATTTTTTTCATTGCAGGAACCGTTTGATCTCGATGAGTTGTTACCTGCAATAGGAGAGTTTGGATATTACCAGAAATTACTTTTATGGCTTATTTGTCTACCAGCTTGTATACCCTGTGGATTTTGTGCTTTTAATCAAATTTTTATGGCTGGTAAGATTTCATGTTGTTCCATTAAATAAAGTTTATAAATCCCTCAGAAACATTTTCTTGAAATACTCCTTTTCCCATCCAGTAATTGTTGTTTTAAAGTTTAAAAATTGAAAATTAAAGCCTGCAAATTATAATTTCAACTAGAAAAGTTAAATTTCATCAAGTATGGCAATTTATAAAAGTGAAATTTGAGGTGGAATCAGACATTGCTACCGTGATAACAACTTACGGAAAAAAAGTTCTATTGTTTGACTTTTAAAACTTTCATAGCCGAAATTTGAAGTTCCGACAGCCCTGAATTACAAGGAAGAATTTATTGCCATTTTTCTTTTCCATTTCTCTTCTTTCAACGACCTTTTGTACATTATATTCAACAGATTCACCTGAAGAATACTGGTGCGAAGTTCCGGAATTGAAGAACTTTACTACGGCTCCACACAGAAAGTTATTATCGATTCCCTTAATTGAGGTGAGTGAGTGTTTTAACTAAAAAAATCTCGTTAATGGAACATTGCTTTAGATTGTTTCGTTTTCGAAGTGAAGAAATGAATATAAATGATGAAGTTTTAATTAAAATGCTTACTATTTTTGTTACTACGACGCCCTTCAATTGCTCAACAAATAAGGGCTAGATAATCACTTTCCACATGTTTACTCAAGTGTAATAATAGCAATGAGTCTCAGATTAGGTTTCAACGTCCTTCATTAATATCTATGTAAATATGATTACAGAGAATTACGTCACAGTATGAGAATACATAAGTTTATCCGTCGACGGGTCAAAGCGTTATTGTTCAATGGATTGAGACAGTTGTAAAGCTTCACTCTCATAACAAATTCATCAGAGCACGTGATTCATTTAAACATTTTACATAATATTGTTTCCTTTTAATTTTAGTACAATCACTCTCGATTTTCTCGTTTAAATTCAATTGAAATCAGTACATTTTGTATGCATTTCTATATTGAATTGAAAAATCAAATTGAAACTTTGAAAAGCATTCCGAAACGGTTTGTAAAAATATTCTCACGAGAATTCACAGAATTGTTATGTTGTCCTTAACGATTTGTTGTTGTTTCTTTTATTTTTTTTATTTCAATCTCGCTCACGGAGGAAAAATGAAATTCTAACAATAACAGCAGTCAGCATAACGATGTTGAAATAAAAAATATTAAAATCCAATTTTCATCGAACGATAAGACATAAATTTCTTATCCAAATCGAATGTTTCGATGCCCTCTAAGAATGTGCTGAAAAAATAAACTCGATTCTTATCCAATCTTATTATTCTCTTTCTTTTTTTTACCGAATGCAGAAAAATGGGGAACAGGTGTATGATAAATGCCAACGGTATGCTGTTGATTGGAATATAATTCTCCAAAATAACGATATTGATTCACTTGAACCAAACGAGTCGTGGCCTCTTCGAAACTGTGACAAAGGTTGGGAATATAATAAAACAGATGTGCAGTCTTCAATTGTTATTGATGTAAGATTAAGAAGATGAAGAAAAAGTCAAAAACTTTCTATCTGAAAGCATTTGCTTGAAATTTATTCTCCTTTTGCCTCCACAACCATCTCAGACAACACCGGGTGGAGACAATGGGAGAGTAAAACAAAAAAGAAGAAAGCTAAAGAAACCGTCGGCCAAGTTTTAATTTTACCAACTTTTCTTATTCTTTTTTATTGTCCACATTCAGTTCGATTTAGTGTGTGAGAAGGACATTTATCCTACTTTGGGACTTGTGGCCCTTAATGTTGGTGGCCCGATAGGCGTTTATTTGTTTGGCGTGTTAAATGACCGATACGGTCGTCGATTCTCATATTTCTCATGTCTAGCGACGCTACTAACTGGCAGTTTTATCACAGCATTCAGCACTAGCTTTGGAATGTGGGCTTTTAGTCGGATTATTGTTGGTCTTACCATTCCGGCTGTTTATCAAATACCTTTTATAATCGGTAAAGAATGGATTGCCTAATTTCTTTCTAACCGCTAGAGTATTTTGTGTGTGTCTATATACAACACCAGCAACAACAACAATGACCAACTTTTTCTTCTTTCCATCACCTTATCTAATTTTAGCATTGGAACTTGTTGGGCCAAACTATCGTTCATTCGTGACTGTCATGACCTGCACATTTTACACGTTCGGACTAATGGGACTGGCGGTGGTGACTACATTTGTACATGATTGGTTTGTGCTTAGCTTAGTCACGTCGGTGCCATTTCTTCTATATTTCTTTTACATCCTCATAATGCCTGAATCACCACGATGGCTGTTAGCCAAAGGAAAGCTTGAAGAAGCGCTGAAAATTCTCGAAACTATGGCTAAAGTCAACGGAAAAGAATTTCCTGAAACTTTTCATAGCAAACTTGAAGAGCGCGTTTTGCAAGAGAAGAACAGGAAGAAGAAGAGAATTGAACAAAACATTGGCGCACTAGATTTGTGCAAGTAAGTTCACGAAACTTTGCCTTTTTAATTTATTTTCATATTATCTTCTTCATTCATTTAATGATGTTGATTCTCATGTCGTTATAATAATTTCCCAACTTGTTAAACAAACTTTTTCCTTAAATTGAAACTCTTTAGTTCTTCATGCTACATAGTAAAAGTTTCTTCTTTTCACATCCTTGCACTTCGATCAAGATTGCAGTAATTACGTTTTGTAACATTAAATTGATTGCATTAGTTTTGAAAGGAAGATTCTTTCTTTAATTTAATAAAACCTTTAAATTAAAAAGAAAAGTCATAATTTGAATGTGGAAGGTAATAAAAAAAATTGAAATCACAAACCCTGGTCAAATGAAACAATCTGAAATGATTATTGAAGAAAGTTACGATTCAACATAAAGCAGTAAACATCGTAAAATATTTCTCATCAATCTAAACATTTCCGTTTTATTTTCCTCGAGTCTGTTTTTTCATCTACATGTCTACCAAACTTTTCTTTCTCTTTCAGATCGCCCAACATGAGAATGAAAACTTTTCTCATCACGCTTAATTGGTTTGCAAATGAGACAGTTTATCTGGGTTTGAGCTACTATGGACCATCTTTAGGCACTAATCCGCCGTTAAGCTTTTTTCTTTCATCGTTAGTCGAGTTACCCAGTTATGCTTTATGCTGGTATGTAATGGATCGTTTTGGAAGACGATGGCCGATGTGTCTCTTAATGATTTTGGGCGGCATAAGTTGCGTAATCACCGTTTTATTACCGGAAAACTCTGAAACAGAAACCCTCATCTTGTACCTGATATCTAAGTCAATGATTTGTGGATCATTCTTGATAATTTATCCATTTGCTGGAGAACTTTATCCGACACAAGCACGTGGAGTGGGTATTGGATTTTCCAGCTATGTCGGCGGTCTAGGCCTTATAATAATACCATTTATCACCTATTTGGGTAAGGAGAATTTGAGACTGCCGCTAGTCATTATGGGTGGCGTTGTTATTGCCGGTGGATTTACTGGCTTAAGGCTACCGGAAACTCTTCATAATCGTTTACCTCAAACGCTTGAAGAAGGCGAAGAGTTCGGAAAGGATTGGGATATTAATGACTGTATGCGTTGTGCTGGCGAACCGGAACTTTCATTGAGTGGATCGTACGAAGATTTAGCGAGAGATGAAGAAAATCAATTTGAATTACATCAACCAATGTGCTTTGAAGGAAGACGAAGCGATGAAAAAACGCCATTTAAACGACCGTATCGTCACACTATGAGGAAGTTAGCACGTCAACAAAGTGTTATGGACACACAGAAAACAGGCGACTTGGGAGCAATGCAGTTGACTTACTGGTTCTGAACAGCCATCGCACTAAAACTTCATACTAAGTTACATAAAAGAACTTTATTTATTCACTAATTTACATCAACACAAGAAATTTGCATTTCTCTCTTCATTTACATTAACTTTGATAAGCTCAAAAAGGAAGAAAAAAAATGGTGACACTTTGCTTCAAGCAAATAAATAAAAGGACGGAGAAAGAAAAAAGCGGAAAATTAAATCCAACAACCATAATTAAATTATTTCAAACTTCTTCAGAATGATAGAAAAAAAAATGTTTTGCCGTTAGTTATAAATCGTTGTTGATGTTGTGTTAATAAAAAGAAAATCTCGAATGAAGAAAAAAAGTTTAAATTAGCGGAAATAATTGCAGCATGAGCAGAAGCTTATGTACATTCAAATAAAATTTTTCTTCAGAATTTTGCTCTGAAATAAATAAAGCAAAAATTTTATAATAAATTTCACAAACAACAATCGTGTCGCGCGTCATAACTTTTATCATTTGTTTGTGCAGCGATAAATAATAAAATACGAGTTAGTTTTATCCAGATTATTTGTGGTTCCTCGAACATCGTTCGCCTCCCCTTGAAGCGTACGAAATCTTAAATTTATGTTGTACAAAAGGCGTCTGCCGGAACGAAAGACGAAAAGTTTTGCGCGATACTTTATAGATGAAAATGGAAGAGTGATAAAGTTTTTGTGCGACACTTTTCGAGTGCTGCTCTTTGAGAGGATACAACCATAAATCATTTCTTCTTCAGTTGGCATGTCGCGCGCGACTCTAAATGAATTTAAGTTGCTGCCAAACTGAATTAAATTGTTGAACCTTGAAAGCATTCTGCGGGTTGGAAAGCATTCAAAAGAATTTCAACTTCCATAAATATTGAAAGTTGTTGAAATTTCAGAAAATGTCGACTTTTGAAAGTTCAATAACAAAAGCTTTGAGGAAATTATTTAAAGCTTCCACGAGTTGTTTACACTTGCACTCAGCACTTCTTAATAAATGAGTTTTTAAAATAATTTCTTTCATTCGACGCTCAAGTTTGTAGAGAAAGTTTGTTGGCACAAACATGAATAATAACAAGCTATTAATTAAACTTCTTTCAAATAAATATCAAGCGATTATAAATTACTACACTAATTCAAACGCCGTAATTTCGTTGAGATTAAAAGTTTATCGAAACCTTGACTTTCCCTCTAGATCTTGCGATGTCATTTTCAAGTAAGTATTTCCAAAGTTTCTCATGAAATTTCAAATTGTTTTCCTTTTCCTTTCACGTTTCGAATCTTGGATTTCCAGAGCTGTTCATCCAATTTATTTCACTTTTCTCTTAAAACGAGATTAGATTTTATTTTACTTATATCTATAAATTCTTCTCTCTCGATGAGTTTACAATTTCCCAACCGTTCAAATTATTTTTCATAAATAAACTTTAACAACATGGAACATGGCAAAATCTTAAGTTTTCTTGTTGAACATGAAAACTTTTCATGTTCAATTCAAAAGGAAATCATTTTTAAACGAGTTTCTTGATGAGTTCTAGGTTTAGTTTTATGCTTCAATAGATTCATTCAATTTCGTTTCATACAGCAAAGGCAATAAGAATCATATTGGACGATCAAATGTTTAATGATTTGCAATTTCATTTTTGCAGAGTGCAATTTAAAATGGATCTAAAATTAAAGGGAAAAATAAATCTTTCATTTAAAATAAATGAGTTTGAATGTTGTTCGGAGCTGTTTATTGACATATGTTAGGTTTCCGTTCAGAATTTAACATCTGTGACTAACAAACATCTGACAGCATTTAACCACATGTCGATGTTTAAGTACACAAATAATTTCCTTGCATGAGCTATAAATCTTTAGATCAACAGATTATCTTGGATAATCTTCAAACATACTAAATATCGCAATAACACAAATTATTTTCCTCCTTTCATTTCTTCGAGACATTTGCATGCTTCATCAATCTTTGAAAGTTGACAAAGAGTTTCTTCATGACTCACAAACCGTGAAACCGCAATCAAATTATCTTTCAATCGAGTTTAGAAGTTCATCGAATAAATCGAAATGTCGAAATTAGGAAAATCGAAGTTTAAGAAAAGAAGAAGACGAGATTGAAAATCTTTTCAGATATTCAGTTAAAAAATGAATGCAAGAGAAATTCCAAACAGATTTCAAAGCTTTTTTTCGGTCATCAAGTCAAGTGATGGAATTGTGCCACAACGACCCAAACTTTATCACTTGACCTGTCAGTAATTCCAGGAAAATTCTCTTTGGGACAAAAGTATCAAAATATGTTGACAATGACGATGAAACAAAGTTGTAATATGAGTTAACTCTCAAGGACAACAATCTTCATATTTCTGAATCAAGGAGAAAGAAATCATTATGATAAGATTACTAGTTACGTCAACTTGTAACATTAATGGAGCAAGTTATATTTGTGTTTATTAATGTTCACTTGATTAAGAAATGTGTAACGTTTTAAAAATCCGATACTTTTATGATATATAAAAATAAAAACTTCTGAGGTCATCGTCGAAACCAAAAATATGAAAACTATTCAAAAATGATCTCCAGAATGAAGGAATTTGAAAACAAAGTTCTAGAATTTCTCATTTGCTAGGATGAAGAAATATTTCTTTAATTTGATATTTTAGAAAAGCTCAACAATTTATCAATTCTACAGCATAGGAAAGCAATTTATTCCATATCTAATGCATCCCAAATCTTTATATAATTGAAAACCATTAATGGTCTGAAAATAACCCAAATTTAGGGGAAGGAAATGAAAGAATCTTTATCAATGACATGCACAATAACATCGTCATCACCATCCAACACACAAAAAAGAAATTCTCGAATGAAGTAAACCAACAATATTCATAACCTTCAAACTTTTTGATCGCAAACTTTTATTGCTTGCTATTGTCTGTTTATGTCAAACTGTGAGATGATGATTACATCCTTGTACCCCTTGACAGAAGGAGCAGAAGCAAGCAGTTAGCAAGAGAAATAGCAATAATACAAGAGCCACGGGCTGAAATGACATCTGAACGGGCGGATTATTTTCTCTCTGACTGAATTTGACGTCTCATTTGACATTGGTTAATAGCATCATGAGGGGTTGTAGAAAGAAAACAGAGCAATTCTTGATAAAGAATGAAAAAGGTTTGTTTGCTATGAACCTAAATACTCGTGGTAATCAAAACATTGTTGATCTAATTTAGTTTTTCAAATGAGCAATAAAAATTGCTATGGCAAATAACGTTGTGAGCTTTTTAAAAGCGAATTAAATTTCCATAATTTGAAATTTGTGTGCATGATAATGGACAAAAGCTTCCATTACTCTTATAACTTAGGCAAATTATGGACGAACCCGCACATTAGAAATGCTTCAGTGTCATCATCATTAAATTGAATGAAAAATTCCTCCGCTCATTTTGATGTTTTCGCGGCATTTGTGTGAGAAACGTGTGGAGGAATGTTTCATGGCATTTTTATCATTAACCACAACATAGTTAGTTGGTTTGCGTATCGTAATAAAAGTTAAATGAAATTTTATTCGAAGGCAGCTTGATTCTTGAATTACTTATCTAACTTGATGGAAGAACTTTTATTTTTAATGTCATTCAGATATCTAACATAAAATATTTTGTTTATTTCCGAAATGTTTGTTATGTTTTCCAAGACTTTTTAATTATTTTCCTATCCAATATTGAAGTTTACAATCCAAATTTATTTTAAAAGTTTTCCATATCTTTTTTAATTTTCATTTGTGAAGTTCTAATATAAAGTTTCATATACATTGAGAATATATTAAATTTATTAAACTACCAAAAACCAATTTGAAAGTCAAACCCAAGCAAAGTTTTCATTTTGGACAAACATAACTTTATCTAATTGGGATTAAGTTTCAAACTGAATTTTTGGAATGTTTCTTAAATGAAGTTCGTTAAGTTGGCTTTACTTGAGGTTATGAAATGATAATAATGAATATTGTTGCAAGATGTTTGTAATTTCTGTAATATGCCACAAAGAGCTTAATATTTATTCAAAGGAAAAAACATCATAAATTGGATAAAATTTAAATTCAGTCAAAGACAGATCTTGTTTAAGAACAAAATTCAAGAATGTTTCTTGTCATTTCAGACAAAAAAAAATGTAAAACATGAAAGCAAGAGAAAATCTGCGACAAGAAGAACAATTAAAATATGGAAAAATATTCATTTCAGGAATCTGTCATGCAAAGAAAATCCCGGAAAAAGGTTTCTGCTACTAAGATTCGCACATAAAATAAGTATATGAGAAGACATAATGTGCTAGGTAGAGATTATTAAAAATTTATTTAAAATTGTCATTTATTTTTTATGACTCAGCGTTTGTTGTTGGTGGGAGCGTTAAGAGAAAGCGAGAGTTAGGCGCACATTGTACACACACATAACATTTTTGGGTGAAAAACATACAACGACTTCATACATTTATGGATGCTTTTGTTGTGCGGAAATTTGTGATTCACATTTCATAAAACATGACACTCGAGACTATGGCGAAAATGAATTGAATGAGAAGCAGTGAAAAAATCTTAATTATCATGATGATGAAGGATTCTGCTTTGTTCATGGAATATTGTACTAAACTAATGTCATTATATTTATTTCTGTTGATGTCATGTTGAGAGGTAGAATAGACAACTTTATCATTGATTTCTTTTATTAAAACGAACTAAGAACATTCTGATAAGATTGGGAGTGAATGAAAGTTTACTTACAAAGTTTAAGTAAAAACTCTTAATAGTTTTCCGATATTAACTCATAATGAAGGAAAATCAAGAAATCTCTCCCCTATTTGTACAACATCATTGACTGCTTGTCAGACTTTTCACAAAAAGCCAATTAGTAGTCTTGTTGACTCTGATTGACCTTGTAAGTTTTTTTGCTTGATTTGAGACAGCTCGTACTCCACAACATTTACTGCCCTGCCTCTCAAAAACACAGAGCAAACGATAATTTATGATATGTCAGGCGTGTGTTGTTTTATATACGATGATATAGATTCCATGCACATATTTACTGATTGTCAGTTTCAGCCATATTTATGATATGATCTCAACATATAGATAAATCCTATATTTTATTAAGTTGCAGTCTGATTTGTTACATGAATTGGAGAAAAAGTTAATAGAATCTGACCTTTGCTTCATTGATTTTCTCGCTTTTCGTATAAAAATCTTCACGAAGAAGAGAAGAAGAATGTTTCATCGTTTTCTTTGAGAAGAATAATTTTTTCCTCGACTGAACTATTCCAAATCCAGAAAATTGCGAAAAAATTATTCCCAACATAAGATTGCAGATTTTTTTTGAATTTCTTTCCGTTAAAAATATGAAGGTAAATATAATTTTCACTCACTAAATTTTGCTCATTAAATTCAATAAAGTTCACTTATTATGATGCTAAACCTTATATTTTTATGTCTTTATTAATTATTTATTAAAATTTCAACTTAGAAAATATTTTATTCCGCATTCATATTTTTAACGGTTAAAATTTTAAAAATCGATTCGCAATTTTCTGGTCGCAATATCATAGATGTGGAATTTTTTTTTTCGCAATGCTTTCATTTGGAAAAATTTATTCTTCTCTTTTCTTTTTATGTAACTTGATGGTAACTAATGTCGACGAGATAGAATCGAAATCATTCACAAAAGATTGTAATAATTTAAGTGAAATTATTTTTTCCAATTCACAAGATAATTTCAACTTGAATTAACCCCATAAAATAATATCAAACAATTTTTCATTTTCCTAAATGGGCTTGAAATTGGCCCCAAAACAGTCGGGGAAAAATAATTTAATACATATTGCAAAGATTCCCTTGAGTAACTGAAGACACCGACATAGAATAAAGGAAGGGAAAGAAGGAAAGGAATTCGTACATTTCCTAATCTTATTCCTAATCAAGATTATGGGGGCTTTTAAAGGCTACGAAAAAAATGTCTGCGGATAGAAGGAATTTTTTGAGTATGAACGTTAGTGGGGTGTGAGAAATGATTAAAACGGGAAAAGGATTTAAAAGTTAAGTCGTTTGTAAAAATATCTTGATCTTGAAGTCTCAGAAAGGCGTTCTCGTCAACTCATGAAAAAAGAAAAAGAAAATTATTACAGCTCCTCGCATCTTGCATTCAGAGAATGAATTATGTCTGTTTGAGTAAACACTCTAAATACACGCTCATTTGAATTGTAGACGACTCTTCCTAGACAAGTTGAAATTTAAGAGCTTATTCAATGGAAGAATGAATGACAGGTACGGTATTTTGCTGTGACTTACAGTTCATTTAACTAAGAAGAAATTCAAAAAGTCAAAGACATTACTTAGGTAAGAAGCTTTCATAATTAACATTCAAAGCTTATTTTCTAATTAAGTATGATTTGATCTTGTTAACTTAAATATTTATTAGAAGCTTGTCATGATGTGAACGTTGGAAATCTATCAAGATTTTCTCAAATCTTATTTACTTATCTTATGTAGTTTTCAAATTGACTTCATTTCAGTTGTAAGAACTTTAATAAACAAGCTGAACAGAAGTTTAATTCAAAAACCTTTTCCGCCTACATTAATCCTTCCTAATTGCTGTTTATTAGTTATTGAGAAGAAAAATTACGAAAGTATGCACAGGGTCATAAAATTTATTGATAAGATTTTTTATTGCCGCCTTTTTTTTTCGAGACAAAAGAAATATTTACTCTTGTAAGTCTTCATAAGCGAGAATATTTCCAAGTTGGGATATAGAAGATCTGACAATGTGCAAGCGTTTCTTCTCTGAGATCATCATGATTAATAACCATCATTTGATTTAATTACAAAGCTTACAAAGGCATCTCTGCCTTTTTGGTGTGCCCATAAATAGAGCAGCAAGAAAAAAAGGAATTGTTTAGTTTGATGGATATGTCGGATGCGTATAAATATTTCTGTCTCCTAAAATGTTCGCTAAAAATAAATATTTGTCAATGTTGGATACACAAGAAAACCGCCCTTAAGAGCAAATTGACTTTATCGCACATTTGAACAGAAACACTCACAAGTTTTATGTCCTTTGTTTCTTTCTTATCTATAATAATATAAGTCAAATGTGGATGAGAAATTTTATGAAATTTTCGACAAGTTGCGAAGGCGTTTCGATTCAATAAATCAGGAAAATTTAATGCTCGATTTCATTCATCGTCATTTTGAAATGTTTATTATTTGGTTTATTTATTTTTGCTTTGCGGGCGACATACACATATCAGAATTTGTGATGAAAAATAAATAATGAACGAGATTTATAAATTCGCTAAGCGTCGTAATTGGATTTAAGATTTTTTTTGAAAACACAAAATAAACATTTAAAGAAAAACTCGAAAGAAAATTGAGGAAAAAATGCTACAGAATTGTCAACCCGACTAACTAGTTTAAACTCTTAAATTTATGCAATTTCGAAAGAACTTGATAAGACGAGCTTTCTAAATTGAGAAAAGACAAACGTAAGCAACAGAGGAAAGCAAAATGTTTCTTATTTCTTTCGAAAAACAATCCCAAACCGTTCCGGTTTGCAGAACGATTCTCGACCACCGCTCGCTACCACCAAACGAAAAACATGGAAAAAGAATCCAAATAAAAATATTTCGTTCTCGTTTTCTCGTGCAATTTAATTTAATTTATCAACCATTTAATAAATCTTTTTGCAACTTTTTCCCTTCTCATCTTCCGCTCTTGTGTGTTATAGCGATACTGGCTTTTAATTATCTTCATTCCTTAACATTCCTCAACGTCGTAAAAGGTTCTTTTTGTCTTATTTTATTTTTTATTTCGGGATATATTTCCTTACACCGCCCGCCAATGGCTTCTGGGCAGCCACGAAACAGACAAACAAAAAAGGAAGGAAAAGAATGAATCAAAACTTTTTCGCATTTAATGACAAAACAAATACAAATCTATTTAATGAAAATCTGGTCCTAAGTTATCTTTTATTTCAATTTTCTCTTTTATTACGCCCACTTAAGAGCTCACTTAAGTCTTTATGCGAATGATTTCGGAAGAACAATGCTTGAACTCGTCTTGACTTGGCCAGTTGAAGATACCACAGCGCTACTTGATCGAAGTGTTTTAAGAAAGCGAGAAATCTTTTTACCCTTCTCTGAAGTTGTAATCACAATATTTCTCATTCAATTTTCTTCATCAAAGAACTTTATCCTTATCATACGAAAGCTCTTAAAGCTTGTTTTGAAATAATGTGCAACGATGTGAATCAAACAGCGGAATCCTAGGGAAATAAGTAAAATAAGAAAAAGGGTATTGTTCTAGAAACTTGCAAAGAATTTTTGAACTTGTTAAGAAATTTTCTGAAAAATTTTAACAAGAATGTTGTATTGGAAATTTGTAGCAAGATTTGATTTTTTTTAGTTTAAATCTGTAAGTGGAAAAATATTTTATCGACACCAACAACGTTTAAATTTAAAGGGAAATAAACTCTCTTGATATAAGCAATTCAAGCTGATCAGTGATCTATACAGAAATCGGAATTTAATCTTGGTCAATTAAGCTCAGTTCAATCCCTATTCATACATTTTGAATGAAATTCTATCGAGAACAGAAAGCAAAATTACCGGGACATGTCAATCAAAAAGATATCAACGAGACTTTCGAGATGGTGGAGTGAAATATGAGAAAAAAATCTCTTGAAAATCATCAAGACAAGATCGACTTCAATATTTACTTATTTGAATGAGACAACACATGTCACTGCACAAACAAATCATAATGAAAAAGAAATCTTTTTTCAATATTGAAAAGTTTTTCAATCTTTCTAGCTCAGTTAACATAAAGCAAGCACATTTTGTTCAATATCTCATATTTTTCATTACTCACGCTACATGAAAGCTTGAAGTTCTCATTACGATTTCAAAGCGATTGTTAAAATCATGAGAGTTTTCAAATTTATCTTTTGTGTTATTCTTTATTCGTAGCACAAAAAAAACTTGAATTGTCACAAAACTTTGACTTAAGATTCTCAACTTCAATTATGAAGAAAGATATTTAAAAAACTTTTGCAATTTTGTTCATTGAATAAACATTTATTTCATATTTTTCACTTAAAGAAATGACAATGACATGCAAAAAAGTTTTTGTCACATTTAAGAACACATTTTCTCACTTATTTCGACACATTTAAGAATATTTTTATTGACATATTAACAGAATTGTTGGAAACTTAGTTCAGTGCTTGTTGACTATAACAACAAATGACTTTTCGCATTTGGGCAAAGTTGGAAAAACGGAGACGACCGGAAAACAGCAAAACTTAGTAAAGAGAAGATTCAGTCATCAAGTGAAAGTTCTTCACACAAGATTTATGTCATCATGATAAAGTTTAAAGTTCCTTAGTAATTTTTGTTGCAATCTTCCTGTGATGCAAATTTCCGTTGATGCTATTTTTATTGCTTTTATTTCCCTTCTGTGTCTAGTGATTGTGACATGATACAAGACATCTATAATTGCGGTTTCAAAACGATAGGATATTAGTTTTGTTTAAACATTGACACAGTCTTATAACCGATCTACTTGAGGAATTCATTTTCTATTCAGATAATTAAAATTTCATAAACTCAGTTGAGTTTGAATGTAGAACAAACTTGAGAAGTTTTCCACTAAATTGTAAGCCGAAATATTTAATTTAATCGTTGAAACAATTGTTGATAATATCGTACGATTACTCTTATGCTTCTATAGCTTTTAATTATAAATTAATGCTCGCATGAAAGCAAGAAATAATTTGAATGATAATATTTATTTAATCACCGCCATTGAATTTCTGAAACATTCTTCCAAAATTTCCTTTTCTTGATTTTCTGACATCAAAAATCAATGCTGCTGAAATAACTGAACGAATAACATTCATGCAAAAGTTGTGTCAAATTGAAGGGGAGGAGAAAGAATATCAAAGAAACATACAAAAAAGTGAAACTTTATGGAATTGCTGGCAATTTATTTAATCTTTGTGTTCATAATGTTTCATTCACTATCAAACAGTTTCAGCAAGAGTATTAAGTAAATCGATATCTATATCGACATGGGTATTATAACAGTATAGATAGATATCAGCACGAATAAGACAAGAAAGCCTTTGTTTGGCATTTTTTTGGGAAAGATAATGAAGAAAAAACTTAACGAAATTATCCGTGTACATATCCACTCCCATACGGAAGTATTTTGAACTTTGCTTGGTGCTTTGTGCGAGTACAAAAGACACAATACAGTGCAATCAACAGCAGTTAATTCTGATTAGTATTCCATTGTTTCTTTACTTATTATGTAACAAGTAACATGAGCATTCACTAGAGTCGAAGAGCATGTTTAATGTTAGAGTTGGCAAGCAAGGGGTTTTCATTTCTCGTCCCTCGTACAAACAAAATAAAAAGTTTGTAACAAAATTTGTTCCCAAGCTTTCAGCTCTTAGGATGAACTCTAGAATAAAATGAAACGAATGTCAATAAGGTCATTCGGGTGTTGTTACAAAACTCTGACCTCTTTCGATTGTCAAGTGATGGGTAAGAAAAATATCATTTCGAACCCTACAGTCACGTTTATCACAAGGCTCAATTCTCAAAAATAAGAATCTTATCATCGATCCTTTTTAGCAGCACCAACAAAAATAAAGAGAAAAAACTTTGTGCGCCTTTTCAGCCAAAGAATATTCAAATATTGCCTTTTTGTTTTCTTTTTGATGCCATATCTTTATTTTTAATAAATATTTGCTAAGAATACAAGAAAAAGGCAAATTTTTTATCTTGAAGAAGGGAGATTTCGTTCTTGTGTTCAATATTTTATCGAATTTAAATTACCCACTGTTAATATTTAACAAAGTTGTTCTTTTTCTTTATCGATAACATCCTTCTTTGCTTCTTCCAAACCTCGAAAGATTTAATTTTTGCATTATTGAAGCTGTTTCCCTTTTCAAGGAAAGCTTTTCGTTACAATATCGAATTTCGGTTCACGGATCATTTCATGAGTGAACTGAGGGTTTGATACAACCTCCGAGGCAATTGGTGTTACATTGCGCTTCTCTTTATCTTGTTTAGATGATGATGTAAGAAACGCTGCAAGGTATTATCATACAAGCATAACCTTTTAAGTCCCTTTTCTTCTTTTTTTATTAAACCGATCTGTGGTCTAGTTTCTGATGCTTAGAAATTAGTTTCTAAAGCTGTTGAATCGGAAACTTTATTCAGTTAGATAACTTGTAAAGCAAACTTTGCTTTCAAAGGATTCTATTAAATATCCTGAAGCAATATTTAAGCATAAGAAAATAATTTCAAACATCTCTTGATATAATTTTCTCGAATGATAATATTGGTCAATGATATGAAGTCAATTGATGAATCAACAATTGAACGTGATTAAAATTGAATGAATTTAATTAATCTTAAGAAATCAAACATAAAATCATTTCAATGATTCATAAACAAGAATTTATGTTCGTAGAAAAGATTTCGTTGAATTATTTAAGAATCATGTTTGAAATATTACTTTTATTTTCGTAATTTAGTTTTAAACTGAATCCTTGTTTGTGGTTCAATGAAACGTAATCAATTATCTCTCTCTGTTGTGGTCATGATGGAGGGGCTTTTGTGCTTTTCCAAACAGAGGAGAAGAATCGGGTAAGGATTACTGTTTTCGCTTTTGCTGTTCGTCGAATGAAAAAATCGCCCATATTGAAAGCTGGTAGTATAATGAGAAAAACGTCAATATTATCATCAATCTTACGTACGCAAAAAGGGTCTATTGGGAAGGAAAAAGTTCATAGCTTCGGAATTTTTCCGAATTTATTGATCGCTGTGAGAAAAAAGTATTGAAGCACCACAAAAAGTGTTTCACTAAGTGAACAATGCCAATAATGTTATAAATTACTCTTAACGAATATTCAGAGCATCAAAAAATAAAAAAGGATACGAGAGAAAAGTGAATAAATTTCAATTATACGAGGGGATGATAAGTGAAGAAAATGAATTTCTTGTAAAGTGACCAAAAGAGATTTATTTGAATAGTTTCCTTACCACAAACATTTGTCAAGCTTAAAAGTGTGAGACTCAATAAAATTTTCATTAACTTATTTTGGAACAAACTTTTCATCCCCTTGAACTGTTTTACTTCTTTTCTATGTGTCAAATTGTTGAAACAGGAAGTTAAAACAAATATCGATAAAATGTTAGATGCAATCAAACGCTTCTGAACACTGAAAACGGTGGAATGTAATTACTTGATTCTATGAGTTCCTCTATCAATCGTAATTCGAATCAAACATGCGATCGACGATGAAAAGAACAGCTTGCGTGACTTTCATGTGAATGTTATTGGAATTGAATACAAGGTGCGGCCGTGGTGGTGAATGAGGTTGAAAACTTAATTATGTCTTTTCATCTATATTAGCTCTTTACATCAAACAAACATACATAGAAATAAAGCAACGATATTAAATTTATCAGCAACTTGTTGCTTGTGTTTTTCAATTGCCTTCTTGTGAGTCATTTGAAATGATTGTAATTAAAGTATCGGCCAAGAACTGTTTACATCAATGACAATACATTTTCGATACAAAATGAACATAAATTTATGAATATAAAAATACATAAATTTATAAATTTGTCATCTGACAACTTTTGTCAGATTATAGTATCATCATAAGTATCTTTTACTCGAATATTGGCCAAAAAAATATCCCTCAAAATTAATTCGATAAAAAAAGAAAGAACTTCAGAGGATCTGTCGAACAGACGAACTTATATAGTTGAGTTGAGTCTCTTGTGAAACAAAGAAGAAAAGGAACTTTGATTAATGGACGACGTCAGCTTTGACTTGGTAGACGCTCTCCTGTATGTCTAGTGACCGTATATTCTTGGAAACATCAGTGTGAGGGGATATCTAAAGGATTTATGAGATTCAATACAGTATACGGGATTTCCATTTAGGTATTTCAACATCATTTTCAATATTCATTAGGGGTTTAGGAATGTTCAAACCGGCCTTAGACAGGATTACTTTTGATGAATTTCCTTTCAGCATTCATTGGTTGTGCTCAATGTTTTGTGCTTACTTTTATTAAAAGAGATGGTACTTGAGAAAAGGTATTTTGTTTACCTTTTCATCCTTGAACGAACTAACAAGTTTGAGTAATTTTACGAATGATAGGACGAGTTGAGTAAGATTTTTCTACTAACTATCATGGATACTTTCACACGATAAGTTTCTAAGCAATTAAGCCATCGATTTCAATAACACAAAACTTTATATTCGCATCCACACACTTCTGATATAGATCAACTTTAATTTCTCTCTCAATGATTCATTAAAGTATCTCATTCAACTTGTAGCCGTGCTTAATAAAAGGATTCTTTTATTTTAATTTATTTTTCTTGCTCTATTTTTCTCTCTAAAACATTACCGCTTTTGGATATATAAGAACTGATTAAAATTCAGCTCATGCTGATAGAGAATAATCTCTGAAATATTTTTATGTCAGCACGATGCCATTCGCTTCGTTTCATTCGCAAATGTTCCTTGCTTTTCGTATGATGATGGAGGGAAAAGGAAAATGTTATTCACTTCTTAATTCTCTCACTTTATGGGAAATTTTATTTAATTTTAGTGCTTCGATATTATATTTTCGATGGGAATAAATGCACTCATACTTTCATTGAAGTGTTATAACAACGTCAAATAATTCAATTTTCATTCATAAATCATAACAAGAAACTTTGAAATTACGAGAAACGCTACTTTCATCTTGCGATTTTTGAGTTTTTTCCTCGGTATCTAAGAATTATGTCTCAATAGTCTCTCATGCATCTTAAGTGAAAAAACTTGAAGAAAATTGAAGCATTGCATTAAATAGCGATTCAATGTGAATGCAATGAAATATTTAATATTAAAGAATTTATATCGAAAATGTGTTCTTCACAAACTCAACCATCTGTAGACAATCAAGTTTGTTAAATATTTAGAATACATAATTTCCTTCGAAACTGTATCGATCCAAGAAATAAATAAGAAAAGTTTTCCCTTTTTCATTCATGAGAACATGGACTCTTATTAAATTTTCTGCGGAACCTTAGGCCCAATAATAAAAGGAAGAAGGCGTGGACGAACGATAAATACATTTGAATAGAAAAGTTTTCAAGTATCCAATATTGTCATGAGCCCAGATAAACATGAAGATAACATATGCAAATAAATCTTTCAAACAAACAAGAAAAATGTTGAAAATATTCTCACATCGACGAGCACATGCTGCATACGAGTTTTAAGAATCTTTACAATTGCAAATAAATCTTCCGTTCAAATTGATTTCTTTTAAATAAAAAAAGAGAGAGAAAGTTTCGATTATTTACAACATCAAATTCGAACGATAAGATTGGAACGCTTATTAAAAAAATAAGAAGAAAAGCTTTGTAACAATTATCTGCCGAAAAAAGACGAATTGTTGTGTAATGTCTGCGTAAATCACTGTGATAAATACAAAGTCTTAAAGAGTAATACTCGCTATAATACATTCAACCAATGAATCTTATTCGATCACGTGCCAACGCTTTACAGAATTGAATCTATCAGGCGATTTACGAGAAGCAGTTAACAAGGACATTTCCACATCTTCTTCAAGCTTTGCCATCACTGAAATTGTCAATAAAATTCCATATTCAGATAACGTTTTAATCTTTATTGTTTTGAATTACAAATGGTGCCTTCAATGAAAGCCTCGATAATATATTTATGTCTGAAGAATATTGTTCCAATAAAAGCTTATTGTTATCGCTCTTCACTTCTCATGTTAGCAACTATAGACAAGCGATGGTTAAAGCAGGAAGAGTCGTAAAAAATGAATGAGAAAAAATATTTTTATTAAATTAAATTGTCCTTAGACTTATCTCTGTACGTCTTTCTCCTTCTCTCACTTAAGACTCGTTGAGATGAAGAAGGAAGGAAGGAAAGAAAAAAAGAAGGAATCTTCACTTACAGAAATCATCTTCATACAGCAAATACATAAAGAAGCAAATATATGCGAAATATCATAGAACATTCGTTTCAATAGCAAATGAAAAGGGGGGAAATGCCACCCAAAAATTCGAAGCTTACATCACCGCAACAAGAGAAATGAAGCCAAGAAAAATCATTTTTTCCCATTAGAAATGTGAAGATTGCTTTATGATGTGTGATAATGATTAGGTTTGATTCATGAGATTTCCAAATAAAATGAGTATGGAATCGGAATTGGATTAAAAAATGAAGCAAGAATATTTTTATTCCTTTTCATTCGAATCGATTTGCTTTCGATTTTCCCTCACCTTTCTTTCTTCATCCAACTGAGTGAAGATTTCATGAAATATCATCCATGTAATGAGGAAGTTTTGTTTGCTCATATCAATATTTTTCAAATTTTCTCCTTTGCTTTGTGCCTTTTATGGCACACGACTAGCATAAGAGAAGCGAAGATGGTTGAAAAAAGATAAAATTATCGAGAAGGAAAAATAAATTTCTTTTGAATATTTTACCAAAGCCCATCATCATATGAATTCCTGGAGATAAAATTCTTTCTGCATCAGTTATTCTCAACGTTTTTGGGGAACGAAGTGAATAAATATGTTAAACATTTGCTGAGGGTAGCGAAGTTGAAGAGCTGAATATGATAATTGGCTTTATATTTGTCCAAGGTTCAAAGTCTCTGTTATTATTCTTACACATCCTGAGCGAGATTGTCAAAGTTATGATAACAAAACTATATTTTTATAATTTAATTATACTTTTCTGTCCTCTTCGAAAAGGCTAAAGCTCTGAAAACAAGATTCCACTTATGAGAAATGTGTGTCTAATCAATAAATATTATTGCAATCTACACAGCTCCAATCAAAATAATTTCTCTTGTCTTTTCTTCTTCTTATAATTTACCATGAAATAAACCTCGTTACATGTTATATCCTGCTTAGAAATAGAAAAGGGATCGTATAAACATTAACAGGCGTGCGAAGGAAATTGATGGGAAATATCTTCCGTTAAATCTTTCGTTGTATGCTTTTAATTGCTTGCTGAGGTTTACTGTCGACACAGGAGAGAATTAACAATGTGTTTAACCAAGAAATTAAGATCATAATAATTGATTTTCAGTCGCTTCTCGATAATATTAAAAAAATTAACAAAGAGACGTTCGAAGTCGTTAAAAGATAGAAGAATCAAGCAAGTCATTATTTGAAGATGATATTAAATGAAAATCAATATAATTAATTACAATTACTAAGCATTCTACTTATAAGTTTCTAACTTTTAAAATGATAGGACGTCAAGGAAACCTGACGCTACTTGTGTTGCCTCCTGTTGCTAAAGTATTAAAATTAATGTTGAAATTCATTTCATTATTGATTGAAAATACTGGGAAATCTTCAAAGCTTATAAGCTTATTGTAAAAAGCTTAAAGTTTTAGGAACGAACATTAAAGAATTGTTTATTAATTTTACATTTTACGAAATACGAAACGAACATTATAAATTGTCGTATCATTTTCGTATACAATTTTCAAATTACTTTAACTGTCGAACTGTTTGTCAAGTTAATGGTGCGTAGAATTCGGAAGATTGTAAATAAATAGAATGGAAAACACTGTTTCTTCTTTCTTTGCCTCTCATTCTCAACACATTTCCATATTATAATGTGGATGGGAAAAAAAAGGCAAAACATATTTACTTCACCAACAGCAAATGAAAATTCTTTCCCATCCCGCAAAATTCCTTTTTCTTTTTGCAATAAGCTTCGATTTATTTATTGAGCGCACACTCCTTTATGTATGCACTGAAAAGCTATTTTTATGATATTGATTGAGTTTAATGCTTTCGATGAAAAATCAGTGGGAAAATATTGCAACTCATTCTTGTTTTCTGTACATGTCAACGTCTGCAAATCATATCAAATTCAATTAATCTTTAACTGGCTGTAAATTGAACCATTTTCAATTAAGTAGAATAATACAAAAATAAGTTGAAAATAAATTGAATAATTTATTTCTGATAGTTACTCCAATTGAAAAGAATCAATCAAACAATTTACTTTAAGCTAACTTTTTTTTTAAATTGCTTTCAAACTTTTCATGAGACAATTGCACGGAATATTTGAAATCTTTTAAATCTTAACTTTTATCTCAAATTGTTATGAAGTAAATTTATGAAATTTGCATGTTTGTTGAGTGCCTGGGAAATGGCAACTACTTGAGCGTACGTCATATCGTTATATCTTTATGTTTAAGAAAAAAGAATGCGAAACAAATATCGTAAACTGACAAAGTCGCTCTTCTCATTTGAATATCAAAAAGTTCATAATAAAAAAATTTTTAAGCTACTTTTTATGTTAAATTCTTGAAGTTGATTCTGCTTATCATCAATTTTCTCCTTCTTATAAACATTGCTTTTGAAGTGTAGTCGCTACCGCAAGAAAAAAAATGTTTTAGCGATGTTTGAATTTGGAAGTTGAAGGAAAAGTTGGCCCAATTGAGAATCTCTTTGAACTCTTCGCGATGAATGCATTAAAACTTTTTTCCTTCTTTTTTACTTTTGTTTTTTGTATCTACTGAAAATCGCATATTTTGACTCGAGTAGAATAAAAGAAATTCTTGAGGGATTGTTGAAGAATTCGATGAATAGAACGAGCTGTGCTTGAAATCTAATTTAGCAACTTACTCACTTCTATAACTTTGTTAAGCGTCGCATGCTACTTTTTGTACTGCTACAGTTCTTTTGATTAACTAAGCAAAAAAAGGGTTCACATGAAAGCTTTCAATTTACAGAGATTGAAAAGATTGTAAAATAAATTGCATAACGACAACAAAAGGGATTTTCGTTGATCGACCTTACTTAAAAAAAATTAAAGTTTCGAAAAATCCGTCAAAGTCGAAAAGATAAAACTTTTGCTACTTGCTTGCTATAAAGTTTCTTCTCACGACGCTGACTGAAGAATTTTCTTCTTTTTTTTTGATATCAACACAAACTTTTCGAATTAAATTTTCGTCTTTCCTCTCTCCCAAACTGCCAGCTGATTTTAACTCAACAGTAAGCTTTCTTGGTAGTATATTTGCTTTCAAATTAATTCTCATCGTTTCTCAATAAATTACAACACGTGTTTCTGCCTTCCAAAAAGCATTAAGTGAGATTTATTTTTCATTTAAGAGCGCTTTCTATGTCACAGAATTGATAAATATACACCACGAAGTCGTGTAGTCAATATACAAACACAGAGTGCTTGTGTTGGAGTAAAAGCTTTATGTTCCTTTTTATTCTCACTTGCTTTCATGAACAATTTCAGTTTATTCTTTTTGAGACTTAAAAGGAAATGTCAAATCAGGAGAATTCCAAAATTATTTTCATTTATTTCTCATTCCACTCATAAACTGAAGTTCAATTCTCTGTGTTGTGTGTTGATGTTTCGTACAATATTAACCAAATTTCCTTTCTCAAATTTATTGCTTCATTTGCCATGAAAATAGCTCTCAGAATACATTCATATACATCCTGAATATCTATACGCTTCTAATAAGCTTCGATGAAGAAATGAAGGGAAAAATGCTAACACAAGATTTTCTATAGAAGTTCAAAGCAAGAGAAAAACGTTTTATCATCTAAATTATGAATAAAATAAAATGAAGTTTGAAGCCTTAGCTTTTCTTCAACTATGAAAACTCATTGTTGAGGGATTGAATGATCTCCGCCCAAAAAAAAAAAAAAAATATCGTAACGCAGAAGATTGTCGGCGAGATGAAAATAACGGCGAGAGATGAGCTGAAAAGAACAAGCAAAAATGCTGGTTTTACATTTTATTTCATCTCGCTTCCACCCCAACTCTTCACAGCTTTACTCCCAAACCCTACATCATATCAATCACTTTGCTATATTCTAACTTTTTGCGGAAAAAGCGTGATACGTGATATCAAAACTTTTCTTGCTGTTATGTTTTTCTAAACAACAAAACATCTAAAGCGAGAATGAATCTTTTGAAGATACCACAAAGTTGGGAGCAGAAAATTACAACCTTGCAGAAAAATTTCGTCATCAAGAAGTGAGAAAAAAAGAAATTTTAAGGATGAAGCGCGTGATCACATACGCTCACGTAATATTGTAATACACCCACTCAAACGCGTTCTACGCACACACACACAACATGAAACTAACATTTATTATTATTATTATTTAGTCGGAAAATTTCTTCTTATTTCTTTTCTTGGTTTTTCGTCCGCATAATTTTTTTTCTCTCCGTTATGATTTATTGTTTTCGCTCTTTTCATACGGAAAAGAATGTAATTTCTGTTAGTCATGAAAGAAAAATGGAAAATTTTCTTCTTTTTTGCGCCTTTTTTTGCAGCTGATGAACGGTGGTAAAGTCAAAAAGTCTTCTCCGCATCACTTCACTTTGCTTCGTAAACGAAGAAATTTCCTCCTCATTGGTCGTTTTAGAGCAGTTCGTTTTAATACTTACTTCAACAATTCCAATAGGAATTCTTTATGTTGGGAGAGGGTAAATAAAACTCCCAAGAGGGTTGCGTCTGTCTTGTCGTTGAAAGGAAAGCAAGAAATAAAAAGCCTTCTTCAAGACGAAAGAATTTCCTAAAAATAATTTTCAAGGTTCTTCTTGTAGTTTAATGTTGAAAGTTTCAGAATTATTAAGCTCAGTTTCGAAAGAACGACTGTCAGAGTCGACGATTCTCCCAATTTGTCTCCAAACATTGAATAAGCGACAAACTTTTATCGTCGTTGCTTGCTCAGACACGACACACAACAAGAAAAGGAATAGAAGGAAATGGAAAAAAAATTCCTTCCTACCCTTGTCACTTTTACACTCGATGGCGCCTACACATGAGCAAACAAAGCAAGAATAAAAATGTAGCGAATTTAGAAATGCTTTTTCCGAAATAAAAAAATAACGAAAAAGGAAACTTCTATAAGTGTAAATATATTGGACAATGTTGACAAATATTCTTCAGTTTCGTCGGGTTTTCTCTTAAGTCACTCTTCTTCTTATTTATTTTATTTATTCCCATGTTTTCATGTTTTTATTATGACAAATTGTCGTTGTTAATCGAAAATGAATTTTATGGGCATAAAGGAAAGTTTCTCTTAAAAAACATTTGACATCGTCACTCATAAATATAAATAAGGAAACGTCTGCCTAATGTAATATGCAATTAATCATAAATAGTTGAGTGAAAGATTTTTTTATTATGAACAACTCACCTGACACTGTGGTAAATCACCTTCAGGCCGTTTTGCTTTCCATCCTAACAGCGGTGGAATACAAATTAACGCACTCATTATCCACACAGCAGCTATCATAAAAGCTGCTCTAGCAGGCGTTCTTGTCTTTAGATATTCAACAGCTTGTGTTATGCTCCAATAACGATCGAGAGATATTAAACACAAATTCATTATTGATGCTGTACAAAGAAGCACATCAGCAGCTGAGTGAATGTCACACCACCAACTGCCAAACACCCAATAACCCATTAACTCGTTTGCTAATGAAAATGGCATAATCACAAGGCCTAAGAAAAAATCGGCCACAGCTAATGATGCAATAAACCAATTCTGAATATTTTTCAAAGCTTTCTCCGTGGCAATTGCAATTATCACTAACATGTTGCCAACAACTATAATAATCATTAAAATTGTAACAATAATGGATGCTATTATGATGGAAGTGATTGTGTAGCCACTTGGGTATCCAGTGTGAAAGATTGTTTGTGGCTCTACCGTGGACGTTGCAGACAAGGATGTGTTGAAAACATCAGTGTAGTTGCCTACTGATGTTCCATTGCTTAATATGGCGAGAAATTCTTCCGCCGTATCATTTATATTATTAATACTTCCTGACAGATAATCCATTGTTGTCCTTGATGATAATGACGAAACTATTTACTTATGAACAGCTTAGAAAGCTTTTATTGATCAAGATGTATGCGAAGTTAATGAATTTTTGCCTTCCCCAAATGCTTTGCTTTACTTTATCTTCCTTAGAGTTTGCAAATTGAAGTGAAACTAGTTTCTAAATAATCATTTATCAACAATGTTTAATATCATTTCCTTGTTTAAGTTAATTATGTTTTTATTATTGTTATTGATTATGACGTTTGTTAATTGTTAATGTTCTCAGATGTCACTCAATTTATCGTACTTTGTGCCGTTCACAATATTAATGACACTAATAACGAATCTCGAGCTCAGACGATTTATTATTATTTCCTTATTCTTATTCTTCCTGGTTGATCTCAATTTTTCATTTCGTTAGGAAAGAAAATAAAATTGAAGATTTTTCTTTCCTTGCCAAGAAGAATGATGAAACAAAAAGAAATTCTTTATACTTTGAGATGATGTTGGGACTTTTCCTATCTCAATGTTCACTGATAATACTTCTCAATAGAACATGAGACGAAGTGCTGATGATGTTGCCTTCTCGTTGTGAACAATGTGATGAGAGTGAGTGAAAATTAATTAATTTTCGTCCTTCTTTTCTCGTTTTCTCTTCCCGTTTGCGTTTTTTTTAGTCGCGATTACACTTGCTGTCGTATGTATTTCAGCTTAATGAAATTTCTTTCTTATTTAGGATGTTTGCTTTATGGTTTAAAATCCCTTAATTATTCATACGATATTATCCTCCTTTGTCGCTTCCCATTCAGCGTAAATCTTTATTCATTTGTTTGGTGAAAAGCTCATCAATTACTTTCACTTCCTTCCAGTCAAAATTTTGCGAAACGTCGAATGTATTCAATTTATATTCAACATTAACGTCAAATGATAGCAGCGAAATTTATGTTCCTTTTTTTTGACACTTTACGATGAAATTCTGAATCGGTGACTGTTTTTCACAGTTTCATGATTTAAATGATTAACTGATAGGTCATGTCAAATGCTTTGATATCTGAAATTTTCCCGATTTGGAATACAATTTTTTTCCTATCAAATTCACCAACATTGGACCCTTTAATTCCACTCACTGCAAATGCTTCTGAACTTTAATTCTCGGTTTGTTGATTTTAAACTCTTTGGAATGCTCCAAAAAAAAACAGAACATAAAAAAAGTTTTATTCTCACATATGGACTGAGGTTCAGTTCGTATCAGGAAGTCTGTGAAAAGTTCTGTTTGTGTAGCTTTTTACGTTTCCAATTTTAACTCTGAGAGATGCCTCGCAGACATTTCGTTAACGATTTTCTGTATTTTTTCACTGGCATTTTTAATCGATTTAACAGCTTCGTGTGAACAGGTCGGTACAATTTTCCAATAATATTCTTTTATTTCATTTAAACCCACATTCTGCAGGTTGTTTAAGTTTTCAACACCCACTCGATTGTTGTTTTTAACTTCACTTTTTTAATTAAGCGTATTAATTTATTAATTATTATTAATGAAAGCAACGCTAAGCTGTGCAAATTATTTTCGTCCTTTAATGTTCATGCATCGATTTTAAATCACTTTTTTTTGTTATAATTTGCAAATAATCATCGAACAATTTTCAATTAATTCGTAACACGCGTACGAATGAGAAATGTTGTCAAATTTTGAATATTTATTTTACCTACACACTTTGCTAATTAATCGCGACCTTTTCAACGATATACATAGCAATGTTCAATTACCATAAATTAGTTTTCCTTTTTTCCTTTAATTTTATTAATTTGCTTAATTTAGGCGAATATTTTGGAGTCTTCTTATTATTCTTTCACAATGAAAAGCCCATCAACTCACAATGCAAGGAAATATATTGGATCACACTTAAATTTTCTATTGTTAGATCTTTTAATGTCTCAATCAACTTATCTATTTAAAGACCTTTCAGTATTTTTTTTTGTAATTAAATTTTTTCTACCCGTTTTCTCCGAAGATTCCCCGATTTCTTCTTCATGTTTAGTGATGCATCGGTGTTCATAATAACACAAAATAATTATTTCAATTAAATAAGAGTGCTGACTCCACGTGTTGCCTTCCTTCCTTTCCTTTTCACACCGTGAGATAAATAAAAATTATTACAGTCTCGTAGAAGTTACAACAGTATGAGAACAAGAAATGATAACAGTCATATAATTAGCACAAACACGAATCTTTTATACAAATATTTTACACAATTTATTCACCGTTGTTATTTGCCGCTCCTTTGTAAAACCTTTTCACGCTGTCTATTCAATATTACAATTCAAATTGTTCGACTTTGAATAATGATATTCTAATTGAAACCTTTAATGTCTTACAAACTGCCGAAGCGAATGTGTGTTGTAGAAATTCTAAAGCCACCTTATGTGGCCCATTAGATACCGACAACTTGTTGTGTCGGTGAATGCTTCATAAATTGTTCTTCAGACCAACTGTAGTGAATTGATGCAGTTATTGTGTCGAGTAATGGTTTCGAACTTCCTCTCGAGTTCTTTTAACACCTGAACGATGTTAACGGCACTTATCACTACAATGTTCAATCTACTGTCGTCATTGATATAATGACGTTATATATTTATGAAGCTTTCTATTCTCTTGACGCAATCGACGATACTTCGATTGCCATTTTTTCCCTTTTTGTGTTACTGTATGGAAAGTAGGTCGCTGCAATCTTTCCTTCCTTTTACTCAACAACTATTATTCTTTGTGTTCTTCCATTGCTTATTAAATGCATTTTTCATTCACTTTTTCAGCTTTAAAATTTTATATTTTATTACATAAATTGTCACTTAATAATTATGTTTTGTATTATGCAACGTTTCTTTATATTTTATTTTATGTTTTCCAAGTTCCGTTTAAGCTAACAATGAAGGTTGTGAAAACGAGAAAATTCTTTATTCTTAGATTTCTTTTTCTTCCTTCGTTTCTCTTTTTTTTCACATCTTTATTTTCTTCCCTTCCGCACAAAAGTTTTCAACAACGGGGAAAAAAATACATAAACGTGTGACTGATACACTTTAATGTCTGCGATATTCTCGACAGATATTTTGTCGATGCTGGTTGAGTTTATTTTTCACTTACGATAAATCTATTGCTGGATTTTCGTGTTTCTCATAACAGTTCCAAATCAATTTAGCATCAGCGTTTCCTTGCCAAAGTTTATATTATGATATTGATTTATTGGCAAAAAGCAAAAAGATGACATGGAGATTCAGTTGTCGGAATGATTTTCAAAGTGACGCTCAAAATGTGCTTATCTAGGCTTTGAGCACAAACCGACTTTTATATCGAACAACACAAACATTGAAGTGATGAAAAGTTATAAAGTACAAAAATAGCAGCACTTAATAGAAATGAAAGGATGAAAATGAATTTCTCCGTAAAAAGATTATCTATGGTGTGTCTCTGATGTTTCTAAAATGAATCAAATCGATTGTGATTATCCAGTCTTTCAACAAAATGAAGCGACTGTGAAAATTTCTTTCTTCGACTTCTTCTTAGTTCTCCAATTTTTTATTTCTTTTCTGTGTATGAATGAAGACACTCAGAAAATAACTTTAGATAACTCAGTAATTATTATTTATTATAGGAATAATATTTATTCGGTCGGCAAGCAACTCAAATGGAAAACATTCTCAAATAAACAAAAATTCATTTTGCCCATAAAAACTTTCTCTCAACCACCAACTGTTCTTTTCTTCGCTTTAATTCGAAATAAATTATTTTCATCGTTTTCCTATTCTCTGTTTTCCTTTTGATTTCTGTCTCGGCTGTGAGATGAATTTATTTTTTCCAATGATTAAAGAATTTCTTTATCTTTCATGAGACTTTATTAATGTGATATCGCTTTAATTTGATTTTAATGTCTTGTTTCTTAATCACTTATGTATCTCTTTAGTCATCACTTCGTTTTTTTATTCATTTTCACATTGAATGACTTTAATTAAAATTTCACTCATTCTTCAAATTTTCTTTTATAGGCGTATGACGGAAACTCTTTTTCTTTTGTTTTCCCGGAGCAAATTTTTCATTGCAATTTTTCGTTTTTTTTGTATTTAAATTCACACTGTCAACTTTTAGGCTAATTTAAATTCAAGAGTATCTTTTCGCGATTAAAAGCTTTTTACAAGCTGTGACACTGTCGCGAAAACGTAGACCAATTTGTGTTCTCGTGTCGGTTAAGCTGACAGCTTTCTTCTTGGTCTTTTCATTTTTATGAAAAAAAGTAAAAGAAAAACTTAAAAGAATTTTTCTTGCTTCGCCTATTTTGAAATGTAACTTTTATTAATGGAGTTTTTTAATATTTATCTTCTCTAATTCAAGTTCACAATCATACTGAATCCCTGAGACGAATCTGCCGTAAATGCATGAAAAAGCATGGGAAGGTTTGTTTAAATATTTTCCAGTGGAAAACGACTGATAAAAACACGATGCAAAGCAGTGTTTGATGGAAGAAAAGTTTAGCACTTGGAAAATGAGTGCGAGAGAGAAAATGTTCCAGTCGGTGAACTCAGCTGATTCGGTTCCAGTATTATAACGTCAGCCGTTTATTTCTGTTTCCTTCATTGACGAACATTTCTTCTCCTTATCTTTTAAATTCACCATAAAAGAATTCATTTTTTCTTCTTAAATAATTTTCATCTCCAAGAAAAGTTAATTGAAGTGAGGTAAAGAAAACTTGAGCGTCATAAAAAAATGTTTTCAATTTTCAACTCTCATAACATTCATGACACGAAAGCATAATTTTCTGAGAAAAGTAATAGACTCTCATGTGTTCTAATCTTTTATGACGTGCTTCTCGATGAAAATTGCTCACAAATGTTCAATTTGTTTGATTTCATTTCACTTCCCCCTTCTTTCTTTTTCACCTCGCAACATTAAACGTCAAAATCGAACCTCTATAAAGATGAAAAAAAAAGGAAAATGTAGGAAAATCTCTGTCAGATGAAATAAAAAATAAAATCAACCTTCAAAGGCAAGTTGGAAAAATGTATTTTGCACATTTTTCACAGGTTTTTATACGTATTACTTTAACTGTGTGCTGATTATGCCTACTCCCGAGTTACTCTAGGATCGATTGGATTGAAATTCAGCATTTAATGTTCATGCTTCCTACATTCTTTAATATGAGAATTTATTGAAATTATGTAGACACCCGATAAGCTCATAAATTCAGTTTTATTTCGAACAATGCTTCTCTAGTTTCAAGCACTCATAAAGTAAATTTTAAGGAGATTGCTGAGTCCCAAGGAAACCCCAGAATAACAATGAAAAATTAAAGCAATTTTCTTAAAAAAAGAAAGAAAGAAAGAAAGAAAAGTACGGTCCACTGTAGATTCATAATTAATGAAAGTTATTTGACTCCAGTTCAGTTAAGCAACCACAAGGAATTTTCCTATTCAATGAATCTTTTCTTTAACTTCCAAACCGTTGCCGATGTCAGGATGAAAAAGCAAAAGCATAAGACGATAGATTTTTTTTTTATCTTTTCTTCGCCCTTTAAAAATCTGCTGACGGGTGAAGAATTTGTGCTTTTAGCGTTTGTATAAACAACACATAAATCATTAAAGTCGCACACTGCCGCGAAAAAAATTTAAGATCATAAAAATGCTAATAAAAAAACATCTCCCACAAGGCTGGCTTTAATTTTTGCTACATTAAGAAGTTAATCAAGAGACACTTTCTTTTAAAATTTTGATTTCATTTTTATTATGCGAATGATGAGGAAAAAATGATAAATTTTAAGTAAGTGATCGTAAACAAACTTGACGATTGACTTACTTAGTTGGGGGCTTTTATATTCATTTTAATTTTATCACTCGATAATCTTCATCTTGACAACAAAGAGGAAAAAATTTCTCTATTTATCTTACATCACACTGAACGACATAGCAGAATAAATATTTCTTCCATCAGACACTTTTATAGAGGGTGATGAAAGGAAAGTAAGACCTCTCTCAGCATACATTCACCCAGTTTATAGTAAGCAAAAAAGAAGAAAATTTTCTCACCAAGAAAAAAAAAGAATCATTGATCGAACCTTTCAACGATGAGTTTCATTCTCATCTTTTTCTTTTAATAACAAAAGGTGCCCAATTCATTTCGGTACAACAATAAATTTATCAAAGAAAAAACGGTTTATCGTTCTGACGTTAATAGAAATGAATCCCAAAACTGAACCGAAACTTTAAACATTATCATACTTACTTTGATTTATGCTCTTCATTTAGTAAATGTTTTTCACATTTCTTATAACGTTGAACTGTTTTTCTTTTAAGATATTTTCTTTTCTTCTTCTTTATCGCACAAAATAAATTGAACGTGCAATGTGAGAAAGGTTAGCATACAAGGATGTATGGAAAGTGCGAGATTTTTTTTATTTTATTAACAAAAGAAGCAGAACTTTTCAAGAGGTTCGATGTTTCATAGGGGAATGAAATTTTATGAACTGTGAAGTGATACTAGAGCATGTTTGTTATTCAACAGAGTGACTAAGAAAGCTTGAACTTGAAAGAATGTTTTTTGTTCGTTTTCTTTCTCCTCTTTTGGAATAAACTGAGCTTCTCAATTTCAAATTGATTTCTCTGGAGTCTCAAGGAGCTTCCTTTCATACTGAAGATTTATTTTACTTTCTTCTTCACAAATTTACCTTAAGGAATGAATTTGTTTAAGCTTCGTTGTCTTTTTAATTATACGTTGGAGATTGAATTTTTTTTTTTCGTCTACTGTTGTCATCGAATTGAAGAGAAACCACTTAAAAAGATTAACAGAAAAGAGAAAAACAACTTTGTAATTAAATACGGTGAATGTAACGAAATAAATTGTCGAGGCAAATGAAGGAAGAAAAAGAAGATGGAAAAAAATAATCAGAATGCAAATGAAAGAACGAAAAACTTGTAAATTAGAAACAGAACAATTGCGAAATCTCAGAATTTGATTAAGTCAACACAGAAGTTGAAGAAAGTTTGATGAGAAAGATTGTGAAATTATTTTGACAATAAATTACTGTTTAAACGACGTTCTAGCAACAAATATGAGTTTAACAAATGGAAGATTACAACAAAAGTTTAATTGCTGCCTTAAAAACTTTTCTAGATAAACAAGTCAATCCTTGCTTTTCAATATGGCTGTAGTGAGGTTGAGTGAGGTATGAACATTTTCACTTTTCCTTGTGCAAATTACGTAATTAAACTCGTCACACACATAGGCAACATTTCAATCAACCCCATTGTCTTTTGACAATGGATTCTCGTGAAGCTCATCAACATCAAAGAATTAAAATTCGTGTGTGAACAGCCTAAATAAAATTTTGTATATTCAAATTCTCAAACTAAATCAACACCCACACGTACGGCTAAGGATATAGGACGAACCCAATTATTAATCTTCATTCTAATTCTCTGAATTGCTTTCAAGAAAGGACTGGTTTTAACGATGAAGGTTTACGGAAATAATTTATATGAGATTGGGGAACGCAAATTTTGGTCTGAGTTATCAATTCAAATTATGATTTGCGATGGGAAGGTTTCGACATCAGAAACTGCTTTTTGAACATATCATAAACATTTCCCAGAATGTGGTGATTCAAAAGCCTTTACGAAATTGCTTTCTTGATTTACTAGACTGTCGAATGATTTTGAAACAAAACCTTGGGCCATCTTCATAAACTGAAAGTAAAAGTTTGAAATGAAACAACTGAAAGTAAAAAGAAGAAAATTCGCCATATGAAACAATTATCCACCTCCGAATGTACAGAAGATTCTTAAAAGCTTTAAGTAAGATGCATTAAATTGCTACTAAAAGTAATTTCTATCGTTAAACAAGCGCAAGAATAAAGTATACGAAGAATAAAATGAGAAAGTTTATGTTTGAAGATTAAATCGCTTCTTATTTAAAAGCTTGAAATGATGGAAGCTAATAAAAACATTTATAGACTCTTTTTTTCTTATACATACATTAGATGACTGATACAAAACCGCTAGCATTTGTGTCGAATAATTCATGTTAATCTTTCTTATGCTAAGCAGTAAGTTCATCTCATATGCTCGCACTCATACAACATGCAAAGCCTTGAAAAGCGAACAAAAGAAAACGAGCAAAAATTATTTATCGCATTAATGGAGACAGAAGTCTGTAACTGAAGTTTCTTTAGGTGTCCCCTTCTATCATCTACATTTTGCTTTCAACTTATTTCTGGTACAATTTTATAAAACAAATAAATAAACAATGTTACTTGTTACTGTCTAATATAAGACAAAAGAATGACAAAACTTTCTTGTTTACCTTCACTTTCCATCGCTTCTATGTTTTTTGAGTGGAAAAATTTGAAAAAAGGATAAACTTGAGATCGAAAATATCCTCAGGTTTAAATTTCTATGGTCAGCAAAAATTTTTATTCCTTCATGTTAAATTTAACACATGTGAAAGAATCTTTAACTTACACAATACATTTTATGATTACAACAGAACAAAAAAATTAATTCTTTATAGCGGAAAAATACAATCGGTGAATGAATAGGTGCAATAAAGAGAGTTATTGTTGTTAGCTTTTGTGGTATAAAATTTTTATTTCGGTTTCCTTATTGGAGTTGTTTCGTTTTATTCTCGAACAAAGAGCACACTTTTAGATCAGAAAATTTAACAAAAAAAATCTCAGAAAATCTTTTTCTTCTTATTATGGAAATTTTCCTGCACGATTTAAAGATTTAATATTCAAAATATTCAAATAATAGCAAATTCTAATATTCTCGGAAAAATTAAATGAACGCAAATCATTTATGCGCTGAATCAAAACCAACAAAAATCTGTTAGAACAGTTGAACAAGTTTCATTAAAATGTTTTATCTCTCATTTAATCATCCAATTAAATGAACATAATTCACAAATCCTCCATTATTCTCTTTTACAACTCTCCAACCGACATTGAGTTAATTTGTTGCATTTTCGTGTAACGAGAATGGGAAGTGGAGGCTGGAAATAAATGGCAATGAGTTGTTGAATTCAATTTAGGAGTTTGATTAATGGCGTTAATGGCTGGGATTTTCTACTCAATTTGCTTCAATGATTTAATGCCTTTTTTTTGAAAGTAAAATAACTCATTTCAACAATAATATGCAAGTGAATTATATTTAATACCTGACTCATAACAGAAATCTTTAAGCTTTTATCTTCCTCTCCATTAAAAGTTTCTATTTCCTTTGTCGATTTTTCATAACTTTGGTTTGCTGTTTTTATCATCTTTCTCGCTTTTCAAAGATAACATTTAATGATGAGATTTATACAAATCATTCTACTTGACTCATTCTTTAAGAAGTAGATAAAGAAGCCTCCAAATATTCTTGATCATATTTAAGTTGATAAAGCTAATCCCATTTGTTATTGATAATCAACGTAATTAAATATTTTTTCAACAGCTCGATGATAACAGCCAAATAAACGAGCCTATAAATAATTAAGTAAAAAATAAACAATTTCGTTTGCTATGTATATATCAATTTTGATCTCGATAGCATGAATTGAATAGTTCTAATTAACTTAATTAGATCTTTTTTCTCTCTCCAAGCTTCTTATAAATAATAATTTGTAAACATGAACTTTCCTTCAATGGTTAATAAATGAAATTGATTGATGATTGATTGATTGGAAACTTCAGGATTTCAATTTTAATTTCATCTAAATATTTATTTTCCTTTTATATTAATTTAAATTTTACCATTTAATGTATAACAAATTACAGCGAATCAAAAGAACGTTACTCGAGCATGATACTTTCATTAGAATTCTGTCCCATCTCACATTAAGGAATTTAAACCACAAAGTTCGTATCATTAAAACAACAATTTCTGAACCCAAAAATGTCAGAGATTTTCTGTTCATGAAACGAATCTTCTCTTACTTAACTGTCAATAAATGTTACCCGCAAAATTGGAAGCAGGAATCGAAGCGGGATTTTTATACACATTATTAATCAGTTTTATTATCCCTTTGCAAAGGGACGAATAAAAGGGATCAACGTTCACAGTTTTAAAGTTTCAATTTGCTCGCCATTAAGCTTTTCTGTCCGTTTATTGGGGTCAACTTATTTGTTATTTCTGATCCTTTTCCAGTTGATGCTATCAAATCTTGATTTATTTTCTTGCACAGGTGAAAAAACACGCCGTCGATTTTTTATGCTGACAAAAAAAGAATGTATGAAAAATGTATTTAAGCAATGCTTCATCAGAAGGAAAAATAATGAAATTCATTTTCTTCTAACGAAGATTTCAAGGACGACGAAAAATGTATGAAAGAAAATTTTATTCACTATTTAAATATTTAATCATTTTCTCTCTTAGCTCACAGCTTCAAGCAATCTTTAACACTCCAAACTCATTTAATTTTGCATAATCCAATTAAAACCCAAACCAAATATAATCATGAAATATGAAATTGTCGTTGTCGTTGAAAACGATCTGATTCGGAAAAAATCATCGAGAAACTCTTGAATGTCATCTGAGTACGTCGCAAGCCATGCTAGATTAACAGTCGTTGTTTCATTAACATCATTTAAAGTAGCGTCGTCGATTTCGTATATCACAAGTAGTTCTCTAAACTGCCTTGATAAAGTTTCGGTGTTAATTCGATTAGCAATTCCACGGAAAATGGAATTCAGTGATGACAATCGATCCAATCTGACTAATCTGTTTACAAAATGAAATTTAAAAAATTGTTATTAATGTTCTTTTAAATGTAATAACTTTGAATAATATTTTGATCTGGCTTGGAATATGAAAATTTACGAAATTAAAAAAATATGAAATGGAAATTTTCAATTACTTAGAGATTCATAAATTCTTGTGAATTGAAAATTCCAAATCATTTGAATTATTATCAAATAACATTTTTTCTTACAAGTCAATGAACGGATCATATTTCTCCCTCAAGAATTGTAAAGCTACTCTCAATCCAATTGGGCCATTGGCATAAGTAGCTTGTACAATTGTTAGCCACTCTTCATTGCTGTTATCGATGTCATTGCTTTCAAGGATACTGTGAATGAATCTTGTTAAAATCTCTTCGTTCTCAATACATCCGATTGAGTTGAGGTAGAAAGTTCTTCTGGTTGCCACAAATGAGTTCGTGTAAAGATTCCACATGAAATTAAATTCTGTTTCTCCCCCTTTTAAAATTCCATTGCAGAATAATGCAGTTTCATGGTCGTTTGAGAATCCAATTCTGGTACCTTCCTTAACATCATTGAACTTAAAACGTGTTTCACTGATGCACGAATCTAAGTGTGCTTGACACGCCCAATTGATGGCGATATTTCGGATGTGTTTATGATAATGTGGTTCATTTTCAACTTCTTCCGCTCCGAAAGCATTGAAAATTCTTTCAAGTAAAACTCGAAGAAATCTCTGTGAAAAAGGAAGAAAAAAATGTGAGAAAAACTGAAGCTTCATAAATTGTGCAAGCATAAAAAAGGATTTGAGATCCTTTTTCAGTTTTCATGGGAGCTATTTGTGTGCACTAAGGTTGAAAGGATCTAAAAGCTGTACTAAGGTTGATGGAATTTCATAAGATGAACGTTGAGTGATTCACTTTGTTAAAAGTGGTGCGATTTATGTGTGGAGTTAAACAAAGAAAAAAAAAGTGAAAGTAGATGAAATCTTAAGTTTAATCAAGCGAATGGAAATAAAATGACATTAATCAAATCAGAAATGTAAATTGTTAGACGTTAAACGACCCTGAAGAGACCATTAATTCAGGAGCGTGATTTTATAAATAAGCAGAGTTTTTTTAATTAAATAAATGATAAGAAAACTCGCCTTGAAATCATTCGACAATCTGCTACTCCCGTCATCAAGCATTCGCCGTATGTACACTAAATTATTTGTAGCAGCCAACCAGGGAATATAATCGATCTGAAAGCGAGAACAGAGAATTTTATAAAGCAACATACAGAATTTAGTTATCTCTCCAAACTGTTCCCTATAGAGCAATAAATGTTTTCATCTTTCACTCCTTCTTTAGCTTCTCTTCATGTTTCCCATTGACTTACATCGTGCTCAAGATATTTTATCAGCTCCAAGAAAATTCGAACTTTGAGTATTTTATTCTCGAAAAATACGGCAGCATCATCAATCAACATTGCTCGACTATTAGGTGAGAATACAGAAAAGTCCCCATGAGACAATTCATTCGCAATCAGCATCCAATTAGCTTCATCGTATTGAACGCGGTAGTAACCTGTTTGCTGCACGTTCACCATAAAATATGAATTTAATTTCACATCATCCAAAGTAATCTCCATCTGTCGTTGACTCATCCAGAATTTTGGTTTCGTTTCAAACGTCGGATTAGCTTTTGAAGTGTAAGTAATGGGAATGTGCCATAATGAATCCCAAACCACACCATCTACGACATCGTCAGTAAATCGATTCTAAAATAGAAGTTAAACACAAACAAGAAGTGCTTAATTAAAAGTCAACAAAACAAAGTGAAATTTAATCCTTGGCACCTGAGTGAACCTAATGCGGTAATCATTGTAACTCCGCTCCACATATACGTAAGGATAACCAGCTTGCTTTTCCCAACTGCCAAATAATTCTGCGAGTTTATAGTTTTCCGGCAAAGCTTCGTCCTCGTCAACAGCCATTTGTAAAGCATCGTAAAGATGCTCCGGGACCGCTACACCTTGAGGATTGGATGTTAACTTACTTAAGTATATTTTAAGGCCTTTATGGAACGTTTCTTCTGATAGTGAATATAAAAACATTCGAATAACACTTGCAGCTAAGTGAGAGAAGAGATATTGTATAGAATAAAGTTTATGATCAACAAGAATGCAATAACGTTCGTTATTTTCTTACATTTGCTATAAGCTATGCCATCGAATAATCCAGCAACAGCACTGGGCGACTCCACATACCAAGTCATAGGACGCGTTGTGAGCGAAGAATCACGATACATAATATTCTGTGCTGCCTCAACAGCAAACAATTCTTCCATTCTCATTGTGGGATAAATTTTTTCTGTCATGTAATACTCGTAGAATCTTTAGAATAGAAAATATTATGTTTGTTTAAAATGTTTCTTATCCGATTTATTTTAGTTATCACAACAAACCTGCAAAAACCTTCTGAAAGCCAAACCACACTCCACCATTGAGGAGTGAGAAGATTTCCTAGATGAAAATTGCATTTCTGTTTATACTTATTTAAGTTGAACAATAAAGGAAATACAAAAGAGAAATTCAATCAGGGAAATCTTACCGAAAAACTTATGGCAGATCTAAAATGAGAAAGATAAATGAAAAGATTAAATTAAATTAAAAAGAAAATCAAATCTTACCTCATGAACAATCGTTGCTGCAGCAAATTCTTTATCAAAGGCTGTTGTAACCTTCAGATGAGAAAAAAGAAAACAAGAAATTTTGATAATCTGACATTTAAAGCTTTGAGCTTCTGCTTAATAGAAGATGAATGAGAAAGCAATGGATCAATGAATCATTGAAGATTTTGAGCTTTCATTTTTCAATTTTGTTTACTGCATTTTTATCTCTTTAATTATTTTACACTCCAATTATCTATTTTCATATCTTATCTTTTTAAATATTTAAATATTCTGAGAACAAAATCCAAAAATGATATAATTTCCCTCAATAAAGATAATTGTATTAAACATGATTTAAAGCTTTAGTTATGTGTCAAATTTGATTTCTAGAATGTTAATTGGCCATTTCATTCACTCACCGAAGGTTCATACAACATGTAATCCTCATGATAAAACACGATTCCATAATTTTCCATCCCACCCCGATTGAAGACCGGTAATGCGACCTGATCCAATTTCTCAAGCTCATATTCTATTTCAAAAGCCTTCTCGTAAAGACCAAGCGCTTTAATTGCAGTATCAAGAGCAAATTCGGTGTTTTGAATCTGTTCTGGCCGAGAGTATGCAGTAAATTTGACACCATTTGATGTTGTGTTTGAATTGCTTTCGAAATCTGTGATGGCTAATGCAATCAAGTAAGTTGGCATTATCGTCGATGTTTGCTCGAAAAGAGTTCTGGTTCGATTGTTTATTCTAGAAACATTTTTTTAAATATTAAATAAATAACAATTAAATTTTTGGTTATTACTCAATCTTTGTGAACTCAGCTGGAGAGTTTGAAAGTGCAAATTCATAAGGTGGATTATAAATGACGCTGATTGTATAAAATGCTTTAAATTGCGGCTCGTCATAGCTTGGACAAATACGTCGGAAGAAAGTCGGCTGCATATGTGTTGCAACGAAATATCTGAAGAAGAATTTTCATTGAATAATTAATTAAAGTTTTCGATTAGAATTGAACCTTCTCTCGTTTTCATTGTGAAGATAACTTCCTCGGAAGAATCCTTTAATTTCCGTTCCTATTGTGCCATGATACGTGAAATTTATTCGTACGAAATTGCCGCGCGTTAAGGTTTCAGCTGTTGTGATTATTAAAAACTCTCTTGTCAAATCAAGCTCATATCTGTGTTCAATTTCTTCCCAAGTTGAACCAATATCGTTAAACATTGTTAAACTGGTTTCCAACAATTCAACTGAACTGTGTAATGTAATTGTGTTGGTATCTTCAAGAATTTCTATCGATATAAGAGCGTTTCCTGAAAAATCCAAATCATCTAAATGAAAATCCCCAAAATCTAAATTTATAAAATATATTTCCGGTCGCGTATTATTCGGTAGCCGATAACTTAATTCGCTTTGAGGTTCCGCGACATCATCTAAATAATTAATTTCAATTCCATCACGAATTGAACGGTTGTCGGAACTATACTGTAATCTTTGCGCATTGGCTGATAAGAGAATGACAAGAAATAATAACTTTGACATTTTTTTCTGTCTACCGTTTCACTTCAAAGTTACATTAACACTAAATGGTCAAAGATAAATATTTTGTTTCAATTGTTTCTACTCTTATCAACTAAAATATTTATCAAACTTTGTGATTTTTATTGATAACCACAATGGCATAAATAGCTGTCGTAATTCTTTACTATAGAGATAGATTTGTTTAGATAATTAAAGCCTGACGTTTTTGTTTTATTCTCAAGTTTAAAGCTGTATTGTTATTGCACTTAGCTTTATCTTATCAAGCATGGTAGCAATGATGGAGCTTCTGTTGATGAATATTATTATTCCCAGTGTTGTAGAACATGCTGATTAACAAAAATAATGCCTCATAATTATAAACTTGTTTCATTACGGATTAGAAGATTTAGAAACTTTATCTAATACAAAAGCTTTACAAATTATTCAAAACAAAATTTCTCGTTTTCTTTTCCTCTCATTTGTGATTAAGTTCAATGAGGATGAGCACAGAAAACCCTCTTTTGCGACTCTTTGCGTTTCAATTATTCACGTTAATTTTCGCTTCATATTGAGTGAAGTTTGGAAAGCATAATTATGTTAAAAAAATATTAAGACGAACATAATCATATTAAGAAAAATAGAGAAGGAAAAATTATTATCACATCTTACTACTGTTTTTCATCCTTTCTTTCCATCGTTCATCGTGTTCAATGTTAAATGAGAATGCAGCGAAGTTAGAATAAATACATTAATTGAGAAACATATCATGTTACCATTAATTTATAGCGAGAACTCGTGGGTGGCATACTTTAATCTCATAGTTTTGGTTTTGTATGTGCAATACGTAACTGCGCTTCGCCTTCGAAACCTCAGCATTTTAACTTTTCAAAAACAGAGATTTCAATGAGAAGCGTGAATTTTTGTTTCATTTCTCTCACAACTGAATGCTTTTATTCGAGGATGGTACTTCAGAGGAAGTTCTAAATTGAATTTAATTTCTAATTGCTTTCTACTCTACTTCAAACTTTGCACGCTGTTTGTCCTGATAATTTCAAAATTAATGAATGAATACAAGCTACACACAGAAGCATAAAATAATAATAAGTTTTAAAGTCTCAACATATATTCAAATGAATTGTCATGATGAGAGATTTGAATTTGTGATGTGATAAAATATGAAAGCTGAAATAAAAAGCTTTCGCTTGAATTTGTACTTGTTCATGTTGAGAATTTTTGTTGAAATGTTCTTGACGTATGCAACTTAGACATGTTTAAGCTGAGTGTTTTGACTACCATCTTTTAAAACAAGAAGTAAGACATGTCAAGAAAAAGTTTCTTTTTTAATTATAATTTGAGTGAGCGTAAATATTCTTCATTTACAAAACTCGAGTTGAAATGAGTTTTCAGCCTTTTTTACAATAGTTTGCTTGACAATGATTAAATTATAAACATGAAAATGAAATAAATTTCGTTGTCATCATCATTAAAATCAAATTTAAATTATGAACATCTAAGTTTTGTAAACTGGTTGAAGGAGAAATAGGCAATCAAACAACCGAAAAACTGAGCCAATCCAAATTAGTTTCGAGTCGAAACAAGTTCAGAGATAGCGTTTCATCATTCTAAATTCATTAAAGAAAAAAAAAATCGATTTTTCATCCTCACAATAATTTGTCTTCGGCATCGTGTTGATTAAGTTGACGGAGAGCTTTTAATGAAAATATTTAAAATTCAAAGTACATAAAATTTCCATAAATTCCATATTTCCTTCGTCGGCTAAAAGCGATTGCGACTAAACGACGATGCTGTTTTCTTCGCCTTTGCCTTCAATTAAGGCGCTCCCCTTATTTTCCAAAATAAATACAAAATTTACATTTGTTTATGGAAAATGTACATTAAGAGACAAAGTTCCCATTGAAAAAAATTATTTTTCTTGTCATGGTGAATGGAGACAGAGAAAGCGACGAAAAAAATTGAAGATACAACAAGCTGTTGAATTTATTGAAAGCCAATTGAAAGCAAACCGTAATTGCTCTGCTATTCGAATATATTTATGTTATTATGTACATTTTTGGTCCTTTTTTAAACAGAGAGAATTTGAAATTACCGTAACAAAGAATGTCACGTGCTTTTGATACAAATTAATTTCATAACAAATCAAACTGAAATATCCGGGCACTAAAAATAAATGAAATAGAAACTAGGAAGTGTTATACATTACAAAATAGGGGCAAAATTTGCTTCATTGGCCTAAGTGTCTGTGCCATCGGATTTGTATCAGAATTCGTATCGATTCACTAATCGGTACGATCCTGGTTCCATTCTCGGTGGTGGTCACTTGGGCTGAGGTTTTCAGAAGTTTAGATACTTCGCCCCTGTTTCATTTAAAGTGGAATTTTTCACTAGGATATAATAAACTGAAATGTCTCTTTGTATCAAATTTGATAAAAATATAAATTTGTCAAATATGAACAATGAAGAGTATTCAGGAATATACAATCCTGTGGAACGCTACTGAAAGTGGAACCTTCATCATTCAGGTGATGAGACAAAGGGAGCGAAACAAGTTGGAATTTATATTCCTGTATTCTTAATCGCTTTAGTGTACAGTCGTGCACTCCCTACTCTGATGATGATGATGATGAACTCTAAAAGGCCCCACATAAAGCGTCTTGCTTTCTCTTCAACTGTGCAGATATCAACGAGAAATAAATGGTAAGCACATGTGATATTAATTCGGCAAACACGAATCGTTCATTCATGAAATTCGCATTCGGTTAAGCTTTCTGAAAAAGAAAGAAATAAGGACAACATTAGCCATTTAGTGCTGGAAGTTATCGTGAATTTATAAAGCATCCCATTTCGTCGTCTTTGCATTGCTTTTTATGGTATGAAAGAATAAAGAATTATCATTAATCATTTAAAGCGGGACAGTATTGTAGACCATATCAAAATTGTAACTTNGTGGTCGTGTGGATTTAAAATAAAAAAGGAAAAATAAAACAAAAAAATTTTTTGAGTGTGAAAAAAAAGAAACTAAAAATTTTTTTCTCTCACCATCTCCCATTTATATTCAATAAATATAATTCTATATCAAGAAAAGGAAAGAGTTTACAAACTCTTCAACTTAAGTAAGGTCTGGGAGGGTGATGTAACAGACGCAATAAATGAGTGAGAAATCAGCACCTGCAGGTGTTGATTTCCCACTCAATTGCGTCATAGAAACAATAAAAATCATGAAAAACAATAGAAATTCCGTTTAAAAGGAATTCTATAAATAGAATGGAAAAAGCTCGAATAAAAAGCTACTATAAAAGAAGAAGACTCGAGCTCAAGTTTGTTAGTTGGAAAGTTGAATCCGATCATATAAAATTGTAAAAGAGATAAAAGAAGTGAATAAAAAATAGTGACAGAAAATTCGTGTAGTTGTTATTACATTTTACCATTTTTCACTAGGATATAATAAACTGAAATGTCTCTTTGTATCAGATTTGATAAAAATATAAATTTGTCAAATATGAACAATGAAGAGTATTCAGGAATATACAATCCTGTGGAACGCTACTGAAAGTGGAACCTTCATCATTCAGGTGATGAGACAAAGGGAGCGAAACAAGTTGGAATTCATATTCCTGTATTCTTTATCGCTTTAGTGTATGTACAGTCGTGCACTCTAGTGTTTCTCAAAATCCCTGTTTTTTGAAAAACAGGGATCAGGGATCGATGATTTTCTACTAGATATCGACTTTTTTTAAAAGAAAAAACTGCATTAACGTAATGTTCTGACATAGAAAACACTAAACAATCCATCTTTATAGGAAAAATTAAGCGATTTCTAGTAGAAATTTGACGATTTCTTTTTCCCTATTCCCTAAAAATAGGGATTTTGAGAAACACTAGTGCACTCCCTACTCTGATGATGATGATGATGATGATATTACATTTTATTTCAGAAAGAAACAGAGGAAAGGCCGAGCAAGGACGATGAAGGAACAGCGAGAAGGAAACCACCAACATCATTTAATGCATAAGTATTGCATTAGAATTAAATTGACACTTAAAATTAATTTAAATCAAATTGTTGAAGTAAAGTTGCTTCAATATGAATGAAAAATTTGATTTTTTGAGTTTTGTTAATTTGTATTTGAATCTAAAAATGAGACTGAAAAATACAGTGTTGATGTTTCACTTAAATAAGGAAAGAGGGAAAAGAGAGTGGGTGAAACGTCCAAGTTTAAAAGAACACTCTAATTCTGATTTATGTTTATTCTNCATCACGCGCTTTATTTTCAATTTCTTCGTATGTATGAACGGGATCATCTTTTAAGTTGTGACGAAAACCGAAGTAAAAGTAAACACACGCACCGGCATCATATGTTTGTGTGACTCTACAGCTGATCAAGAAGAATCGGATTCCACGTTTGATACATTCTTCATTTACAACTGCTTTAACGTTGTAACAAAGTTTTTCACATTTATCCCAAGGTACAGAAGTTTCAAACGACTCCGCAACGATTCCGTAATCAAGCGCAAGGTCCTATTTAAATTAAAGAATGTGGACATTTAAGGTAATGAATAATTAATAAATTTTGCAATGTAATAGATACTGGACAATCAAGGGGGCAAATTTGCTTCATTGGCCTAAGTGTCTGTGCCATCGGATTTGTATCAGAATTCGTATCGATTCACTAATCGGTACGATCCTGGTTCCATTCTCGGTGGTGGTCACTTGGGCTGAGGTTTTCAGAAGTTTAGATACTTCGCCCCTGTTTCATTTAAAGTGGAATTTTTCACTAGGATATAATAAACTGAAATGTCTCTTTGTATCAAATTTGATAAAAATATAAATTTGTCAAATATGAACAATGAAGAGTATTCAGGAATATACAATCCTGTGGAACGCTACTGAAAGTGGAACCTTCATCATTCAGGTGATGAGACAAAGGGAGCGAAACAAGTTGGAATTTATATTCCTGTATTCTTAATCGCTTTAGTGTACAGTCGTGCACTCCCTACTCTGATGATGATGATGATACATTACAAAATTTATTTCAAATTTTCACCTCCATCTTCTCTTCCTTCCTTCTCTTTATTTATTGACTAAGTCCTTAAAAGTGTTTGCATGCCTCTTTTGTACTGATGTAGGCGTTGAATACTTCAAAAATCAGAGATTTAAATCCACCATTTCAAGTTACACTTGAGTAGAAGTCTTTATGTAACACAAAGTGGGTGAGTTTATTTATCACCAAAAACTTATCATCATCAAAACTCATCAAATACAATAACAAAACTTTCTTTGTTCAACATTATCAATACAATCGCCATCAGTTCTGTACGCATTTATTCTTGCAACTGACCCAATTATGTCATGATGAGTGCAAGTTAAATCTTTGCATCGGACAGTCGCCTCGATTACTGCTTCTGAAGGTGTCACATCAAATATTATAAGATAATCAGCAACACTTGCAGAAGATTTCAACAATTCTGCTTTACGTATTGAACGAATGGAGTTCAATTTTAAATAAGAACATTCGGGATGCACAGAAAGATCCTCATTTAGCTTATCTACAACTATATTGGCAATTGTGTTCGTTAAAATTGAATCTAACTGAACTTCTTCAAAGCTTTTACAAACACACCACTCTTCAGTTATTCCAGCATCTTCGCAAACTCGATTGATCGGAATTTCTTCGAATATACTTTGACATTCAGGGCAAGTGACATTCCATTCGTTATAATTATTTTCAGTTCCTTCCACCAATTGAAGAATATGTTTCAAAGTCAAGTGAACGTCATAAGGAGAAAAAAGTCGATCTTCATTCTTTTTCAGATTCCTTGCTATTTCTGGATGAGAAACTTGAAGTTTTTTTGGAACCCAAATAAAAAAGAATGGCAAACGTTCCTCCACCCACCCAAGAAAATGTTCACGTGTGTGGCCATAACGAATTCCGTGATCACTGAAGAAAATAACAATCGAATTTTCAAGAATCTCCAGTTCATCAAGCTTTCTCAAATAATCTAAAATTTTATCATCCATCGATGATGGTAAATTATTGTCATCGTGTGTGAATGAACCTGACCATATTAATCCGAATGAAGGTTTATTTTTAAACATTCTCAAAAAGTCATACGCATATTGATAGAGATGATCGATGTAATATTGAAAGCCTAGGAAAGCTCTGTATTCAAAATATGGATTTAAATAATCACATTCACTTGTATTTAAGTTCTTCTCCAACAGTATTGCGTAAGGATGAAAATAGTAATCAACAGGTTGCTCAATGAAGCCTTCTCTGAGATGGATGAATGTACTGTACGACATATTATCTTCACCCAAAATGGTCGCATAGCCAGCATCTTTGAAATCGTCCCAAATGAAACGAAGGACTTGAAGCCCGCCGAGTTTTTTGTTATTTGGAATATTTTCAATGTCCTCGAAACTTTTACCGGTCATGATTGAGGCTAAGTTAGGAAAAGTATTTTCACCGACCTTATTGTAGAATGCTAATTCATACCAGCCAGAATTTCTTAGGTGATCGAATGATTTTGGCATAGATCGTATGAAATGCATTCTTGACATGCTGTCAAGTCCCAACAAAAGTACGCTGAATTTGTTTTCTGTTGCGTTTTCAATTCTCTTCCTCACTTTTTCTTTCATTCTTACAACTGAGTGGCCATTTACGTAAATCAATTTTTTCTCTGAATTTTCATAAGCTGAACATTTCACGAGCAAAAATTCTTCATCTGGTTTAAGCAGATGATTTGTCTTGAATTTTTTGCATTTGTAATAATGTAATTGATAGTCAGGCAATTCGGCAGTTTCTAGTCGTAAAGCTTTCCGATAGCAGCACTGAAGAAAAAAGTTTAATTAAATAATTTTAAATGCGGTTTCTTTCTTTAAGACTAACTGAAAATCCTGATTGAATTGATTCATTGTAAAATTGACTTATTCGCTCTTCATGAATTATCAGCCTTGCAGTATCGTCTTCAAAATTTTGATCGATTGACGTCAGAGGTTTAATTGACGAACAAGATTGATATTCCATAGCACTAAAGTGTTTCATTGCTTCTTCTGCGAATGGATTCATAATGTGATTGCAAATGTTTTTAACTTTATATTTGTCAGTTGAATCATCGATCGTGGAAAGATTTCTCTGTTCGTTAGCTGAAAAATTGACTTTGAACATAATTTCATCATGTTCTTGAAGAAACTTTAAAATTTGAATAACTTCGTAAACGAAAAAAGTCAATACAAGAATCAAAGAAATTTTCAAGATTCTGTGAGATTCGAAATGTTTACTAAGAAATTTAATCATAATAAATAGTTTTATAAATTTTAATCACTTGTTTTATCTCTAGCACTAACTTTGTAACAACTCACAAATTTCTGATACGACAGAAACTTGAAAATAAGAAGAATAAAAAAACATTTACACAACTGTTATCGAAAAACATAATTTGAGAGTAAAATAAGAAGGTTGAAAACAGACATTTTTGTATTTCTGGAAGATTATTAGGTAGTGAGATCATAAAAGTTTTTTTTTCCTAAATCCATAGTCATTGACATCCCAGGTAGGAATTTCAGGGACTCAATAATTGTTGGTATAATTAATCAATGCAGCAAGTATTATTGGTCACGATACACGATATCATCAAGCACTTTCCCTCCTTTCCTTCTCAAGATACAGTGCTGATTTGTTTTCATGACAAATGAACACTGAAGCTCAATTGATGGCGTATAAATACACAAAAGGGCATGAAAATTCCGATCATGTCGTTTCTTATTTATTCATGGTTGGTCTATTTACCAAACGCTACGTTTGACCTGAATATTTCATGCGTATCACAAATAGATACTTGAACTGATAAATTCCCAGCTACATCGTTAAGAATCCCTACATGGCATAACAAGTAAATGTAACATAAATTCCTGAGTAACATCGTAGGATTGTTATGATTGCAATGTTATTGAAATTGAGAATATTTTCGTAGCAATTATCCACTCGTAATCTGTTTGAAAGAATTTTATTGGCAGATAAACATAGAAATTGTATGAAGTTCGAGATTTATTTAGATTTCCGGATAAAATTAAATTTCTTACAATTTCTTCAATCATTCCATTGATATTTATGTACATACGTATGAATCGAATCAAATTATTCAAACATTTTCAATTGAAATTGAATAATAGTTAAGTCGCACATGGTTTGAAACATACTCGGTACTTCCGTGTAAGAGACTGTGAAAGGAAAACAATTTCTTTTTGTACAGAAGCCCATAACATAACAGTATCTGACAGAATATAAAATATTTGAGTGTAACAGTTTCCGAAGGCAACATAAAAGGAAAAACGAACAAAATTCATTTCACGTTTCGCTTGAGTGATATGTTTACAGTCGTGTTTATCTGAATACGCACACAATATGTGTCTGAAAAAGTAAAGAAGGAAAAAGCCGTCACATTAAAATAAAGTCGCAAAAAAATCGTTTTCTTATTTTGCGTGAATACTTTAAAGAACATAAATTTATTTCTGAACCACATTTCTCTGCAAACGTATATTTTATTGAGTCTCTCGGATATTTTATTAATTTAAAATGATCGACAAACTTGATATTCATCTATAGAGCTTTTCACTTAGATGTGTATGCATGCTTTGAATGTGACACGCACAATATAAATTCTTTTAAAAGAACATAAATTTACTTTTCTCCTTCGTTTGAAGTGGAAGTTCATATGCTTTTATTATTATGCTGATCAGATCAATCGAGTGCGAGACAAATGTCATTCGAGTGTCTTTTCGAAGAGACTCAACATCATCAATGAATTAAATTATTAGAACCTCTTGGATACTTTCACGTAATGATAAGGAAAATGTTGCGCTTGGTCAGCTTTACGCTTTGTCATTGTCTGCCTATTTCTGTATACATTTATTTCCAGCTCATGAAGGGTAACTTTGGCCACCGTTAACAACCATCACAGGCTGAGCTACGACAAAAAACGAACCTAAAGAAATTTTCGACATGTTTTCCTGAAGAAAATTTTAATTTCCGGCTGTATAAATAAGCAAGAAATAACCGAATCCTCACTGTAAATTCTTTAGTCAACGAACGAATGAAGAACAAGCCTTACGAGATGGTCCCAATTTCATTCCTTTATCAAGAGAAATGAAAAGAATGACATGCATACATAAAATAACAGCAAGAACTTGTAAGGGAGAGTCGAAAAATGTTGGAAATAAATTTAAGGAAAAAGCGCAACATGAGACAGTTGACAAATGTTTGTTCCCAAGTTTTTTTTTAATGTTTTATATTTCATTAAAGCTTACGGCGACGTTCTAAAGTCATGACGACACTTTCTGCACTGCTGTCAGGAAAATCTGAAAGCTTTATGACGAAAATGTGATTAAAGAACGCGAGGAAAAAATATGCAAGTCAGAGTTATGTTGGAAATTTTAGAAGAACAACGAACAGACTTTCATGATCCTAAAAATAGCTAAAGCAATCACATTCTAGCTATGATTAATTGATCAAATATTTGTTTCCGATGGATATCTCTATGAAATAAAATTACTTGATATTGTTGTACCTTCAGGTTACCTCACATCAATTACCAAACTTTCGGCGAAAGGTAAAAAGAGAAATTTTGATAAATTGATACCGTAACTGCAAATGTAACTAAAGCTATCTATCAACATTCCCCAAACACCCACTCCGAAGGAAAAACTTCAAAAGTGTATACGACAAAATTCCGCTTATAACATTTGCCGGACATAGTTAAAGTGAGAGAGGAAGAAGAACGAGATGTGTGTGTGTGGTGTGTGCCTAACTCAGCAATCAACAACAACAACATTCAGGTCTACCACAAAAAGGAAAGTGAAAAATGTACGTGTAATGACTTGATACATTTCCACAATATCTCACATTTGTTGCTGTTACAATTTTCATTATTTTTAGATATATTTTCCGTTATTACACATACTTTTTTAATATTATAAAACCAATAAATCATGTAAATGGTAAAGCTCCACAAGGCACAAGGAACGGAATGAGTGAAGGCAAGAAAACATAAAATAAAATCGAAACGAATTTGTAAAGAAAAAGTTATCCAGACTTTTTATATTGTCAATTATTCATACAAGGGGATTTTATTAATATTATTTTCGCTTTAGAACAGCCTAATGTGATGGCATTAAATTTTATTGCGATGTGGTAAAAATTATAAACTCATTTTCATGACATCGTAGATATTGATGATGGGAATGTTTTTTTTTCTTATGTCGTTATGACATTCATATAAATGCTTATCTATGTAGATCTTTTTATTGTTGAGGTTGATATTCAATATGAAAAAATGACAGATATAAAACAAATATTTACGATCATGCATACCTGATAATCGATTAGATAATCAAAACAACACGAAACTCGTTTTTACCTTTGATATTCATTTCTGACTTAGAACATAATCAATCAAAATAAAACCACAAATCATAAAAGCTTAAAGTTATCATGATGTAAAAAGCAATAAACTGTAATGCTTGCAATGTTTTTTATTTTTTTTGTCGGAAAGCAGGGAAAATTGTTATTAATTTCAATTCCATCACTTTCTTGACGTAGATTCACATTTCAGACTTGAAACAAGCCGATGGAAAATAAAACAAATGTTCACATCGGGCAAAGGTTTCCCTGGAGTGCAAATTTATTTTTTTGCTTTTTAATGTTTCAGTAGATATAAATTTGTTGTTTGAAAAAGAAAACTATAATTGTCGATTTATATCACTCAGTAAATTGAAACTTGCATTCACTTGTTTGTACGAGAGCTTATGCTTAGAGTAGCAATTCTTTGTTCTTCATTGTTATCTTCCCGAGAGAAAGGAAAATGAACAATTCTATCGTTAATAAATCTTTCTTCTTTATCCTCTATCGCCCTCATCTTAAATTACAAAGTATTTTTCCTCTGAAAAGCGCAAACATCCATCAGTCTTGGCGAGTACTTCAGTGCATACCAAAAACCAAAAGAAACGAGAAGAGAATTGAATAAACGAATGAATAGGAAAAAAGGCGAGAAAAATACTTAAAATAAATAGAAACGAAAGAGAAAATTTTCCTTTTATTCAAAATATATTGCACAATCTTGGAAATTGCTTTTTCTTCCTTTTCATCGCTCTCTCCTTCTCTCTTGTGATTTTTCTTTCTCTCTTTCTCATTTTAAAAAATCCTGATTTGATTTTCGTTTCAACTTATGGTGATTGCTTTTAATATTTCTTCGAACCTTCGATTTGTTCAGGATGCCAACAGTGGAACCATTCATTGATTTCTCATTCACTTGATTGATGTCGACTGTGAACGCGAGTGGAGTAAATTAAATTAATAAACATAAATTTAGAGGAAAAGCACCGTCAATTTACCGTTATCGTGCTGTTGATGACTTTTGTGATGGAGAACGTCTTTACGGAAAACATCATTTCTCGACTCGACAAATGTCCAGAGTTGTCGACAATCATGGGGCGTATTTTGAAAATGCCATTTGCCAAATATCGTCTCATATCCGCTACACTTCTTGCACAATCCCTGAAAAATGATGAGATTTTCCATCGGAGCCTTTCTACAGAAGAAGACGATTGGACCACCAATGGAATGTAACGCTGTTCCCGAGCACGACCAAGACGCATCGATCCTGAATGGTTTGACTTTCTTCGGTGCTTTATCACTCAAATTGACAGTCAATTTATCGTTGGTCAGCGATGTCGCCAACTCGAATCGTAGTCCAATTTGTTCCGAATTCCATGCGCCATTAACATCACAGTTACTTCCATCCGGCGTTTGATTGCATTGCATCTTCGACATTCTCATCAGTTCCAATTCTTCTCGCATCTCATCAAGTATCCCAATAACATTGGCCAATTCACTCGATTTGTTATTTGTCATGGAACTCGTACTTGCAGCTGGTCGTTCATCGAATGTATTATTTATGAACGTCTTCGATAAATCACTGTCACCCTCTTTGCTTTTGTTGTTATTCTGGTTAATTGTGTTCGTTTCTATGTCATGAGAATGATCGTGTCAAAAAGAAAATATTTCCAGTGAAAAACAAAACAATAAATTTTCGATTTAGCAGAAGTGTAAAAGAAAAGGAAGAAAAACATCGATGAATAAAACATTGAATTATCTTTACCATTAAGGATGTCAGTTGTTGCTGCTGCTGTTGCTTGTGCTGCCTTTTGTCTATTGGCATCACGCGTTTGAATGCGATTATGATTATACTGGAATTTTGCATTATTGAAGAAAGGAAAATTTCCCGAAAGTTCTTCATTTTCATTCATAGCCTGTTCGTAGTCGTCATAGGGTGCGATACGAGTCAAATAATTACCATTTCCATGAAACTTTTTATTGTCTTCCTGCATTGATTTGACATTTGTATATGGCATAAATTCTCTTCCTTTCTCGATTTCCTGTCTTGTTGTATAAAAGCTTTTAGCATGAGACATAAAAATCAGATTATTAATTACGAAATAAAATATTAATGGCAGATCAAACTTTCGCATTTTGCTTGGCGCTACGATCAATTAATTTGTTATCCGAAGCGAAAATAAATGTTAGTGAGAGCTTTGAAATTAATTAATGACTTTTGCCAACTTTGACAGATTTCTTCATCGTCGAATGCTGCTGCGATGATTAAAAGAGTTTAATTAAGAAAACTGCCAATTGGATTAGTTTCTACTGCCTACCTAGTCTAAATGAAAAGTTTGAGAAAGAATTACGAGCCATTTTTTACGCAAGTAATTGTAGAAACCAATAATAAAAAGTTTCACATTTAATTAATAACATGCAAACGACCAAATAAAAACTGAAAGCAGATAAAATTGCGTGCATAATTGCATGCATTTTATCATGTGAATTCAAAAACAATTTTACAAATTGATTACTTCATTTTATTTAAAAAAAAATTATAAAGTGGAATGAATATTTTGTAATCTGATGATATAAATTTTTATGTTTCGTCAACAGTCGGTCATGAATTTAAATTAAAAAAAATTCTACTTTTTTTCGAATCAATCAAATTTCAATCATATCTAAATGTGGTCGCAAATTATATGCGAGTTTTTAACCAACATGCTTCCATACTTGCTCCCATAGATTATTTAATCAATCAAAAACCGCTTTTCAAGACAAATTCAGATGAAAATACCTCAATCATTGTGTGCAATCTGATAAAACGTTATTCAGTATACTCCATTAGTCTCTTCAGTTAAATCTTTTTCACTTGATTTGATACAACTTTCTGCCCCAATCTGATTGTACGTGTTTACAAACTTAAACATAATTAAGCTTATGTATACAGAAAGATTCAATCGATATTTTCATAGCAAAATAAAGGGAAAGATTAAGAAAGTGAAGTTGAACTTTTTTTATTCATTGATTGCTTAACTTTTTTTGTATCGTCGTGAAATGCGCAAACTTTTTATCCTTTCATTCCACATATTTATTAGATATTTTTAGTGTTAAAAGTTAGTTGATTGTATGACGGGTTGTGAAGTAAAAAAATGATCTTATAACAGAATCTTCCTCTGTTATTAACATTATCGCTGTTTACATGAGAACGCGCAAAAAAGTTTCTTTTCTCGCTTGTTCGTGTCTACCATTGTTGTAATTCATTGAAAAAAAGCAGAATTGAGCAAACAAATTGAGGCAAATGTTTGTGAAAATTGAATTAAATATTGATTAATGATTAATGTGATGAGCGATAAAGCTGGAAAAAAAAGTTGAATAGGAAAGAGGAAAAAAGAATCCAATGAAAGTAATTTTTATGTGGTCTGATGGAAAACTGAGCGTTAAGGGGGAAAACATAATAAATTTGGCGAACAGCCATAAATCAATAGAAACTTTGTGATTAATTTTTTTCAACAAACATACATACGTACAATGTTTTTCCAACCACAACAGCACAACTCGATTTTACATGACAAATTGTAGGAAAATTTGTGAAAAAAAATGTAAGCGGGAGAGAAGCAAACATGGTCGCAACATGAGAAAGGAATTTTTTTCTGACAAAGCTCAACAAGTTTACTTTTTCACCAAGAATAAATGGAATAAAGTTCATAATATGAACGCCCATGGAGTAGAGCAATATTCAAAAAGCTTTTGAGCAGCTGAAGCATAAAGCGACAATATATTTAACCTATTTAATAGAACTTTTCGTATAAACTAAAGCTTAATTTGAAAGTCCTTGTAATGAACGAGACTAGAAAGAAAATTAAATAGTTCTTCAAGATAAGGAATTTAAGTTTGCAAATAAATTAAAAAACTAAAAGCGCAAGAACTAGAATTTCAATAAAGAATTTTAATAAAAAATAATCTAAAGTTTTGTGCTAGACAACTACTTAAATTTCATATTTACGGCTGACCCTTATAAATAACTACGTACGTATCCAGTTACTGGAAGATATTTTCATTTCATTGAGAAAAAGTTTTCGTTTATTAAAAAACAAGACTTCTTCTCTGCCTTCGTCGTCTGCAATGAGAACTTGAAAACTTTAGAAAAAAAATTTAAAGAAATTTTTGTTGTCCCACATTTTTAGCCACAATCATAGTTGACTTCTTTTTTTATACATTTAGGTATTTGCTGAAGAACTTTATAGATATTTTCATTTAGATAATTTTATTTTTAGGACACTAGAGAAAATTAACTTGGCCTTTAAAATATTTCCTTTTCCAAGTCACGGGCAGATATTTGAGGTTTCTCAGAAGCATTATCGAGAGTTTGCTTTAACAATTTCTCAAAAGGAAAAGATTGGTTTTATTTTACTTAAAAAAGCAGAAAATCTGTCATGATACGCTTCTGTTGTTTTCGAAGAAGCTTCGGAGCGCGACGAACGAAGGCTAAATCGAGAAAATTCATCATTATTGAGTGAAAGAAGCTAGAAAAGGAAATGTTTTGTCTTCGCTCAATTTCAATGAATAATTGAAACCGTCTCTCAACTTTAGCGCTTCACGCGTCTTCAATAATGTCTTAAATTTGGTTTGGAGACTACAACGATTTTATATAATTTGATATCGCCAAAAAAGGTTTTTTTTTTCTGAAAAAGCAATAAATTAAAGTGCCATGTTTTCCACACGCGTTCAAATCGATGAGCGATGTAGAAACGATTCGATAAATCATATTACATATTTATTCAAATTACGAAAGAATGTCTTAGATTTCTTTTTACTTGCTTTTTTGGCAATTGAAAAATGAGGTGGGCGGGAGTGAATTCTCTCGAGAGGGTGAAATAAAAGCGAAAACGTATGATATGAAGCATCACTTAAAGGCAATAAATTCTTCAGGAATGATATGCTCCGCCGCTAGCTAAGAATGATTTTGAAAAGAAGCCTGGAAATTTCTTCTCCTCGATTGATGATTTATTATTCATTTTCCGCTCAAGGTAAGAAAGTAAGCAAGCAGGTACTCAGTTTTCCACTTAATTTTACGATAATAGATGGAAATTGAATAAAATCAAGGCTCTATTGAGAAGTTAAAACTCGCGACAAGTACTAAGTTAATAAATACACGAGACTCACGAAAATGTTTTAATTTCCACAAGCATTTAAGTTAAAGAATTCCCAAATTAAAAGTGCTCAAATAATTCAACATGAGTTGTCTCCAAAAAAAAAAACGTTCTTTGTTCGTACAACTTTTCAACGAGCGGGTTAAATCCGCAAATAAGCAAACAAAAACAATAATTTTAGACGAGGAAATGTCTTCACTTCAAGCACTTTCATGACACAATTTGTGGAGAAACCACAAGATTGTAGCATTTTTTTCTGCTACATTAGCAAATCCTCAATTTGGAAAATGTAATCCTTTAGCTCCACTTCTTTTGCTACACAATGTCTGTTCATCGTAAAAAGAAAAACAACAACAAAAATGAAAGCTTAAGCGTTACACTTGAGCGTTGACATGAGTCTAGGAATGACATAGTAATATTTTTTTACAGCATGGAATGTCTGCAAAAGCTTTAAAAGCACTTTAATGTCTATAAACTTCGATGGTTGCGTAGCAATAAACAGAATTCTGGTTGATAGAACTTTTCGAAGTTGAATTGTCGCCACTGTAAATATCTGTTAATGTTAAGAGAAAGATAAAATCAAAGTAAATAAATCATTTTATTTATCTTTCATGTTTAGGCCATCAAAAGTTATAAATCATTATTTGAAAAAAATAAAAAGTAATTTTATCTAACTCTAAAACAGCCTCGCTGTTACCTTTTACAAATTTAATTCCTTTGACTGTGAGTTTAATTAAAAAAACCCTCAATTAGAAGCGTGAAATCCATTAAGATAACGTAGGTAATGTACAAAAGCTGTTGCATAAGTAATGAAAGGTATTTCCCTTCATTAAAAAGTGTCACTTTGTCTCAAATCTCAACCGGGAAAACATAAAAAGGTATTAGAAAAGACAACATTGATTTATATGAGTTTCAACCATTTAAACCCGATTTTAAATGACATTCTCACATTTTTGCCCACCATCTAAACCGATTAGAAAACGAGCCATTCCCAAGAAAAAAAATGTTCAAAGGCATAATTTTTCCAATCTGAAGCGCTGCAATAAATCCTGAAGTACACTAAAATGTGAATTTATGAGCTTTGGTGAGGCTGAAGAATCTTTCGCCCTTTTCCAATAGACACAGAAGGGAGAAAGAGAAGTTTTGCCCATTTCAAAAGATGAAATATATTGCGGTGGCACTAAAATATCGCAATCGTTTGGATTATCTCTCTGAAATGAAGAATAACAAAGAAAGAAAAAGAAAATTCAACCATTAAAAATTTAATATGTTTTTCAAAGGTATTTCAGACGAGATGAAGGTGATGGTTAGGAATTCAAAGTTTTCGGAAGATGCAAATTCTAAATTTTACCATAAATTTAAACATTCAGTTCTTCATTTTATTACAAGTCTACATTTTGTCAGAAATTAATTTACGACGAAGTTCTTTGGATTATAATTATTCTATAATTAGAAGACAAGAAAAATTTCTAATGTGCTTCATTTAGCCATCTAATCACGCCGTGTCTGTTAATTTCACTGATTGTAATGCTCGACAAACTTTCAAGACTTGTTCAAAAGAAAAAAATGAGAAAAAAATCGATAAAATTATAATAAATCTTTAAAAATATTTATGCTCACTTAAAATAGCTCAAGACTTTGTCTGTTTTTCATCGATTTTTTGTTCGTCTGTTGTTTGATATTTTAATCAATGAAGTTTCAATATTGTGGATGTTTTTTGAATATTAATCTTTGTCACGATTTTTGTATTTTACGCGCATTAGTCTGGTAAATAACTCTGAACTTGAGAAATATTCATAAACTAATGAGGTGAAGGAACGATTTGTTTAGATGTTAGCAAAATTTTGAAGTGCGGTAATGTTGATAAGTAGCGAGCTTTCAAAATGTTTATTATGTCGTAACTCTCGAAAATCTAATTATTCAATTTTGAAGTGGTTACACTTTAGAAAAAGGTTTCATCGTTATCAACAACTCAGTGAATCGAAAATAAATTAAACTGAAATCGATTAAGTGCTTCAAGCATTTGAGAAAACAAACGTTTTTGTCACCATAATCATGGGAAGTGTCAAATTATTCGAGATAATCACGAAATAAAGAAAATCTGTAACAATCGTTGCCAACATTTCCATCCACATTCATCGAGTAATTTTCTGTGATTTCTCATGTTCGCGTTTCACCACAAAAAGATATAAGACGAAAATTGTTTCTTCTGGGATGATACATACTCATGTATGTTGCGAAAATGTGATTTGGATTCTGCGTGTTTCCAAAGCATGGATCACATGGACATGATTGAAGAAGGAAGAATGCAACAATTCTCATTTCTTCCAAGAAATTATAAAGAAGATTATGAAATGAAGATTATTGTCGACAATAAGAAGATTCGAAGATATTGAATGAATTTTAAGAAGATTACAATTGAAGCATTTTTGCTGATTCGAGATAAATTTATGAAAGGTTTTGGGAGAATCGAGATAATTTCAAATAATTTCCTTCATGTTTCCAGTTGCTAAATTTCCACAGAAAAATTTTCCCCCATTTCCACATTTCATTTTAATGGGAAACTTGCCTTTCAACTTTCGTATTTGCTTATTTATTTCTCTAGGTCAGGAACACTCGAAACATTTGTCAAGAAAGTGTACGACATATCTGATAAATAGAACAAACGCAGAAGAACATGGAAAACTATTCTCGAGGAAATGAGAATTTCCACTAAGTGCATATGTAAATATATCTTGAAGTGAGTAAAACTTTAATTTAATTTTCTCTTTGCTTTGACTTGCAACTTTTCCGAAGAGTGAACTTCTCTTATCTGCTTCAAACTTTGAATAAATATAAACTCAGGCAACAGTAAGAGATAAATTTCCTTCACAAGTGTTCCACAGAATTAGAATTTTCACAGCTTCAAGCAATTAAATTTTAATGAGAGATCGGAAAATTTGCAATGAAAGCATTAAGGAAGTAAAAAAATCGATGAATACATTATAATTTCCTATTTTCATCCGTTAAGGTTGATGTACTGGAAAATCCATAAATAATATTTCCTTCCTTTTACAGCGATTATTTTATTTATTGCCGTTCTGAAAATATGAATCCGTTTTCTTAATTTGATCTGAAATTCCAGTTTCGACAAAGCCTGAAGAGAAATGTTTATGCATTGCAAATGTTGTTTTAAAAATAGATTTTCCTTTGTGTTGTTTTACTGAATCAGGGGAAGTGGGAAACGAATCAACAGATTCGTGTTTTTCCTTCAGTTTGATGAACTTTAGCTGCACATGAAACATTCAAATCAAAGAATAAACATAAAGCATTTCAACTTTTCAATTGCAAATCCTTTTCACATTTGTACTCGTCGCAACAGTTTTCATTTAAATGACTTTTGAAATGCGCTCGACAAGTTTCACTTGAAAAAAGTCATTGAAATGATATGAAAAATAAGATGACGAAACAAGACAGCTCAACACTTTAAGTTAGTCATTTGAAAATTTTCTCCGCAATAGATCGAAATAAATTATTCAATGAGCTTTCGTGGAGATGCAACGAGAGGTGTCTTAATCCAAGCAATAGCTTTCCGAATCGAATTACGCTTTGAGATCGAGTCTGTTCAATGCTGTGATGGTGGTTGGCGAAGGTTTGTTGTGAGACATAAAGTTCCAATCTCGCGATGGCATTCTCTAAATTGAATTGAAGTGTCAAACGTTCCTTGGGATCAACCGCATATTCTGGTCGTGAGAGAATTAAAACTTCCAACAAAGATAACTCCATTAAATCGACACTCAGAGCTTTTGTGGCACTAATAACTTCCAATAAGTGTCTATCTCCGCAGCTCTCGATTACGGTGACAATGTCGATTGGCCAATGTGAAGCTTTCAACACAAATAATTCACTCCAAACATTTCTCAGTATCGCATTTCTTTGGAGCTCGCTGACCGCTTGAAAGCTTTCGCAATGTTGTGCTTGCTTCAAACACGTCAATAAAATCTGTATCAACATTTCTCGTTGTAAACTCGACGATGACATCGATGACGACGATAATGATTCACTTGTTGTCTGTTTCTCTACTCGCTCATGTTCCATTGTTGGTGGAAATTGTTTCGAAGCTTCAACGGACAAGTTTTTACTTTTCAACTTTTTTGTGGTTTTCTGTTCTCGTTTGCTGAGTTTTTGACGTCTCGGTCCACGTTCTACTTGAACTGCCGATACATTCATTTGCACTGCAAAGCATTTTTGGAGTCTACAGAATGGACACCAATTTCTTCTCATCTTGTCAATTCGACAACAGCCAGTTCCACCTACATTTAGATGAGTACATGAACACACACGATGACCGACATTATTAATTTGTAGAACTTCTACTCACTAATGCACGAATAGAAAGCACGTCTTCGGATGCTTCGCTTGAAAAAGCAGGAACAACCATCGCAGCAGAATGTTCCATAATGCTTTCCACTCGATCTATCGCCACAGACACTGCAAGCGATATTCGCATAAATTTTCCAACGTCCCGCTTCAGTTCCACTCGATGCTGATGAAAGACATGAAGAAAGTCAGAAATGTTAATTAAATCGTGCGATGAATATTTTTGAACTTCCAATTCTCACCTTTTGCGTCCATTTCGAGTCGAGTTGTGGTTTGCTTTAATCAGAACATTATAAATTGCTGGACTTTTTATACTCAGCTCAATCCACACTCACAACGTTTGGACAATCAAGAATGTTGAAAAAGAAACTCAAGTCATCATTAATGGTCCCCACTGTAAGCCAAAGTGTCCTCAAACTTCTTCTACCATTCTTTATTTACTTCTAACTGCCGCTCAGTTTTCCCTCTGTCTCCGTCTTCAACTCTCTCCACTCACTCATTCATTCATTCATTATGACATTCACAATTTAATCCCGAAATCAAAATCAATGATAACAAGCACTTTATCAACTTTAACGTCGTTCAATTCTCTGTTGTGATTTTGTTATTTCTTCTTGTTGCCGCTTTCCCTGTAATCACATTTTCAATTGATTTTATTGAGACGACAATGAGACAAGCAAAGCAAGTAAAGCGAACGAGTAGGGAAGGAAAATCCAAAATCAACGTTGAGGATGTGATTGCATTATTTATTTGTTTGCATTCATTTCCAAATTTCCAACAATCATTTCATTCCCTGGCTGATGATATTCAAACACTTTCCATGACACGTCGTTGATTTAGTTGTTGGTTGATTGGTAAGCAGCGTGCAGTCTCGTTTCGGTCACATTTTACCGTGTCGTGACTTTGCAGAAAGCGTCAAAGAAGGAAAGAAACAAAGAATCGACATTTACGTATGCTTATGTCAATCGAACTTTTGTCAATTCTTTGCTTGCATAATGCAATGATCAATCGACCAACCAAGTTGAAATAGAAGAAAATTACATTTCATGATTTAATTTTAATTTATATTGCGCAAGTTCTAGCATTCAACTCCATTCCCTGACAAAGGTTAATTGAAATCAGAAGTCAAATTGAAAATCTGCTTCGAGCTTCAAAATTTTTGGTCTTTTTCAGATTTCCTAATTCAGACGGATTTTCTTTCTTGGTCATCATAAAGATGTTCGCTGATTTCTTTATGCCTTTAAGTCTTCTTTATTCTCAATATTGTATCTGACATAAAACAGAATGTTCAAGCAGTACAATTAAATCCAATCTGCTGATGCTTGAATTATCTGATAAAAAATGTATGAAGAAAAAGATAATTTTGCCTTTCGACTCTTTTATTCAATTTTCTCTTTTAATACTTATGCGATGCATAACAATTGCTCGTCTTATCTTACCGAACGTTATCTATAGTTCATCCGCTTTATCTTCTTCAACAACGGAGCGAAGCTTTCATCATAAACCATAAAAGTATAAGAGCATTATTAAATATTTTACAATTTTCTGCTTATCTAAATGTTAACGTACTGCTTCGCCACCACCCCCTAATAAAAGAATATAGCAAACGACCTCCCACTGTTGATAAGTGGACGAAGAATCTTCGCGGAATCATGAAAGACGAGAACAAAACATGAGAGAAACAAAAAGAAATCCGTTTATTGTCATAAAAAGTCGAAACGAAAATTTATTATGTCAAATGCCGCAAATAAGGCTTATGACAAGAAATATCAAAGAGAATTCTTTCAAAACTTTGAAACGATGTAATGGAAATTGTTTTATTATACTTATCTAGCTATCTATTCAAAACGAACATTTAATTTTTCAATTTATTTTTGCTTCTTTGGAAGTGATTTTCACCACTCGAAGTTGTCAGAGATCTAAAAGAAGTTGACGCAGCAAATTTCTTCTTTTGTCGTCAGTTGAGAGAACTTTTTTGTTGCTTCCGACTGCTGCTATTGTAATTAAAATTTATGTAGCTTCTCTGGAATGTGAGAAAACATTCTTTCTTTGACTTCTGCTGAAGTTGGTCTATAAAGGAATGAAAAGTGTAAAGGTAGGGAAATGTTTTCCATCTTTTTTATATTATAAATTTCACTTGTTCGTGGTTTTCAGTAAAGTAAGTCAAGAGAACAAATGAATTTTATATTTCCATGTTATGTAAATTGCATTTGAATAATGTGACAGCTTTTTGTCAGATTAAAATTGTTCAAAAAATTGCAATTAAAATTGTTTTCAACTGACAACCAAAGTGAAAAAAATATTTCGTCCAAGGCATTTTTTACATCCATCATAAAAGAATTAAATAATCAAAAATAGTTTAATTAAATTTTTCACCAGCATGAGAGTACATTTAATACGCAAAAGTTGAATTTTCAAAACAAGATTTAAATTCTTCTGAAACCAAAATGAAATTTTGTCAGCACATCTTGTAATGTCACAGAAATTATAATTTGCTTAAAAATTACAAATTTAATTTCTGACAAAAACAGAATTTTTCCCAACTTTGTAATTTTTTATATCGTTTAATTTTATGCTTATTCCACCTAAAAGAATTTCTTTAAGAGTTTGTAACATATTTAATTATTTACTTAGAAAAAACAAAGCTCCAAAGTTTTATCTGCTATTTCCAATGAAATAAAGAAATAGAAGAAACCCTTGAAAGTTTCATCGGATTGTTTTATTCAACATTATTTACTTCAAGACTGAAATTTCGATACAGAAAAAAGAATTTGTTCAAGGACTTTGTAATTTTGGAAGACAGTTTGACGAGGTTTTCTATCTCGCGAAGAGACAGCATAAGCAGAGAGTTGATTTAAGAGCTATTGACGTTGAAAATGTCTTATCAAATCATTGCCAGTATCGAGAATTTTCTGTTTGCTCCATTTTTCGAAGAAAACAAACAAATTAATCAAATAATTAATTTACTTAAGTTTGTGACATCGTTGAACTGTCACAATGTATACACAGAGATTGAGAGATATTAAAGCTTCTTAATGAAAAAACTTCATTTATCGATACTTGGCGATGGCACCATTAAACGAAATATCTTGTAAATAAATTTTTAATTGCAAATCACCACTTAAAATAGTGAATTTAATTAAAATAGAACCATTTCGTCTCGCTTTTATTCCCCCGAGTCATTTTCGAAAAATTTTAATTTTATTTATGATTTCATGGAGAATTTCCGTAAGCCGTTTAAGGTTTAAATTAAGTTTGGAAAATAGATGATCAATTGAGACTGCGACTTATGTCACAATCGATTAAGGTTTGAAGATCGCTTATTATAATGAAAGATTACAACCGTTGATTGTTCTTCATTAAACAAATTTTGCTGTGCTGTTCACTTTATTTTTGTGAAGAACTGAAAACCTTTCCGGCATAATCATGATAAGCCCCGAAAGGGAAAAGATAAAAAGACGTCACTTTAAAATGTTTATCATCAAGTTCATAGTCTTTGCTTTTGTGTTTTGACGTGATTCGAATTTCTTACGAGGGAAAAAGAAAAGAAAGCAAAACGAAAGTGAGTAATTTTTCACCTCGCTGTTTGTCGTTTATATTAAATTAATTACGCCGTCATAAATATAATTCCGCTGTTAAACAGCAGATATTGCGTGATGTTAGCTGGCACACTCCGAGAGAATGAAGACGAACAGTGTAAGTGAGAAAATGTACGTAAGAAAGTCGTTTCCATAAATCCTAATTCAAACTTGAATGAAAAATATTTTTGGATGGCATAAGGAAGAAAGAAAAAAAAAGAAGTAAGACGAAAAAACCACTCTTAACGAAAATAAAGTTACGCAAATCACATAAATTTCATCCAGACAATGAAGAATTATAATCGAATAACTTTTTCAACTTATCAACTCCGAACACCATTCAACGATGAAAATGTTGCGTGCCGAATGAATTAAATTATAGAAACTCAATCCAAAAGCAAAGAAAGCAAAAATAAAAAAGAAATTTAACTTCATGAACTGTAAAGAAAAGAAGTAAACACGAGGATTTAAGCTGAATAAACATTAATTTCAATTAGAATAACCATTTGTCGTTCTACGAGAATTGACTCATATTTATGTGAGTTGAGAATTGCAGAAGGTGTTTGTTGACTCAAGACGAGTTGAGCAAAGATTTTTTCTCGGTACTCCGATGCTATTTGCTTTAATATTTAATTATTTCCTTTGACTTCCTTAAATATTTAAGCACACGCATACACACAGACATGTATACAAAACATAAATATTTGCATTCTGCTAAGAAATCTCAAGGAAATTATTGAGAGATTTCAGTATTAAGTGAGAATTATTGCCAAAGACAAGTGAAGTGAAGGAAGCTTAAGTAGATTAATTAATTTATTCACGTCTAATCTTGTTAAAAATATCTCTAAATATGTACATCCTTTGAATATAGAAAAGCGCATTAGAAGCTTTGTCGGAGAATATCGTATATAATATTAATTAACGTTTCGTAAATATCTCAAGACGTAATTCACTAAATGTAATGTGTTTGAAGCTGAATAAAGCGGAATTTAATACCTTTAACGTAGCTCAAAATTTATAGCATGAACGGTAATTAATTAAGTCGCTTAATAGGGTATTTCAGGATCATCAGGGCCAGCTGGTTTATTTGAAAAATGACTCCATGAGCTTATTTCTTCATAGAGACGTTGACCTGGGCATTCTGTGTTTCGAACTTGTCTGTGACCGAGCAACTTGTAATTCGGCGATAAAAATCCATTTTCAACACTCAATTCGATGAATCTTTTTGTCGCTGAAAGCATCGCTTGTGGCGGTTTTTCAACTAATTGCAATAAAAAAAATTAATGAAATATTAATTTCATTTCAAAAGTTTAACAAAAGCTACACCTGGTGAATGTTTAATGAGTAAAAGTTTTTACTATAAACTTTGCAATTAAATGTCGCAATAAATTTAAACTTTTCTGCATTTCAAAACTTTGACGTATGATAGAAGAAAAGTTAAATGAATAAAAAATTACTTGTCCAGTCTCCAATTAAACATATTCCAATGCTTTTATCGTTGTAGCGTGGCGAGTGCGCTCCAATGACGTTGTATCCTCGACCATGATATATCCGTCCGTCACCACCTACAGCGAAACTATATCCAATGTCATTCCATCCATTTTTTAACTGATGCATATCCTGCATTTTACGCATAGCTTTACTACATCCATCTTCATCATAACAAGCTTTTGGAATGTAGGAATGATGAATAATGACAAAAGGTATGGTACCAGTAAACCGTTCAACCATTTTCGGATCACGTGCACTCCATTCGTTTCGTGTAACAATTGAAATTGCTGCTAAATTGAAATTGAACATAAAAAAGTTAAAGTTTATTTCAATAAATATTTTAAAGAATTATATCAATCTATTTGAATAGACATTTATGATGGAAACCAACGCTGAAGTGCAAATTAAAAACTTTTGATCGATTCTCTTTATGTGTAAGCTTTCATAATTTAGCATAAAATCCTCACATTAATCTTTTTGTGCGTGTTACTTGCAAAACACTTTTATGCCTCAATTTGCGAAACCTATAAACATTCAATCCATTAAAAGCAAACGAACAGCAAAAACACGCGGTAAAAAGTGCTTAGAGCTGTGGAATTGCGAAATGAAAAATGATTAGACTGAAATTTTCTTTTTTTCCCTTGAGTATTTACCAATCAGTGAAAAAGGGAAAAAGATTTGAGGCGCGTCAAGCGGAAGTGTTTTAATTATTATTCAACGTTGGCTGTCAACGAATTAAGTAACATGAACAAGTCACTGACGTTGAAGACGAATTTGTGCGTGTGTGAAATGTTTTCGTTCGTATTTGCTTGGAGATTGTTGCTAAATGTACTGATAAATAAAGCTTTTTATAAAGAGAAAAAAAAACAAAAATCCCCGCGTTGATAAGTCGGCGAACTTCTTTGTCAATGAATGACATCATTAAGATTTTTTTCATCATGAGAATGTAACAAGAATGTTAACATCTAGTAGGTTTTTTCATGGTTTACTGAATGGAAAATTAAATTACATCAGAAGTGATGAGATTATGTTGTCAACTTTACTTACTATCGTTTGCCTTAATATCTTCAGTCTCGGTAACTTGTAAAGCATATGCTGAAACACTGAGAGTGCTTGCAGCTAATAATAGAATTGTCAAAGCGTTCCATTTTCTAATTATCTCTTGTTCCATTTTTCCTGCTCTTCAGAGAAAAGTTTCTTTGTTTATTATTTCGCATTGTAATATTTCCCAATACAATGTTTTACCTCTGATACAAATTCTAAAGTTTTGCCTTGATTTTATTATTTTGAGGGATGTGCCTCAAGCTCATTGCAAAATATTTATGAAACTTTGGTAATGACAATGTTCAAACAAATAGAATTAAAAAAAATCACATTGCTGGTAGTTAAGCCTCCGGTTTGATTGTTGTTTCACTTTAGACTGGCTCTCTATACTATTGACAAAAGCTTTTGCTAATGTTTACAGACATTTCAAACAGATTGTTTTTCTTTGTGTACATTCATAATGAATCATTGATAACACAAAAATATGCGGATGAATTAATGTTTTTCTTATAATGAATTGAGTTTGTGATTTTTTTTTGTGAATAATAACTTTTAGATTGAGTTCTATATTTAGAAACTGTCAACTGAAGTCACATAAATTTTGTAAATTTAATGATTATTTGATAACAGTTTAGATACTTTCATAGCAAAACTGAGTATCTACTTAACTAAATATTTGAAATTTAGAAATAAATTTCGTACAACAAACCGCCTAAATTAATGGATTGTGATTTATTATCGACAGAACAATCCCTCGATGTTCATTTTTGATTGAATAAACCGTCAATTATAATTCAAATAAGTATCGCCTTGCTTAATTAAACATTAACAGCTTAATTATGACATGATGAATAAATTCTATTAGACATGTATCGACATGGTGTACATCAATACCTTTAATTTGTTGCTTCAATTCACTTTATCTATTAATATTTAAATTGAATGGCATAAATTTATTTTGCATTGTTTGAATAACATGAAAGAGAGTCAAATATTTGAATAAATTAATTATAAATTGAAATATTTTCAAACATGCGTTGACGTATCTTTCATGTTCTTGATTCTGTGTGGAATTCTCTTTAACATTAAGGAGGCAATCCCAATAAATTTCTTGTCATTCGATATGAAAGATTATTGCAATTCTATTCTAAAGTTGAACATTATGTCATGGACGATCCTTAAAACTTTAAATAAAATCATACTTGGATGGAATTTTTTTCTACTTGGCTGTGCATGAAATATTCAGAATAATACAAAATAATAGAAAAATGTGTCAACAAACCTCATTGTAAAATATTTTTTGCTGATATCGGAGACACGTCTTGAAAGTTCATTCAATCCCATGCTTCGTTGGATTTGATTTCACTTAACAAAGTTTATTTTTCACTAAATAAAATGTGTTTCGCAAAGATATGATTTAATATTGATTCATTTCATTGTTGTTTGCTTCGTTTAAACAATGTTGGGCTTTGGTATTTTTTTAAAACTTTATGAAAATTTAAATCATGTCAATTGCATCAACACAATTTGATGATAATGAAATGTTTTCAAACGTTTAATGAAATTTACATTAACAAACAATAATAAATCAAAGTCAACATAGTCAACTGGGCGATTCTAAAAGTCATGTTTCAACAACATTCCCTGCAGAAATTTTAGATTTTAGTGTATAAAGCACGGTAGGATTGAAAAAGCAGAAATTGAATGAAACTTTATTCGAATCTTCAGAATTCAACCCAAAGAAGAATGATATTCGATTCGACATCATGTTGAAACTTGATGCATGATTTCTATTTGAATCCTTCACTGTTCATATAAGGAAACGATTCAATTGCACATGTCATGATATTTGAATAAGAAATTTTCAAATGCACTGCACTCACTTACGATGAAATTGGAGAAGTTATTGTGATATTTCAATAAACTTTAGACTCATCATTATCAAGCTCAATCATATTATATCATTCCTTGTGGTGCTTTAACTAATAATTTTCATAATACAATTCAAAGTTGATGCACTTCACTTCAATAACTGCTGTGAAATAAAGCATTTGAAAATGTAAATTTTATTTCTTCTCAATTTTACATCTCGTTTTCATGGTATAACATCGTATTATCGTTCAAAGTGCAACGTTTTATTTAGCATAATGCAAATAAAATCCAATATTATGTTGTATCTAGAGCAACCGAACAATAACGAATCTCAATTTCAAGAGTAAAACATCAATTCCGTAAAAGATTTTAAAATGAAAATTTTCTTCTTGTTATTCTTCATGATTTTATTTCATAGTGAACAAAGTTTTTATGAGTAAATGTTCAACATATAATGGAAGTGGTTTCTATGAAATCAACTAACAGAAAAGTTTTACAAAAAATAACTACTTTTTACCATCGCCACATCATCGACAAGTTGAAGCCCCCAATATGTTAGATGGAAGAAAAGGAAGAAACTTTCATCGTGGCCATCGTTCGTACATTGGCGAGTTATTCGATATCCATTAGAAAATAAAATATCAAATAAATCACTTGGGATGACCGAAGAGATAATTCAAAAAACGGAATTACACAATTTTTTGATGACCTTCATGTCACTTTGCCCTTTGGTTCGAAACTTGAGGGACTTTCCTTATCACTTATCTGCAACATCTAAATGTCTTCTTCCACTTTTCTGAATGCAAAATATTCTCTTGTAATTACAGCGTAACTTTTGCTTGCTAACTTTCACTTAACATTCATTAATAATTCTTGATTTCTGGATGAACATTTTTAACGATCATTGTCATCGTGATATCTTGATTTCTTTTTACTTTGAAATTTTAATTTTTTTTAATGACGGTTAAGAAAATTAAAAGATATTTGAGAAAGCATAAAAATGATCCGAAAGGGACTGCTGTGATGCTAAAAAAAAGTAATTGATGAGAAATGACATAGAAAATTTGTTTTTCAAGAGCCGCTTTATCCTTGATCCAAGATGTTGGGTAGAGACTCCATTGAGTAATTAATCGGCTGTAAACCGCGTCTAATTGGAACCGCAAAAAAAGTTTAAGATATCAGACAAAAAGATGACCGATTAAAATTAATGATGCAAATTTAACATTCGATGAGTTAAGTTTTATGTTCAAATGATAGTCTTTTAATTTATTTTAATACGAAACTTCACGGTTGACATCTGATATTTATTTAAAATAAGTATTAATTTCAGTTTTAGGACTGTTTCTATCTGAGATTCGGTGATGACGGAAAGGATGAGATTCAAATGGGTTTTGTTTCACTCACAAAAAAACGATAATTGAACAACAATTTCTATTCAAATTTTCAGAAATCTTTTAATTTTGATCGAAGAATTTCATTTTCCGTTTCTATGATTTCTAATAAAACCGCAGAATTTTCCCATCAACTTCTAATAATCTCATCGCTTTCACAAAAGATAATACGCAACAATATAACCGAAGAAGAAGATTGCTAAAGGAAATATTACTAAAGTTTCTTAACATCAACCACAAAAAAGGAAATAAAACAAGAAAGTTTTATTAGATTTCCGACAACTTCTCATTTTCATATTTCCTAAAGTTCTTTCAACATCAGCAGTTGAAGGAAATTACAAGACGAGTGAGTAAATGAAAATACTTTTTCGTTATAAAACCTGTCTGTCATCAATTATGCAGCTTAGGTAGGAGCACCAGGAGTTTCTTTTTTCAGAAATAAAGTTTAACAATAAAACCACTTTGTTCCTGAACCATACAGGATGTTTCAGAATGTTTTACAATGTTAAAGCCACACCGAGGAAAAGTTTAAAATTAACGCAATATTACATTTCAATTAAAAGAGTTTACAAATTCATTTTATGAATTAAAATATTTGTTGAAGTTTTTAAAGCATTTCAGATAACAAAATGTGTAACTTTATTAATAAATTATCTAATTTCAGATTCATTCGGATGCTAACATTGCTTGACCAATGTCAAAATAACTTCTTCAAACAATCGCTTGGAGAATTGAGCAGTCAGAAAGCAAAGAAGATCCAAATAAAGATTAGAAAATTCCTTCCTCATGACATTTCTAAATATTTTTTGCTAACTTTAAGTGTTGAGCTTTTCTTGTTGTAAAAATATCCATCGCATGATAAAAATCATTAAGCTTCAACTTCATGAGCAAACATTTTCCAGTGTCCAATCTGATAACAAATTAAGTGCGTGACTTGCGATGCGTTTGACTTGCCATAAATTTTATTGTGACAAGATCAGGGTCAGAACACAAAAGGCTCATTTCGTGCGATAGCAGCTAGAAGATATAAGTTACGATCCATAATCTTCCACAGGCTGAGACTAGGAAACTTTGTGTGGTTTCCTTCAATTGCTTGGTAATTTTTCTTCAATTCCTCCTTCCATTTCCACTCATCGTTTGATGTGATGGGACCATCTTTGATTGTTAAAACCTCTCTGCTCAATGGATGGCTAAAGGCAATTGGAAAATTTGCTACGCAAGCTTCACACGAACAGGAAAAGTCAAAATGAGCTTTTAAATTCATCTGACGAAAATCATTCGGTTCACGGATGAATGAAGGTCTGAGAACAAATGAGAAAAAAAGAGAGAAATGTTGAAAGTTTTATCAGCACATCGTGCTTAGACTTACCCATAACTGATGAACAATTGTTCTCCTTTACAAACTGACCGACGCACGATGAAAACAAATTTGTTATCCACAATCATTCTATCGATTGATGGGGCACATGAATGATTAAAGAGCGATCCAAAAGGGAGCATTGCGGAACCAATCTTCATTTTATTTGAGGAGAACAATAAATTGTCGTCGTCTTCTCGCTTTGGCGACCACCAGTCGAGACTATAGCAATTCACGGACAGAATCCTTGCAATTCGAATGAGATATGCTTTGGCGATTTCTCTGTCATGTTCGTACTCGAAGTAATCGAGAACCGGATGTGTTTCTATATAATCAAGATCATCAGTTATCGGTCCAAGTTGTAACGAATTGAACGCTAAGAGACCATGCATTTTAAACTTTCCATTTTCCTTATCACTCCAATCGAAATCGAAAACAGTTTGTGATGATTGCTTTGGATCTTCAATAAGTGCTTTTAATTTATCAACATTTTGATCACAAATGTTCAACGATTCAAGAAGAATTTTTTGAGCAAACTCAATGGATCGTAAATCCACTTCAACATTGTGGAAATTTCCTGTTGCCATTGTCTGACATTGTTCGGAACAAAACATGCCTGGAAAGCTTTCATCATAATAATTGTTTTATTTGTTGTCAAATATCTTACCTGATGATGTTAGACGACTTGGTATGAGATCGAGTTTATTAGCTTTTAAACAATTTGAACAACGAAGATGTGTTGACGAGGTATGAACAATTTTGAAGAAAGGTTCTTCAATGGCAATGATGTCTCCAGGGGTTAAATTTCTTGTGGTGACTAAATATCGTCCAAACAGTTCATGTTGCTTCAACTCGATGCAATTTGCGACATAAGGAAGTTTTTCATGTGGAGGATATGAAAGTTTGAAAAAGCTCCAAGGATTAAAAACTTGACTGTTGTCGTCTTTCAAGAGTTCATTGCATTTGGCTTCACGAAGTTTTAATACTTCGTTTACTGATGCATCACAACCACACTTGATAGCTAAATTTATGTTTTCTAAACATTTCTCATATTCTTTGATCATAAAATAAACTTCCGAACGATTTGCATAAGCCTCAATCATTTCTTTAGATCCTTCTTCCGCATAACATAAACTTTTATTTAGATTCTCCAAAGCTTCGAAATATTTAAGCTTCTTAAGTTTCGATCGTCCAAGATTTAGAAACTTTCTTGCATTCAAGCTTGATTTTTTGCCTGGAACTGCAAAACTTTCACACATCACGCAGATTTTCTTTGAAAAATAAACTTATAGCTTGAAGAATCGAAACAAAACTACTTTTTTCCGCATAAAAAGTTTTTATGTGAGAAAATGAGGTAAAAATAGAATGAAAATGGCAAAGAGATAAGTATGAGAGAATTTTAAACATGTTTATGTGAAAATGAAAATATAAAAAACTTATGATGCGCGTGCCAAGTTGAAGTATTCATGACGTCTGTGTTCATTTCTGTTTATCTTTATTTACCTCACGTCTGAAATGTAAAGAAAAAGGTAAGAAAAGCTAATATCGACATTTGAAATTAAATTTTCAACGACTACTTTCAAACGGTTTTGATATTTATTCACATTGAAAGACTTTTTATGTAAAGGTGGATCAAAGTTTAGGGCTTAACAAAGGAAAGGTTTGCAAGGTAAGTAACAAAGAATGAAAGGCAAACAAAACTGTTTACTAAACAACAACTGCGTTAAAATGTTTACCGCTTTTTGCTTGATAAAGGAAGACAATGAAACTATTATCAACATCGTCTTTGATTTTGTGAGAAAATGTCTAATGGTAAACAGTCACGTATCTAACAGGTTCAGATCAACAGATTGCTGAACCATCAAAGCGAGTAATCTCAACCACAGCATCGAAATTTTACGAGAACGAGAAAAAAATCTCTGACATTGCCACAACAAAAAAAAATGTATAAAAGAACGAAAGAAAATCTTCACGATCCTTTGTCAATCTTAATAAACATTTCCGGTTGTAAAATGCCATTTCCGGGGTGAAAGGAAAATCTGGGAAATTTGATTTCCATTGAGTGACTCCGAATGAGAATGGGAAGCATCCGATAATGTGACATTATTTGATGTTATATAATGGAATTGTGTGTAAAGTGTGCTTCAAGGAATGATATGTGACGATTAGAATTATGCGTTGAAAATAAGTATCAATACAATTTACGACCTCCATTCGCTAACATTTACCGAATTTCTTTTCTTCTTTGATCAAATAAAGCAATTTATTGTTGAACGTGAACAAATTCTATAATTCACAATTCCATTTCTACCCACAATGGTGATTTTCGAGTGTACATTTTGTGGGCAAAATAAGATTAAGATTTGGTATTGTTGGTTGTTATACTCTTGTCACAATCTTTTGAACATGTACCATGAATGTATGGCAAATTAGCTGTTAATTATGTAATTCAATAAAACTAATTAAATTTGTACATTTATTTTAATGTCTTGTCGTCTTGATAATGTTTAAATATCAACATATACAATTTGGTTCATGAATTTCTGCAACTAACTAAAATTGAGATAATTTCTTCAGAGAACTTTGTGATGAAAGTTAATTTTATGTTAGAAATGTGGTTTCAGCATGAAAGGTTTTAATCACAAGATGTATTCTGCCTTAGATGTTATACTTAGAAGTTGCTTCTTAATGCTAATGTTTGAAATGCATAAAATTCATGGAATATTTCCGTTTTATCTTATGGCAACACGATTTCATTCCATGTTCGTCGTATCACTACAAAGTATCAAAGTATTATGTTAAACGCAACTCTATTAAAGTTAACCTGAAGTTCAAAAACTCTACATAAGCTTTTAAAACTAATTTTAACATTTTTAGATAATTTTCTGATCTCCCGAAAAAGAAGGAAAAACTTTTACTCATTTATCACGTTCCATGCTGAATCATAAATTTAAATTTCAGATTTTAAATTAAATATCCAGAAGCGAACTGTTTCATGATGAAATTCTTTCGTTAAGTAAATGTTTGTTCATTTAAAACGGTCTAAATTGTTGAAATCATTTCATTTTTCTTTTTATTAATCAAAACTGGAAAAATGAGGAAAATAAAGGAAAACATGAAAATCATAAAATTGCATAAACAAAACGGATCGTGAATCTTATTAATCACAACTGGAAAACTGACGAAACTAAATAAAAAAATTGGAATAGTGAAGAGAAGAGCTGAAATGTTTTCATTTCACTATCTTGAAAGCAGTTTAATTATATCTAACTGAACAATCCTTGAAATTCTTTGTAAATATTTAAATACTTCTGTTGTTTCTAACTCTATTCTCCCATTTCTATGTTTACTTTTCGGGGAAATCTTCACGTTAAATCTACGTAGCATAATTTTTTATCTGAATATATGAGAAATAAAATTCTTATTGAAGTGCACTTTCTTCCTTTATCTTCTCCATTTCCCCATCTTCAAGTAGCATGAAGCATAGCAGAAACGTTTGCATTTGTAGGATTACGATACGTGTTTTCTCGTATTAAGCACACGAAACAGTGAAGATGGCTTTTGAAAAGACTGAAAATGAACACATGCTTCAACGTACTGTTGGTGAAGAAAAATTTCGTCTGCTGAAGCCATTAATTATGTAAAAACATTCAAAGAATATTAAATCATTTTCCAATAAGCTTTCACATTCATTGTAATCATTTTTAATCAATTTTCAAAGTGAATTTCAAGCATTCAGCACTTGACTCAAACATCAAAATAAATTTGTATTACTTATCAAAGCATCAAATATTTGATTATCCGAGATTCTTTTCATCTTCATCACTTTCTTTGATGCTTTCTTCTACTCTGTAGTGATGAAGGCTTGAAGTTTATTGAATTGGTAATAAAGTGATGACATGTGTGACACATGCTTAAAAGAAAAACATTTAACGACTTGTACTTATTCCCATCAATCTTTTCTCGAAATCATTTTGTTGAATCGTGACAAGAATTCATCATTGACATGTGGAAAAAGTTTGTAATTTTCTTCTATTTCAATTCCATCCATGTCCAGCCCACTTGGTTGGTCGATTGATCATTGCATTATGCAAGCAAAGAATTGACAAAAGTTCGATTGACATAAGCATACGTAAATGTCGATTCTTTGTTTCTTTCCTTCTTTGACGCTTTCTGCAAAGTCACGACACGGTAAAATGTGACCGAAACGAGACTGCACGCTGCTTACCAATCAACCAACAACTAAATCAACGACGTGTCATGGAAAGTGTTTGAATATCATCAGCCAGGGAATGAAATGATTGTTGGAAATTTGGAAATGAATGCAAACAAATAAATAATGCAATCACATCCTCAACGTTGATTTTGGATTTTCCTTCCCTACTCGTTCGCTTTACTTGCTTTGCTTGTCTCATTGTCGTCTCAATAAAATCAATTGAAAATGTGATTACAGGGAAAGCGGCAACAAGAAGAAATAACAAAATCACAACAGAGAATTGAACGACGTTAAAGTTGATAAAGTGCTTGTTATCATTGATTTTGATTTCGGGATTAAATTGTGAATGAATGAGTGAGTGAGTGGAGAGAGTTAAAGACGAAGACAGAGGGAAAACTGAGGGGCAGTTAGAAGTAAATAAAGAATGGTAGAAGAAGTTTGAGGACACTTTGGCTTACAGTGGGGACCATTAATGATGACTTGAGTTTCTTTTTCAACATTCTTGATTGTCCAAACGTTGTGAGTGTGGATTGAGCTGAGTATAAAAAGTCCAGCAATTTATAATGTTCTGATTAAAGCAAACCACAACTCGACTCGAAATGGACGCAAAAGGTGAGAATTGGAAGTTCAAAAATATTCATCGCACGATTTAATTAACATTTCTGACTTTCTTCATGTCTTTCATCAGCATCGAGTGCAACTGAAGCGGGACGTTGGAAAATTTATGCGAATATCGCTTGCAGTGTCTGTGGCGATAGATCGAGTGGAAAGCATTATGGAACATTCTGCTGCGATGGTTGTTCCTGCTTCTTCAAGCGAAGCATCCGAAGACGTGCTTTCTATTCGTGCATTAGTGAGTAGAAGTTCTACAAATTAATAATGTCGGTCATCGTGTGTGTTCATGTACTCATCTAAATGTAGGTGGAACTGGCTGTTGTCGAATTGACAAGATGAGAAGAAATTGGTGTCCATTCTGTAGACTCCAAAAATGCTTTGCAGTGCAAATGAATGTATCGGCAGTTCAAGTGGAACGTGGACCGAGACGTCAAAAACTCAGCAAACGAGAACAGAAAACCACAAAAAAGTTGAAAAGTAAAAACTTGTCCGTTGAAGCTTCGAAACAATTTCCACCAACAATGGAACATGAGCGAGTAGAGAAACAGACAACAAGTGAATCATTATCGTCGTCATCGATGTCATCGTCGAGTTTGCAACGAGAAATGTTGATACAGATTTTATTGACGTGTTTAAAGCAAGCACAACATTGCGAAAGCTTTCAAGCGGTCAGCGAGCTCCAAAGAAATGCGATACTGAGAAATGTTTGGAGTGAATTATTTGTGTTGAAAGCTTCACATTGGCCAATCGACATTGTCACCGTAATCGAGAGCTGCGGAGATAGACACTTATTGGAAGTTATTAGTGCCACAAAAGCTCTGAGTGTCGATTTAATGGAGTTATCTTTGTTGGAAGTTTTAATTCTCTCACGACCAGAATATGCGGTTGATCCCAAGGAACGTTTGACACTTCAATTCAATTTAGAGAATGCCATCGCGAGATTGGAACTTTATGTCTCACAACAAACCTTCGCCAACCACCATCACAGCATTGAACAGACTCGATCTCAAAGCGTAATTCGATTCGGAAAGCTATTGCTTGGATTAAGACACCTCTCGTTGCATCTCCACGAAAGCTCATTGAATAATTTATTTCGATCTATTGCGGAGAAAATTTTCAAATTGAAAGAATGAAAAATTGATTCCAACTGTCGAAGAACTCAAATGACATGATTACAGTTCGATTGAAGAAGTTTAATACTTTTGCAAGCTGACACTGCTGGCTGATTGATTGAAGGATAGTCATTGCCATCAATCTTCAATAATTTGTTTTATTCTGAGTTCAGCTTAAAGTTTATGCGGATTTAACTACAGAGAACTGAGAAAGGGAAAATCTTTCGTAGTGTATTGAAATATGCGATAATTTAAATTCTTACTGCAGTAAGGAATACAAGATGGGGTTCATGGATACATTCTTGCAATTTCTACAAAGATGAATATTTATAATCACGTCAATACAAAGAAATTGACAAGAAAATTGTTTTTCTATCATGAAATTTCCATTATCGTAAGAGAAAGATGACATATGAAATGTGCTTCATTTTTAATAAATGTCTAAAGAAAGTTCACATATTGAAGTGAAGAATAAATCGATCCAAATATTACAGTACAGTTCTAGTGCCTTGATAAAATATTCTGGATTAATCGATTATTTAAGTCACCTTTATTCAAACAACGTACGTGTCTTGACATCAAAAGTTCTGGTAACCAAATTGCATTTCATTGAACACATTAATCGATAAGTTCTTTTTTCTCTTATGCTTCAAAATCTGTTGTAAAGAAGATAAAGGAATGGTGGGGTGAATGCAGCTAATTAAAGGGATGAAACTGTCATTGTTATATAATGAACGTGTGTTAACATTTTGATAAGCTGGAGTAATTAATATTATGCATGTTACTAGGTTAGTCTCCTTAATTACATTCCATTTCTCTAGTCATGTCATTTCATTTACAAAATTTAAATAAATTCAGAATATTAAGTATGACCTAACTTTATATGCAAATTTTATCTTCCATTCTAGCAGCAAGACCAGCAATTATTAAACCAACAAACAATTTTTTTCTCGGTATGGATTTTTATTGTTAAATTAAATGAAAAATGAAACAAAACGTTCCAATAGCTTTCGATATATTTTCAAATAAAGAATACAAAAAATAAGAAAGTAAATAAATCATATGTCAAGAAATTTTAAAAAGTAAAATTTTAAACTTGGATTAATCTGAAATTTAATGGATTACCTGGAAGATTGACTAATGTACTTCGAACCTTCATGTCTTCGTGATGCCACTCGACACGATAATTTCGAATGACACGAGAAAGAAAAACTTCGATTTCCATTTCAGCGATTCGCTTCCCTGCACAGACTCGTGGACCAAAACCAAATGGCAGATAAACAAAAGGATGGGATTGCTTTAGTGAACGAGGGCAAGCATTTTCATCTTGGTGCTTCAACCATCTTTCTGGAATGAAATCCTTCGGGCTTCCAAAATTTTTTTCGTCTTTATACATGTGCATTAGAGCGAGCATAACATCAACCTTGGTAAATCATTCAATTGATTTTAATAGAATTTTATGGGGGAAAAGCTTTCTCACATTTTTCGGTACTTGATAACCTCTTAAGACAATGTTCTCACCCGTTCGTCTCATATTTCCCATAACAGGTGGAAGAACTCTGATACCTTCTTTAATGCAAGCTCGTAAGTATGGTAAATGATTCATATTTTCCGGCGTCAATGGAGTGTTTTTATCTGTTAAAACTTTTATCAGCTCTTGTCTTAATATTTCTTGTTTATCAGGATTTTTAGCCAAGCAATACATGACGCCAGAAAGCGTTGAAGATGTCTACATGCATAAAATCAAAATAATAATAAAGGAAGAAAAAAAATACATTAAGAACATCAAAAACCCTGTCGTCTTGAATTTAAGACATTTTAAAGAAATTTTTCTCCTTCGAGAAGTTACAAACCGTGTCAATTCCCCCGAAAATCATGTCAAAAGCCATAACAGAAGCAAACCTTGGATCTTTCTTTAACAATTTAAATAAAATGCTTTCTTCATTGTTATCATTGTTAACAGTTTCCTCTTGGTAATTTTTTTTTGCAGCCTCGATGAGCTCTAAAGATAGACTAGAAGCAAAATAAATTTATGTAAGGTAAGTAGGTTGATAACATTAAAATTTATCTTTAAGCTTCTTTTCCTTTAAACTTCTTTTAAAAAGTACATTATGAATATTAGCATGAAAATGCATAATTTTCGCTTATGCTACTTCATGCGTTGAATACTTCGTTTAAAAACTTTTAATCTGTTTCAATTTTCGTTAGAAAATGAATAATGAGAATATTCACAGTTCAGTTGGTATGAAAAAGAAGCAGTTTTAAAAATTCATCTCAGCTAAACATTTTGCAAATCTTCCAAAGCTTTTCATAAGAAGAAAGAAAGAAAAGTTTTTGATGAAAGAAAGGAAATTATTTTATCCAACTTACTCTGTCAGATCGTCGAATGCTTGAAGCAGTTTTTTGAATGCTTTTGTATGATAGATTCGCCATACTGATGGTTTAAATTCGAATTCCGCTGTGAGTTCAAAAATCGTTCGAACTGTTTTTGCTATTTTCTCAGCTTTCTCGTTTCTATTTTCAAGATCCATCAATCCCAATCGTTTTTCAAGTGCTATTGCTACTATGGATTCCAATGTCCAACGGTTCAGTAAATCTTGAAAGTTGTCAGGCATTTCGCCGTTTTCATCTTGCAGCTTTGGGAAATTCGCCATGAAGTCTTGAACAATTCCATCAATCGTTGGAATATAAAGTTTTGCTGTTCTCGGTTGCATTAAAATCGGATTGACAGCAGTTCGCATTTTACTCCATTCATCTCCTTGTCTACAATTTTTGTTTCTTTTCTTAATATCATTTTAAAATAATGTCAAACTTAACTAACTCAAGAATTAAACCACCAACTGAATAAACGTCACTTCGTAATTTCTTACGATAATACGTTATCGTTTCAAGACCTCGACGATATGGTTGCGCGCCTTCTGTTCGATGGATAATCTCAACATCGTTGGGGTCAAAAGTTGTCAATATTTCTCTTTGTCCGAACATTCCTGGTATGCGATATAATTCTCCTAATTCATCTCTCAACATAACTTGCACATCAACGATTGACTTTTCGTGAAACTTTCCTGAGAATTTATTTCAATTTAAATTCAAATTTTTCAAGTGTCAAAAACTAATGGTAATCATTCACCTCCGGGAAGAAATCTTTTCGCCAATTCAATTTTCGTTAAGCTCGGAATTTGCTCGTAAGGTTTTGCTCGAGCGTATTCATCATCGGTGGGCTTATAAGACGCAGCTGCTTGCACACTTAATTTTCTAATCAAAGTCAAACTTTTAGATTGAAAAAAGAAATTCAAGCCTAAAATCCCTCGAGAAATCATCATTGCTGTCGACTTTTATTCCTATTTGATTGAAACTGAAAACAAAAATATTAAAAGCGTAGTAAAAAATTCATATAAAGTGTGGATGTGTGATGTTTTCAAACAAGTTTCACAAACACATTTGACAGAACTTAAATTTTCTGTACAATAAGTTCAGACACTTTAATATCAGAATCACAACAACACAGACAATAAATGACTGATTAATTCTTATCACAATCTTAGGTGAAGCTTCTTTTTCGTATTTGGCTATCATAATCATCAATAACGATATCTTATCTCAAAATATTATAAACAAAAAAGTTGGGAAAGCTCCAAACAACACAAAAGCCAAAAAACATTACGCCGAACATCCAAAATTATGTTCAAGGTCATATAAATTACATACATGCATGAATGAATACACATAAACTGTTATGTCATAGATAATTGATCGTGATATTGAAATATCTCGAATATTCAAAGTAATATTATAAAATTTAATATTTCTGACATTGTTACACATCGAGTGATACTGCAAATTTAGTATGAATGACATTATAATTGATCACAACGATTGCTACATGTTTAAAATTTTAACATCAAATGCAACCGCTATATGCGACGTTGGTGAAATTTATTGCATTTCTACTGTTTAAATACAAGAACAGAAAATTAGTTTCACTCATTGTTGTCGTGGTCGTGGCGCATCTGATCATGAAACGTGTCAAAACCGTGAATAACTATAATTTATGCATTTTTCGAGAGATTACAAATTGTAATTTATTCCGCTTCATGCATTTTCGCTAAAACATAGAAGTGAACATTGGTCCGTGAATTAATTACACTAATAGTGTGATAAACGCGAATAAATTTCAATGCACCAAAGGATAAACGCCTTGGATAGTTATCACCATTTAATGTATTGCGATAAGACTTTCGTACGAAAGTTTTTATCAAAATAATTTCTGTCATCTCTCTTAATGTAGAATTGAAAATTCTTTAAAATAAATCATTTGAAATTAAAGTTAATCTTGTTCTCTGATCTTCCTGTGAACAAGAGCAAAGTTCATGACGATAAAGTTTGAACTTTCAAAGAATCAAAAAGCTATTCAACTCGTTTTGCTTTAATAAAGTTGGTGGAAGGTAATTAATTCTTATAAAAACGGGTTGAAGAATAGGGAAGCGTAAAATGGGGCAAAAACAAGTTTCTCTTGCATTCGATAAGTCTAGTAAATTACTTTCCCAATGTTTTTCAATAGATTCTTGTCTAAAACGATTGTGGAAAATAAAATAACTTAATTTTACGATCTGAGCATTAAAATAATGAAGTTTTAACTTTAAGTAGTTAAGTAGAACTTTTTGTTGAGTTAAATTTGAATTGTAAAGATTTTTAAAAATTAGATGATTAAAATTGAAGAAAATATTTTAAACACAGACTGTTGGATGAAATCAAGTTAAGTTTTTAATCTTTTTTTACAGTCATTAAAGTGTCTTTATTTTTAAACAATTTCAAACATTTGTGTAATTGAAATATGCAAAGAATAAGTTGAGTTCCGTTTAGTTCTCTTTAGCATTTTTGGTTTAATAAAATCTTTGAAAAATGTTAAATGGGACATTTTAAGCTTTCTTTGTGCTGCAACTGAACAAAGAAATTTCTGCATTTCCTAAGAATTCCCGCATTCATTTTAAAATTGCTTCTCGCGAGACTTCTATTTTTTGTTATAATTCTCCACAGCGCATTTAAAAAGCTGCGGTACCAAGATGTCATTTGATATGTTTTTGTTTTTGTTTCTGTGCAAATCACTACGGAAAAAAACAAATAACAATTCATGTTAAAATTTTCATAAACAAAAGAAAAATTCACTCGTTATCCGCCCACATATTTTTGTCTTTATAAACAATTTTCTTTTATCTCTTGAGAATGTTTGAATCACCTGCAATTGTGTTTAACGACTTCATCTGAAATCTTTCCTTCAATCTTCGTTTAAGATTATTTAAATATCAAAGCACAAGAGTGTTAAGTACTGTTCATAAGTAATTCATACTTTTATTTGCAGCGAAAACTTTTATCTGAGAAGAAATTATCGACTTCAGGAATTGTTAATGATGATCTCAAAATGAAAGAAACTTTTCCAACTTATTAACATTTTCCAATATTTTATCTATAATTAAACTTACTTCATATTTCAACTCATCCCTCCACGTCATATAAAGAATTTATAAATATTATTTTAACTCGTCTCCCCCGCAATTTCTGAATACAAACACTAAGTTGATAAAAATGAATAATGGAAAGGAAAATGAATAAGATTTTCTTAAAAAGAAGATTAATTTAAATTTTTAGCGTTTCATATTTCAGATTTTATTTTTCAGTAAATATATCCCCTTTGACTAAAGATCAGCTTTTTCCTAAACTTTTTCAAAGTATATTTAATTACTTAGAACGTCATGAATGCAACAAAATTGAAGAAAGGAAAGATGCCTTCAGTTTATTCCCTCATCTGTGCTACATAGGATTAACAGTTGAATGCTGAAAAATAAATAAATAAATGACAGAGAAGCAAAGGAGAGACAGAAAAAGTTTAAATCCTTTTGATATTCGTAATAAAGCTTGTTTGCTTCCCCAGGTGAAATGGAAGCACTTACAGTTAACTCCAATTTCATTTTTGATTGTAACGCTGCGATGTTAATGGCGCGACTTGTTAGAAGAGAAGAGACAAGAAATTATGCAAAAAAAAAAGTTAATGACAGCTTTTTGTGAACCCTTTAGAATAATCCTTTCCGTTCAAATAGCTTTGTGTAGATGTTTACAAAATTAAAGATAAAATTTTATAGCAGGAACATTTCATAACTTTATATTTATTTCCTTATTGATGCGAAAGGTTTTAATTTAGTGAAACTTTTGAAATCCATTTTAATAACTGACTTACTTGAAATCATTAAAAATTAAACGAAGAAATCAGTAAGCACTCATCCAGAATTTTAAAATCCTTCAATTAGTTGTAATCGGTCGTCACCGCAAGATACTGAACGCTTGTTGACTTTTTGATTTCACCACTTTTTGTTGATTATTATGAAAAGAAAGAAGAAATTTTCATACTCTGAGAAAGGGAACGAATTTATTCCATCATAAAATGTATAATTTATAAGAGTCTAACATTGCCCTTTCTTTCTGTTTCTACATCTCTTCGCAAAAGCTTTTCATCATGCTGCAAAAGGATTACGCTCAGAAAAACCTTCTGCTATCCTAAAATTTATGAAAATTTTCTCTCTAACCATTCGCTTTTTCATCTGTTGTTGCGAGGTTCTGGATGATGCGAAGAGGGCCACAGATTAAAATGGAATTAAAAGGATGTTTATTTTATTTTTGTTGAATGTTTCTCTTTTTCCCATCCTGATGGCAGACATTAAAGAATTAAAATTTCACTGAACGGCTGGTAAAAAGAACATAAAATGGCAAACAAAGGATACATTAAAAATATAATTTATGTAGCTTTTTATTATTATTGTAGCTTCATTGAATGCTGGAACAAATCACCTTTCTATTTTATTGTGTATAAAATTGAATAAAAAATTGATTTCCCTCGTACATGAAATTGTTGTTTCCAAGAATCCGTTCACATTGTAAAATAAAATAGCAATTGTACATATTAAAGCTTTTTGTGGTATCATCGTCAAAAACATTGTGCTTGATAAAAAGTAGCTTTAACCGCACTTAAATTTACATTCACAAAAGCTTGTCTATATAAATACTGGCTGCTGAAAATAAACAGACAATTCTTGTTCGTTATGAAATATGGTGAATGCTTTTAGTTCTGAAGCAATTCGTGGCTTGTGAAAATTGTAGTTAAAAACATTTGTTTTAATATCAGCAAAGCTTTATGAAGTAAATATTGTGCTATTTTGTTAATTGCAAACGTCCCGAGGTATTTTATTGCAATTAAAATAATTCACATGTTTTTTTTGCAATAAATTCAAAGGAACTTTCTTTTCTCATGTCAATCAACTCACATCAGATTTAACGATTGATCATAAAATTAATGAATCGATATCCGAACTTTAACTTTTTAAAACACATGTTTGAGCTTAACATGATCAAAATTCCATTTTTTTTCTGGTACGCTTGGACACATCTAAGTGACGAAGAGTGAGTAATCTCTAGTGCTGGTTATCAGAGCATATTGTTGTGTTGAGCGCACTCAGCACTTTTAGTTACTAATAAAAATGACTCACATGGGATTGTTGAATGAATAGTTGATAGTAAAAAGTCATCGGAATTTTTCGTAAATAAATCCTCTTCCACCTTGTTTTAAACCAACCCAAATATTTACACATGAATGAGAGCGTAATTTGTTTATTCTTTCCTCTCTATTGGCCATGGCATGGCCACGACAAAACCGATTAGATTATGGATAGTACGATAGATGTATATGGAAGTAACATGGATGATGTAAATTGCTAATTGAGGATGTCTGACTGTGTCCACTGAGATTACTGGCTAAATTTAAATCTTGTTAATATGACCAGCTGAGGAAAATATATTCCATTATTTAATATTATAAAAAAGGATAAAAACGGAAAAGGTTCTTCTTGCTTTTCCTCTCCTGACACACAAGTTTTTGAATAAGTAATTTGCAAAAGAAACATTTATTAAACTTTCAACATATTCACAAGAGAAACGAAAACAAGATAAGTAAGACCACAAAGGAATTTCTAAGGAAAATTATCATATCATTACAAATATTTGAACAGGTGTAGTGTTCAGCCACTTTCGTTCAATTTTAGTTTTCGTTTTGTTCACAAATCCCTACGAGAAAAAATTTAACGGAAATAAAATTTTCAAATTTCATTATTGTAATCTTGAATACCCCTAAACATGATGAAAAAAATTTCAAGCTATTGAAAGTAGGAAAAATATAAAATAAAGTAGTTTATCGCTTGAAATCGGCAATAAAAAGAGTTGCTACTAATTAAATGTTATAGTAGTTAAAGTCATCAAGTGCAGGTTTTCATGTGCATTGTCGAGACAAAGAAAAAAATTGAGATTTAAAAACGTAAACAAAAGATAAAAAAAATGGGAAACCTACAATCAATAGCACCATCACAAATTTTCCCTGTTGAACATTATTTAATAGGATTAGAAGGTGAAATACAATATGAAACAAATATGGGAAGCACAAGATTTCTCAAAGTGGCTCGATCGAGATCCGATGAAGGTCCCGTAGTTGTTAAGGTTTTTGTTCGAAACGATCCGACATTGCCACTGGAAGTTCATGCAGAGAAGCTTGAAACAATAAAGAAAGCATTACAAAATGCTGTTAATTGTTTGCCTTTCCAAAAAGTTCTGGTAATTTTTATTAATTCTTTTAACATAGCAATATTTATATTGAAGTTATTTTTCTATTCAGTCAACGGATCGTGCTGGAATTATCGTTCGAGAGTATGTCAAACATAGTCTTTATGATCGTATGTCAACAAGACCTTTCCTCACACCAATCGAAAAGAAATGGATAACATTTCAAGTTCTTTGTGCACTTCATCAATGTCATAAGCAAAAAATCTGTCACGGCGATATCAAACTTGAAAACATTCTCATCACATCATGGAATTGGATTTTGTTATCTGATTTTGCTTCGTTCAAACCCACATATTTGCCTGAAGATAATCCAGCTGATTACAGTTACTTCTTTGACACCAGCAGAAGACGAACTTGTTACATTGCTCCTGAAAGATTTGTGAAAACTTTTGCAAACGAAACCAAAGATAATCCGATTGTTGGTGACGGTCCTTGTTATTCCGGAAGTTTATTACCGGAAATGGATATTTTCTCAGCAGGATGTGCCTTACTAGAATTGTGGACGGAAGGAACAGCGGGAACAGCTCCATTTGAATTCTCACAATTACTTCTCTATCGAAGTGGAAGCAACGAAACAGTTTCAAGACATTTACAAAGTATCGAGGATGACAACCTTCGAAATCTACTCACATCGATGTTGAGTATAAATCCGAAGGAACGGAAATCAGCTGAGATTTATCTTGATATGGAACGTGGTCGACTCTTTCCTGAATATTTTTACTCATTTCTTCAATCTTACATCCCGATAATGTTCAGTTCAGTTCCAGTTCTTCCAAGTGACGATAAAATTTCAAGACTTCATTTAGACGTAAGTCAAATGATTGACATCACTACAAAAGATGAAATTGACCGTGAAGGTTTAATTCTAATAACAACACTTGTCACATCTTGCATTCGAGGAATATATCATTGCAGTTCCAAAATTAATTGTTTGGAAATTCTTCACAAACTAGCTCAACACACGACATCGGAGACAATTTTAGATAGAATTCTTCCATTTATTCTTCACTTCACACAAGACATCTCAGCGAATGTTCGTGTTGCAGCACTTGACACGTTAACATCTTGTCTTTGTTTAGTGAAGTCATTGCCACGATCTGATGCAAATGTTTTTCCTGAATATGTTCTTCCTTCAATCTCGTCATTGGCAACAGACCCGTCAACTATGGTACGTGTTGCTTATGCTCACAACATTGCAACACTCGCTGAAACCGCAGTTAGATTTCTTGAGAATTCACAACTCGCTTCAGGCGACGGTCCCGTACCAAAATATGAAACTGAACTTCGTGATTTGCATGAAATGTTGTCGTCGACTGTGATGAGTTTATTGACTGATAGTCAATCGATTGTAAAACAAACATTGATGGAGTCGGGAATAACAAAGCTGTGCGTGTTTTTTGGAAGTCAAAAAGGTGAGAAAAATTCTTTTCTTTCACTTCAGTTATTGATAACTTTCTTCTACATCTAGCAAACGATATCATTCTTTCACACATCATCACATTTCTCAATGATAAAGAAGACAAAAATCTTCGTGGAACATTCTTCGATTGTATTGTTGGCATTGCAGCATTTGTCGGTTGGCATTGTTCACCAATTTTAATTCCACTTCTTCAACAAGGTTTTAGTGATACCGAAGAGTTTGTTCTTGCGAAAGCAATTCGTGCATCAACAGCTTTAACTGAGTTAGGATTGATTCAGAAGACAAACTTAATTGAGTTCATTTGTGATTGTGTTTGCTTCTTAAATCATCCAAACATTTGGATACGACATGAGATTTGTGGTTTAATATCAACAGCTGCAAAGAGTCTTTCAGCGCTTGACGTTCAATGTAAAATAATGCCAGCAGTTTCTGTTCATCTTCGCACGCCTTTATTACAAGTTGAGAGAATTGAACTTCTTCTTGATTGTCTTCATCCGCCAATTCCACGAAGTATTTACGACAATGTTGTAAAGTTTCCTGAAGTCGGACAGTTTATTGAGATACTGAAAGATCGACGACATGCGAGAGCCAAAGCTGGAACTGATGGCATTGCAAAGTACGGAGAAATGACACAAGCAATGAGAAATGTAAGTTGATGATAATTATTTCGCATTTAACACATTTACAGTGAATGTTCCCTGCTGTGACTTCTAATTATCTTAAACTATAAAAAAGATTCCACTGTAACCATTTTCATTTCCTTTTTCACAGTTTTTCCGACGTTTATCATCGACTGAGGATCTTAATGATCTCGTTGAACTTCAATTACTTTCAATGGGTAATCACTTGATAAAAATGGCTCGTTATCGTGCTCATGACAATAAAAAGTCATCTAGAGACGGTCGAATAAAATTGGAGAGGAAAGATTCATGTTATCTTCATGAGTTAGCGCTTGTTGATAAGCTAACAAAGGTTGACAGTCAAGGAAGAAAACATCGTGTAAGTGAATCAGCGAGTGCTGATTGGCTTTTGAATGCAGACTTTCAATCACCATCGTCAGCATCTCCAATGCCTGATGCAATCTCATTGAATGCTCAGCCAATCCAAGCAACACCAACATTGTCGTTAGTCGAGTACAGCATGCCAGAGAGAAGTTTTCATCAGGAAAGATTATCTGAATGTCGATTGGAACTTGATCAATTAACGAATCAATTGAAGATGAAATACTCGACGAGTCTTCGTAATGAGATGTCGGATGGGCAATCGAATGTGTCAGATGATTGGAAGTTCGCTGGAACTCTCGTCGCTCATCTTCATGAACATAAAAATGCTGTGACGAGAATGGCGTCGCTGAAAGTTGGCGGACCACTTTTTGCTAGCACAAGCACTGATGGAACTGTGAGATTGTGGGATTGTACGAAGCTTGACGGTCATCAAAACATTAACAGATCAAGACAATTTTATTCAGCAAACACTCCATTAAATGCAGTTGCAGCTTGTGACGCCGGACAATCGCTTGCTGTTGCTGGTCGTGATGGAGCTTTACTCATCCTTCGAATAGATCCAAATTCCAGTAAAATGGCTTTGGAACAAGCAAGACATTTAGATTCGAATGCAAGAATTGATAGAGCTGTGAAAGAACAAGACGATGGACCTGTCGTTGAGATGCAAGCAATGGATCAAGGATCGCAAAGTTTAATTGTGTATGCGACACTTTACGGAGCCATTGTTGGTTGGGACATTCGAATGCAGGGAAATGCATGGCGACTTGAAAGTGATTTGAGAAACGGCGTCATTACAACATTCACAATTGACCCAACAAACTCTTCGTGGTTGGCAATTGGAACGAGCAGTGGTCGTCATTTATGTTGGGATTTGAGATTTAGATTGAAAATTGCTGAGATTAAACATCCACATGAATCGAGAATCAGGAGAGTTGCGTGTCATCCGACGGAGCCTTCTTGTTTGATTTCAGCATCGCAAGGGAATAACGAAGTTTTTTCGTGGAATATTGAAACAAATTCGAGGCAACCTGCACTTTGGGCGAGCACCGCGCCGCCATTGTCAAATGTCAACAACACAGCACATTCGGTTTGTGCTCTTTTACCGGGAGTTGTCGATGGAAAAGGCTTTCTTGTGACTGGTGGAACAGATCAGAGAATAAGATTTTGGGATCTTCAAAACGCAGGCAATTGTAAGCTTGTTGTTCCATCACCCAAAGATTCAAACACGACGAATGTTTCTTACAGGTAAGAATTCTCAATTAAATCAAATTTTGATGAATTAATTTAATTTTCATTTCACAGTTCACGAGTTATCGATGGCACGTATGTGATTCAGGAACTTTACAATGGAAATCAATCGCCGACAACTGGATCTGTAAATTCATCACGAATCAATATTGAAGATCATAAACCCGGACCAGATCTTCCAGTTTTCGGTCACAATGATGTGATTACAGATTTGGTTTTGTGTCGAACGCAAAAGCAAACTTTTATTGCTTCAAGTAGTCGTGATGGTGTGATTAAGCTGTGGAAATAAGAAGTTTAATTTTTTTCTGTTTTTATTACATTTTTTTCGTCATTAAACCATTAAATTTATTTATTTAATTATTTTTTTTAATAATTTTTTTAAATAAATAAAGAAAACAAATCGCTTAATAATAATGAATAAAAAGTTTTCTTTTTGAAATATTGCAGGAATGACATGAAGTCGGTCGTTTGTTGCTTAAGGCAGCAACATTAAGAATTTGTTCAGAGCCTCTTGAGAAATCTTGTAATCAACTGCTTGGATTTCTTTAACAAATTGGCACTGAAGGATAAGGAATTTTATTTGGAAAAGCGTAAGGCGCTGGGTTGACAGCGCGGCAAATATCTTTGTAACTTCTACCCCGCGGTTTTGGAGTTGCCGGCCGTCTTCTTGCTGGTTGAACATTTCTTGAATATTCATTGCTGTATCCCAGATTATATCCTTGGTTGTAGCCGTTGAGATTGAAGAGTTCTTGGAGAAATGGCGAAGCAAACGATTCACAGATCACCGCAAGCACAATGAAAGCAACCACAAATAAATTTCTCATTTTTATTTCTTTAACTTGAATATTTATGCTCAAAAATTTAGCTGCAGTTATGTTGTTCTGATAACTTTTTCTCTTAACACCACAGAAATGAGTTTTAAATGTTGCTGATCGCGTGTTCTATTATAAAGCAGCCGCGAAACAATTATGAATGCATAACGCTTGCGACGATAGATTTATATTTAAAAGTCGAAGATTTTTATTTTATTCACTCAGAGATTTCTTGAAGGTTTCGCTCATTTTCTCAGTTTGGAATTTGTTTTGTTTAGAATTTGTCATTTTTTTCTTCGTCTTCAGATTCATTCGATGACAGAATTTCAATGAAGTATACAAAGTCACGGATTCTTGTTTACTTTTTGCACTTCTCATGTTGTTATGACAAATCGATCACAACCATATTCAATTCAGAAAAGAAAGAACGAGGAAATGCAAAGAAGTGATTTGATTCATCTTATGTGAGTTCATTTTACTTGTTTGTATGCTTCGATTATTTATTTTCAATTCACTAGCCTTGAACAAGACATTTTATTTATACATTTATTAAAATGATATCAGTCATGTCTATGACGTGATTTGCTTCATTGTGCAATAAGAAAATTAAGATGAACATGCGAAGTTAATCTTTTCGCTCCAATTGGTAAGTTTCAGGAAATTATTTCTTCGCGACTTCCGAGAGATTTTCTACGCTCGATTGCTTCTTCCTATAATTTTCAATATCAATAATAAATGTATAAAACTTATTTTTAAGTAATATGTAACTTTCGTCAGCTGATGGCCAGATAAGGTTCACTGACCTTGACAATGTTTTGTTTTTGCGGAATTTCTATCGCATTTTATATTTTTGTTTTTATTTTTCACGGTCGCTTTTTTTGCCATCAAATAAACATCAAAATAGCTGAACTTATCAAGAAATATATCAAACACGTCACTCGATTCGTCAATAAAATAAATTCTGGAGATTCCAATTCATTTTTATGAAAAATAAAAAAGGTTGAATGAATAAGCAAAATCAATGAGCTGATGCATTATTCATTAAAAAATCTTCGCTTTAAATTACAATTGCAACACCATCAATTCTTTGTTCCTTATGATTGTGATTTATTTATTCAACTGCTTTGGTATCAGGAAAAAGATTCTAATCATCGTATGAAATCATGAACTTTAAGTGCTTCTCATTGCTACGCGACATTCTTCTTGATTTCTTAGTGGAAAACCCAAAACCATAACCAACGTTAGTTGAACAAACAAAAGAATCAAGATGACAACAATGTGAAGCAATGCCAACCTTGCCAACTGCTTGCACTCACATTACACAAGATATCAAATGAATTTTGAGATAAAATATTCAATCAAACATTCTCAATAGTTGTGGAACTCCCTCGGAACTCCATATCATGCTATTAATTTATGATCAAGCAATATAGAAACTGTCGGCTAATTTTGAAACATTTTTCTTCATTGAGTTTTTATTTTAAATGAAAACCAAATAATGTTAATGCTTTTCAGTAGCAACATGAACGAAGCGAACAAGCATAAATCATTAACAAGCCATAGTATCAAAAGCACACCATTAAAAATATTTTTTAACAAGTTTTCACGTTTCCATAAAATAAATCTGCCATATGAATTTTTTAATCGCACAAGTTGGTTCAGTTTCCGTACACAATTTCCAATTTCATTTCATTTTTGTGTGTGCAATAATGACATACTGTGGAACAGCATAAAGAAATGTTTGAATTATTTATTTAATGGAAGAGCCTTCGATTGATTTGAATTTTAATTGAATCCATTCAAGTTATTCGTAGAAACTTTGCGAATTTTATTGCAAATTGTGAGCATATCTCGTTTCATTTACAACATCGCCTCGATTAATCTCGAATTTCGAGGTAAATTTTAATATCTAATGAGATTTGGCGCTTTTCCTCATAAAACCACGAAGTAAACAGAAAAAAGAGACAGAAGAATTACATTACACAATCGACATTCAAAATTCACATCTTTGCTTTGTACGATGCTTCATGATGTGTGTAATTTATGATATTTAATTATTTTCAGTTTCAAAAACGACTTCCAAAGCGCCAAAATTGTTACTTTTTCATTTAGTAGTGCTTCAGATGTGCAACATTGTTGATGTTTAGTGATGTCTCTATCAGCAAAGTTTATTGAGAAAGCACGTCGTGAGTTGGGAGAAGACAGTGAGCGTAGGGAAGAATGTTTGAGACAATTTAGAGAGTGGATTGTTTGCCACAGATTCATAAAAAGATGTAGACAAGGTTAAAAGTGTTTCTTTAATTAAAGCTTTTTAATTGTTATTAAACGACTTCTCTCAATTATCAGATGATAACTTTTTACTGCAGTTCTTGCGAATCAGAAAGTTTAATTTGGCGAACGCTTTTGAGTCATTTGAAAAGTTTTTTCTCTTCCGGAAGAAATACGAGAAATGGTGTAACGTTGATGACGACGCATTAAAAAAAGTTTGGCAACTTTACGACTTGGGTTATGCATATCCCTTGATGGAACGCGATGAAGAAGGAAAAAGAATAATTTTTGTTCAAGCACGGAAATTTGATACAAAAATCTTCAACTCAACTGATGCAATTCGTTTGCTTGGTTTGATTGTTCTTGTGCTGTTAGAAGAAGAAGAGACACAAATTGCGGGAATTTCAACAATTTCTGATTTCACAGGAGTTGGTTTTAGTTATTTTAATATTTTCTCAATGAGAGATGTCAGAGAGTTTGCTGATTGTGTCAAACATGCGTCAGTTGGACGAGAGAAAGAAAATTATTTCGTTAATCTTCCAGCTATCGCTGCATTCTTATTTGAAATTGGACGTAAAGCGTTGACAGAGAAGCTGAGACAACGTTTGATTATAATGAAAAATATGGACCATCTTCGATCTCAAATTGATGACAATCTCCTTCCCAAAGAACATGGCGGGATAATTCCAGAAGCTGAAATGATGAAAGCCTTTAAAGATTTTTATAAAATTCAAGAAGACAAAGTCAATGAGCTTAACGATTCGCACATTGACTGGGAGTTAATTGATTCCAAAGATACGTGTTCAGTTATGTGATTAAGTCTGACTTAATTAGAATTTAAAATTTTCTTCCAATTCATGAAACTAGAACTTGCAACACGAATCTAAACTGATAACGAAATGATAAGTTAAAATTTATTTTTAATTCAATTCAAGAATAATTGCGCATTAAAAGTAGAATCAGAAATTTATTACAAAACAAAGTTAAATATAACTTTAACAACAATCATTGTAATCTTATTTATTATCTTGTGACCCCAGCACATTTTTAATTCTAGATTCAGGCAGTAAATGTCAAGAAAACAAAATTCATCGTCATTTATAAAAAAACTAATAAAATATTCGAAACATTATACAAAAGCTGATAACGTCTCTTCAATTTTCCGTCGTTCATTTGAGTCTGGAAAGTTTTGGATTTTTCTTTGGGTTTGATTGACGAGTCTTTTAAGTAATTTTTCTGTTGATTCAACTCCTGGTCCATTAAGTATCACATTATAAAGTTTGTTGTCTGTGATATCCTGCAGTGAATATAAATCTCTTCTAATAATTTCAAACATCTTTGGATTCTCATGTAAATGAAACAAAAATGGTGCACTTGTCACATTGACTTCAAAACTTTCAGCGACATTTCTACTTCTATAAGGTTCAAGCTCTGTGAAAACTTTCCATGTTAGATAAAGATGTTTCCCTAACTCGAAGCATTTTTCTTGAACTTCTTGAGATTTCTTCGCTAATATTCCCAAACCTTGACATCCTTTTGCAGCAAGAAAACCTCGGTTTGAAAGATTTCTCATCATCCATTCATCTTCAGCATTTCCTGACTTTCCTTCCACTCGAATAGGTTCCCATTCTCGAAGGAATTTCGTATTAATAATGACTGGTGTTTGACCAGGTTTGAACGGTAAAGGATTGCAATTCCCATCATAATTTCCAATGAAATTTGAATCAATTATGTCACGAATAGCACTTGAAATCAATAACAAAAGTGCGTCGTTTCTTTAAAAGACAAAAAGATAATTAAATATTTAATTTTTCCATTGATTATCGACTTCGCACCTCATTTGTGTGACTTTTATTTGTGCATTTGCCAAGAGAAAATCACCAGCAAGAAGTGCCATTTTATTTCCCATAATTAAATCATGATCTTCCGGCAAATCATTACCGAAATTTTCTGTCGCATGCAAGTCAACAATTCCTTTCTGATGTACAAGACTCCCAATGTGAATAAGTTGAATGACATTGGCGAGTGTTTTTTGTTTCTTTTTAATGTCTGAGTCATCTGCATCAATGTTTACAACATTTGTGATAAGCATCATGATCAGATCTAAGATTGGACTGTGCAATTTGTCGCTAAAAGAAAAGATTTGAGATTTCAAAACCAACACATTCCATCAAACTTACTTCATTAAGTCTGCAACGGGATGTTGGATATTTACAACTTTTTTCAAAACATTGTCAAAATATTCCAATTGTTCCTTATCCATTAAATCTTTAATTTTCATAGAGAAATATTGAAAGTTATCCAAGGCTGTTACGTCACTAATGTTACTTGGCAAGCGTTTTGTCTCGTATGATATTCTATGCAACCATAAACGCTGATGTCGACTTACTAATCTATTATCAGTAAACGATTTTTTGAGAATAGATAGCGCACTTTTCATCATCGTCGTGGTTTGATTTAGACTACCTAACTGAATTTATTCTCTGTTTTGAAGATTCTATGAACTCTCATTAAATTTACTTTGAGCGTATGAAAACGAAAACAAGAAAGTACAAATCCATTCACTTTTTAAATACGATTTAAATATAGCTTTTTAAGAATCTCAAAAGCTTCACTGAGTTCTCGGCACTTTCTGTCTAAGAGTTTTCATGAAAAGTCTTTTATTAGATTCTGAAACGGTTTTTTCTCGTACAAGATTTTAATGTTCTTATTCCTGAATAACTGATGGGAATTTTATGATTCTCATAAAAAATTATTTAATTCAGAAATTTGATGTTTTCCAAAAAAATATGAAAAATATAAACCTTTAATAATTATTTAAATTTACTGAAAATTTTCCAAAAATAATAAATAAATGTTGCAACGACGTCATTTTAATATGAACCATGCCAACTTTAAAAGTGCATTGCAACAGGAAAATCAATATTCATGTTGTTTCTAGTACAATGTATATGCAAAAACTTTCAACTTTTAGGGAATGATTACAAAGAATTTAACTACGTAAAATCAAACATTTTAATCGTATTGAGGTAAGAACTTAACTGAATTCAACCACTAATCGTATTAAAACTTTTTAAACCATCTAGAAGTGAGCTTATGTAATAAGAATTTGTTCATGAACATTTACGTTCAGGGATGAGACAACAAAAGCATATTTCGATTGTTTTAAAGTCATTCAATAGGAAAATAAAGTTTCTATTGAGTTACTTTTGATTGTTTCAGATTTTCTGTTTTCAAAACTGAAATTTTCTGTCTAATTGTTACATTTATAACTTCAAAAAGTTTTTGTTTAATATCATTTTATTGGCTGCTTGAATCAATTATAATTAGTTACATGAATAAACACAGTTCTTTTATAATTTTAAATGCATTACAGCCAGTTGAGCTTTAAGCTCTTTTCCATTATATATTTTCAATTTCATTCTTGGTAAAAGTTAAATATTTTGTTTAAGTATACAATAAAGTTTCGATTGAAATTTTGAGCTGAAAACCTCTTCCTCCTTGAAAGAGTTAAAACTATTTAAAAAAGTCTTTTCTGGACGATATAAAATACACAAGCGAGGAAGAATATAAAAGCAAAGAAGAGAAGAACTTTGTCTGTTGTTTCACGTCTTCCGTATTTGTTAAGAAGTTTTCCTGATTGGTGAATTGTACCACCAGTAGAAAGAAGTTCTTCTTTGGTGGAGTCAACAGTAGATGATGACTGTACAAGAGAGTCTAGTGTTGCTGAACTTTTCTGTGTAGTCTCTGCTAAGTTTTTTGATATACTTAACATTCTCTCGGTGACACTTTCCTGTTGAGAAATTAAATTTGTTTTGTGACGTTGACGAAGTTCTGCATCTGGGGTCATTGTAAACAGCTCGGCTTTGTCTGACTTCTCTATTTCTAACATTGTACTTATGTTGGCTTTTCGGAATGCTTGAAGAGTTCTTGAGAATTGTTCACGATATGAGTCAACATCTCTTGAAAGTTGAGGATCATTTTCATCCTTTGCCCAATCATCAAGCTTTTCAATACATTTTCTAAGTCGCGATAATTTTGCTCTACCCGCTTCATTTAAAGTTTCTAAATCTTGCAGCGATCCTCGAAACGTTAAAATGTCCTGAGAAGCGAAAACCGTTATAATTCATGAGCACGAGTCAAATTCAAATATTCAAACTTTTTGGGTGATTTCAGTGAAGCAAAGAAAAAAAATAATTTTTCAGAACTGAAATTTTGAGCAGATTTTTTTTCAACTTAAGTATTTTAATTAAGATAGTAACATAAAAATCTCATTAAATTTAGATTGAAGTATTATAATAAGTGTATAAGAAGTTATTGTTCCTTTGCTACTAGTCACCGGAGTATTAAATTAAAAGTGAATAATTAAATTTTCATAAAAATTAAAATGTTTTAAAGAACAAGAAAGCTTCACTCACTTGTATTATCGCTTTGACTTGTAAGTTATGATCGATTAGTTCTTGTTTTATTACTTTTTGTGAATTCATTCTTTTGAAACACTATCCCACACTTAAATGTGTTTATTTAATAAATATTTTCAATTTCGTTGTTGTCACCTTCTTTTAATTTTTTTTCCGGGGGGCTTGGGAATGTTAGATATTTGAAATTTGAAAATCCGTTAAAAATACCTAATTTGTTCCATTCATAATAATGAACCTGAATGTGCAATTCGAGCCTTTCAACACACCCACAAATGTCTTAGCCATAAAAAATATTAAATGCAATCCGATCAAAATTATGCAAAAAGAAAAAAGAAGTTGTTTATGAAAACTTGTTTTGAGTTTGGCACGATTACGCTCAAGGTCGAGTCAACTTTTACACAGAATCCCGTTGCTTGTTTTGTCTCAAAATCTAATTGGATTCTTCCAAAGAATTCTGATTATTTTTTAAAAAAATGTGGGTCAGTATATTAATTGTTTAATTCGCGCGTACAAATCCAATTGAATAGGGAAGCGTTCAAGTTCAATGAGTAGAATTTATTTTTATTTCACACTGATAAAAGCTTATCACAATTACATCGCATAAACATGACGACGTCAATATAGCAAACTTATAAGTCACTTCGTCAGAAAATTATTTAATGTGGAAGTCTTGTTTGGTTGTTTTGTTTTGCATTTTTTCGGCTGAAGACATAATAAGAAGTAAATAAATGTAAGAGAGAACCGGTTAAGCACGAAAAAAATTGTATCAACGTGAATACAAATGTCTATCAGCCCATCAGCCAAGCTCAACACTATCGAAAAGCGTCAAGTTTTCATGTATAACTGGGAACAAAAGCGAAACTTACAAAATTTCTCCACATTCTAACTGGACTGTCGAAGTGATCAGACGTATTTAAAAATTATTAAAAATATAAATTAAAAGATATTGAACTCTCTCGTGAGTTGAAGGTGCTTACGGTTTCATGTAATTTATTTTTTTTCAATATTTAAATTTGGTGTAGCGTGAATTAAAAAATTGAAAAAAAATATTTTATTTAATGTAGGTAATATTTTTTAAATTGCAGTTCTTTAATTGTGCAATCAAGCAGATATTCATTGGAACAGTATGGATGGAATCTATTTTGCAGGCGTTGAAGGGTGAGTACAACATAACATTCGTTGTTGTTTTTATGTTGCTTTTATGCAACTTTGGCTGAAAGTGTTGAGTGTTGAAATACCCGCAAGATATTATTTACTTACGTGAATATTATAAAAGTAGTTGAAATTCGCCCGCATTGTTCATTCACATTCAATTAAACAAAATTTTTAGAAGGTCAAAAAAGTCTTTAAATGAAATCAAGTAAAGTCTGAAGAAGTTGATGCGACAAGGGCGAGAATCGAATGAAGTGAAATCTTGTTCAATCTTTATAATCGAAGCTATTTAAGTTTCTGTCGTGCTTTTATGGAATTCTTCTGCGCTGAGAAAATAAAATGTTGAAAATCGAAGGTGATGATAAAAATAATCCAGATAAATATGCAAAATATCATTGGCATAATTTAAATCTTTTTCTTTTCTTCCTTATTATCTATTAACTTGCTGAAACTTCAAATACCTAACTGTTTAAATGTATTATCAGCCAAATTTTTAACACAACTTATTTTATCATAAGCGCGACAAAATCAACAAACTCTCACACTTTGTTGCTTTTATTTTCTTTTCGTGATGTATTGAAAGTTTCATTACTCAAGTGAGAAAAAAATAATTTTTGTATTGCAAATTCAATTCATACCAAAAACACCTGTTGATTATCAAAATTCACACTAAATGGATTAATATTATTAAAGGTACACATAAAGTTAACAAAATATTTTTAAAGTTTTTTTTTATCGTAGAACGGAAAAAGGTTTTTTGCGGCAATTTTAATGACAGATAAGATATGACAAAATTATTTATGGACTCGTTTTGCCTTTCGCGAAGCTTAAGTTTGAATGTCCTTGATGATTATTTCAACGTTTTTAGTTGTAAACTTCCATAAATAAAGATTGCTGAGATAGTAATCAATTTGAATTAAAAGAAACTGTCATAAATCTACAGTTTTTAATCAACTCAATTAAAGTAATGAATTAATACTAACCATATATGAAAGATGATATCAAACGTGAATGTGAAACTTAGAAACTTCCATAAACATAATTGAAACAATCTTTTATTATATTTACTTTACAAACAGTGGTGCAACACATTCCACATTGATCATTGCAAATGGAAATGGTGAAATCGTAGCAAAAGTCAATGGCGATGGAACAAATCATTGGATGGTTGGTATTCCTGAAGTTGCAAGACGAATAGCAGCAATGGCAAGTGAAGCGAAACAAGCAGCTAACATTCCAGATACAGTCAAATTTAAGTGCATTGGATTGAGCTTAAGTGGTTGCGAACAAGACACGACAAATGCTGCACTCGAAAGAGAAATCAAAAAAGAATTTCCTGGTTTATCTGAAGGCTACGTCGTATGTAGTGATACTTTGGGAAGTATTCTGACAGTTTCAAACTTGGGTGGCGTTGTTGTCATCGCTGGAACAGGATCGAATGCTTTTCTAAGGAATCCAAATGGAGGTGAATTTCATGAGTTCATTTTAAATGAAATTTGAATAATAAAACAACATTTTCGACATTCTCAGAAACATTCCAATGTGGAGGTTGGGGACATGCAATTGGTGATGAAGGCGGCGCTTGGTGGATCGCATTTAAAGCTGTTAAAACAATTTTCGATGATGATGACAATCTCGAGAAATGTCCCTACGATACGACAGTTGTTTGGAACCTTGTTAAATCACATTTTAACATTGAACATCGTCGTGATATGTTGGAGCATTGCTATGCAAGTTTTCAGAAATCATTTTATGCTCGATTATGTCAGAAAATGTCAGTTGCTGCTAGTAATGGCGATGAATTATGTCAGAGTATCTTCACTGACGCAGGTCGTCAGTTGGCAAAAATGATCTCGGCATTGACACCAAAAGTTGACAAAGCACTTATTGATGCCGGCCATTTAAGCATCATCTGTGTTGGATCGGTTTGGTTGAGTTGGGAACTTCTTAGAAAAGGATTCATAAAAGAATTGAACAAACATAAAATTCCATTTGAATTAAGACTTTTACAGCTGAAACCTAATGTGTCGATGGCTGTTGGTGCTTACTATATGGCCGCTGATTCCCTTAACTTTCCCATGCCACGAGATTATTCACAAAACTATGAGATATTCTTCAACTATGACGGACACAAACTTACAAACGGAAAAGAATATTTAAATGGCAATTAAGTTGTGAATTTTGTTTTTCTTTCTTTTAATTATTATTTTATGTTTATACGTAAATTTTTCTTTTATTATTTTTCTTACGTTAATTGAAATGAAACAATAAATTAAATTATTAGACAATTGAAACTATTCAGGATTTTCTGGAACGACAGAAATCTTCAAAATTTTTGCATTTCTCAAGACAATCATGTCCAAGACTTTTGTTTGGCTTTCCAAAATATCATAAATATCAGCTGATTGTTTGACATCTTGATTGTTAATATTGAGGATGATGTCGCCAGCCATCAATCCACTTGTATGAGATGGCGAACCCATAATGACTTTCCATACAAGAATTCCTTGTTGGATGCTTTCGGGAATTTGTGATCCTCGTTGTTTAAGTTCAGCAATAATTTGTGGTGTTAGTGAAAGCATTGTGATTCCCATATAACGACGTTGTGGAGCTTCTCCGTATGATTTCCCCTTTTTGATTTTTTCTTCAGCGAGTTTTAGGAAGTTTTTCGCATAATCAATGGGAATAGCAAAGGAAATTCCTGGCGTGACTTTCATTGAATTAATTCCAATTGCTTCACCATCAAGATTCACAAGTGGCCCACCAGAATTGCCAAATGTAATTGCTGCATCGGTTTGAATGTAGTTTATGTCACGTCCTCCTAATCCAAGTTCTTTTGATGGTCGTTGTGTTGATGAAACAACTCCAGAAGTTACTGTGTTGCTTAATGCTGTAAATTTAAATTAAATTTTTAAGAAATCTGAATCATTTAATTTTAATTTACACAATGGCGATCCTAAGGCAACGACAAATTCTCCAGCTCGAAGACTTGACGATTCCCCTAATTTCAATGCTGGCAAATTCTTGCATTGAATTCTGACAGTGGCCAAGTCACTTACTGGATCAACAGCTTCAACTATTCCCATAAATGTTCTTCCATCAGTCAGTCTTACAGAGACATTTGATCTTGGTTTATTTATAACTACATGGGCATTCTACGAATTTGAATGAACACTATTAACAGTGAATTGATTATTGTTTCTTTATCATACTGTAAGTATTAAACCTGATGAGTCAACAATAAATCCTGAGCCGTTACTAACAGTAACCTGAAAATATGAACTTTAAGTAAGAAACTTTTATAATTTCTTTACAGCTTACAGGTTTCCCACTGAAGTAATCCATTCGTCTCGTATCCTGAATTTCAATGTAAACTAAACTTTTTGCAGTTGTTTCAACAACATCAGCAATGAAGTTAAACTGAGCTCGTCTTGAAGAAGATGCAGCGCTGACTTTAGGAAATTCAGGGATAATATGTGAAAGTCGATCTTTGAATATATTATATCCAACAACTGCACTACAAATTCCACAAGAAATCATGATGGAATTTCGTAAATTAAACACAGAGTAATTTTGTTTGTCATTTCTACTAGAATTGGTATTTGACAATATGGCAACATGACGACTCCAGCCTTGTCTTGTAAGAAAGTTTCTTGTTACAATACGAACTAGAATTCCCATTATTTATAAAAATATTTGAATTTTTATAAAACTCAGTTTTTTTGTTTACTTCCGGGATAATCCGGTGGGATTTCAAAGATCACAAGATCCCGTTAACAGTTGTCGGCAGTTAAAAATTTTTAAATTTTATTCAAGCGCAAAGGATTTTAATAAAATCTAATTCAAGGTTTATTTAGAAATTCCAACATGGAAGAGCTATTAGAAGAGATTCAAGCAATACAAAAGTTTCTTTATGGTGGATATAAGATTGAAAGTGACACAAATCTTGATTGGTTGGATGTGAGGAAAATTTATTAATTTTTTATACTTAAAAATTTTAACTTTTCTTTTTCTCAGCAATTATCAACACAGTTTGTAAAACTATTTCAAATTTTACAAAAATTCTTGATGTTTGATATCACAACACCGACTAACCGAACAACAATAATCGAGCAATCCTTTTTATGTGCGCAACAGATCGTTGTTTGTTTAAAGTTTTTAGAGAAAACTGTGAATAAGGAGAAGGAAGTTGGATGTTTAATAACTTCAAGGCAATGCTTCTTTGAGAGGATCTTATGGTGTATAGCGCGATTAAAATCAACGATCAAGAGTGCAAATGATCATGTCGTAACAAGTGTTGTTGAAGCTGATAATTTTGTGACTTTGCTTGATTGTTCATTGGACATTCTTTCATCTTTCGTTGCACTTGATGGCAGCAATGATAATTTAACAAACAAAGCTGAAAGACGAGCTGAAATGATGATGGAGAGTCGTGAACTTCGCAGTATCATTGAAAGGTTGCTCTCACATTCTCTGGCTTTCTCTAACATCGCTTTACATTCTGATAAGAATCCATTAACAATTTTGTCACAAAATGTTTTGAAAATTGCGATGGAATTTGAAGAAGAATTTTCCTTATCGCAACCTGGAAAAAAGTTGAATGCAACAGATCAAAGAATGAAAGCAATGGACCTTGAGACGTCACTTTGTAGTCTTGAAAGTTTTCTTAATAATTCATTACTTCGATTAGTTGTCGAAGTTTTCCATGTTATGGATGGAAAAACAATTGAGCGACTTAAAAATTCCTCAAATTCTTCAACTGTTGACGTTGAAATCGAAAAGTTTGATCTTCTAATTGATCGCTTAATTCAAATTGGACATTTTGCCATTTCTTTCAGTCGTGATGACTTGAAACTTTCATCGTTGATTCGTTCATGTCTCGCTTCAATTGAGTCTCTCGACTCATACATCATTCCAGCAGTGATGAGTAAATCTGATCCATCTCTTGATATTCTTCAAGATCATTTTGAAGAAGAAGTTAAAGAACTTCAACATCATGTCCAACAAATCATCGACACGAAAGCATTTTGTGGAACTTTACAAGATTTGTTGAACGTTGGAATAGAAACAAACAGAAAAGTTTTTGATGAAAATTCTCTTCAAACGCTCATTAAACAAACAAAAATTTTGCTTGATCATTTCCAAGTCAACAGCAAGAATCTTCAATTGACACAAGATAAAGTCTCGAAATTTTACTTTAGCGACTTCAAACTTATTCTAACAGAATGCGAAGCAATTCTCAACTTTCCCGAACCTATCGAAGATCGTGAGCGCAGAATTTTGAAACGTTTCTGTATCTTAAACAACACAATCAGAAAACTTCAAAATGCTATTAAAAATCTTTCAAATTTTGATGTTGGTGAAGAAGAAAAAGCAATCGAAATTGAAAAGAATATTGCGACTGCTTCTCAATGTCCATCGAAGTGTGCTGATTATTTCAACACTATTCGACCTTCAGCTCTCGGTTCTGTTCTCTACGAATCAAAAAGATCAAAGAAAAATCCTTTTAAGAGTTCGTCTAATCACACAAAAATCATCAACAGCACACTTAGACGATCAAGCAACAAACGTAAAAGTTTAAGAATGGTCATCTTTAAACGAAATCATCAAATTGAAGCAGAAGAAGCTTGGAATAAAGATGAAACAACGGATTTGCAGATCACTGAAATTCTTGAGAAACTCACCGATTTATCGACGAGCCTCAAAAAATGTTCAATCAAATGAAAATAGCAAATTATTTCAATTTTATAATTTCTTCCCTTTTTTATTTTAACGAACTTATCAAGCCTTTAAAAAGGCAACAAGTCACGCAAAAATGGCTTATTACAAGTATACAATAATAAGTAATGCGTGACTAATAAATTAAAGTGACTGAAAGACACGCAATCAATTTTTTTTTGATTATTACATTATTCCGTCCATTGAGATTTTTTTATTTTTAAAATGATTTATTAAATGGTGTAGTAAGTTAACATTATTATCTCTCTAATAAATGTTTATATTTTTAAATACTTAAATTCTTCGCATATATTTTTTTTAATTCAAGTTGTCAACATTCATAAATGTTTTGTTAAACACCTTTGGTTGATGTTGGTGTAGACAGAAGTGTTCAAATAATTGTTCACTCTACACCAATACGATTTAATTATGACTTCAATTCCTTCGCGTTTAATAAAACAATAAAATTTAATAACATAAAACATGTGACTATGGAGAATATTTATCATTGATGGCCAGCATTAAAACTCACTTGGGAATGTTTTTTATTTCGTCTTTAATTAATCGAATGCTGAATTAAGAGAGTTGAATGATAGTACAGGAAATGATGGTTCAAGTTGAATTGCTGTTGACATACAATCGGATGAGGCAGTGAAATCTTCGAGACTTTCCATAACTTTACCGAGTGTGAACCTTCATGAATGACAAAAATTAAAAATTTCTTCAAATTTCTTCATAAAAAATTTCATACCAAATATTTGGACATCCAGGATCAAGTTTCGCTGCATCTTTCAAATATTTTTCAGCTAAACGTGGCTCTCCTAACAGGTAATGTGCTTCACCTAAAGCTCTAAGACCTTCAGGATGACGCGGATTTGCTGAGACAGCATTAAGAAAGCACTGCTTGGCTTCAAGCCACTGAGATAAGTGAACATGAAGCTTTCCTCTCATGTACATCACATAATGCGACAATGGATTAATCAACGTCGCTTCTTGAACACAATGTTCAGCTTCCATTGGCAAATCTGACGCAAGATAAACGTCAGCTAATAGAAGCCATATTTGAAGTTGAATCGTCCAAGCATTTGGTGGCCCTGGACGTGGGCAAAATGAACTCAATGAACTTGCTGCTTCTGACAATGCGTGTTCAACTCGAGAAGCAGCTAATGATGCTGGATGAACGGAATCTAAAAAAAATTTGAATGTTTTTAATTCCTAGTCAAAAGTTTTAATTAACTTACTTGAATCTTTGTCTGAAATTTGTGATGATTGAAACTGCACGATACTCTTCGTCTCCGAATGTCGATCGTCATGCGTATCGTACCCACTTCCATTCATTGTTTGAGTTTGTGACTCGTATAGTTCCTTCCACACCATAATCATCTTCTGTAAAGTGTTGAGAGATGATTCAGCTCCTTTCAGATTTAATTCGAGATACGCTCGAGCATGCATCAAATTAAGATTGTCTGGAAATTCATCAAGTGCATCTTCGATTATTGTTAAAGCTTCATTTGGCCGATGATTAGCAGTTAAAAGGAGAGCAAAGAGATGAAGACTGTGAGGATGTTCAGCTCTTAATGTGAGCGCCATTTTGATATGCATCATTGCTTCACTTATGTTGTAATTAAGAGCGTGCTGAAGAGCCAAATAATATTCATTAAGATGATCATTTTGATCCAATTGAACTGCTTTTTCAAATGCATCAAGCGCTTGCTTCTTGTAATTATCACTTTCCGATTTCAGCGATGTCGTTTCTGCAATCTTTTGCAATCCAATCCCAACATAAAGTTGCGCTCGTGAACGCATTCCTTTCGTTTCTTTCCGAAGTGCTTCACTTGAAAATTGCAAACCTTCATGAACAAGTCCAAGATGCTCGTAGCATAATTTGGCTGACATTAGAAGTTGAATTGTGTCACCAGGTGAAAGTTTTGAAGACTCTTTAAGAGCGTTTAATGCTTGAGCATGACGAGCCAATGAAATTAAACTCAACGCATATTGCCGCCACACATGTTGCTCGTTAAATGCAAATTTCAAAGCTTTCTCGAATGTATCGTGAAGAAACGGCATTTGATTCCATCGAACTGTTGCCAACGTTAAAAGGTCATAAACAGCTGTTGCATTACCAAGTGCATGCACTCGAGCGACTCGAAATTCAGGACTTTGTGACAACACAGCGTCTCGATTTGCAAGAGCTTCAGCAATGAGAAGCAAAAGCAAAGTTTCTTCATGTTGATTCTTCGGAGTGAATTGATTTCTTGTTGAATATCTGCGAGGCATCCAAAGTTTCTTTGTTTGATTTGATGAGTTTAAGCGATTGTTATTTGTTGGTGGTGTGTAAACAGTTCCAGACACACCACGTAGCAACACTTCAGCAAGTTGTCTTGCAAGTGTCAGTCTAAGGTTTGTTGTTGCTTTCGTTTCTACTGCTGTTAACATTGATCGATATCTTTCGATGGCACCTTGAAGATTTCCTGTTTTAATTAGAACAATTGGTGAACGTTGAAGAGCAGTCTCGAGAATTGCTCCCATGTTTGTTGTATTTTCTTGTCCTTGTAGATAAAGCAATCCAATATCGGCTGCTCGTTCAAAACACGCCACCTAAAGCAAATTCAATCAATATCAATGAATTTTAATTAATTAAATGAATTTACCATTTCTCCTTCGAGTTCAGCTGTCTTGAATTTCGAAGTGCCTTTTGGATTTTTGGCTTCCAGACACAAACCTTTTGCAGCGTAAGATTCCGCGAGAATTCGCAACGTTCTTGAACTTAACACAATTTCATGCTTCAGATTATCGATTTCCGATAGTTTGAAATGGTCTAGACTATTGTCGAAGTCACCACAAGCGTAATAAAGTTTCGCAAGAAGAAGATGTGAATCTAATGCGAGGCCAGCTTTACGGCCTTCATCACCACAAACTGATGTTAATAATCGTTTCGAATCTGCTAATCCTGTTTTTGCACGTGAGAAGTTTGACTCAATGGGTGGATTTGTTTCGAGAAAGCTTTCAAGCTTTCCTTCGCCAATGAGGAAACTCGAAAGTGCTTCTGGAAATTTTTTGAAGGAAAATTCTTTCATTGAAAAAAATAAACAAGAAAAAAAATTATTTTTACCATGATTTGGACTTGATTGACGAAGTTCTTCAGCTAGTTCAATAGATTTTTGCCACTTTCCTTCGTTTCTGCATTGTTCTATAGTGCTTTCAAGTTTTCCTGCTCGCGCTTTTGCAGCCATTCCAAAGAAATCAAAAAATTTACAAATTTTCGACCAAGTTTGATTCACAAATTGCTTGCACAACCCTGCAAAAGATGGCGGATTCATCTCACAAAATTTTAATTTGGAATAAGCAAGTAATTGTTGATATTCCTGTTAGTTGATTTTAAATTAAATGTTAAATTTATAATTTTCAGAGACTTTTAAGTAACAATCAATTTAATCAAATGAAAAGCTAATTGAGATGAAAAATTTATATATTCTAGATTAAACTTGGTCCTGCATAACTGTTTCCGCATGTTGACACGGCAGATCATAAATAAACTTTATTTTGCACAAAAAATGAGTGGAAATATCTTAGAACGTGTTATTGCAAATAACAAAATCGCTGCTCAATCTCTTGAAGCATTGAAACGAGAAGTAATTTGACGTTTATTACTTATCAGAAACAAAATTTAACCAAAATTCTTCTCTTTTTAGTTTTCATCTTTAAAAGATGAGTATATAACTAAAAAAATTGAAGAAATTCAAAAGGAGAATGACGACTTGAAGAAACAAGTCGAAGCTGCTAAACAACAACTCATAAAACTGGAAGTCGCGAATGGAAAAAAGCAAATTCCGGTGCCAAATCGAGGTCAATCAACTGATAATGTTGAGACAAAAGAAGTTGAAGAATCTCCAAGTGTCGCTCAACAAACACCTCAACAACAAAAGAAAGAAAAGCCTAAGAAAGAAAAAGCTGCAGCAACAGCTGACAAAACTCCACCAGTTGTAGAAGTGATTGACATTTCTCGTCTCGACATGAGAGTAGGAAAAATTGTTGAAGTTTCTCGTCATCCTGATGCAGACGCTTTATACCTTGAGAAGATTGATTGTGGAGAAGCAAATCCTCGGACTGTTGTTAGCGGTTTAGTTCGCTTTATTCCCATTGAGGAGATGAAAGATCGAATGGTGATTGTTCTGTGCAACTTGAAACCAGCAAAGATGCGCGGGGTGACATCCGAAGCAATGGTCATGTGTGCGTCAACTCCCGAGAAAGTTGAAATAATGTCACCACCAAATGGCGCTGTTCCAGGTGATTTAATCAGTTGTGAAGGATATCCTCGCAATCCCGATGCCATTATGAACCCTAAAAAGAAAATATTCGAGACAGTTGCTCCAGATTTAAAGGTGAACGATGACTTCATCGGAACATACAAAGGAGCGAATTTAATTGTTGACGGAAAGGGACCAATTAAAGCTCAAACTTTGAAGAATGTAAATATTAAATAAAGAAAATTTGAATAAAAGAAATTAAAGAAGCTCATTAAATCACACGAATTTCCTTTAACGTTATCCAATTGTTTGCTGAAATAAAATCTTTGTAACATGTTCAAGTTCACGTAAATATTTCATTGCCTTTAATTGAATATTCATTAAAACTTGAAGCCTAATTATCTAATTATAGGGCCTACTTTTGTAAATTTTGATTCCACGCTAAATTTCTTTTCAATTGTTTTTTGGCAATCGATCGGTAATTGTCAAACGAGTCAGATCTAAAAGAAAATGACCGGAAAAATAAAAGCGACAGGTGTTCTTGATGAAAATGACATTTTGCCAAGTGAAGGGAAATTAGAAAATGAATTAAAGAATGAAACGCAACATAAATATGTTATTGTGTGGCGCAACATAATTTTAATGTCACTTCTTCATGTACTTGCTGTTCATGGTCTTATTCTGTGCATCACAAGACAAGTTAAATGGCAAACAATGATTTTCAGTAAGTATTTTTAATTGTAGAAGTTTCGGAAATATCGCTAAATTAATTTCTTCTTTAGCTTCAATATTTTATGTTTTATCAGCTTTGGGTAAGAAAAAGAATTTAAAATTTCCTGAAAGATATCTTAAAGTTTAAAGTGTTGACAGGAATAACTGCTGGTGCTCATAGGCTTTGGTGTCATCGTGCTTACAAAGCCAAATTACCATTAAGAATTCTTCTAATGATTTTCAATACAATGGCCTTCCAAGATTGTGTCATTCATTGGGCACGAGACCATCGTGTTCATCATAAATATTTTGACACAAATGCTGATCCACACAATTCCACTCGAGGATTCTTCTTCTCGCATGTCGGTTGGTTGCTTACGAGAAAGCATCCCGAAGTTCATGCTGCTGGAAAGAAACTTGACATATCTGACCTGGAATCTGATCCAGTTCTGAGATTTCAAAGAGATTATTATGGATATTTAATGCCATTTTTCTGCTTTGCTCTTCCGACAATTATGCCAGCCTTTCTTTTTGGCGAAACATTTAAAAATGCATTCTTAGCAGTTTGTCTTCGCTATGTGTTTGGTTTGCACGTTACGTGGTCAATTAATTCACTTGGCCATTCAGTTGGATACAAACCGTATGATAAATATAATTCGGGAGTTCAAAATCTTTTAATTGCCATTTTTGCGGCAGGAGAAGGCAAGTTTTTGATTTCGTTGAATATTTAAGAAAATTGTTTCGAAATGGTTTGTTGAACTTATTCAATTTTATAGGTTGGCACAATTACCACCACGCATTTCCATGGGATTACAAAACATCAGAATTGGGTGACTATCGTTTCAATATTTCTACAATGTTTTTAGACTTTATGGCTTGGATTGGATGGGCTTATGATTTGAGACAACCAACTAAGGAAATGATTATTAAAAGAATTGAAAGAACTGGTGATGGAACTATTACAAATTCATGGGGATTTGCTGAAAAGTATCAACGTGAAAAGTCGAAATAATGTTTACATGTGAAAGATAATTCTTTATTGTGTGTGAAAATTATGTTATTGAGCTTTGACTTGAATTTCGAAGCTTCTTCTTCCTAATGAATAAAATTAATACAACACATTAACGTACCTTAATTAGCTTTTAATTAAATTTCCTTGCTATTTCGAAAAACATATGATTAAGTGAGTCATGTAAGTGGCAAGGTAAAAACTTGTTGAACATAACAAATTTAATTATAATTAATTTTTTCATTTCATTTGTTCGAATGGGAATTCAGGATGTTTCTCGATTCCTTGGAAAAATGCAAAATCACAAACACGAATGTTTGCATCAAGGCCGGCAAGTTGCGATTTGTCGTCTTGCGATAAAGCGAAATTGAATAAATCAATATTTTGTCTTAAACGATTCGCGTTGGTGCTTTTTGGAATTGCTGAAACTCCCAATTCAATTAAATATCGTAACAAGATCTGTGCAGGAGATTTTCCGTCTCTCGTAGCAATTTTAATCACAACTGGATTGTCCATAAGATCGGGAAATTTGCGGCTGTAAATGAGAAGAAATGAATTAATAACAGTATGAGAGAATTTAGGTCAAATTAGGTATTTACGTGGCCGGCATTATCTTCTCAATTCCTTTCGATCCAAGTGGTGAATATGCTGTCACTAAAATATTCTTCGATTTACAGTATGCGACAAGCTCTTTCTGTTGCAGATAAACATGCATCTCAACCTGCGAAAGAGTTTAAAAAAATTCTTTTAAGATTACCGATCGCACGAGATATTTGAGTAGATAATCCGATTTGGATAATCTCAAGCTGAAGTGTACATCAAGTTACCTGCAGAACTTCAGGCTTAACTACACTATTGTCGATTAATCTTTGAATTTGCGTTTTGTTAAAGTTGGAAACTCCCAAATGCTTTATAAGACCAGCTGATTGGAAACGTTCAAATTCCTAAAAAAAAGATTAGGGTAGATGTCAGATTTGCATTAGCCACGCCTCTAGCTTTCTTCATTAATTAACGATTAGACATAGTTACAGGTCTTAACGTCATTATTATGTGTATCAATTACCTTCCATGTCGCAGAATGATCAGTATCAGATAATACAACGTCACCGTTGTCATGTTTCGCAAAATTTCCTTCAGTATAAGGAACAGCAAATGGTACATGCATCAAATATAAATCAAGATAATCGAGCTTTAAATCAGCTAATGATTTCTTCAAACATTTTTCAACATCCGATGCACGATTTCCAAATGGTGGCAATTTTGTTGTGATGAATAATTCGCTTCGTTTTATTTTTCCAGAATCAATCCACTCTTTAAAGACTTTGCCGATGACTTTCTCGTTACCGTACACTGGAGCACAATCAATATGACGATAACCGGCTTGGAGAGCGGCATTTAAAGCTGACTCAACTTCTACATCAGGCGCTCTCCATGTTCCAAATCCAAGTGCTGGCATTTTATCGCCATTTTCGAAGATTAAATTTATCTTACTTGCCATTGTTCTTAACCTTGATCGGTAATGTAATACTTGGATGAATCGACAATGTAGCTTCAGTTAGTTTTTTCTTCTAAAGTTAAATTTTTTATATTTTTTCTTCACGCTAAATTGAGCAAGCGGTCACTTTGACTCTCAACACCAAACTAAACTTTTTATTCTCTTCGCTTTGCTTTATTTATGTAAAATGTTCGAAGAAATCGAGTTAAAGAATACTTGAATACAAGCAAACATGAATGCGACGCTTCTATAAATAATTCAAACATCGTTACAGTAATGTCGTGGTATGGCTTAGTTCTATGATTGTGACGATGAGAGAATATAATGAATCAATGAATGAATGAATGGAAAAGCCGGGAACAAATGTAGTTGTTAATTATTTATTCAACAAACACTTTTTGTAATGATGTTTGAGAGTCAAAGATTTCTTCTGTCCCTTCAGCACATCGATTGGAATGTTTAAAAACGATTTTACGTTATCATAATTAAATAATTTAAAACAGGTTTTTAAACTTTTTATGATAATTTAATAGGTTGAAGTTAATACTTTTACAACCAAAAGAAAGTTGTTTAATTTAATATTCTCTTACAGTTTGTTCAAACAAATTTTCATCGAATTGTGAAAATAACTAAAAATACTTAGAAAAAAATAAATGCAAAGTCATCAATACGTTACAAGTTCTCAATAATGCTGTAAAATCGACTTTATATGACCTTACATTTTTCATAAGTATCTACACCTTAATCAACCATTACTAACATAGCTAAAAGAGTTTTCAAACTTGCCCATTAACAACTTATTACTATACTTGACTCTCACTTTGGTTTTTCCCTTATTGATTTGGAAATTATGATCGCTTTTCATAAAGTTTTTTATTTCATTTATCAAAGTCAAAAGTTGTTTGTCATTACTGATAAAGTTATAGATGACAAGTAATTGCTACACATGATGAAATTATGTTAATATTTTTATTAAAAACATTAACAATAAAACTGACAAAAAGAAAGGACGAAGCAATCTTCCATCTCGTGCCATCTTCATGAATTTAAAATTACAGAAATTTTCTTTTGTCAAATGTTCATCCTTTAAGAAAGCCGACTTTACAAATTACTGTCCTCAAAGCGGCAAGACAAGGACACTTAATATAAGGTTTGAAGAGAAATTGCGAGAGAATTAGAAACGTACCAGTAGCATTAACTAACCGGAAAATGAGATTAGGTAATACGTACATCAATGCAATAAAAAGGAATTAGCTGTAAATGTTTATGTCGTTATTTTGCCACTAAGGATCCCATAAGATCTTAATCTTGGATTTTGAGTCTTCCTCGTACAACTTTTTCTAAAGAAGAATTTCTTTCTTCTATTTCTGATGGATTGCGGCGTCTTGTTTCCTTAATAACTTGTTTTGTGTCACATTTATCGATTTTTATTCTTCTTTCTAAGCAAATGAAAACATGAAAGCTATGATGTTACATGTTGACATACTTAAAGCAAGAGAGATGACACAAAAAATTAAACTTTGCAATTTTTCTTGTCATTTCTTCAATTCCGGAATTGCCTCAAAGCCCTCAAGTTGTAAATATGTAATCAGACGAAGAGTTTATTACAACAAAACCCTTTTTAAGTTTTTTACCTCATTGAAGATTTGCTTCCTTTTTTTGTTTGGATAAATTTATCCTTTCGGTTTTGTGAAATTCTCATAAATAATTGATTCAAGATTGGCTGAATCCTGGAAGTAAATTTCTTAATATTTGTTCCGTGTTGAACAGTTGTTCAAACTCTTTAATCTTATGAACATATGAAATATTTATTGTTTCATTTCTTTGTTCATTCGATGTGATTTTCCTTTTCTTCGAATGAACATGTAACTGTAAGTGCATCTAGGAATTTTCAATCGAATTATGAAATAACAGAAAAGTTTCTTGACATCTTGAATAATATCTAAGAGAATTACATTTATGGAGATAATTTCAAAAATATCTTGAATTACATCAGCAATATCAATGCATGAAAAATTTAATGTGACAAACAGAAATACTTGAATGATTAATATCTTCTATTTCCAGTCAAACAAGTCATTGAATAACGCATAGATTGACAAATAAAATTGTCATTTAATTTCCCGTCTTCATATTGTTTGATACTAAAATGGCAGACGAGTGTGCATATGTGGTTGCCTTGTTTAATTTTATTTAAACATCCACTTGAAAATCTAAACATCTAACGAGGGATGTTTCCTCCTTTTAGTCGAACCAAAACTTTTATTATTCCTAACAGAAATCTAATTTCCGATGGAAAAATTGAGCTAAGCTTTTGTGAATATGAAGAATTATTTTAATTAATCTCACTTCCAATGTATCAAATTCCCATTAACATTAATTTCTTCTAATCCTGAAAAAATATTTATCTACTTGTGAATAAACGCTGAAAATAATTTATACGGCAAATAAAGTATCGAAATAACTCCCAAGAAGAATAATCATTCGTCGTTGCATTGTTAAAGCTACCGAAGTTGCCGACAAGGGATATTTGCTACTCCATTACATTTTTTCACAAATGCTTTGTAATGCTTTATACTGGAAGTAAATATTGTATATCAAAGCGAATAAAAATTTATGATCAAATCCGACACCAGGCGATGAATAATTCATTCTAGACTAGAAATCGATACTTTCTTTATTAAAGATACCGAAACTGAAATTGGCTTTGCGGCAAGGATCAAGTCATTGAAGCACATAAAAATCTATTTTCGCAAAAGAGCAAGCTATTAAAAATATTTAATAAATTTATGAGATAATAAAGGCACAATAAACAAATGTAAACACAAAAAGTCAGCAGGAGGTTCACTAAACTTCCACCGACGAAATGAACAATAGTTTATGGTACGGAAAAGAAAGTTTGGAATATAATAAGAAGAGATTAAAGACATGAATACGGACGTGAGATCAATAGCGAAGAAGCTTTGAAGAAGTTCTATTGTTGTGGCTAATTTCTAAATCCGATTAAAGGCTCATTCCACTATGAAAGAGATTTGAAAGAAATTCTTACAATTTTCGAAATGAACATCAAATGAAAATTCAAAACATTTATGCAAATATTTTATTAAATAAACTTCAAACATCTTAAAGATTTGAAACGTCTTTCTTTCATTATCTCTTGTCGTTTATCAGAGAAGTTTCATTTATAAATTTCAATAATTTAATATCACCATAAGGCCCTTTTCATATTTTACAACTTGATTTAAAATTTTCAGAAATCCTTTTAATTTTATGGGAAAGTGAAATTGATACATCAACTGCCTTGCTTACATGTAGAGAATTGTTGAAAGGGATGACAAAGCAAACTAAGTACCTCAAAAAACACACAAACATATCAAACAACAAGCAAGAAATGAAAGAAAAAAACATACAAAAAGGATGAAAGGGATAATCGTTCCAAATATTTACAAAACATTACAAATGAGAGTTAAATAGTTGTTTAAACATTGAAACATGATGCAAAGATAGAAAAGAAATATTCAAGTGGCGGTTTGCACACAACGAGGTCTTTGTACACACCCATTTTTCTGCATCACCAAATCCTATCATTAGACGGTAGATGATCGTCCTACATTAAATAGAAGGGACTCATGAGCATCCTTCTTAGTTCCCTACGCAACCGCAGACTACTTCGGATGTGGCTGACACAACAAATTATTTTTAAAATGGCTTTGAAATCGGGCACAAGTGACTTTTCAATCGATCATATCTTAAATCGAGCTGGTGATCAATACTCGAAAAATAAGCAATGTGAAATATTTGAAACAATAAGCATGACAAGCAGTCCTTCGTCGAGTTGTGATGAGAGTGTTAATTGTGATAATTATGAGAAAAAAATTTGTCATAATGGATGCGGTGATAGTGAAAGATTTATGGAAATTCCAACTTTTGACTGGCTTAATTATACAAGATACAATATGCCAAGAATGCCTCGTAAGTTTTTCCTTAACAAAGCTAAATGTTTTTCGATTGTTTTAAATTGTGAACCTTGAATAGGTCCTACAAAAGGCCCCGCAAGAAGAACACCAGGAAGATTACCGAGAATACCTTTTACGCCATATCAACTTAATGAACTCGAAAATGCCTACAAAACCGCAACATATTTAAGCACCGAGGACGCAAATAAGCTTGCGAAACGACTTGATTTAACTGGTGTTCGAGTGAAAATTTGGTTTCAAAATAGACGTGCTAGGGACCGACGGGAACGCAAAGATTTATCATTAAACAAATCACTTAAAAAACCTTCAGACGAAGAAGAAGAAATTATCGTAAATTAATGCAGAAATGACCTTTATGCACTGATGTAAATAACAAAAATTTATGTGTAAATACAGAAAACAAAAAACCTTTAATTTAAAAATAGAATTCTTGCATTTTCATTCGTTTAATCGTGATTTAGTTATGATAATTTTTTTGCATGCACAGAAGCAATATAAATTCACCTTAAAACTCGCTCTGAGACTCGACTCTACTTTCACTCAACTATCGTTATAAACGCGATAAAACATTCATGAAAATCGTTCAGATTACTTTTACGATGGGACACTTTTACTAGAAGGGCGGGGGTGGTCATAAAAACCGAAAAATTGTTCAAAGGTTGGGCAAGCATGTGCGAAAAATGTTTAAAGAAATTGTGATTTTAATAACGATCTTTTATGACCTAAAAACTTTCTGTTAAATGCTTCTTTATTTGAATAATTCAGCAATTAACATATCTTGATACTTAGTTTACATTTATCTAAGAGAAGTTTTCAATGAACTGTAAAAAATAAGAAAACGTTCGCAACAAAATTGTATTTATCAACAAAAGACAATAAAACGACGAGAGAAGAATTTCTTCTCATTTTGTAGTCTGTTCTGTGTGTTTATGTTTCGCTGTTCGTACATTAAATTTAATGTAAAAAAAACCTTCATTCAGCTTTGCAATGTGCGAGTTATCTGGATGAGAAAAATGTGTATCTCGTGTTGAAAATGTTTACTGGAAAGCTTTCAATCATTTGACATGCGCGAAAGCTTTCCAAATCATAGCGCTTTTCCTAAAATTCACCGACTTTTCCTGATGCTTCTGAACAACAGAACCAAAGTTGAGAGCGATGAAAAAGTTTTCACACATCAGAAGCAAAAATCAATTCGTTGTTATCACATCGCTTTCTTTTTTTCGCAATACAATTGGGAAGTGAGAAATTTTTTAACAAAGTCAGAAAAAAGTGTAAAACTCCCACAACTTTAAGCACTTTGTGTTTCTTTTTTTTCTTTCGTTGATCAACTATCTCTTTACTCAGTTCATATCGTCCCTGATTATAATTCATCGATTTTGCAGATCAAAAAGAAGCAAATGAAAAAGGCAGAGTGAAATTTTCGTCCATTTAGTCAGTCAAGAAGAGAAAAGTTATTGTGTAACGTGGAAGAAGAAAAAGAAAATTAGGAAAGGACAGAAAAGACGATAAAGCAATTTTCTCCATCTTCACATATTGCTTTCACCCTAATGAAAATTTAGTTAAATAATTTAAGTGTATGTGCAATTTTCACGACTAACCGAAGGAGATTTGGTAAAACTTTTTTACCTCTTCTGAAGTACGAAATAATGGAAAAATCCATCCAACGAGTCATCAAGTTTCTCATAACTTATGGCAACTAATTAATGAATACTTGTCAACAATTTCCAATTTCATACTCTTCAATTATAGCAACCTAAGCTAACTTGAGCTTCAATATTATTCCTAACTAATTAAGTGAGAAAGTGGTCATATTATAGTTAAAATGGTTGTGAACATAAATATGAAAAAAGGAAAAGAGAAATAAGAAACCATTTACATTTGAGTTGATAAAAAGGAACGCAAACAAGGCTTTCACAGCATAAATCGTTTTGCTGGTGTGAGTTATAATCAACCAGGATATATAAAGTGAAAACAGAGAAAAGTAAGTGAAAAGCGAAAACATAAAAAAAATTATTTTTACAAAACGAAACGCAAATGCAAGCAAAACAGAAGAAGGAAAAATTTAATTGAATATTTTCTCATTTTTATTTTATTTTTGATGACGACGAGTTTGGTTGTGGAATTTTAAATTTTCCTGAATTTGAACTTTTTCTTATCTTGACAGTGAATGTGAAATATTTGACAGAGCTTTAATAAGAAAAATTACATGGAACGTTCACGCTCTATTAATACCTGTGGTCTGTTTCTCTTTCACAATTGAATAATGAATACAGAAAGCAATAAATAATTCCATCATAAAGTTTTAATAGAAAAGTTGATAAATTTTTCGTTGACTCAAACACAAGCTTCAGAGATGGGCAAATGTTCCGTTCAACTCGATTGACTGACTGACTGACATTTCAATGTCTGTCAGTCAGTCAGTCAGTCAGGCAAAATCGCGAACAAAAATATTCGTTTGTTGGGACACGTTCATGTAAATGTTCCGCTCAAGTCGTTTGACTGACTGACTGACAAGTCAATGTCTGTCAGTCAGTCAGTCAAATCCCAACTCTGACAAGCTTCGACTCTTCTTCATTCTTTCGAAACTTTCCCATGGAAATAACTTTCCATCAAGCTCAATAAACAATCTCAATTATTTGAATTTATGGCTCTTAAATGCTCGTGACAGCAGCTGATGTGTGCAAAGCCAATGCTTATGTGGTTGTTTCTATTTGTCTTCATATTTTTCTCCATTCCAAAGCAAACAGAAATATTTTCCTTCTTGAGTAAATAAAGGATGCCTCGAGGTTTTTATAAAAAAGGCTAATAATTAACAAGGGCTTATTTTTAGTGATTGAACAATTCGATAGAAAATAAAATTTTGTACAAAACGTGGAAAATTGAAACGAAAAAAAGTTTCGCGACACGTTTCAAGACTTACAAAACATTTAATAAAATTTTCTCCTTTTTTTCTGTCGCTTATTTTCCACAGAATAAGAAGTTTTCAGTAGACATAATGTTGTCACTTATTTACACTCCAATTCAACACGAAACATAATTTGGAACATTTTCTTTCATTGTGTACAGAAAATATTTTTTGGGAAATGGAAAATGAAGGAAAATTTACACACATTATCAATTCCTATCTAGATCTTAAATTCTAATTTTTCAAATGATTCAAAAAATGTTTTTATCCTTCCACAACATCAATACGTCGACATAAAAGAATAAAAGAAGATTCTATTCAAATGGTGAAATGTATTGGAAAGCAAAAAAAGAAAAAAAAGAAAAAAATCAGGCTGAGTGAAAGTAGGTCAAAATCAACGGAAAGTATTGCGAGCACGCCTTTAATCACCTAGAACTTAGATACATTTTAATGTATTCTTATTTGGTTCTGACCAATATTGCATGTTAACATTTAAGTCCATTATTGTGCACTTTATGTCGAAAGCAGAAGCACAGAAATGTTTTCATTATCGTTACCACAGACGAACATGAGGGTTGAAGGCATTTTCGCATATGCTACTGTCAAAAAAGGTTTATCAACCCACAAAGTGACATAAAAACCATTTATCTTGAGAGCAAGCATCATAAAACCGACATAAGACGAGAAAAAACAAGAATTTACTTTCCTGCGACGTTTGTAATAAAAAATAATGATGGTTCATTTGCAAAAGGATCTCAAAAGAAGAAAGAGTCGAATGAGAATTTTCCATCTTCTATCTCATTATGCGTTTCAAATTGAGGTTGCATTCCTAACATTCGAGAATAATGAAGAAAACAAAGAAGTCTTGTTATCGTTGAACAAACGATAGCTAAAAATTCGTGTCGACGATAGATATAAACATTGAAAATTCCACAATAGAAGAAAGCATCAAATAAAGAGAATTTTGTAACGTGAATTTATTATTAATGACACGTCTCAGGCACGCCAGATTTTCAATATGAAATTTTAAGCATCTTAAAGCTCAAAAATATTACAGGAAATTTTCTTTATTGACATAAAACTTAATAAGCTGTAAAAAATTATTCCCAAAGGAAATCGCACTCACAAACGCATCCTCATTCTGCCTTTCATAAGCTTATAACAGAGAAAGCATTCTTCCTTAATCCAATAATAAATTATCCAATCTATTTGACGTTCTATGAAAATTTATAGTGATGTGATTGATTTTTTTCCATTCTCCTTTCTTTTGTTGCAGACTATAAAAAGGATAACGAGCAGCAAATCGATAATAATCTAATAATACCAATTCACCTTCGTACGAAAATAGCTTTGGAAAAAAAAGAGCTGAGAAAAGCTTAAGTGTCGCGAATGTTGTGAGAAAATGTATGGAAATTCCAATTCGAGTACCGATGAAATTGTAAAGGCCAATGATTGTGCAACTGGTGATAAGTTAAAAGGCATTAATAATAAAAGTAACAATGATATAGCATTCAGTAAGAAGGCGCAGCATCAATGCGACGCCGATGAAAATTTATTTTTACGCTTTCTCGAATTGGATCCTCCAGTGACTGACACACAATCTCGTCAGTCATCGCTTGGTAAGGGAAATGGACGAACACCATTTACAATAACGAAAAAGCTAATTAAATCCCCCGAGCATGGTTTCGGTTTCTCAATTGTTTGGACTCACCCTCCACGAATTGAAAAAGTCGAGTCGGGGTTGTCGGCCGAGAAGTGCGGCATTTTACCGGGAGACTTCGTAATATTCATCGATAAATACAATATTGTAACAATGCCTGAATTGGATATCCTCAATTTGATTCGCACGCAAGGCAACACATTGATATTGGAAATTTTCCGTCGACCGACACGACAAGGAAGCATTAAAATTATTCCACCTCGACTCATTACGACGGTAGCTACTACTAATCGACAATTTTCTACCGACGAAGAAAGTTCAATTAGGCCATCGCATCTTTGGTCGTCATCAGCAATGTCATTGGAAATAAGCAAGAAAAAGTTGAGATTGCCTCAAGTGATTGCAAGAAGCAAAGAGGTGAGTAAAGTTCAACGTTTATTGGATGAAAATAATTTTGTGGTAATCAATTGCAATTTATATTAAATTAGAGAATGTTCGAGACATTTCAATTTATATTGTCAAAATGTTGAATCAATCGGGAAACATAATTCTGACAGATGAATCAATAAAACAGATTTTCATAATTTATTAATCGATGCCTTGTAAATAAGTATTTTAGTATCTATAAAAAGGTCATTCAAATGTTTGTAATTTCTAGAAAGCAGTTGTAATACTTGTGCTCTCTTTTAGAATTTAGAAAACCATATAAAATTATATTTATTATTGAACTGAATTATCTTCATAAATATTCTTTGAAAGCTCAAAAGAAAAAAACAAAATCAATCTTTTGAATTATTCCCTTGCGATTATCGTTCTAGTTTTTATTCGAATATTTTTTTATAAATTATCAAATCAATTTTTCATTCGCAGTCAATTGCTAGTCAACAAAACCCTGATAGTCTACGCAAACGATATCTCATTCAATTGATTAATCGCGAACAACATTTCATTAGTGCCATGAACTTTGGTATCGAACGTTTTGTTACACCATTAAAGGATCGAAAAGATTTGATTTCTATCAACGACCATAGAACATTATTTCAAAACATTGATGAGCTTTTACAATTATCAGAGGATATATTAGAACAATTACTCCAGAACGACCACGACCCACAAATTCACTTTGCTTCGCGTGTTTATGTTTCGAAGGCGATGGCTATATGTGCAGCATATAAAAAATATTGTAATGGTTTGAAGCGAGCTGATTGTGTTCTGGTAATGTCAACTAAGTTGCTTAAATTATTCAAATCTTTTTCAAACTTCTTTTTTTACTTGTATGAAAAATTAGGTTAACAAATCGAGAACTTGCAATAGCGATTTTATGGCTTTTATCAGCGAACCACCCATACCGAGAAAACGACCCGACATCACAACTTTCATTCATCGACCCCTTCAGCACTTTCGCGATATTTTGAAACTTATTCAAATGATCACAACTAATTGCCCCACTGACAGTGATGAAAACAAGAATTTTACGAATGTGATAAATGAACTGCAGGCAGCTTACCGTGAGATTACAGTAGGGGGTGGATTAATGGAACCACTCGGAGAAGGTCGTCCTTTACTCTCCCTTCAAGATTTAGAGTCTCGTTTGGTATTCACAAAATGTAAACCGTTTACTCTTTCCGTTACTGGCCGTCAATGGATCTTCGGTGGTGATTTGTCTCGCATCGATGGACGCTCAGTGAAACAATTTTGGACACTTCTGTTCAGTGATATTATTGTGTTTGCCAAAGTTAGTCGTGATAGAGTTTTATTTATTACGGATGAACCGTTGCCTTTGTCAAATGTCGTCGACTGTTGCTTCAATGTGAGAAAGAAATGTAAGAGAATATTTATCTTGATAAAAAGAGATTTGCTTTCGTTTGCATTTACGCTCTGTTAAATTTACAGCAACCGAGTTTCGTTTAACGATCGACCCAAGTGGATCTGTGAAAAGTCCAACAGTCAATTGTACGCCTGACCTTACCAGAACACCATTGCGTAATGTAAAACGACGAAACATCATTTTACGTGCGCCTTCGACAGAGCTGAAGGCTGTTTGGCAAAATCTACTGACACGACAAATTTTCATTGTCAACAACACATTAGGTTCAACCTTAAATAGTCCTTTGGAGTCTCCCGACATTATGATTTCCCAACTGGGTGATATGAATCTCATGGCAAATTCTATTACGTCTATCAAAATGTGTTCCATTGAAAGCATCAACAACCAAAGAAATCAACAGGTAAGTCAACTTTTCAAACGTTTTCATGGAAGATTCCGATTTCTGATGATGAAGCAAAAATTGAAATTTGTGATTTAATTATCTGCCTAAAACTTTTACCATTTTGCAGAATCAAACGAGAACCAATGTCAACAATAATAATAATTTGAGTAACGAGAAGAAAATTGAAACATCGCCAAAAATAACAAGAAGAATGGAGCGTCTTATAGACGAGAAATGTAATTTATTAAGTAAAAGTGGAATATCAAAGGAAGGTACCGTGCATCTGGCGCAATGGATGAAAGGTCAATTTAATAAGCAAGCATGTGCTTCTGAGCCAATTGAATCGGATGAAGAAGAAAGCAGTCAATTAAACGATTGGAGTGAAGAAGATGTGAAACGAAGGTCACAAGAACTTCACTTGCTAATGGAGAAGAAGAAAGATGATGACAATGTCACGAGTGATGATGAACAGAACAGTGCTTCCAAAAGTACAAGTACCGACAGTCAAGTATGTATTTAAAAGCACTTCAATTTAAAACTTCATTTATTTCCCCTCCTTTTAATTTGTTTTAGATAACAGTTCGTTCAAGTCCAATCAATAATAACAACAGTCGCAGTGACAGCATTTCAATTTGTCGACAATGTCATAAATTCTGTAAAAAGAAATCTAAACTTATGAGTCCATCCAATGACAGTAATAATAACAAATTGAAGAAATCTCCTTCGAGGCAGCAAGCTGTTGATACTTCCGACAGTAGCAATACAATTGTTAAAGATAGTCAGGAAAGCAGCTTAATGGAAGACTCAAAGGAGTTGCGAATGTCACAAACAATGATTTCAATTAATGGTGCAGTAATCACTGATTCAATAATCAAGACATCACAATCATCGCCATCAGCGTTACAAACCCACCAAAAACCAACACCAAAAATGGGTGTTCGTGCTAACATCGAAACAAAATCGCACAATCACAAGAAATCTTCTTCGTCTGTCAACAGTATGTGCAATTGTGAATGTAAACCAAAAGATTTTGAGAAAACGACGTTAAGTCCCGATGAAGTGAAACATGAAATTGTGAAGATTCTCAGCGATGTTGATCAAATAGCCAATAAAATGTCAGTAACAGATTCAAGTTCTCGATCAAGTGATTCGCCTTATTCCAATTATAGCAGCATCCGTGCAAGAACACTTCAAAGTAAATACAGTTTTCTGTACAACAACAATCACATGACAGCAGCAGCTAAACGTCAACCAGTTAATATTATCAAAGAGACAATGATTGGAGCTGCCGAAGGAAAAGTTAAAGCGGGTGAGAAAGCGAGTGAAACTGCCGATCAACCAACACCAGTACAGTTGAATGAGTCGTCAAGTCAAGGTGATAATGAGAATGAAGATGATTTGTCATTGATGTTGGTAGACTTGGCACAATTGAATCCCATCACATCTGTACCAACAATTTCCGTTCTTCCACCCACACCAGATCTTAACAAACAGCACAATTTTAATCCAACAAAAGATTTGGAAATTACAAAAGTTAACAGCATTAGTATTAAAACAGAAAGCAGTTTTGATTCGATTGACGATGAAGACGAAGAACCTCCTTATATGACACTAAAGACGAGTTTAAGACGCTTTGGAACTCTGTCAAGTTTGGAAAGAATGCCTTCGGAAGATACAGACGAAAAGACTGTGAACTCATCAGACGAGGAAAATTCTGATGAAGAAATTAAAATTGTTGAAAGCACTCAAACATTTCGAACTTGGACATCACGGGCTGGTTCTTTTCTTGAAGAATCGAGAGCTTTCATCGATAAATATCTTGGACGTACCGACAGTTGCGAATATAGCAGCTTGAAAAATGGCACAAAGGATTCAACTGTTGACTTCGATGAGTATGAAACAATTGAAGGCGAAACTTCCGGTGGAACATCAGGTGAAGAAGTTTGGGGAACACCAACAAGTGGAGGTGAAAACGATGAAATGCACATGTTTAATAACGGCGAAAATCGATCGGTGAGTTTGATGTCTTCATTTGATTTCAAGTTCCCGAATGTTTCACTGTTTTAGTCTCCAACAAAGTCTTCTTCGTCTTACACCGGCGATGAAGATACGGAAATTATGATGGATGAGCTTTTAATGGCACCTATCATGACAACCAGTAATATCAGGGGATTGCTACCGAGGTGAAATATTCTAAAAGAGTTTAAATCAATAGATAGAGTTCATAAGTGATGTTAAATACTGTTATAAATCAAAAATTACGTTTTCACTGATAATTAATTAAATGTTTTCAAAACAAGTATCTTTTTTTATCTTAGACATATTAAAAGCATTCATAAATAATCCGGAGATTTAAGAGACAATGTTTTAAATGATTTATTAGTTGATATCTGTCTATTTGTTATCGACCAAAGTCTGTTATCTTCGTCACTTATGAACTAATCTACAAAGTTCACTGTTTTTATTATATTTAAAACGTGTTCAGTAAATGTTCATTGAACAATTTAGAAGTGTTAACTTTTTCATACAATTTAATTAAATCATTTAGTACTTTACAATTTATCATGTAAATTTTTACCATTTAGGCGAAGATTAGAACCTCTTTTTGAAGAAGATACTGATAGTTGTGACTCGAATAATGAAAATAGTTTGCTAGGGAATGATAAACAGGTAGGATAATTCATGATAGTTTTCCATTAGAATTGTTGTTTTTTAAGCTTATTTTTGGATAAATTTTTGGTGACGTTTTCGTCCTCAAAGAAACTTTTTCGATGTTTTTATTTATCCTGTTGTTTCAACGAGGAATTCATTTGATTTGACTTTTGGAACTTATAGTAGTAGCAACATTTAATTAACAAATTATTTTCTTTTCTGTTTTCTTTCTTTGTTTTTATATCATTAATATAAAATCATATTAAATTGATGAATGTTAATATCTACAACAGAATTAATTTTACAAAAACTGAACAAAATTAAACCCTAAAATAATTCGTTAGATTTAGCATTAAAAAAACGTTCGTTGGTTGTGCTACATGCTATGTTAAAAGTAGGAAGTTTTATAGTGTAGTGGTAAGGTTCTATTTCGATTTAATCGGCAGGGGGAAGGAATAGAAAAAAATATCGAAAGATGTCCAAGTTTGCCTACTTCAATCGATTCCGATCACACAACGCCGTCAATCGACGAGGAGATGATGATGAATCCGGAGGATCTGATGTCACCTACAACTATACAAGCACAGCTCGACCACTTATCACCAGTCGAGGACCTGGATTTGGACGAAGTGGATGTGTCAGTGCTGAGCGAGGACGAGGAAACTCCGAAAACCACGACACCAGTGGGAGAAACCTTTGGGCATGTTGCTGACAAATGTGGTTTGTTATGCTTCAATTAATAAAATTTAATAGCTTCGATAAAATGAAATGTTTGTAGGTGCGTCTGTTCTACAATCTCTGATAGAAAAAAACGCATCTCAAAATCATATCGAACGTGCCGAAGCACCACAGACCAATCAAACTGCTGCACAACCATCAACACCAACAATTCGAACACCCCGATCATTGGAGATGCGCTTAGCGATGAACAACGATATTCTGGGGGACGAGGACTTGATGAGTTGTAAGAATTAAAGTTTAATCCTTTTATTTTTATTAATTTTTATTTCTAAAGATGCTCCGGGGCCGGATCTAACATCAATTCTCGGACGCGACCTCTCTACATACCACCGAATGACGGGTCGGGATATTATAATGAACAAAATTATCAATCGGAGAGAAACATCACCCCAACCGTTCAGATTCAGCAGCCAATACGACACCAACCGCAGCGACCCACAGAGCTCATCTTATCAACAAAACAACTCGAAAATGGACACACCAATACTAAATCGCAAGCTTCCACGTACATGGAGCAGTTCTGGATTTGTACGAAAAGGTGAGAAATATTTTCACGTTTAGTTAACATGTAAGTTAATTTTTGAAACTTTTCCGATAAACTTTCAGACGAAAAAGCTCTTTCGGATTTGGAGCGACTAGCAAGACGAGAGAAAATTTATTGCATGAAACTTCAAAACCAAAACAGTGACAGTGATTCATCATCTAAGACCATTGTGCCCAACAAAAAGAATAAATTGTAAACACTTCATTGTCTTCACCCTCATTTGCTTTTTATCGCTTTTATTATCACTTTTATGAATCGCAATAAGCTTTTGTTAATATTCATTATCGCACTCGCACTAATTCATCGAATCATTTGTTTCTTACTCATTTTTTGATGCGACGTTTAGATTAAGATTGCTGAGACGGAACTCAGAGAATGTAATTGGCAAGCAAGCAAAGGCTAAAAATATTTTAGAGAGAAAAACGTCACTTTGCGATAACAGCTGCGGAAGTGGCGATGATTCGATGAGCCTTGCAACTGACCGACTTTCATCATTCAACAAGGAAACTGTATGTTAAGTTTTATTGATAAAAAATAATTTTTATCCTTGATTTTAATGTGCAAATCTCAATTTTGCAAACACCACAAGGATAAAACATTAGATCGAAGATTTTGGAAACAACTGACGAAACGACGTCGATCCAATTCTCTGTCGTCCAACTAAAAAAAAAATTTAAAAACATACAATTCATGCTTAAGATCGATCACTTTGTATCTTCCCATTTAACACATAAGTTTCAATCAATTAATTCTTAGCTTAATCGAAAGCATTTGTAACATAACATTTCGAATTTAGGGACTAAAAATATACTTCGAAGTTTATTTCGTTTTCTAAGAATATGTAATTCGATAAATAATAAAGAGAAATCGTAATTTCATTTAAGTAGTAATTTCAAAGACAGGCACAATGCGATAATAATTTGTAGTAATGATTGTGATTTGAATTTAGTTATAAGAAAGAGATATGCAGAGAGAATATTTTTGACGAATAATAATTTACGCAAATAAGTTTTTAAAGAAAGTCGATTTTATGAACTTATTCCAATGTTTCAAAAGCATTTTGAAATTTAAAAATATATGAAATTTGTTGAGTTACCATTTTAAAGAAATTTTGAGATTGTTCACAAATTATTATGCGCCAAACGAATGAATGAATGAAATTAATCATCCAGCTTTTAAAAATGAATGGAATTTCATGAGACATTTGTCTGAAAAGCATTTTCGTCTGTTTGCGTCATTTACAAGTGTTTAAATGACATGAACTTCGGAATGGTTTTTGGAAGGATATGAAAAACAACCAAAACGTTTTTCAGACAATGTCATTGGAGCTACGAACTCGAGACATAATTTCAGGCTGCTTTAAGATGAGTATTTATGAAACAAGATTTTATCTTCATTCATTCTAATTGATTCCAGCCTTGAAGATGGAGCAAAACTTTTCAAATTAAAAAATAAAAATATTAGAGTTTTGTCAAATATTTGAAACAAAAGAAATCATAGAGTAGTGACACAGCGTAGATTGAAAATATACATTTTTTGACTTTGACACCTAATAACTTTTCAATCGTTTCAGCTAAAAAAATCAGTTTGGTATCAAAAGTTTCCCAGACAAATAAGGAACAATATTCGCGCATTAAGAGAAGTCTATTGTCAACAGTGCGCTCACAGTTCCAAAAATGAAACGTAACGGTGGAGATTTTTTTGTCACGCCTGTAGATATTTTTTGTCACGCAGCGTAGATGAGCGAAAAATAGCAACTGAGATGATTTTCACCTTTAAAATGAGCAACTTAAAGATATTTTCATGAAGAT